TTCGTTTTGCTTGCATTGCTACGGTCGTACGAGGCTGCATGGCAGCGACGCCTAGCGGCACGACAGCTGGTATCAGACAAAATTACATGTCAGTCTCTTAGTGACATACAGTCGTTGCGTTCTTTAGAGAATCCGTTTTGCTTGCATTGCTACGGTCGTACGAGGCTGCATGGCAGCGACGCCTAGCGGCACGACAAGTATTTTATTTGAGAAAAAAGTTTTACACAACATGAATGTTCATTGCAATGTCTTGCCGAACAGCTTGTGGACGGATCATACTCACAATGTTTGGTGCCCGTGGACAATGGGGATCAAGATCTGATCCGGTTAGGCGGCCAAATGTGAATCCCTCTCGTACGAATTTGAACATATTAGAGGATACCTAGTAATACTACAGCATCCATATGCATGCTGCAGCATGCCTTTAAGTTCAATTTGGAAGTCTCGCATCGATCACGTTTCGTATACTCAATATATATGCATGTGCGCTCGGTTGCCAGACTTGTGGTTCCACTGGTGGCACCACTTTTGATGGATGGGCCATGGCGGCAATTAATCGGACCCACTATAATGTTGGCATGGCGGCCCTCAATGGGCCGTGACTAGCAGGCCGCGCGCTACATGACTGCCATTCCAGCGGCAGCGGTGTCGTCTCTGCTTGAGACGTTGAAATGGAGGGGGATCCCTTAAGGAGCGGGCAAAAGAATGATGACGTCCGTGCTGACGTTAACCAGGATTCTGGAATGACGCCTAGCTGAACTTTGAAGCGCCCATGAGGCCCTGAACTCACAGTGCAGGTCTGCAGTGTGCAATGTGGAATGTGCAATGGGCAATTGCCAATGTGCATGCATACATAGGTAGCTGGTGCCACTGGAAAAGTGTGCATGCAGCCCGGTGTGATCAGGAAACGCCACTTGCTGAAGGACTGCATTTGATAATTGTGGCTTTCCTCCCAGTGGAAATTGATGACAGCATCGAGTTGCCTCCTAGTCGTCCTGGGGCCTGTTCCTGCTGGTCTCCTTCCTGTTAATCGAGGCCCTTTGGATCTGCGGCTAGCGTCAGGCAACTTGGAAACACACTCAGCTTTTAGGCTAGCGCCATCTCGTCCCCAACCCCACTCCATTCTTGCAGCACTCTCGCCCCGAATCATGGCACCCAAGCAGAAGAAGCTAGGGTGGTCAGACCTCATGGTGTCTGAAGTCTGCCTTGGCACAATGACCTTCGGGGAGCAGTAAGTTGTGCTGCAGCTTGATCCCCTCTGCTGGAACGGGTCAGATTATCTTCTGGAAGCCTTGTCTGGTGGTGGTGGCAGAAAGTACCTTCCAACGTGGATCAGTTCTGCTTACGGCTTGGCAGTGCTGTCCTTTATCAAGACTTTAGTAACACCTATTTGTGATGGTCCCTTGCACCTTTCGGAAACGCCCGAAGAAACCATCAAATGGTTCGATAGAAGGATAGTGCGGTTGAGGGAGTGCAAGGGTGGATAGATGCAGTCGGCGATCTAATCGTGAATGTTGGACTTTGTTTCCAACGTCAGCGTTTGAAAGTCCAGAGTAGTACATTAATCCTTACCCTCCCTGTGTTTCTCTTCAGGAATACTGAAGCAGAAGCCCATGAGATACTGGATGCAGCTTTTGCTGCGGGGATCAACTTCATCGGTGAGAAGGCGATTGTCATAGGCGGCCCTTTGTTTGAATAGTGTCCTCTGAAGGAGTCACACTTGCACAGAGAGAGAATCCACCCTGAAATTCTTCAACATTTTCTGGAACAAAGGTGAAAAGCAAAGTTGCTCTACCGATGACACCGTACGTTGACAATATACATAACAACAGACAGACTAAAGGCTCTGGTGGAAAGGCTTCACTTTTAATAACAAGAGTTTTCACTCCCTTGTCCTGGTTTCTCAAAAGACCTGCCTGGCTCTGATTGAACTCTCGTAGATCTTTGGTCCCCTTTTCTTTTTCTTTGACTTTGTTTAGTTTTGAGTAAGAAGTCGTGATAAACGGAAAAAGTCCTTTTGTTACGCCCCATGCAACCCAATTTTGATTACTCTAATGCAAAGGACCCCATGTCTTGCTGTCTTTCTCTTCAGACACAGCGGAGATCTACCCGACACCCCCCCGAGCTGAGACTGCCGGGCGCACCGAAGAGTATATTGGTACATGGCTTGAGAAGCAGGACCGGAGCAAGGCAAGCAACTTCACACCACCTGCGAATCTCATGCTCTTCTGGTTCACTTTTCGAATGGAGCATTCCTCATACCGCCACGGGGCTTGTTGTAAGTTGTTGCCTTGCTGTGATCATTTATGAATATTCTTGTCATATTGGACCCATCCGGGCAAATGCATGGCGTCTACGGGGAACTTTATTTCAGACTAGAATACTCACTTGTGTGGGGTAAGGTTGATGGCTCCCAGGTCAACAAGGATGGAACTGATCATTTCCACGGTTTCTAAGTGAATCTCTCCATGTGGCAAAGCCTGCTGATGACCTACTAAAAGGGAATCCATACCGCCTCGCTGTTAGCACTCTTAACACCAAAATGGAGATTGCAATGGTGTAGAGCACGCAGCACGAAACAGAGGTGGCGTGCCGCACACTTGTCCACAGGTGATTCTGGCTACGAAAGTTTCTGGTTACGGCAAGGACAGCTATCTGCCTGGGAAACGGAAGGATCCCCCGACCGACGAGAAGGCGGATGCGCGCCTGGACGCTGCCAACATTGAGGCTGCTCTCAACGCCAGCCTCAGACGGCTCCGCACAAGCTACGTCGACTTGTATCAGCTGCACTGGCCCGACAGATACGTCCCGCTCTTTGGACCGTGAGTGGTATCAAACAGCGTTCACTTAGTCTATCTGCTTGTCTGAGTGGTTAGTTTTAGGGTCTACGCGGAAGAAGCTTTGGGTTTGGAGCTTTCTCAAACGGGCTCTTAACATCTTGATCGGTGGTTCGAGATTTGAAACTTGCTGTATCATTAGGCATGTCTCAATTTCACATTCGCTTTTAAATGACCCGAAAGAGACCACCCTTGTGTTTGATTTGTGGCCGACAACAATCACGGCATTGTTCTCCTCTATGCTTAGTCCCTGGGTTCCCGGTCCCACTAGTGTCTTGTGATTAGTTTCCTGCTCGTATTGTAATTTTCAACCATGTCCTGCTAAGCTCAGCGGTCAAGAAAATGACTGCTTGCGGTCTCTTTCTAGCATCGCCTTCCGGAACCACAATGTTGCGCTCCTGGTGTGACAGGTCCGTATACGACGTCAAGTCTGAGCGACCGAGCGTGCCCTTCGAGGAGACGGTGGCCGCGTTGGGGAAGCTCATCAAGGAGAAGAAGGTCAGCCTCGCAAACTGCCCAAAAGAAATGTCTTGTCGAGAGGACCCACATCGGTTGCTTGCTTGTATATGAAATCGCACCTGTGCTTGGGCTCAGTACTCGTAACCGTAATCTGTCTCACGCCATTCGCCGGCCCTGCTCAGGTCGCAAGCGGCAGGGTTTCATAACGAGCTACGCCACCGGCTGTTAGAAGTACTCAGTGCATGCTGACCACACGCAGCCCGTTTCCACAGATCCGGTACTGGGGCGTCTGCAACGAGACGCCGTTCGGTGTGTGCGAGCTGGTGCGCGCGTGCGACAAGCTGGGCGTGCCCCGCCCGGTGACCATCCAGAACCAGTTCTCGCTCCTCTCCCGCTCCTACGAGACCAGCCTCGCGGAGCTGGCGTCACCCGCGCACTACAACATGGCCCTGCTGCCGTGGTCCCCCCTGGTGCGGCCACCGTTAGCTTCGAGGCCAAGCGGCCCGAGAGTTGTTATTATCAGTGTCCATTCTGTGTTGAATTAAGCCTACGTTGAGTTGGATTAGTTCGCCGGGCTTGAACGAATCAAAACCTCAAACCGAATTTGAAGTTGACCCGCACCTATACTCACCCGACAACCCCAAAGCAATGCCACTCGTCCCCTAAGCAGTGATCTAAATCAACGTAACATACGTAGGTTCGAGACTTCTTTGTTATCTGGGCATCAGTCTTGCCTTCACTGCGCTTTTACACTTCAGGCTAATTCTGACAAGCTGCTCGCTTGCGATTCTTAGTTACGTTGTCGGTGTCAGATTGCTGAGCGCGCAAGTTTTGGATGTGCAGGGCCGCGGCATTCTAACCGGGAAGTACCTGAACGGAGCCCGGCCGGAGGGCGCGCGGCTGTCGCTATTCGACATCCCTTTCAACAGGAAGTACCTCGAAGACAAGGCGAGTGGCACCGGCGATCTCGTCCCTCTTTCCTTTCCCGGTCGGAAGCCTCTGTGGCATTTCGGTCTCCACTTGCGTGACAGAGTAATCAGCAGACGTGCTCCACGAAATCTCAACGGGGCCAATCACCGCGCCCAAAACAAAAAGCTCTTCGTCTTGGGTACCTATAGTCGTCACGTGTGCAGATGTGAGCGCATGCGTGCTGTTGAACACCTCCGCGATTCCCCGTCGCAGATTGATCAGATCGTGGCCCAATACGTAGAGTTGGCCAAAGAGCTTAAGATCACGCCCGCCCAGCTTGCGTTGGCGTGGGTGAAGAGCCGATGGTACGTCGGATCGACCATCATCGGGGCAACAAAGACGACTCACCTGAAGGAGAACGTTGAAGCGTTTGACATCGAGCTTCCGGAAGAAGCTCTGAAGAAGATTGATTTTATTCATATGCAGAACAAGGATCCGATCGCCACAGTTTAATGGTACGCGAAAGCGCATTATTCATTCAAGGACAAAATAGAAACAGGGTTTGCCTGCAAAGTAGGACGCAAGGTTTGAGATGAGGGGATCAGGAATACTCGGGTACCATTGCGTGCAGTAGACCAAGCGCGCAACTCAGGCTAAATGATGCGATATAGTATGTTGAAAGGAGGAGAAGATAACAGGGAGTTGTCGATCGAGCGAAAGCCTGATGGACCAACCTTGAGCTCACACTGACTAACTTGATCCGTAATCCCAGCATGTCCATGTATGGGCACAACTATATCATAATTTTGTGTGATTGTGCAGCGCGTTCATCTGGGGGCTGGTCGCGTAATGTAATTCCGATCGGTTATTAACCGTCCACATACAACAACGTTTTGCAGGTTTGTTTGCAACGGTACAGCGTTCGCAAGACCCATGCAAAGCATTGTTCGAATCGTGCACAATGAAGCATGCCTGGCCGACCGTGATTATACTGTATCATTTGCGGAGTTCGCGGTGTCCGGATAACATGTACGTTCGATGGGTTCAGTATATTAATTGCGCAATCGCACGCGTGCACCTCAAATTAATTAACACGCGGGTTGCATGGACATGCATGTAGGCGCCGGCTGGCCCATGGCATGTAGCATGAATGGCTGGATGACACCGTCACATGAGTATTGCACACAGTGAACCCAACCGTCCAGCCTGCACGCAGACGCACTTGCACGCGTCAACATATGTAATGGACTCTTCGTGGATAGATTCACCTAGGCATAATACGAGCAGACTGACCCTATGCACAATCACTGCCTGAGCCACTAGTTAGCTTAAATTGGGTATATCAGCCGCAAGTCATTTTCGTTTCATCAACACCACACAATTGCCCCGAGTCAGCACATGACATGATTGTCAGGTCCAACTGGGCGCATTGTCGTTACCCAGGTCCTTCAATCCTGACATGGCTGGCCACGTCTTCCGACTATTCACGGAGAGTCATTGAAGTGCTCAAGCAGGAAAGAACGTTAATGATGATTGACGTAAAGCAAACGCTGTACCAAGGGTTATCCTGCAGAAGGCAATGATTGAAAGAGGGATGGACCATATGGCCATGGAAATGGCCGCGCGACTATCAACGTGACTCAGGGTGTTACACAACAGGAAAGTACCATAATCGTACGCACACCCTCCACATGGAGGTACTGGGGGACATATGAGGGCTGTTCTAACAATGGTCAGCACCAGCTTCAGTAAATAAGGCACTGATGCGTCCTTCTTTTTGAAATGTGGCGCGCTTGACTTTGATACAACGCACGGATTGCTGGTTTGTTGCTTGTTGACCCTTCCCGACAGAGCTACGCAGGCTCAAACCCCCAACTGAGACCTCTACCTAAGACCTTCGACGCTCAACACAACACGCGGAAGACAGTGAAACAGGACAGACACGTACAGGAAAGGGCTGTCAGTGAGTGGGTTCAACTCGGGCCGTCAGGACTGATTGTAACTGTGCTCAAGGCGCTCTGGTGTGCTCTGCATCGCCTTGCATGTTTCCTACCGTAGCTCAACATGAGCTCATGGTACAGAGGCGTCGACTAGCGGGCTGCTAGTTTCGGCCAAACTGAATCGGCCCCTAGCTGGCCGCTTCACTGTTTTCTACCGGGACCTCCGCATCTTCCGCGATTGATTGGGTCGCAGTGTTTCTGGCATTCTGTTCCACCTTTGCATGCGCCCGGTTCCGCAGCTCCTCGAACGCTCGCATGCTGTCGGAGTCGAAGCCGCCAGCAAACTGCATAGATGTAGAACCGGCATTAGCGGCCGCTCACCAGACGAGATGCCCGGCCATAAACTTCAGCTTTTCACGGAGAAGCTACCTCCTGCCTGCCATTCGATGCACACAGCTGGCACCAGCTTAACATCGCCTTCGTTTCTGCCAATCTAGCGGGATCGAACAGCAGAGTTCGCGAAGTCTCCAAAAAGCTACTCTCCAAGTTGTCCCCGCTACTGCTCCATTCCTGCTCTCGCCACAGGCTTCCTTCCGTGACCCCTCGCCAACCCCGTTTCCAGGTCAGCTCCAAGTTCGACACCTCGTCAAGCACACAGTGCATCGTCAAAGCACAACCACGCTTCTCTTGCCCAACTCGCGCGTCGTCGCGGCTACACGCCCCGGGCGGGGCTCTCACCTGGTGCACCCGGAAGGCGAAGCGCACGCCCTGCAGCAGCAGGAAGTCGTGCACGGGCGCTTTCTCCCCGGCGGCGTCCGTGGTGGTGTACTGGTCCAGCTCGCGCGCGACGCGCTGCATGTACTTGCGCGCCAGGCCGACCGAGGCCTTCTTGATGGCGCCCACCACGCCGCTGTCCTGGATCCAGTACACGGGCACGCCGAACTCGCGGTACCGCGCGATGGCCATGTCGCGCGTCCGCAGCAACGCATAAATACTCGGCTCCACCCTGGCAAAGGAATGTTCGTTCAGAGGACGTTGATGGGGGCCGATTTTTAGCAACTCCTGTGTTTCACAAGCGAGCAGCTTTTTTGGAGAGAACAACAACTACACATTCTGTCTTGTCCGACTTTAGTTAGATCAAATCGAAAGAAGCAAACCGATTAGGAGCGAGCCTGCAGCCTTTCGCGCGCCCATTAGATAGCATCCGCAGAACGCGTCAGTTGTCAAAAACGTGCGTGCAAAATCGCGCAGGATATCTGGTCGCGCGCTCACTTTTCCATAACGGCGAACATCTTTTGTAGTGACACCTCGACGGGCACGTTGGGATCGTCCTCGAAGTTTTCGAGCTCGCGCTGCAGCTTGCCCAGGTCCTGGAACTCGAACGCGGCCTCCCGCAGAGCGTCCGCCTTGCCCTCCGGCCAGTCAAAGTGCTTCAGCACCGCACGCTCGTCCACCTGCAAGCAGCATACGAGATGGGCGTCTTAAGTAACGACCTCAGACACGCGACATATTGGGAAAAGACAATCGATAGGGAACCGACTGAAGGGTCTGGTTGAGTGGGTGGGCTTGGTACGAGAAGCCACGGCCAAAGTGCTTCACAGGTCTTGCCGAACCGAATTGAATGTCACAAGGCTAGCTACTCTCGTAAGAAGTGTGCAAGCAAACACAGCCAACCCGTGCTTGCACAGATCTGCATTCAACCTACATTTGCATGGTGCTAACTGCCTGCCTCCGTCCCACGCATTGAAAGGGGTATCGGCATACACTTTCCAGAAGCAGATGCAGCTCTGATGATTGAACGGTTACAGCCGAACGATCGTCATGCCCGAATTTGCCAAAGCGCATACGCAACCCCGGGCAAGCCGTGACGAGGCAGCGGGCTCATACTCGGCTGTGGGGGGCTCACCAGGAAGGAGAGCTCCTCGTCGAGCCAGCTGACGAAGGCCACAACGTCCTCGATCCTGTCGTACTCCGCGGCCCGCACTTCTTGCGCCAAGCTCTTCACAAAGTCCGCCTGCGCCTCCACGTCCGCCTTGATCTGCACGCATTCACACCAGCGCACTTTGTTCCGTCAGAAGGAGCCCTTCCCCATACAGGTAACACCATACGAAGTTTGAGGCACCGAGATGATCCCAAGCGTTTGCTGCGAAAAGCAAAGCCTCTTCGCTTCCGGCTGGAAAAAGGAGCGCAATGAGGGGCTGTGTGCGCTTACCGCGAGCAGGTGGGACGACCGGTTCTCGATCTCCGCCACCATCTCTCCGCGCGCTCCGTCGACATCCATGCCCGGCCCGCTGATTCCGCCCTCCCCAGTGTAACCCCGCCCGATTCTCATCAGCGACTGGTACAGCTGGATAACCTCGGGCGCCCTCTGCACGCCGTCCTTGGTGTGAATGGGCGCCAGCTTGCCGCCAGGCGCCCCGGGGGGCGGCGGTGGTGGAGGGGGCCCACCTTTTCCGGGGGGTGGAGGAGGGGGCGGCGGAGCACCCTCTGGCCCCACGAGCTTTGCCTTTGGCACCCCGGGTGCTGGGGGACCCCCCGCGGAGGGGCGGGGAGGTGGGCGTGGCACTCGGGTGGGCCGTTTGACGACCTCCATGGGGGGGAGGCGGCTCTTGGCCCCTCCGCGGCGCGAGGCGCGCTGCGCGGCGGCCATGGAGCTGGTGGCGGCCTGGCGGGAGAGCGCCATGTCGGAGCGCACCTTGAAGGGGGGGTACTTCTCGCTCATGCTGCTGTTGGCCACGCTCTTGGACATGAGCTTCAGGCTCTCGCTCGTGTCCGACCGCCGGTCCTTCGCACCCTGCACCCAGCACACAAGGGCTAAGCCAAACGCATTGCGGGATTAGCCCTACTGCACCACTTGCAAAAAAAATCTCTCTATCCAGGCTTTCCCCAGCGGATAACATGCTGCAGGCAGCTCTGGGTTCAGCCGCATCAATTCATCTTGTCTACATCGCTCGAAAGATTCAGCCGAAACCTCTAGCAGTGGACCAAAGCCCGTCCGCATCCAGGAAAAGATCATTTCAATTGTACAGACTTGCAGGCGCCTACCTCGCTCGATTTGCCCTGGTTCGGTGTCGCTGATTCGGGGCCGTCTGCGGGCTGCTCGTCCTCTTTCTTGGCCCCGTATGTCGTGATTTCGGCGGACTCGTCCTTGCGCTCCCCCAGAAGCGTCTCCAGGCTGCCCATCTTGCGCACGTCCGCCTTGCGCTCGCGCAGCTTCGCAAAGAAGCCCTTGTTCTTCTTGCCCGCGTCCAGCAGCGCCGCGCCCCAGCCGCCGACGCCCTCGCCTGCGATTCAGAGTGAGCGTCACATAAGCAAAGAGCTCTGGTGATCATCGGCCACGCAATTTGCAATCGAGTCCGCTTCAAAAGGGGAACCCTCCTACAGCAAGCACACCTGCGATTGGCACAGCTGATGCATACCGTTTCTGGCAGTCGTTTCTTGACATACGCAGCCAAGCAATTCCTGTACGCAAATGCAATACGACCTTTGGACGACGATGCATAAGTACATATTTTGCACAACTTTCTGGCTTGTGCAACCAAGATTCTGACCACCTTGTTGACAGCCAAGTTGCAAGCGACGGCTCACTCTCGCTGCCCGAGACACCGCTCTCGCTCTCGTCCCCGTTTTCGGACGCGGTGAGGCTGCGCTGCGGGTAGGCATACTCCATCATGAGGCCCTTGGCTTTCTCCTGAGAGCGCGGGCTCAGGCTTGCGTTCAGTGTGAGCGCCTCTGACATGCCCTTGTAGTTGCGCAGCTCAAAGCGCAGGCACGCGTTCACCCAGCGTAGATATACCAGCTCCTCCACCTCCGAGAAGCGATTCATCTGCAGGCCTTCCACCTGGCAACGCAGCAGATGCAGAGCAGTGGTCAGAACCTTAAATGCAGAGGTCGAAACGGGATGCACATTCGACTCCCGGATCTTCACTTGGGGCACATCCGGATTCTGGCTCTCGACTTGAGCAGGATTACCAATCACCGAGGATATTGTCAAGCACCAATAGCCTGACAGAGGGGTTAGAGCAGCTCTATCAAAGTGCATCACGCTTCAAGATTGCTCGTCTTGCAACTCTCCTCTGTGGACATCGGTGCTTCCTAGCCCATCACAAACGTGACGCCTGAGGCTTCAGGGCAGTGCCATGGACCGCTCACCTGCGCCTGCATGTCGTCGTAGGCGTGGCGCAGCGCTGCGTTCTCCTCCTCCTTGCGCAGCATCTCCTCAGTGTCCTGCAGGTTGGCCAGCTTGCGCACCTGCCCCTCTAGTTCCTGCACCTGCATGCTCATCTTGCGCTTGCTCAAGCTCAGCTCCTTGATCTGCCGCCGGCACCCCAGCAACTCCATCTCCAAGTCCCTGCAATTACAAGTGCCCGAGCTAATGAGTGCCACCGTTCTGTTGGCAGTAAGGCGCTTGACCGAGACCCAACAGAACATCAGGAGTCGGTTGATCTTATCATAAGAATGTATAAACCTGAATTGGTGCAAATAACTGGATGCAACAAGGCCTGATGTGGGGGAAACTCTTCCTTCTAATCAAAGTTGCACCTGATAATCTCAAAAGTCCCTCTTTGCAGATGCATCTGCAAAAAGCATCTTCACGAAATCCCCGAACCTCATATTTCCTAATGGTGTAAGCTCTAAACAAGGCCACAAATATCAGGTACAAGAGCCCCTGCAATGCGGCAATACCGTGCGTAGCGTCCACATCAGAACAACAGGGAAGCCCCAACGCAACTCACTTGATGGCATCGACCCTCTTCGTCATCTGCTCCTCGCGGTGCTCGATGGCCCTCTCGCGCTGCTGGTAATCGTCCACGCGACGCTTGAGCACCTCAATCTCCAGCAGCAGTTCCTTCCCGCCCTTGCCCCCAAGCTGCGCCTGTAGTTCCTGCTCACGTGCCTGCGCCTGCGCCACCTCACGTCGCAGGGCTGCTGCCTCTGCGGCCAACGCCTTGCTCCTGGCAGTCAGGGCGTCCACCTCGCCAGGCGCGGGGAGTTGGTCTGCAGCGCACAACACGGGTCAGCAACAGTCTGTGGCCCCGAGAAGGCAGAATTCTGGACAATGAGAAGGGAAAGGTTAAACCTTTTGTCTACCCCATGTATGAGACGGGCAACAAACATCGTGCATTTGGATTTGGTCCTTAGGAAAGTCGGCCAGAGTACGGCTTTTTTAAATTTCTAAGAAGCAATGCTTATCCTTTGGCTAGTAAATGTTGATTGACATCCAGCAAAATGTAAGGGGACCCCTTTCTTTAGCGTGCATGCGTACCCGCGAGTTCTTCTTCCCGGTCTCTAAGTCGCTCCACCTCCGCCGCCAGCTGTGACTCGCGGTCATTGAGGCGCCCCACCTCGTGGCGCAGCTCCCACAGCTCTAGTTCTTGGTCATCAAAGGGGGACAGCCCGTCTCCCTCTACTTGAGGCACATCCTCCGCCTCTTCCTCTTCCTCCGCCTCTGCCTCCCCTTCCCCTGCGACCTTGCGCGCCAGCGCCTGTTCCTTGGCCTCTAAGCTGGCCAGCACCACCTTGAGCCGCTCAATCTCTGCCGCCTCCTGCTTGACTCTCTCCTCTTTCTCACACAGTGCGGCCACGGCGTCAGCTATGTCGGGGACCCCCTTGGTCCGCTCCTTGGAGTCACCGTCCAAGAGCGAGTCTTGCGGCCAGCCAGGCACGGCCTCCGCCTGCTCGGCAAGGAGGAGCGCGGCAAACTCCTCAGGTTTGAGGGAGGAAACCGAGGCCGGGGCATCGAACGAGCTAGACAGACTCTGGCTGCCAGCCTTATCGTGACCAGGCACGACAGAGGTGTCAGGGGCACGCTCATTGACAAAAACCTCTCGGACAGTGGTCTGCGCGGAGAACAGGGGAGAGAACACCACTCACACCCAAATTCAAGCCCCAGTTGACCTTGCAATCGGACAATGGTCAGGAGCAGCATGCAATGATTGATGCAATCCTCCGAATAATTACCTGTCTGCATAGAGCGTTGCCCGGCCCAATGCCGGGTTCCCAGGGCCGTCAAAGGAGATGATATATGAGGAGGCGAAAATCTCACAGACATAGAATTGCTCTTGGAATGGCTCACCTCGTCCTCTTCACCCTCTGCTTTGGGATGCAGCACATGATGCCGGTGCGGGGCAGACCTGACCCCATTCACATCATCTGAGCTGGTGACATCGGATGTCACATTGTGACCCCAAAACCTGCCCCACCGCTGGTTCTCGGCTTCCGCCCATGCCGCATCATCGTAGTCAAAGTATTCTGGATCGTCCTTTTTCTTCTGCTTACGGCGGTTGAATACTCGCCGGACATGGCCTGCCCCCCCTTCAATAGAATTGACCCCCCTTGCCAGCAACTCGACAAGCGCCTCCAACGGATTGGGGTCTCGATGACCCCGAGGCGACGAGTCTTCATTACTGGCATGAACATCTACACAGAAGGGTAGCATTGTGAAGTCAGTGCTCCGAGAGAGAGACTTTCCATGTCTTGTCATTCTCATGAATCGAGAAGCTTGTCTCACCATCTCACACGGTACGCTACATGCCAAATATGCATGAAAGGCAGGCAACAATGCACTTGCAGACACCACGGGCAATGCTTCTCCTGCCCTCTCAACATAGTCAAGGTCTATGAGCAGAAAGAACCTTTTGCACAAGTATAGCTCACCAGCGGTTCATACAATACTGATTCAACATTTCAAACAGCGATCTTTTTGCAAGAAAAGGACCTTGAAGTGCAAAGCATATCGCTCATCTCTACAGCAGCGATGAATGCCAGCCTCCCGCCTCCACCTGCTCACCTTCCACGTCCTCATCCAAAATATCGGGCCTTGCTTTAGAGCGATTAACAAGCTTCACGCCAACCGCTCCTGCGCCCAGGGCAACGCCCCACCGCAGCCACATACTGACCTCAGACCATGGGACATTGCATTGCAACCAGAATTGAGGAAGCTATCTTCATTAGCTGGCCTTCAGCATAATTTCTCAAAGTCACATGCATGCTCTTCCTCCAAAATCCTAGATTTCATAATGATCGTGCTCTAGAACCAATTTGTATGGTACACAAGCACGTCAGCATGGGCTGCCCACGTGGCAATGGAGGTCCTATGCAGGTCAGGTGCAGATCAGGATTTTGAATGAGCAGAGCCTTTCCTCTAAGCTGGCACAACTTTGTCATTGCTTGCGTGATGTCAACAAGGAAAGCATCATGGCGGCTCAGGGCAGTGGGCACCCCGCTTCCGAGTCTGTTCCCGCCATTTCCCAGGCAAGACTTAAACTTAAGTTTGAAGTTTTGGGCGGCCGCCGGTGCGTGCCGCGGCCGCGCAGTGTCCTGTCACGGGCGCGCCCGCAAGCAGCTAGCCCATGGCACAGATCGAGTTCATTCGGGTTTGGCTTCGGACACACTCCACTCGGCAAATGAATTGCGTCCGCACCGTGTACATGCCCACTGACTCACGTAGACACAAAGCCTGCGGACAAAACCTTGGACAAGACCCATGCACGCGCGCCAACGCGCTCCAATCACTTTTCAAGATGAAAATTAGGGTTCTCTCGTCATGCACGTTCTGCATTGCACGCAATTTACCGTTGGCAACTTGCACTGTTGATTGACCAAGTTGACCATAGACTACATAGATTCGCCATCACTTTCCTCAGCTTTCAAAGACGATAGCAAGCTGTATCAACCCCTCTCCCATAGGGAGCGCAAAAAAGACCAGCAAGAACCAACTTTGAGAAGATGCAGGCGTTGAGCTGGCAGTAGTAATAGAAGAAATGGAGGGGAGAATGTTGCAGGGAAAAAGGCTCACCAGCATTAAGAGGATATGACGAAGTTATGAAAGCGGGTCGGACGTTGAAGTGCAGATTGCAGGCAATTTTCGGCGTTGCTGTTTGCAATGCTGTGATTTACAATGAAGAGAATTAAGGTAGGCTTCTTGTTGCTTCTTTAACTGCTTCCCAAGGCTCGATCCCGCATGAAAAAGGCAGAAAGCTTTGTCAACCGCTCCATCTTGAGCTGGCTGCAGTGCAGTGGTACAAAATGTCGAAGATGGTTGTGCCTTTGCGTTGTTTTTCTTACACCACGAAGCTGCATCTGGCAGGCAACTGGCTATTGTAGACCATCCTCATGACAACAGCTTGCCCAGGAAATTTCCAACGGCTTTTTTTCTGCAGGCGATCATTGCAGTGGTTATTATCCTGGTGTTCCTGGGAATAGATGGCTTCGGAGGCTGGCTGCGCACACAGTGCATGTTCTCAGCATCCACAGCACTGGCGCCACCCAAGCCGCCCATCTTCTTCCTGGCGAATGATCTTCGAGACTTTGTGGTCGCCAACGTCCAGGTTCATGAATCTGTCCTTATGATTCTTCCACCCAACATTTTCTTGTCTAACTTAGGAGCATCCCACACCTCGACCTGCTCTACTTGCCCAATCTCCTTCCTCTTTCCATCAACAGACTCGATCATTTCAACAGGTTCGTGAACTGATGACACTTTCTGATGTTTTGTTCACCTACTCGATCAGATGTCAGGATTGTCAGATTCGCTGATGTCTTGACTGAAATATTAAGTGTTGATTACTTTGGACAGATATAATCATCTCGTACTCGTACAGATGGCGTCCCTGCACAATCCTGGCACTCCCATTTACGTCATCACCAGCTGTGACCAGTTCGAGCTGGGACGGGGGGCCCAGCTGGAACGTCTACTTTCGCTGCCCCTTGTCAGGCTGAAACTGATAGAGAACCACCTAGCCAATGGCACCGACGCCGAGGCTTTCGAGCGCATGTACTGGTAAGAGCTGGTGCTTATAGCGTCAAGGGAAATTGTCCATTCAATTAAAGGGGCAGCCCTTAGGTTGTTGAGGAATATAATCATCTTGCAACGAAATTGAGTGTTCAATCATCCTGATCAGAGAAGACTGCTTCGAAGGTCCTTCGAAGCAGGGCTTGAATCTGTGCTGCCTCATAGTTGTGATTGATTCAAGTTCTGGGAAAGAATGACTCAACTCTCCGAAGCTCAATGCTCTGCAGGACATCCTTCGTGTTCGCTCTTAAAACAAGGCCTCAAATTGGACGGCTCCGAAACTTTGTGTGAGTCTCGAGATTCTCCCAAACAAATCGCCAAAATCACTCGCTGTTATGGCGCCTTCTGCAGGCCCCACAGTTTGACCAGCTTCAAGTTCGGGCTGTTCAACTTCCAGCGCTTCTTTGTGGTGCGGGACATCGCGCGCGAGGAAGGCCTGCCCCGCTTCTGGCAGGTCGACTTCGACATCGCCCTCTTCGCTGACGTCAGCGAGCTCGCACGTGAGGCTCCGACGGCGGATCTCGTGGCGCTCAATTCGTTCTCGACGCACTTCGCCCTGTGGACGCTGGACACGCTGCAGCGGTTCTGCGACTACATGCTCGATTTCTACACGCGACCTAGGGAGCAGGTAAGACTTTGTTGTGGGGCGTGGAACCGCCCCACAACTAGTCCGCTGTTCCTTTCCCAAGTGCACCTCCTGTCGAATACACTCGTGACAAGCATCAAAACTATGTGCGCAATTCAGGGCGCTTGTAAACTCGTTCTCCTCCAGAAACGGAGCTACTTCGTGATGCTCGATTTTGTGTTGCCTACTCGGCTGGCCACTCAAGTGCTCCTTGGATTCGAACAAGGGCGATGCGTCAGCAGCTCCTTTACGTGCAGGCTGAAGCGGACATCTGGAGGTTTGGGGAGCGGATGAATCAAACCTGGGCGCAATGGAGTGACATGTGAGGCCCGTACTCTTGTTGTCGGTTTTAGATTGGGCACAGTCATGTATGTATCGTAGGCTTTCAATCAAAGGTGTGAAAGTCTATGCGACGAGCGAGGCGTTCGTTTTCATTGAACCCTCATTGAAGCTCTGTTCACGCGACTGCACTGCATCTGATCCGATCCACCCGTTGCTCGTGACGTAGGTTCATGTTGCATTCCTTCATCGAAACCCAGCAGCAGGACTTGCGTATTAAGTTTTTGGTGCAAGGGTTCTACGACCGTCCCGTCATGCAGTATCCAGTGGTTGGTCACTACCTAAAGGGTCATCTTCGATATCTTGGGGTAGAAAATCTGGGACTCCTTCTAGGCTGGGACTGTAAAGAGAGCGAGTTCGACAAGCGAATTGAGTTAAAGCGAATTGATGATAGGTTCGTACCGGTCTTTAATGAGACTGCGTTGCTGGGGCTGCATTTCCAAGGCTACTACTGTAAACAATGGGCTTCGAAGCTTTTAGGGCGTCTAACAGAGGCTGCGCTAGGAAGCACGAGACTATTACCGCTGGGAGCCATGTGACACTGACAGTCGAGCCTGTACAAACGACCGGGCCTGTACAGTATCCATCGAGATAACATCGAGTCCTACCAACTTTCCAGATTGTGGTGTCATCGAGCAGCGGGTTTGATCCATGAAATGAAGCGACCAGCGAGCTTTTGCATTGTCAATGATCGACAAATACACATGCGTCATGTAATCTGCAATTTCTCCTACTCATACTCACATTCTGCTGACCATCTGATAATCAGATTGATCGCCGCCTTGATCATGCATGCAGCTCGAAAGCTAGGCTGCATTTACACAGTGCGGGCTACAGCAACGATCGCGGTACCTATTCGAAATCAACGAGTGGGTGTACAGTATATGCCAGCTCGGGTCACTGCGCTGACATGTGTATATGGCGCAGTGATTCGGCGATCCGTCATCGTTGCTCATTCGTGCATGCTGTCGCTCATGATCAGCTAGGGTAAACGGTATATATTGGCTCCGGGGCCAATGTCGATCACCGACAATAATTTTGGCCATGAATGCCAGCCGCACTGGATGCGTGCATGCAAGACATCTGCTGCAGTGCGCAGCAAAACTACTTCAAGGCCGGCCTGGCTTTGATTGGCTGCGCGCGCGGATAGTATGGGCAAATCATGGATCACTCAACTAACAGGGCCTAGTACCGGTTACAAGAAGGGCAACTGGCATCTCTTATGAAGAAGTGGCACGTGGCAGTCTGGACAATTCTTAAAGGTAGACATCTCAGCAACACAAGCTTGACGGTTGCTGGCACAAGGCAGTCTGAATTGAAATACATCTCAGCAATATTCGTGGCTCAAAAATCCTCGTAATAATAAGACCACTAATCATGTTTGCGATTGATCAGCAGTGGATGGTGTGCACTTCACTGCTGCTGACCTTTATTTTACTCAGCCGACTTGAATGTGACCATGGAAACTCGCAACTCTCTACGTCTTATTGACATAGTGTACAATGGGCTGCCCTCAGTAAGTAGTGCTTGCAGAATGTTGCAGTGCAAATAAATCAACAATAGATCAGATTTTCAAAAGCCCAACCCTCCGGATTCAGCGCTGTTACTGAGTCCTCGCGAAACGGCAGATTGTAGCACTACCCAGAAGCCGATTAGTGTGAGGCCCGCTCCCTACAACCTGCTTTGTGGCAACACCACGAGGCCCTCCGCGACAGCCGTCGTTCATTTCTTTTGCAGCTGTGGCGGGACCCACACGTACCTGGAAACGGTGTGGCATGCCGGGTAAGTTTTCTGCCAGCTGTCAAGCTGAAGACACACGACTCAAAGGAAAATGCTAGTACGTTGACAGCCTGTTTCTATAGGGCTAAGGCATGTCGCTTGACGACCAGCATCATCAAAGAGCTCTCAGACAGCTGAGGTACTCAGTGATAGCGTGTGATACGAAAAGCTGACCGCTTGTGCCGTGTCTACGCACAGAACAAAGCCGGAGGATATGAGCGGACAGCCGGAGATGCAGGTCAGACAGGCCAGGAACCTGGACGGAAAGCTCGTTATCAGGCCTTTCAACGACTCCGTTATAAACCAACCCCTGGCCCTGCTAAGAAACAACATTGCAATCAGCCAACAAATTAGAAAAGGAGGCGACGATGAGAGGCGGCGCCCGGTGTGACTTGCCCGCTTGTGCGCTGGAAGCCGTACGCTCCAATGAGTTCGTCGGACTCGGGGGGGCCGCGACCTCCCTGCTTATAGAGCGTCGGTTTCTTCTTCTCCTCGTCGATCTTGTGCAGGATGGGGGTGAAGATCTCCCAGGCACGCTTCAGCTCGTCCCGGCGGAGGAAATGCTGCTGATCGCCCCGAATCCTGCGACCCGTATTCACTTTGGTCAGCAAATGGACCAGCTTTTGAATGGGCCCAAGCTCACAAGATGGACTCGTTCTGAGTCGACAGTTCTATTCGCCTTCTTCCAGATGTTCGCGCTGACCTCAGGGTCGTTGCTATTTCTCTACTGGATCCACCAGTCGACAGTTCTGCAATTCCGCGAGCGCAAAAGAGGCCTCGCCTTTTAAAACGAGTGTGCCTGACTGGGACCTTTCGAAAGCAGGTAGCGTTTTTGCGACTCACACGTCGAGAAGCAGGCGTTCGTACGCCTCGGGGATGTTGATCTCGGCGTATCTGTCGCGGTAGGACAGGTCCAGCTCGCTCTGCGACGCCTGCATCTCCAGCCCGGGCTGCTTGACGGTCATCTTGAGGTAGATGGCCTCCGCCGGCTGCAGCCGCAGCACCAGCTCGTTGCGCCCCTGCTTCTTGCCTGTGCAAACCATCCCGCCGCATCATTCACAGATGTGGGAGAGACGCGCCAATAACTGTTGCTGGAACTTTAGACGCTTCGACCATGGTTTGTTGTTTCTTTCATGCCATTGATTTGTGATACGTCGTCTAAATCTGGGGAGATTCTGGATGGACCTATTTGCTGAGTGTTTGAAGGACACGGGTTTCGCTGAACCGCTGGTCTTTGGTCAAACGTTTGGTCGACCGGAGCAGCGAGATGTGTGCAGAGAACGTCGATCAAGAGGATCACAGATGCTCCTTGATTCTACGGATACTGGTTTGAGCCGGAAGCACGCTGTGCACCTAAGGTGGTTCTGAGGCTCGCTCTTGCCGGTTCAAGTCCACTCTTCGCCGGCAGGCGAACTTTTGACGGAATCCAACGTGGAACAATCAGAAACAATGCAAGCCCTAGTCGGGTCGGGCTACAGCCACAACAAGAATCTTCATTTCGCAAACAGCTTCCGGGCCTGGGTTAGATCATCTTAACCAGCGGTGTTGGTTAAGAAGGACGGGCCCCCTTACATTTGAAGATGTCGCCGGGCGTGTCCTTGAACTGGATGCGCACCTCGGCCTTCCGCTGGTCGAGGCACTTGCCCGCACGCAGAATGAAAGGCACCCCTGCAACGAGCATCGGGCAGCACATGTCAACGTAACTCCTTGCACAACCAGGACCCCGCAGCCAGCCACGCAAACCTGTCGGTTGTATGGAACCGAGGACGCAGACGTCGTCCGGGTGTGAACGAATGAGCGTTCAGTGCCGGACGGTAGCATAGGCGAGCAAAGTAAGTACAAGTATGACCCATGCTTAACTTGCAAAAGATTGAAAATTACAAACTTGGCTGTTGCGCCTGCTTGACTCAGAGACAATTCATTAGACACTGGCAACCTGCGACGAACATCACGGCAAAGCGGAGTGTTCTCACACAGGACCTGGCTTCTACTGAAAGCACGTCAGCAGCAGATAAGCTTGCGTCCCCGTTTCCTGGGAAAGAGCCGCTTACCGTCCCATCTCTCGTTGTTGATCCTGAGCACGATGGTGGCGAAGGTGGGCGTGTGCGAGTCGTCCGGCACGGTGTCGTCGTCAGTGTAGCCCTCGTACTGGCCGAGCACGCAGTCGGCCAGGGTGGGCACGCCGATGCTCTTGAGTACCTTCACCTTCTCGTCGCGCACGTCCTCCGGGTCTAGCGACACCGGCTTCTCCATCGCAACCAGGCACAGCACCTGCAACGCCGCACCCAAAAACTTCACGGTACAAGCACAAGCCCCATTCTTCTCACGTATAAGCGTAAAAGGGGGGGTTGCCGCCCCTCCAACCGCCCCGCCTCTCTCCCTTGCGTCGTTGCACGAATGTGACCGATAATGGCTCCCTCTTCCTTCCGAAGCACTTCAGCTGTGTCCATGTAGGGCAATCTCGGTTCCAGCTGTGTGTGCGGTTGAACCACGATGATCCGTACGGGGATGGTCAACACAAGCACGAAAGACGGCACTTTTCCTCTTGGAAACCTTTTCGGAGAAATGGCAAACATGACCATGAGACCGCGGCAGAGGCTCGGCGTCACTGAATATCTTGAACTTAACCGAGCGCTTGACTACGGCTCAAAGACGACACAGACGGCCTAGCAGGGCAGTGAAAAAGAGAAAGAGAGCAGCCAGAAGAGAACGTGAGGTTACCTGCATAAGATGGTTCTGAATGATGTCCCGGATAATCCTGGATCCGAGAGGAAGAGAGCGTCTGTGAGCCTTTCCGAAGATAATTTCTAGAACGAAAGCAATCTAGAGCAGAAACGAACGGTTTACAATGATGTGATTCGGCTCGGACCGCAACATGGATACTCACTGAGATTGGCGGAGCCTGGACAATCGATTGATTGACAGGTTCTGTTGCACTAAAAGAACGAAGGACTCGGGGGCGTAAGTATGGACGCATGAGCAGTTCGGCAAATCCTCCATCCTCCTGGTAGTCGGTGAACGAAGTGAGGCAGGCGCGCTCACCCAAACTCGTCGAAGTAGCCCCCTCGTCCCTCGGTTCCGAAGGGCTCCTTAAACACGATCTGGACGTTGGAGATATGCTCCGCGTTCCAGAGCGGGACCAGGAACCGGTTGGCAAACCGCATGACTAACTGCACAGCGCCAGCAAAATCTTGTCAGGGCATCGCTCCGGAACTGGAGCCGAAAGTCGCAGAAGCCTTGATGCAACGACCCCTTTCATAGGTAGTGCGAGTTGTTAATCTAAGTTGTCAACGTGCAGATTGCCCTTGCATCCAAACAACTTATACTCAGAAGGGTCAAGGTGTGGAAGAGGTCGCTGTCTGCCACTGACAAGCTGAAGCCTGAAAGAGTATTCTCCGTCAAGGCTAGACCTTTTCAGGCGTCTCTCTGGGCATTACAACAGGGTGCGGTCTGGACTGCGAAAAGACTGCGGAGGCCCTTACGAGGTTCTGGACGATCTCCTTGCCCAGGTAGTGGTCAATTCTGTACAACTGGTCCTCCGTAAAGAGCTCCCCCAGTTCCCCGCTCAACTTCTCCGCCGACTCGAGGTCCTTCCCAAAAGGCTTCTCAATCACAACACGCGTCCAACCCTCTGCATTGCAGAAAGCAAGGCATACCATCTCAATTGCAGGCACAAAATCGGGTATCCGCTCTCGTTTTTCAACATCAAATTTCCTTGAGTGCATGAAAGCTAGTACCACATGAGCAGCATGTCGGTCACGAATAGCAATCCTTGAACCGCAGCGCCCCAAAAAGCAGGTTTTCGTCCCTTGTGATCAGCAATTGCACATTCAGATTTCCCGCCTTCAAATGATCGGAAGCTTCGTCCAAGAACGCCAGATGGAGATGCTGGCATAAAATACACTGAGCGACTGCTTGCCCATCTCCAGAATGTTGTGGTTGACCACATTGTCTACTTCTAAGTTGAAAGACATTGGACAGGGCCCAGGGCTTCTCATGTCACAAGGAGCTTCAGATAGAATCTGTTTCTAAGAGCAGTATGAAGCACCCCTTACGTGCGAGTGTTTACATGTTCAAACCTCACCTTTGGCCATACAATGCTTCCTGACCATTTTCGCAACCAGGGGGTAGACACTAGGAGGCAGCGCCATGTAGAACAGGCGGCGGTGAGGCCCCTCGTGTGCTGTCTGCTTCTCCCAATCTTCAACCAGCTTGTCTAGTTTCTGAAAGCCAGCATCTTCATCATAGCCCCCAGAAGTATAGGTGATCAACTTGACAAAGTCGTTGGCGAGCTGAGCAGGGTCTGTCTTCTCGTCTGTCTTCTGCAGTCAGGTGCAGTTGCCCCTGTTCAGAAAGGAGCTGAAGGCTAGACGCCCTTACAGCGTCGCAGCATTGGTAGGATGCATGAGCAATCTGCATTTTACCAGGAACGAGTACATCATTGCAACCAAAAGGATGGTCGTACCGAAAGAAAGAATTGCCACAAATCAGACTCAACACAGCGCATCGTTTCACTTGCCAGGTTTGGCAGCCAGTAAGAGGATGGGGTGATTATCTTACGCCGCCTGTGAGATAACCCCGGAGCCTGTCCTGCAGGTCTTCATCTGTCAACTTGGAACGTGCGTAGCCAAAGAGCTTAGTACTCTCAGAGGGGATGTAGTTCTGGAGGCAGAACAGGGGCAGATTGTCAGATCCTGTTGTGACGATCACCAGTACTTGCATGCCCTGGAGAAATTCTTGGTCATGATATAGATTCGATGGAACACCCCTTCAATTCCAGTTCCAGTACCTTGTCTACCTTAAGTGGCATGTCTGTACGTGAGGTTTAGCTTCAAACCACAGTGTATTGGACCCATTGAGGGGATCACCATGAACCCAGTAAAGACAGGGGATCCGCTTTCAGGCCGGTTGTCCAGCTTTGTTCATTGGCTACTTCAAAGAAGGGGAAGGAAATAAAAGCAGTGATTGAAAGATGGGCACGCTCGAAATGCTGAACACATTTGTAGAGTAACATGAAGTAGAGTTTACTCTTGTCCAGCAAGGAGTGTAAATGTGACAAGCTGCCACTTTGAAGGTAGACCTGGGCAACAATGTGGCCCAGGGCTGAAGCTGAAAGACTAGTCAGACTGAATGCAATTCCAGAAAGACAAGTACGAACCAAACCTATCTGAAACGCAGTGTAGATTTCAAACACAGCATTCGGTGAACATGGATACTCTCAATCGATTCCTCTCTTGCGCATGTAAATGCAGTTCATGCCAGCCAAAGGGTCAGTCAGAGGACCCATGTTACTGTGACATTCAAAATCGAAGTGCCTAGGTTTCAGAAGGAGCCTTATTTTTAATGGAAGTGTATCTGACCTGTTTGAACAGGGCGAACAGAGCAGGAAACGTTTTCTTTTTGGCCAGATCTCCTGAAGCCCCAAGCACTACAATTGCAAGGCTGCCCCCTTCATCCTTGATTGGATTTGACGATGTGTCTCCACCTGGCGTCACGCATTCCAAGCTTGGCGCAACAGCTTCTACTTTGGACGTTTCTTCGCTGGCCATGGTTCTTGAAGATTGGGTCTACCACCACGAATCAGGCAAAGGATCGTGCTGGATTGATCTCAAAGCGCCCTTCCAGATGACTTCTGCACTTTTGAACCTGATTGGAGCATTTCCAGAGGCCCGTTCAGCTCAGCAACTGCGCATGGACGAAGGATCAGATTCGTAGACTTCTTTTCGCTGCGGCGGCACCATGAGCAGGCAGAGCGGCAGTAGGTACTCATGAACATGTGCCTAGGTATTACCGGTACCTATAAGGGCTATGGTACCGGTACGGGTACCAACCTAATGTGCGGTAGGTACCTATACGATTGGGAGTACCTACTGTACCCAGTTAAGTAGGTACCCCGTACCGCACCGGTACTAGGTGGTGGGCTCAGCTAGCTCGCAGTCGAAGGAGTCCTAAGTGGGAATGTAAGAAGTTCACGGACGCGGGTCACTTTTACGGGGGGAGAAATATCGGCATTTGACACCCTCAACGGTTTCTCCGCAGTCTTGCGCATGTTCATAGGTAGGTATGTGTGGGCACTCTCGAGCTTTGATCGCCCGTCACCTTCCCGATTGCCTGGTAAGTTGCGAGCCAATCAGATCCTTTGATAGTGACATGTGGGATAGGGGTAGGTACCGGTGTAGATCTTGGACACGGCAGGATACCGGTAGTACCGTACCTGTGCTAGGTAGTAGGTATGGCTTCGTTGAGCTGGTAGCCTTAGGTACCTACCTAAGACAGACAACGGTCTTGAACGGTACCGCTTTTGGGTTTGCCGGTACACCATCATCTTCCACACTGTGACTCAGCTGGAGCGAACGACTCCAGAGTCCAATCCTGCCTGTGTTGAATTCAGCTGCGCAGAATGAAAAGTAGATCTTTGTTCAGACCACTTCACCTGCATCCAGCCAGGAGGTTTTCGATAGACGACCATTTGCGTTCATCCCCTTCGCTATCACGATGGCCAACCCGAAGGTGTTCTTGGATATGACCATTGGCGGTGCTCCCGCTGGACGGATTGTGATTGAGGTCAGTCTTTGCAATGATTCTGAGTAGTGTGGGTGAGCTTCTTCGCTGTAAATTCTGATTTGCGGCATCTTCAATTTGATTGTTTTGTTATTACTGTTTTTTGCTGTGGTCCAGATCGGAAGTCGTGTTTGTTTGCTTGCCTTTTTTTGTCAGAGTGGCCTCATGCATGCATCTGCTTGCAGGTATGTATACATCCTGTCTGGTTGCCATATCGATACATTTTGTGGTGCTAATCCGTGTCATTCTGCCTTCTTTGCTATGATCCAGCTGTTCAAAGACGTTGTGCCCAAGACAGCTGAGAACTTCAGGGCTCTTTGCACTGGTAAGGGTTCTCAAAGTTTCCATTCTTACGGTATATCCACAATTTGGGGAAACTCTTGTTTTTATTTGTCAGAGGAATTTGTACTCTGCTGATTAGAGCACATTAGGTCAGGGGGTTGTATACCAAGATAGAGGGGTGCGTTCTTTCAGCACAAAACATTTGAATGATGGACATGCAATATCGTCCAGAGAAACTCGTGGGTTAAACAGTCAGATTCAGCGCATTACTTTCCTGTTGATGCAGGGGAGAAGGGTATTGGCAAGTCTGGCAAGCCCCTGCACTTTAAGGGAAGCAGTTTCCACAGAGTGATCCAGAACTTCATGTGCCAGGTAAGCCTCTTAATTTTATGAGCATTTGTTCAAAATTCAGTGTTCTAGGCCAGCACCAAAGTGTTTCGTCACTGGTTTTCATTCTGTGGTGCAGGCTCTCAAGTCAGATCCTTCAAGTTGGAAATTATAGCCTAAGTAAGGCTTTCTTCCATGTTTTGTTGCCTCTTCCTCTCTTTTCTCCCAATCAATTGCGCAAGATGGAGACAGAAAGTGCTGACTATCGCTGATACTCCCTTCTTTTGTGAAGGGTGGTGATTTCACAAGGGGCGATGGCACCGGTGGAGAATCGATCTATGGAAACAAGTTCCCGGTGAGCGAAAATGCAGCTGAATGCACGCATTTGTGATGTGCTGGATCAAGCAATTTAGTGCACTGTAATCAAAGTCCTATAGGAACCAAACATGCAAAAGGTCGATCAAACATTTTAAACATCAAATCTTCTGCATATCAAGGAGTGACACATTGGCGCACCAACACCCTACTTCTGAGTTGTCCAGTTAGGTTTCCAAGCACTATGCCTCAGAAACTGTATGCTGTAGAAAGCATCTGCCAGAAAATGGTATTGCAGGTGTTGTTGGCTGAGTGCAGCAGCCTTTGCATGCTGATCATGCCGTCTGGAAAGAACCCTTCTTTGGAGGGTCTTGTGTGCAACCTGAGAACTTGATCTCCCAGCAGGCACTGGTGGTTGTCATTCAACCCTAATTACAAACCCTGATCAAGACGGATACCCGCTTCTTACCGTCCCCTGTTGCTGATTCTTCTGTTTCTCCTGTTTCTGTTTCTCCGGGCTGGGCTAAATAGCCCGAGGCGCATCTTGTCATCAAGTTAAACTCACCTTAGATAAGCCTGCCACGCGTCTGCAACGAAGTGTCCCATGCATCCCTTTTGTGAAACGTCTCCTCTTTTCTGTGTACAGGATGAGAACTTCAGGCTGAAGCACACTGGCCCTGGAGATTTGTCCATGGCAAATGCTGGTCCCAACACCAATGGTTCGCAGGTGAGTTGTGGGCAGATCATCATCAAATACCGTCTTGCTCCATGATTGCTGATTGGTTTTTTGGTCTTGATGAAATTCCATCTCGTTTTTGTGCAGCCATCTACCATGTGTGTCTGTGTGTTTGTGATCCAGTAATAAGCGCCATGCTTCCAATCAAGGAAGTCAGAAAATGTATTACAAGTTTTTGACCCTGTCCACTTGTATTGCAGTTCTTCTTGACGACCATCAAGACTGAGTGGCTGGACGGCAAGCACGTTGTGTTTGGCAAGGTTGTCGAGGGCCTGGACGTGGTCAAGAAGATTGAGGCCGTCGGTTCTCAGAGCGTAAGTCTCTTCTGCCAGAACCTTGCAGCTTCTGAGCAGCTGTCTCGATACATAAGGTGAAACGGAGTGCAAATCCTTGTCTAGTGGCTGTGGTGTACGATCAGAGTATGATTTCAACTAGGTCTCCTTTGATGAGATTGCAGACAAGTAGTCAGATTCTGTTTTCACAGACGAAAAATCTATGACAATTCGAAATCTAGATGTAGAGACCGTATAGGTCCCTGGTCATTGTGTTAAAAAGTTCAAGCGACCTTCCTCTTACATGCCTCAGTTACCATCGATTTTTATCTATGATGAGCTTTTGCTGTGTGTTTTTGATGCTGACTTGGCACGTCACCATTTGTGGATGCAGGGCAAGACATCCAAGGCGGTGGTTGTCGCTGACTGCGGGCAGCTGTCTTAGAGTGTGTTGTGAGAAAGACGTATGAAAGATGAGTTAGGCAAGCGTTTTTTGACACTGCAGCGGTAGACCGTGGTTTTTGCCGGAGTGATGTGCTCCAGACGCATTTCTGTGTGTTTTGCAATGTTGTCCTGCCGCTTTTCATTGCATGAGGGGACAAATACCAAAATGGCGAAGCTCATCCCTCCATGTGGAATGTGGTTGACTGACCCCGGTGGGCGGAGGCACTGATTCGCTTATGTATGGATTTGCACTTGAATGTCTTTGCTATACTGGAGTACCGCTCATGGTACTCCAAACCTAATCAATAGATTGCATGTGCAATTTTGCTGGAGGTACCATCAGCTCTTCCCAGATGTGCTATCTCATACCATAGCTATATACCATGTGACCATATGCGCAGTTCATCATTGGCGATAAAGCTGGCGAACTGAAGTGTAAGCTAGCTTATAGCTAAGCTAGGAAAACCTGGGGCATACAGAAAGATCCTCGTCCATGCCGGATAGGCTATGTATACTCATATGTTTCCATGATGCTGGCATGATGGCTGACGTCTAAGAAACCTTTCCATCTGGCCGGTTTGATTGAGATGGCGGCATGAAATGTAAACGCGTATGGTACAAGGATTTGCATACCCTTTGAAACGAACAACTCCTGAAATATTACCTCTGGTGCACCCATTGTCTGTGGCCGCGTGAATAGCTTCGATTTTTGAGTTGCAATCATCTAAGTTTGGATCGAACAGTGAGATGCTGCGGGCCGCGAGTTACTCTAGGAGGCTGTCTATCTCATCCGAAGCCTGATTTGCACCGTCGACATCAGGATTTTCAATCTTGTTCCGTTCTTTTGCCAGTTGCCTTTGCACAAGCTTTCCATAAACCCCACCTGCAACGACAGAATTTTGCTGTAAGATCACTCAACCCCAGACACATATGAAGCTCCACATGGCAGAAAAGCACAACACCGTCTGCTTAAGACGCGCCTCAAAGTGAGATGTAGAAGGAAAGGTGCGTCCTTCCAAACAAAACGAGCAACATCCACATGAACACAGCCTTTAGGCGCGCGCATTGCTGACCTTGCCGCAGCAGGTCGTCGTGCGTCCCTTGCTCCACCACCTTCCCTTTATCCAGCACCACAATCGTGTCCGCATTTTTCACCGTACTCAGCCGGTGGGCCACGAGGACCACCGTCCGCCCGCCCTGCTGGATCAACCGATCCAGCGCCTGCTGCACCTGGGCCTCGCTCTCGCTGTCAAGGGCGCTAGTCGCCTGCACCAACGGGAAGCAAGACGGGTTTCCAAAGCTGTTCGTGATGGAAACAACAGCTTTCAGATAGAAAGGGTCCCAATGTTGCAGCCAACATGCGTGCCATCAAAGCGAACACGTTGCACTTACATGAGCAATTGTGCAAATCAAGCAGAACAACCCAAAAAGAGCAATTGTGCAACTCGTGCGAACCAAAACAGAAAGAGGACCTTTCTCCGGAGTACAACCCAAATCGTGTCCCGTCCAGATTGGATCCTGCTTGAATGCTCAGGAAGCGGCGGCCTACCTCATCCAAGAGCAGTACTTTCGGCTTCCGCAGGAGCATGCGCGCGATAGCAATTCGCTGGCGCTGGCCCCCGGAGAGGCGCACCCCCCGCTCGCCCACCCGCGTGGCATACCCGTCAGGGAACTGTAGGATGAACTCGTGCGCGTTCGCATTGCGCGCGCACTCGTGCAACTCGTCCTGCACACATGACGAGAACGGACGTCAGCACCCGAACCAAAATGCTGAACCAGGATTGGGACCGGACTTTGAAAGAACCTTCATGCTTGACAGTCTTGAGCCCTCCACAAGAAGCACGTGAAGTGGTTTGTTTATCTCAGTTTTGTGAACTGAGATGCACTAGAACTGAAGAACCGCGCATGTCTGGACCCCCAGCCGACTGCGTGCACTTGGCACAAGTCTGCTTCGGTGTCGACGCCACAGGATTCCGATCGATCACCCACAGCGGTGATGTGCAACTTCAATCTCAAAGTGAACCGTTCCAGCCCTGCGTGCACTCCTAAGCAAGGAGACACTCTTCTCAACAACCGCACAATCCATTTGCGCGCACCTGGGTATAGGAATCGACGCCGTAGGTAATGTTCTCCTCGATGCTGGTGGCGAACATCTGCGTGTCCTGCGCGACGACGCCCATGTGGCGGTGCACGCTGCGCAGGTTGAGGCTGCGCAGGTCCCACCCGTCCAGCAGCACACGGCCGCCCGTCGGGTCGTAGAAGCGCATCAGCAGGTGCACAATCGTCGACTTGCCGCCCCCGCTGCGCCCCACCAGCGCGCACACCTGGCCCGGGGCCACGTGCAGGTTGATGCCGTCCAACACCTGTGCAAAGAAGCGGGGTTTGTCAGGACTTAGAAAATGGCTTACAGAAGACAAGTAATGGGCAGGCCAGGAAAGCTGTTGGCGATTGCTCTTACGGCCTTTGTTTGGTTGGAACCGATGGAGCAAGGAATGGCAGCTAGAGCAGTGCAGATAAGCAGCGGAATGCGCGCCCGGAATGCTGGCAAGCACAACAGACAACTCCGTAAGCCGAAAGCTCTTGATCTCAAAGCTGAAGCTAAAAGCGCGAGGAAGCGAAACGAAGAACGCGGCTGTCGGAACGCAGCCTCCAACTAGGAAGGCCCTGAGCCGCACGTCAGCAGACTTGGGAAGGCCCTGAGCCGCACGTCAGCAGACGACAATCAGAGCCCAGTCACACCAAACAGACTTAACAGGGCGGACACTACAGATAAAGCCCGGTCGAAACAAGAAACGGGCGTGCCCCACCTTCTGCGCTGGCCGCATCTGGTAGAAGAAGTGCAGATCTTCCAGCTTCATGTCGCCCTCCAGCGTGGACACCATCGTGCCTGCGTTCGGGTCGATGTCGGGCTGCGGGGAAGAGTCAAAAATCGAGTCGGCAAAAGTGCAAGCAGAGAGGCAGTACGCATTTCGCTACCTTTGTCTAGCCGGTACACCGGAGACGACAACGGACGCACTGTGATCAGTGTTGTCCCCGCATTCGCAAGGTGCAAAGAAGGAAGGCAAGGCCCTGCCGTTGATCTTTACCCTGTCTTTCTAATTTTGACAACAAGTTGCTGGATGCACTTGCAAAATCAAAAACAGCCCTGCCTTTCTGCATCGTGCACTGCAAAGACACTCTACTATGCAAAGACATTTTCGTGGTACCCAGCTTTACGAGCTCAGCGACTCAACCCGTGACTGCAAAGGGGCGAGCATCAACAAGCGAGGGTGTGACGTCAGCAGCCCGCTCACCAGCGCATCAACAAGAGAGAGCACGCGCTGCGCGGCCCCGGCAGCGCGTGTGAGCGACATGAGGACCTGCATCACGGTCTGGTAGCCGCTCTGGATCTGGTTCCAGTACAGCTGGAACGTAATCAGCTTGCCGATCGACAGGTGGCCCGCCATTACTAGCACGCCGCCGTACCTGCATATGCCGCCCAGGACGTCAAACAACCAGCGGTGGGGGGTGCCAAAAAAAAAAGTTGCTGTACAAGAAGGTGCATTGGGGCCGGGCTCGGATCTGCTCGCCCTGTTCGGGTCTGCTTTTCGCTTAGGACTTGTAAAGTGCGAGGCCTGGCGCAACCAAGCGTTGACTTTCGAGACCGCCCATGGGGGACGAAATGTTCAAGTTGGCTCGAGGACGTTATCAGATTTTCAGATTTTCAATTGAGTTGAGAACGCTGCTTAAAAAGCAGCCGGTTTAGCTTTTGTAATCCGGCCTCATAATCGACTACAGAAACTTCCAAAACGTAAGGTTTCGTTGACGAGTAGATGTCCTTGCGGGAAACACAAGGCCATCCAGATATCTGATACACTCTACCTACGACATGCATTAAAAGTCCAGCACATAAGTCACTAGCTCCCAACGACTTTGGAAACAATCATAATTCCTTCTCCCCCGCTCTCCACTCACCAGAGGATGAGCACGCTGGCCCCAAGGTCGAGCCAGTTGTTGATGGCGACCGCAAAGCTGTAGGCGAAGGCGTCAGTGACGCCCTTGGTCATGGCGGCCAGCGTCTTATTTTGGTACTTGTCCAGCTCCAGGTCCTCCGTCGAAAACGCGCGCACCGTCCGGATGTTGCCCAGCGCCTCCGACGCTGCGGAGTTGGCCTCGGCGAGCAACTAGACAGGGGATAAGACCCGCCACGGGTCAGAACGGATGCGAGGGGCACAGAGTGGATGTGTGCAGAGGGCTTGCGGACATGCTATAAGGAGCGTGGACTTGCAACAGAACGTCAGACCGCAGATTTTTGTCGACCAAAAATGAACAGACTAGGCAGAGGATTGCACAACATCGACACCAAGGTAAAGGGGTTGAATGCAGTCAATATCTAGACAAGGCTCGGACTTTACATCCTTTCGACAAAGACCGCAGAACCTCGAACCCGCTGAGCCGCCCCACACTCATGATCAAATCTATTTCACAGGCTCAGTTCAAGAGATGGACAGAGCAGCGGTGGGCATCTCACCGCATAGCGCTTGCGGTTGAGCTCGCGCGACCAGCGGGAGTAGGTGGCAGTGATGTGCATGATTGGCGCCATGGTAGTGAAGGCCAGCATGGACAGCTTCCAGCTCGTGAAGAAGCACAGCAGAAAACCGCCCGCCAACTGAAGCAAACTGCGCAGCAACGTGCTGATCATCCAGTTGAGCGGCTCCGCCATCGACCCCACGTCGTTGGTCAGCCGCGACGTCAGCTCCCCGCTCGTCGTCGCGTCGAAGTACGCGACGTCCTGCTTGATGATCCCTGTGAACAGCTTGTCCTGCAGCGTCTTGAGCACGCGCTTTCCGACCACGCTGAAGCACAGCCCGCGGATCCCGCCAAAGATGCCCGTCGCGAGGGAGAAGCTCACGAGCAGCAGCACGTCCCGCCGGAACCCCGGCTCGTCGAACGCGATCACGCGGTCCAGGATGCTCCCCTGGTAGTGCGGCAGGATCAGCCCGCTCCCACTCGTCAGCGCCAGGCACAGCAACCCCAAAGATATTGTCCCGATCTCCTGGCGCGCCAAACCTAAGGCGCGTAACAGATACGTTCGCTGCCCGACATCCGACTCCTCTCGCACGCCCTTATCCCCCCGCAACTGCGTCTCCTTCAAAGCGCGCGCCGCTGCAACTGGGTCCATCAGAATCATGCTCCCCGCCTGCCCCGTGCCCTTGAGCCCCCCCAAAAGAGCGGACGCCGCTCGGGCGCCCTCTCCCCCCTCCTTGGCGGCCTTTTCTTGCGCATCCCGGAAGCGCGCGCGCACCTTGGTCTGGTACGCCTCGACAAGCCGCCCCGTAAGAGTGGACTCCAGATTGATCCACAGCACGGCAATGCCCATCAGGGGACCCTCGAGGCCCTCACGCTGCGACAAGGAAGGGGCACAAGTTCAAACAAAGGACTTGCTAGCCTATACTTATGAATCTTCGACGAAGGGGCAAAGCACCTTGACAAGTGAGAAGAAGGCGATGTGAAACCGTCGTAGTTACATGACCTCCGTGACTGAAGAAAGCAAGAAGACAATTTGAAGGTGAGAACTTTCAAGACACTATGATTGTTTCTCCTCAGACAAAGTCTCACTTTTTCCGCACGAGTCTTCTCACCTGGAAGTAGAAGGCAACGCACTTGGCGCCAACAAAGACCTGGAACGCCGTGCACAGCAGGAAAGACCCAAACAGCAACACGTCCTTCTTCGTCTTTGGCGTCAGCCATGCCTCCCACCATCCAGGGCCCTCCTTGTCTTCTGAGTCCCCTTCCTTTGCTTTTGACCCCACACCGTTTTCAAGGGGACTACCCCTCCTACCCGTACTTGCTGTCGCGCTGCTGCCAGCGTCTCCGCCCAAGAGGGGCGTATGCAAGTCATTCCCATTCTGTGTGCTGACTGGCAGTCCGTTGGGTTTTGAGGCAGACTTTTTCTTGAGCGCCGCACTCAACGCCTGCTCGGAGGCGGAACTCTCCGCCTGGTGGGCGAAACAGGATGCGATGTATGCGATGCCTGGGAGGAGCAGAGCGCGCGCAAGGGCCAACACGACGAGGTCGAGGGAGTCCTTGTGGAAGTCGCACAGGGAGCGCCAGAAGAACGCGAAGGAGGGGACCAGGTGGGTAGGGTGGAGGACCCAGTACAGGCTCTGCAGCAGCAAAAAGGAGCTGGTGAGAGGAGGTCGACAAAAAAGATTGTTGGATTCTAAATAAGAAGGTTGATAACAGGGAAGGCCGATAGTCATGTGATGCGGGGTTGATGCAAAGACAGGATACGCGGAGACACCCTATATGGCCAGTAGCCACACACCAAGTTCAGGGCAAAAGTAGTGGTCGAGGGAAGTCTCTTTGAGTGGCTCGCAAGCTGCCATGCAACAGTGGATATCCTGGGCACTGACTGAGAAACTTGGGATGGGACAGCATGAAGGTGGCGCCTTCCAACCGAAAACCAACCGAAAACCCTCGCAACCTCCTCTTACAAAACTTGGGGTTCAAGAGGCTGCATGACAAGGTCAGGCACCCCAAAATTCCCGCCATCATGACCATACCCCTCGTGCGCTGTCCTAAAGACAAAACAAGCCCCTGCCTTCAAAAACCCTAATATGTGGGGCAGAAACTCACCAGCGCCGATGCAAAGTCTGCGAGAAAAACCACCACTAGCGCCGCGCATGTATAGTTGTACCACTTCTTGGCCACAGGCAGGGGAGGCGTCTCCACACGGGTCTCCTCCGGCTTTATCATAGTTGCGCCTCTCTTACCCATCACCGTTTTACGATACAAGGATCTCTCCTACGTAATCGCCTTTTCAATAGAGGGACGGCGTGATGCCGTGTCCAGAACACCACCGCGTGCCGCTGATGCAGGCTGTTATGAATGGTCTCATAAAAGAAGCAAAGAAGCAGACGGACCGATGAAGGCAGATCAGCCCTAAAAAGGAAACCGCCTAAACTTTGGCTCCGTGTCAGCTTCGCCTCCACCTGTCTAACTCCCTTGAGATTGAACCACCAGACAACGAAAAGCGCCCTAAGAGGCTGCTCCCCGAGCGATCAAAAATGCCTATCAAAACATGGCATGATGCTGCTGTTTAGGAAAGCTTCCAAATGCTTCCAAATCCACCTTTTCGAAAGGAAGTTCCATGGCACTTTCGGGACCACACAACCTGAGGCAAAACCGGCCTGGACAACCGGGGGATATAAACCTATTAGTATCAGACATGAACACCCCCTCCATATTGCAGGAAATAATACCGGCAAATTAGTAAACCTAGTCTGGCTGGGTTAGGAAGTCAACTGCACGGTACATGAACCCGACCGCCAACGCACACCCAAACCATCAACTTGCCCCTTAGGCTTCTGCATGCAGAACTCCCAACTGGTGTCTCCACAACTTCAAGCACTCCTGACGAAAAGTTGCATCCGATCTGCAGGCGCTGATCCAGCCCCATGCCTTCGATTGGCAGAGGCTAACGAGACGAGAACATTCAAGCCTGGGGCATTGATTGATTTGGAATCCCAGGTTATTTGCCTCCACATTTCAAGGCGACACCCTTTCTGTGTGTCGAGCGCCTTTCTTTCTCCAAGTGGTGGTGGTTTGTCAATTGACACCGATGGCTGTTTCTGAAGCGTTGCGCCAAGGATCCTGCAGCATGGCGTCAAGGACTGGCCTCACTCTGGAGAAAAGCACCTTGTTCAGTGCACAAACGTGCGGCCTCTGTGGTGCGCGCACAGCATTGCAGTTCCCGCAGTCCCCAACTCTCCAACATATTTCATTCCACGCGGTTCGCAATGACGCGTGCCGCCAGCCTGTGGATGAGCTCCACCAAGTTGTTATCAAAAACAGCTCAGGAGAGACTATTAGATGGAGAAAGACTCCCTCGACGGTCCCCACATTGACACATACCCCGCACCTTGACCGGCGAAGGTTTCTGCTCGTCCCTCTCCTTCTGACTGGCGCCCTAGCTCAGGTTGATCCAGCGAGTGCTTGGGCACCCGCCAAGATCGATTTCAGCGCAGCTCCCCAGGCGCAGTTTGACACTTCAGACGCCAGGTTTAGGGAGGCAGCGGACCTCTTTCAGCAGGCATTGAGCACTGGCAGTGTCCAATCAGAGGAGCGGCTGTGGAGCGAGATCATTGAACGAGTGGGAGACTCAAAAGCAGACTGGGCGCAGGACATTCTGGCGCGCGCGTATGGCAACCGGGGGAATGCCAGGAGCCGGCAGGGCAAGCGGGAGGAGGCGTTGGCGGACTACGATGTGTCCATCCAACTAGCGCCGTAAGTCTAGGCTCTTTGGCCTGTAGTCCAATCAGAGCTCAGGGCAGTCATTTGGAGCCTTAAAGAAACTTGCAAGGTTAACTTTTGTTGATTGTGCTGCCTGCATTTGAGACGCCCTGTTGGCGGTGGGAAGACTGGCTCCTCCACCCAGACTGATCGTTGAAGTGTACCACATAAATCTAAATGATATCCTTGTTTCCAAAGCTTGAATCGTTCTTTGAAATCCTCCTTGCCTGATCATGATTGATCAGGCAGATCTTGATCGCCCCTCCTCGACCACCGCAGGTACAGCGTAGATCCCGTTCTGAACCGCGGGGTGGTGCTTGAATCGTTAGGCCGCTACTCGGAGGCTGCATCTGACTACCAGGCCGTCCTGGCTGCAGAACCGAATGACCCTGCAGCCTGGAACAACCTGGGAAACGTGGCGTCTGCACAAGGGAAGTGGCAGGAGGCGCTGGACAGTTACGGGAGGGCCGTCAGGCTGGCGCCAGGTGAGCCTTCACAGTCTCGTATTGCTATAGTGAGTTGGTCCAGATGGTCGAGCGTCGACAAAAGTTTCAGTAACATAAGCTGTACTGTACTCTCTCTCGATCCAAGTAAGGCCGCATATTGCCACCTGAATGTGATTGAGGGGCACGTCGTAGATTGGGGCCGTACTTGCTGGTCGTTCTGAAGTGATGGAGCAGGTCTTTAGAACTCGACTAATTGGCAAAGGGGCCACTGGATTTCCCCACTTATTATCCCTCGTTTTGAAACAGCTCCCGTTTGTGAGCGGGCTCCTCTCTCAGTCGATTTCATTTTCTATGTCGAATGGCTGTCCCTCGCCTTGTTTATTTCTAAGCTGCTCACCTCTTTTCCGAGGGCGCCTCCGGCGATGATTCGTTCTCCGTAGCGAAATTATCACATCGTTAGTTAGATGTGGGCATTGACTTGTTCCGCTCACTCTCTTCAGATTTCGACTCAAAAATGTTGGCTGGCAGAACTCGTAGCCTTCATGACAATTTTCTTTCTGTGGATCTGACATATATTCACCCAGCAAAGGTAGCTTTCTCATTGCTACGGTTATGTTTTCCTCTGTGCAGAGTTCTCGTTTGCTGCTGGCAACTACGCCCTGGCCCTTTACCAAGTTGGGAGAGACAACGAAGCGCTCAAGCAATTCCGAACACTTCTACGGAAATATCCAGAGGTACGAACGGAAACGTCTCTCAATGACCTGTGCAACGAACGCATCTGCTTCAAGGCATTTAGGCTGGCGGCAAGCTTCAGCAGGGGTCGCTCTTCATTGCTAGCTTCGTGTGTCCCGTGTTCGATGCTGAGTGTTGGATTTTCGACCGAACCTTCTTCTGGCTCGCAGTTTCCAGACATGCGGGCTGCCCTTGCGGTGTCACTGTACCATGTCGGCCTTACCAGGGAAGCGGAGACGAATTGGTCGCGTTTAGAGGTGAGCCTTCATACACCAGTTGGTTCAGTGAAACGAATCACGTGGACAGGCGGTCGTGGTGAATCGACTGAACACGTGTCCTCTCACAGTGCTGGACCCTTTCACAGAGATGACCTTCACTGTTGCTCGTGTCTGAAGCGTTGACTAGCCGGCCCTGGAATGGGGCCTGTTCGTTTTGTTGACAGCCAAGGTTTTCTTGAGAGATTGTGCACGTGACTGCCGATCGTCCTTTTTGTGACTCGACGAGGATCGGCCACAATCAATTCTGGCCTAAATTGCCTCGATTGGAATCGCTTGCAGGATTTGCGGTATAAGGATCGGACGTGGGTTAGAGGCACGAGGCGGTGGCCACCCCGCTTGGCGGACGAGCTCGAGGCGTTCTTGGACGTGAAGGCGACGTCCAAGTGATTGCTGGAAGTTTTGGAGCAGAATTTTCAGATTTATTTGTGGCCAGCAGGAGCTCGCGTCTTTAAGGTCAAATCGAATATCGGATTCTGGAGGAAGAGGTGTGTATGGACCAAAATGGATCATCAGTTCATCAGTTCATCGATTCATCGGTTCATCATCGATTCATAAGTTCATTAGGTCAAAGCGGTTAGCTGCAGTTATGAATCATTGCTTTGCGGACGTTGTGAAACAAAGGGTGGACTGCCCACCTAAGCGCGCGTCCAATATCTGAAGATGGGAGGCGGTTTCGGGCCCACCATTATTATTTGAGAGAAATAATATGGATCCGCTCACCGCCAGCGCACAGATGGCAGCGTCGATATAGCTAGGCCTCGAACATGGAATCCGATTATCATGATCTTCGTGCTGGTCATTCGCGCTATACCGTCTGCTACCTTCGTGCAGCACGTGTTGGCATTTACTATTACGCGCGTCATGCAAATGCACACATGTCCGGCCACCCGAAACCACGACGGTACACGGGCTTTTGAGAAGTCATGACATCGACGGCAAGCGCGAACAGCACGAGCTTTATTGAGTCCTTGACGGCATCCAGGTTCCGTCATATGAATGCAGGCATAGCTATAGTTTTGAAAACTTTGGATTGAAGGTCATGCATGAGATCGAATTGATGAATCAGCACATGTTTTCTCTGCCTGCCGGTAGACTCACTTTGGTCGATCATGCACGTTTATAGCAATCTCTCGACTGGCTTGAAACAAATTTCGATCCTCTGTTGGTTGATGTAACAAAAACAAGCCTATGCAAGAGAGAGTAGTCTGTTCTTATCTCTAGTGTGCAAGGGCATTCATCATTCAAGCGTCTCAGCCCACATCGCAAGGCTTACGGCTCGTTGAGCTGTCTGTTCTGTCAGTATCATCAAGCTGTTAAACTGCAAAAGGCATCATCAAGTACAACACGCTTTCTTGCCGGACGCCACTTCCTTCGTGCCTAGGGGCCCCATCAATAAACACTTCCGCGTACCTGACTGCACAAATCAACAGCCACCGCCAGATACAACTCCAGTCTCTTATTCCTATGTCGCTCGGTCGCGCTCCACTGTAGCTCAACCAGCGTCTGTGCATTGCCTGATTCAAAACCCCTTCCCCCTCCTTTCTACTCGATGGCAGAACAACTCGATGAGCTACCCTTCAAAGTCAGAGCATCTGCCCTACAACGCCTTTGCCCCACGGATGCTAACTATGAAAGTTTTCTACGAATGTCATCCGTGTTACTAGCCCTCCCCAGCCTGCCTAGCCGCCACGTGTCCCAGGCGGAGGCCGACCAGGTGCAGCCTGCGCGCGATCTGGTCCGCGGAGGGGCGCCGCGGGCCACGGGAAGCGCAGCCCCGCGGCAAAGTGGAACTTGACCTCCTGGAACAGGAAAAGAGGAAGATTAGATAAGTCGGAAACAGCAATGAAGCAGGGCATACGGGGCCGCAGAATCTTTTAGTACGTGGTTGACTTCAGACGTGTTCAGATGAGGACCTCTTGGATTGATGCACTTCTGGAGAGAACGTGACCGCCATTTGAGTCGAGGATAGACACTACAAGGCACCAAGAGTCTGGATAATAAAGTGTAGTATCACCTGATGATTTCCTGGATATCGTCGTGTAAGCACCCCAGATTCGGAAACTTGATCGGATAGAAAAGTCATCATGAAAGCTAAGCAGAAATTCAAATTCTTCTATCGGCTCCGAAGAACGGCGGACTCGACTTTGGATTAGTACGAGCAGAGACCGAAGACCATTGATTGAGCGAGTAAGGCGGACCACTCACGAAGGGGAAGTCGAAGTTCTCAGTGGGAGTTCTGCCGGTGATGATCGACCACAGCGTGGCCCCCGTGGCAAACACGTCTCCAGACCTGTCCTGCCGGTTGGCGTCGTAGGCCTCGGGCGGCAGGTGACCGTGCGTGTAGGCCTGGAGGAAGAACCAAAGAGAAGTTAGAGCTCTTCCTAAGAAAGGTTGCGTCTCAGTACAGGCTGGTAGGCAGCAACTTATCTTGAGAAGATCTTAACCTGTCCAGAAGAGGAAACCCTTTTTAACGAATAAAGCAAGATCTTCTACCGAGGTGATGAGAAACTTCACTTCGACAAGAAATGCAGGTACGTCTGCGAGTTCAATCGAGTCCCAGGATTATTAATAACCCCAACTCCTAAACCCTGCCTCACCAGGCCCGCGACGCGCTCCCCCTCCGCGGCCGCCCCAAAGTCCGCGAGCTTGGGGGCGCCGTTCCTGTCCAGCAGCAAGTTGTCGGGCTTGATGTCCCGGTGGAGGAGGCCGGCCGCGTGCACGGCCGCGACGCCGCGCGCGAGCCGCTCGCCCACCCAGGCGGCCCACTGCAGGTCGCGAGCGCGCGCGAGCGTGCGCCCGGCTACGAACACGCGGTTGTCGGGGTCGGCCAGCTCGAGAAGCAGGACGAGCTGCCCTTTGGCGACCGTGTAGCCCTCGAGAGAGACGCAGAAGTCGCCGCGCACGGCGTCCAGCGAGCGGGCCTGAGGAGGAGGGGAAGGGAAGGAGCCATGAGCACCTTATCAAACACGAGGCCTGGAAATGAGGTTCTGACAGCCGCAGGACTCGTCGGAAGAACAGGTGGAAAAGGTCTACGAGAACAGCGAACACTTTTGGGCAGCGTGTGTTTCCTTCCGGCTACACAGGTGCTTTCATCCTACATCAGAATGTCCATTTTTTCAGAATTTTAATCAAGAAATAAGAATCTAGTATGCAAACTCGGTCATCGAGGCTCTCTCGGGTCTCCGCAAAGCAATCTCAATCGAAAGATTTGAATTGATCAGGTCCGTCAAATGACAAGAGAATCTGCCAATGGCTTAATGTAGAAGGCGTCACCCGCGCTCGATTGCTCACCTCTCCGGGCAGCGTGTTCCTGTACGTTCCGTCCTCTAGTTGCTTCTCGGCCTTGGCAGCGAAGTCGCGCCACTCCCCGCGCGCATCCAGGGCCCGAACGTGAAAGACGGCGCCCTCGTTGCCCTGGCAGACGGAGAAAACGCGACCGTCAGCATTTCAAAATGACGAAGCAAACTTAGTTGCAAGATTGGAGAGCAGACGAGGAGATCCTTCCGATGCTGACGTCATGCAAGGTCTTGGACCGAGAGCAGGCTACTACGAGGACTCAAGAAGTGGACGGTTACAGCGATCCGAAAACGAGCGAGAACGGTTGGTCAGTAAGAGAAGATATGTGCTCACCTCGCCGATCAGAGCAACCTCCTCGACGGTGGGGAAGAAGAGGGGCGGCCGGGCGAAGCTCTTGAAGAGGTCGTCGAAAGGGCCCTACGCATTATTTACGAGGTCGTCAGCATTAATTTGGTGCGTATGTTTCAGAAGAGACGTCAGCAATACGTACGAATGGTTACACAACTCTAGAGTCCACGCGTATCTAATTTGAGAATAATCAGGAGAATTTAAACGCAGGAGTAAGACAACAAAAGTATTTCAGTGCCGGCTTGTGCACAAATCAGAGTCTGAGCTGATACTGACCGGTACTGTCCCAGCTGGCAACAGATCGCTCGTCTTTCCGTCCGCTCCGCTCCAGATGCCCCATACACGCACGGACGGAATGACAGCCGCGTTCCCCCAGGGGGGGAGGTCCCCGCAGGAGAAGGGGCTCAGGTCAGCCGATCCCACGTCCGAGAAGATGCCCCCCGTGACGAACGCGTCGTCCTGGCTGAAGATCGTCTCGTACTGGGGGGCCTGGGCGGGCTGCTCCACGTCAGTAGTCGGCAGGGGGGGGGCAGGAGCAGCGGACGGAGCAGGAGAAGCAGGGAGGAAGAACGGCATCTGCGAAAGGGAACACAATTGAGTCGCAAGAAAAGAGTGACTTCAACATAAGCGTAGAAATTTACAAGATGACAAGATAGTTGGAACTTAGATGTTGACTTGAAGATCTTTTGCGATCTTGATGTTTCTACAAGTTAGATGAAGCAGGCAGATTTCTCTTAGCAACGTCAAAGCTCAATGATCCAAATAATTGTTCTGTAACTGTTTCCAGTAAAGAGGTCAACCCGTGCTAATCTTCTCAACAAACTCATCTTACATAGAACCAACATGAAAGGTTGTCAGAAAACCTGGCTTCTCGTTTTAAAAACCTGGACAATTAGTTTTGTTCAAGGCTTACGTTATCAGGATGTGTCTCCATCAATGGCTGTCCTGTCTGAGGCTCCCCCTGGCTTCCTGTTTCCGCCAGTCCCATCCAGCCATCGGCAGCCTGCAGCCGGTCCGATCTAGCCTCCTCAGGAAGCTCCCCCCGACTGTGGCGCTCCCGGCAATAGCCTGCAGACGGCATGACGAGGTATGTGAGGGTGTTTTATATTTTCGAACCAGAGAAGGTACCGAGGCGTTGAAAGGCATCTTTCAGACGAATGAAAAGCTTGAGTTCCAAGGACTGGTAGAAAGCAGGTCTTTGTCAAAACAACGGAACGCCCAGGCTGTAAACTCGCTCACTTCTCCTGGCAGAATTTGGTTGACTTCTCCTGAGAGAATTTGGTTGTTTAAAGCTTGAAAAAACTTCATATCATTTGATGAGTAGGAAGAACACCATATGTTTGTTCAATTTCTTACAAGCTTCATCTCTTTTGAATTGCAAAACGCAAGTTCGTTTCATCTGCAAGAAAAAAAACGCTGATCATTGGACTTTGAGAACAACCAGATCAATAAGATGTTCGAACCTTTTCTCGTGAGCTCGCAAGGCACACAGAAAGTGACCATCACACCCCAGAATTCCTTAAAAGTCTTTCTGGAACATCAGAGAGGTTATAGTCTACTCTGAAAAGTTCGAGCACACTCACCGTCTCAATCTGGGACTCTGCTGAAAGAATACCCTCAACACCCTCGGGCTCTGCTCCCTCCTGCTCCTCCCTCCACTCCTGGATCCCCCTCTCGTGATCACCCCCTCCCTCCTCACCATGCTCTCCCTCCTGATCATCCCCCCTCTCAAGAATGTCCCCTCCCTCCTCAACATCAACCCCTCCCTCACCATTTCCTCCCTTCTCAACACCTCTTCCCTCCTGAACATTCCCCCCCTCCTGAGCATTCCCCCCCTCATGAACAATCCCCTCCTCCTCGACATCCCCTCCCTCCTGGATATCCCCTCCCTCCTGCAGATCCCCTCCCCCTTGAACATCCCCCCCCCCTGAACAACCCCCTCCTCCTGACTATCTCCCCCCTCCTGAACAAGCCCCTCCTCCTCGATATCCCCTCCCTCCTGAACCACCCCCACCTCCTGAACCTCCCCTCCCTCCTGAACCTCCCCCCCTGCAGCCTCGTCATCCTCATCCAGCGGGGCCTCTCGTGCTTCCTGCTGGAGCTCCCCCCCCGCTGGGACGGGCTCAAGACCCGTGGCTGCAGACAGGCTGCTGAACACACAGTCTCTGACTGCGGCATTAAGCGCCCATGCACTGTCTGCAACAAAGTCGACCGCTCTCTGGAACACGCAAAACAGCGATGCCATCACGCTCGCAGCTACCCTTCGCTGCTCCTACGCAGTCACTCCGAGGCTCGACTCGTGAACAAGCACTCGCAATCGCAGCTCGCAGCAGAGCACAGCACGTCGCTAAGCGGAACGCCTGAACGCCGGAGAGAGTCTTTCTCTGCCACTGGTGCAGAGAAATGAAGCTTTCGCCTAGGCGAAGCAGACTATTAGTCTATTAAACCTTCGAAGGATTGAGCACGCGGCGGAGGCTACGCGGCCGCGAGCCGGGCCCGCGCGCGACCCCGGCCGCAGGCTGAGCTCGTCCCAAACCTCCAACAACGGCCAAGCCTTTTCGACTGGCGTACTCGTGCGCAGACCATGTTGAAAGCTGCAGCTTCGGATTGCTCTTAGACATGCGAAAGGAGCCCGTGTAGACATTCTTCTGTCTAGTTTTTATATGCATGTCCATTTGCAAGCTCGGCAGCCTGCTTTTACCCAAAGAGGCTTCGCATCAAGGTTCATGTGCATGCTACTAGTATGAAGCAGCTATTGATCGAGCGATTGGCTTCAGCAAACCGTGTGCACGTATATAATGGCGCACGTACTGAGTTGGTAGAAACGTTCATGCTGTCAAATTGTCCCGATGAAAAGTCTCCTCGATCCTGGCATGTATGTGAGCAAGATTCGAGGTTGACGGGGTTTCTAAAACTCGGGCCAACCGCGGCCTGCATGAGCCTGGTGCATGCATAAGCGGTATCATGATCATCTGGACAACATATGGCGCGTCCCATGTGGATAAGATCGTGTATCGCCAACTCACGAGGGACTATCCTTTCATATGCAGTACGTGAATACAATCATTCATTGTACATCATTAGCTCGACCAGTTTTACTCCGTAGACAAGAATGGTGACAAAATGCGCGCTTTCTTCAGGGGCCCCTATCTCATCGTCCTACCTTTGAGCTGCTGCCACATGTTTTCTGAAATTACTCTGCTAGCTTACTGTGTGCTTAATTGAACGCCTCCTCCGGTCTTGACAACACCCAGTCAATCCAGTCCTGACCTCCTACCATCAGCTCTACGGTCGGGTCATCTTCCGTGCTGTCCGGATCTCTCCCCTTTCTTGACTCATCTTCCTCGACACCATTAGGCGGTTCGTTTCTCTCTGTTTCACCGTTTGGCAGTCTGTCTACCACTCCCCCGCCACCGTCTCTAACACTGCCCGGTTCAGTATCCTTCATATGCCATGCTTCCTCCTTTGGATGTGTGCCGCTGCTCACTGCTCCAATTCCCTGCAAGAAGTCGTTCCCGCTCGGAAAGCCTCTTTCTTCCGGTGACGTGCTCGACAAAGTAGCCATTTCTTCTGCAGTTTGCACTTGCTCCAATTCCCCTTCCTCACCCACGCTCGCTACGCCAAACGTCTCCATTGCATCCAGAAACAGCTCGGACTGCTGCTCAGCTTCCGCAATCGTACTCTCCGTCATCTTTGCTCCGCCTTCGACTACCGTCTCTTCCCGCTCAAGCTCCATTGCCTGGCACTGCGCTCCCGCTTCTGACTTCCCTGCCAATGAGCCGGTCTCGAGTCCCCGGCCAGATTCTGGGGCCCAGTCAGCGAGCTGCTGGCTGCACCCTTTCCGTTCCGCTCCCAGCCACGTGACGTCTCCCACCCCTAGTTGCCCCACCTCCGCTTGTTGCGCAGGATCAACAAGATCTGCGGAAATTTTCCCACACCCAGGTAGATATCCAGCATCGCCGGTCTCTTGCGGATGGCTCGCTGCCGGTCCGTGCTCGTTCGCGCTTCGCGGCGTCCCCCGTGACGCTATCCCCTCCAGTCCCCTCCCCTCTTCAGTCTCCATATCGTTTAAGGTTCCCTCCTTCGAAGGAGAATCCGTACCCCCCTCGGTCGCACTTTCGACTGGTCCTGCTGGTACCCCAACCTGTGCTCTCTGGTTCTGCTCTCCGACTTGCCGCTGACCTCTCTCAATCTCCACCGCAACTTCGAGTGCCCCTATTTCTGCCGCATCTTCGTGTTTTACCGGCAGCAATGACGATCCATCTGCGTAAGCTGTGGCGACTGACGAACCAGGGAGCAAAGGCTCAGACTCGAGAAAAGGCAAGAGGCTCGGCTTTGTGACCCCGGCAAGGGCTTCCCTAGAAATACTCCCTTGCGCGCCTGGCCCCCTTTGGACCGCTCCTGAGAGGAAAAGCTCATCGGCGCCGGCCAACTCAACGCACCGCTTGCGCACCTCTTGTCGGAGAGTGCTAGCGATGAGGTCAGCGATGTACTGCTGACAAAGCGCGTCCAAACTTTGCGGCCCCGCTACGGCCTCAGAAGTAACCGGGATGCCAACCCCGGTATCTGACGGCAAGAACGGCTGCTCTACGGTCAGCACCGCCCCGTTTTCCGACTGGTACCCGCCGCCGTTTCGTCCCTCCTCTAGTTGCTCCCACTCCGAAGGCTGCAGTGAAATGGCAGACCCGTCTGCGGTTGTGTCGGGCGGCAATTCAGCGCCGCCGTTCGTCCCATTTGCAAGGCCCCCGTCTCGTTCTTCCGCTTTCTCACTTGGCCCCACTCCCCGGAAGTCCACGTCTGCTCCTACGTCCACCTCCATGGCATCCTTCTCATCGACTGCTGGCGCCTGTTCATGCGGTGCCCTCTCCCCCGTTCCCGCTGCTTCTTGTCCCCCGCCTTCGTCGACTGCCGTTTCCACTAGACCCTCCGCTCGTTTCCTCTCCTCCGTGCAGCCATACACAGCTTCCGCCACGGCACTGTGGTGAACCGGCCAGGGTGAGGAAGTGTCTAGCCTTCCGGTTGCAGTATCCGGGGTCAGATCTGCCAGTCCAGATTCGACCACAAGCCCGACTGACAGAGACTGGTGCGCTTCGCCGGGCGTCGACTCTAGTGAGCCGCTTCCCTGGACGCTTGAGACTGGCTCGACTGGTTCCGAGGGGAGACACACCGCCGCTGACACCCGGTCCTCGACGCCAGTCCCGCGCTCCAAGACTATGACGTCAGCGCCATCTCGAAGTGCGCCTGTCCCAGTCCGGGATTCGCATTTATCCGGAGCCTGTTCCAACCCAGCCTCTACTCGAACAGCAGCGGGTTCGTTGTTCAGCTCCGGCGGACTCTGTGCCGACTGTGACGTCTGTGCTGACGGCACGGCCCCACCAGCTGGCAGGCACCCAGTCGGAGCAGAGGGGTTGATGACGCCAGCTGGGTCGGACGATTGGATGGGCAAAGGGGTGGGAAGGCTTGGGGAAGCGGCAGGGAAAGCGCCTTCTTTGGTTGCCGTGACGTCACCCAGAGGTGGGGTTCTACTGCAGGGGGAGGAGAGCGCCAAACACCCCACAGGAGGCTTCGGGGTCTGAGGCGTTTCTTGTGGCGGGCCGACAATCTGCGACGTCAGCTGCAAACGAAAGGAGGCCGAGATATGAGAAGTTGACGGCGCATCAACACGCCGTAAGGCTCCAGCCCAGGAAAGTGTCGGCACCCTGGTCTTAGCCCGGTCATTCCCCATCTTTGACCGAGTTCGAACGCTTTGGCCCCTGTGACCAAGCTCTCGCCTTTGAACTCAAACCGCGTGTAGATCGTTGCCAAAGCCTTTGCCTAGTACTCAGACCCTTCTGAAGCAGTCTCCGCATCTGGTTCATAGTGGTGAAAACGAGGATCATTTAGTCTCCCGTTCTTTGACGTACTTCGGCAAGGAGCCGATCTGAAATCATGTTCGTGCATCATGACAATGCAGTATCCTTTACTTCGCAAGGTGTCAACGCAAGTGGCAGTGGATAAACGTCCTTCTTATCATGCTGCGCAATCTCCAAATTTGATTTGCTTCCCTCACCTGCTTCTGTGCTGCGGCCTGCCCCGCTGCGCCGCTGCCCATGAACTCGACTTCGGAAGTGCCTGCGTCATCCGCCTCGTCCGGTAGCTCCTCCAGGCCGAACAGCCGCTCGAGCATCCGCAGCAAGTCCAGGCGGCGCAGGGACGCAGACTCGGAGGGGTACCACGTGCGGCCCAACTACAAAGATCGTCAATAAGTCTCAGAATTGCGTTCAATCAGGCCTAGTTTACTTAGATCAGTTTCCCCGGCTTGATTAAACAAAGAACTCAATGCAGAGTTGACATACTCCGAACCCGTACCTTCCCTCAATCCTCAGGTCTTACCTCTCCCGTCCCTGGACATTGACCTAAATAATCGTAGCCAGTACTCAACGTCAAATGAGATCGCTCATGTGGCTGTTGACATCCTCAATCTATTGGTAGAGCGGCGCCTGTAGAATCGCTTTGACGGAAAGGCCGGTGAATCGATCAATTCGGAGATTGCCTGCAGTTTGACAAGTATCGGACAGTGCAACAAACAGAAGGGGGATGCGAGCACCGATGCCTGCCTCCGAGCAGCGTTTGTTTCGACACCGCCCTCTTATTTACCCCGGCCCTGAAAGAATACGAGGTGCGGCTAAGCGGCAGAAGCATGCGCAGACTGAGATTTCGAATATCTTCATCATTCACCGAGTTTTGCAGCTTGTCCTCCCTGCGGGAATCCTGGCAAGCACAGACGCAAGAAAGGGTAGGGACAGACGCAAGAAAGGGTAGGGGCGGAATAAGGGGCGCGGCGCACCTGGAGCGTGGAGGTGAGGTCCGCAAGGCGGAACATGGCGGGGGCGGTGGTGACAAACGTCTCGAGGCTGTGAAGGAGGAAGAGGCCGCAGTCGAAGTCGTTCTGCTGGAGGGGCACCTGCAATGGAAGCGAAAACAAGTGCGTCAGTAAGAAACCAGGTCGGAAAATTCGCTCGCAAGACGACCTCGTATGGTAAAGGCCTTTAACTTTGTCGAGAGACAGGGCTAATCGCATGGCGAATTTGCCGACCGACGAATCTGCAAAGCTGTCAAACCCACAGTAAGGCGTCAGCTAGTGACGCAGCCAGCAACTCAAGAAGCACGGACAGTCTGCCAGCACCAGCGGCTTGTTTCACAAGGCGTAATACAATCCCGCACTACGAGGCTAGAAAGAACGCATCTTGAAAAACTCGTCGAGTAGTGGACCGGTGTGGTGGACGTTCAAGAAAAGCCTGGTGCAGCCTAGGTCTGGCTCCGTGCACTTACTGGCACGCGCTTGACCAGGATCTTGTCGGCGTTGAAGGCGGGGCGGGCGTTGGCGAGCGGCTTGTGAGAGCGGGTGCCGGCTTGGGCGCCCGGGGAGAAAGACGGGGCGGGCTCAGTGCGAGGCGCAAGCTGCTGCAGCACCTCCCAGGCCAAGTAGCTGCAGAGCCAACGAATCATATGAGATGACGCTTTCCCACTTTTAAGACGGTTCATCAAGCTACATACGTTGGTCTAGCTCGCTGCAGCGAGACGGGTTGGGTAGGTTCGGGGTTTAAGCTAGGTACAGGTGCGAAGTTATAAGCATTGGGTTAGAATTCCGGTCATGTGCGCCTAGAAGGTTGAGGCCACCATAAGCAGGCAAGATTGATACTCTGATGAGAAGACGATGCAGGGACGGGACTGGGAAAGGACGGATCGAGAGTGGGTCCACTGCGGTTTCATTAACCGAATCCGGTGGACGATTTCTCCGTTGAACGTTCATATGGGCGATCCAACAGAATGTCGCACATCAGCTTTCAGCCGGAAACTTCAGTTGATAAAAAAGATTGATCGGAGCGAACGGATACTAGACACCTCAACGAGTAATGAGCACGTCATCAGAATGATCACCAAAGTCACCAAGCCCGTGAGTCAACGGGCGAAAACCACTCAACATGAGTGGCAAGCCGACTCCACGGACACTGCATCGATTCGACGTCTCGCTCGATTCTCCGGCTGAGAATCCTTGCCCGCTTAGAACTATTTCCTCACCTCTTGAGCTGCCTTGTGACACTGGACGTGGCATGCCCCCCGTGTTTGGTGCCCAGCGAATCCAGGTGCAGGATGGCGGGGGTGGGGATGCTCGCAGGGCCCGCTTTCGCCCCCGGGAGGGCCAGCATGCGCTCCTCGGGGAAACAAATGACCGCGAGCGTCCAGTGGTCCAAATCGTGGATGGGCACGAAGATGTACTGCTTGGCTAGCAGGTCGATGCCTTTGGTCCATCGTCGCAGACGGTGGAAGTCGGGGCCGTCGGGGTGCCGCCGCAGCCGCTGCGCATGCGAGAGAGCGACTTCGCAAAGAGGATGTTGGGGATTATGATCGCTGTTGGTGTGAGTATCGAAAGAGGTGACATAAAGGTCCCGAGGATCCAGAAAGGCCTGGATCTCCGATCCTGGATTTCAAACGAGGAAAGAAGAGCGAGGATGTTTGAAGCAACGCAAAGCGGAGATTCCGCCTTCCGTTGAGCGAGCGACTGACTTGCTGGATGACATTCTCTCATTGATTTCCAAGGCTTTTGATTCCAGTCGGAGTGTGTTGCGGGTCATCAGATGGTGAACATGCTTGCAATCGTGGTGTAAAAACTACTGGAAATACAATCATCGGCTGCTTTTGATTCTCTTCTTTGATGGTTGATGCCTAGCAGAACGAGTCCTCGGTCGCCAAGCGGCACATGAAGAAGGGATCTTGTTTATTAGCGGCACAGTTTGAGATGCCTGGGGCTTGCCTGTGCGGTGGTGAGCTGCTTCAACTTCTTGTAGAAGAAACTGTTCAGGAACAGACACGAGTCCAGCGGAAGGTCGGAGCGTGGCCAGTTGATCTGGAGCCACCTGGAGGATTGCGCTGACACGGTGAACACCAGTGTTTCTCAAATCTGGTGACCGGCTTGCATCAGCATTCGCTCAAGGAGGAGTTTCCTCTGGTCATACCAAGGGTCTCGGAATCTCGTTTGTCATGGAGCGGCTTCCGAAGTTGACGAGAGCCTTCGGTTCGAGACTATGATTGAATAAGACCGACGCACCGGTAGTAACAATCACAAATGAGCAAGCTTTGTGATCTGGAGATTTCGTTGCACATGTCTTAGTCGACTTCTGGATCCCCTCTCACCTCATGTAGAACTCAATGATGGTGTCGTTAAGAAACGCTCCCGGCGCCAGGCAGCGCACCTCCTCTCCATGGATGGCAATCGATTCGCCATCACTGCAGAACTAGCACTGAGCCCCATCAGTCATAAGGCCTGACAGGCGATACAGTCGCTTGTACCACCACCTTTTTGGGAGTATCTAGTTCTGTACTTTCAACTCAACTTCCTAGAAACAATGAAGACTTTCTATAAGATGAGAAGCAAGCACCACACAACCGCCTGACCAAGAATCTTCCGGTTTTCGCTCACTCGTCAGGAAAGTTGCACACTCTGCCCTCCAGCCTGCTCCATCTCTTGGCCTCCGCTCTCGCCGGTGTGGCTCGCAGCCCCTCCCGAAGCTCTGTAACCTCCTCCAGAGGCCTACCTGCCTGCAGGGCCCCGCCTTCTGCTGTACGCCCCTCTTCATCATCTGATTCTGTTAAATCAATGCATGATCCCAACGTGTGCCGCCGCTTCCGTTTCCTTGGGCTCCGTCTCTGCCGCCGGATGACCAACTCCCCTGGGTGTGGGGTGGGGATTGAGCCATCTTCTAAAGGTGGTGTCACACGCAAACTGGACGCATCAGCTGTCTGCTGGGGGAAGGGCTTGTAACATTGGAAAGGCAGCAATCTGGCCGTTCCAATCTGTGCAGCTGAACTGTGCAAAGACCCGTCCTCAGATTGCAAGGCTGTCAGAGTGCGGACGGGCCCGTCGGAATTGGCTGCTTTGTAGAAGAAGACATGGTCAGTCTGGACGCCAGCCTCTATGCGCGGCGCTGGCAATTGGGCGGTGTCAAATGTTGGGGCGAGCTTGAGGCGCTTTGGCATAGGCACCAAAGTCTGGTGGGTGCTGACACAAGGCTCATGCTGCTGAAACATGGCAGCAGATTGGTACTAACTTACGCATCAGGAATTGGGACAGAATGCACCACTAAGCTGATGCCCATCGACAGGAGATACTCCGCTTGTGCCAGCCTCTTCCGGACTTTTGGAGCTGAGTATATGTTGATCTGCACCACATGGAAGAGCTTACTCAAGAAGTGATTGCCCGCATATATTCATCACGCGGGGAATCAGGAAAGTCCCGGCTGCAAATTGCTTTAAGAAGTCAGGACACCAGTGTGTTTATGGGGTGCAATCTGCTGATCAACAGCCGCTGGCATTCTGGCCCCATGCCTTCCTCATGGCAATGCCAATGGTCTAGGGCCATGGCATTGGCAGCACTCTTGAATCTTGAGTCTGCAGCTGTCTCCCATTATAACAATGCACTTCACTGACATCAGACTCAGTATTGGACAACTGGAGTTTCCGCCTGGGTAGCTGAAACCTTCCTTTGCAAAGTAGTCGGGGATCAGCACCGAGGCTTTGAGAGTCTTGAATCGACCGGCTGGTTACAAGAGCTACCGGCACGTATCAAAGAAGTTAACCCATGCATGCAAGAATTAACCCGGACTTCCGTCAGCAGACCAGCTGCATGCTGCGCAACGCCAAAGCTGGCCAATGCACAGACGAATGCAGCAGGCTGCAGAACAGCTAGGCGGCTGCCATGTAAACGAGCTGTAGAGGTATCTACTTTCATCTTAGCTCTGCAGCTTCTAAGCGGTGTCTGATTCTTCGTTGTGCAGTAGATAAAGCGTACTGATGTACTACGCCCGGAGAACTTTCCTCAGCTGATGTAAAGATGCCCGCCAGGTTGAGTCCGATTTCGCAGTTCCCCCCTCCTTTGGGAAGGCTTTGCAACCAATTCATGGCTTCGTTAGTCTGAGCAGCATCCTTGCTATTGCGGTCTTCATACAACTAACTTAATGCAAAGGCAAGGGGGCTCGCTATCTACGTTGGGCTTCACTCCCTGACATCCTTACAATGCTGGGTTGTACTTCACGTGCAGCTTGCACATTTTCCCCAGGTTTAGCACTCTGGCACAACTCACAAATCAGACAGCATCATAGTGCAGAATGTGCGCCTAGCATTAAAGAGGTCGACCAGCTTGCTCACAGATGTGGTGGTGGTAATTTTCTAGGACAGAGTGTCAAGTCTACAAAGGCGGCCAAGTGCACGACAGAAGGAAGTTCAAGTTGGAGTACAGGTCAAAGTATCTCAAGGCAGAACAGGAAGGGGTGTAGGAACGGCGGTGCAACTGTCTGTTGCAATGGCCCCCTCTCCGTGGTTGAGGGAAGGGCTGCCGGGCCGGAAGCGGGCGAAATTGAAGATCTGAAGGATGCGCTGATGTCAACAAAGGACCGGACCATGAAACAAAAGTTCATGACCCGCTGGCAAGCCCCTAACTTTTTTCCACACCCACTGCTTGCACATTCAAGCTCCTTTGCAGAGCTTTGCTTCAACCCCAAGGTACTTGTTGTGGGTTTGAAGCATGAGATTTTGATAGACTTCTCCAGGTTCGATTGTCAAAGTGGCTGCAATAATCCTGCGTGCAAGATTCAAACTTTTGGTGGGGCGAAACAGAAGGGATTATTCTCGCAGGTATGAGGTGGGGGCAAACGGGAAAGCCAGAATGGAGACAATTGCAAACTACATGCAGGTGAGGTACGGAACAAGAGAGATTAATGATATTTGGAAACTTCCTGAGCACGGCCATGTTTGTCAGGCCGTTGCGGGGGTTGTTGCAAACCTGATGACTTGTAACCACACATCTGGGGATGTTATAGGATCTCGGAAAGGGTAAACATGGAGGAAACAGTCCAGATTCTGGGAACAGGACTCAAGTTGAAGCTTTTTGAAAGGCCACGCCTTCAAATCGCTGCAGGAGATTGGGGCGAATCACGTCAACACACTTTACACGTCTAGTGATGGACTCGCCACAAGTCCGCTGATGAAGAAACATGGTCTGGTGTGGGTGATCACGAAGATGCATATAGAGATGGACTCATATCCCAGCTGGTAAGCAAGACATTGGCCTTCGACCCATGGCTCAAGCCTCTGTTCGACATGAACCGTCTGTCAAGCATTCTCTGAATCAACCGACTTTAGCCACAGTCTGAGTTGGTCGGTACAAAGTTTGGTCGCAAGATTCACGTTGCAAAGTTGGAGTTGTGAAAGTTGGTCTATGAAGGGCAGGGGACGATCGAGCAGCAACTTTCTTAGCCACAAGTCGACATCAAGGCTCTGCCACATGTCTGGCACATTAGGACTCCAGTCAGGCCATAAATCTCACCATTGCTTCTGAAGTCGGATAGCCAATGTACTTCTCATTTCTCAAGCATCCGAATGGTCAGGTCGGGTAACAATAGGAAGGGGTTACAAAGGCCGGCCCTTTGGAGGACGGAGAAGGGTTTCTTGAGTCTACATTCAATACGTAGTAGAGCTCCAGAATTGTCTGCGAGCTTTTGTGATTTTTTGGTGATTTTTCTGGTGCAGGGGCGATGTCGTGTTGGTCGAGAGCTGGACGGAGCCTGTTGGGAAAAACGGGGGCCGAAGAGACTGGACCTTCTCGAACAGCCAAACAGGCGAGGAGTTGGGGCGCGCCACTAGGTAAGGCACGAACCAAAACGGTTGGCGTTTCAATCGCTGTAAATGAGCATGCCGGCAACTGAATGTTACTCTCACCTCTTCCCTTCGTGGGGCGCGTGGCATACACCTGATATTTTGACCGTCGCACTTTTTAAATGACCTTATCTTGCAACCCAAAATCGTTCGTACCATGTTTTTTTTTCAGATATCTCATCGGCAATGGCCTGTTTCATGCCAGTTTTCTGTAGATGGCGCTAGTGTGCCTGACTTGCGTTCAAACCTACTGCTGCTCTTATCTTCGCAGCCTGTGGGTCATGATGAACCTAGACACCCGGAGGCTGGCCCGCATACCAGAGGACGTGCGCAACGAATACGCATCCTTCTGTCCGGAAGTACCGAGGTATGCCACTCTCAGAACGGTCGTCTCGGATCTCTTCTTTTCACAAATGATCTTGAACGAGTGTTGTCATGAGTAAGTTGAACTTGATACGCTCACGACTTGTACCTTCTCTACCACTTGTTTTTGAGGTGAGAACGTGTTCGGTAGAAAGATTTCGGTCAAGGCTTTAGGTTCTTCTATGGCACCTTTGCCACAGAAGGAAGCCTGTATCAAGCAGCCCGGTCCCATTCCACTCCCAGCTCTTCAGAGGTCCGTAAAATGCAAGGTCAACGTGTTGCAGCGCCAGTCTGCAATGCACTAGGTTCAAACTTCGGGATCCGACGATATCCTGCACTTCCGAGCCATTTGTAGACTAACCGAACAACCCGTCGAAATCACATGTCGTCCCTGCGTTTAAAAGGGCCAAGCGTCCGCCGTTTTTGCAGGTTTGCCATCGCGGATCAGGCGAGCATCAGCCAGCGGCTGCCGCAGGGAGAGGGGCCCCCGACTCGCTCCGCAAAAGACCTTCAGGTCAGCAGGGTTTCGCTTGCAATGAGTGCGTGATTTTTGGCCAAACAACGGCCAACGGAAAGGCTCGGAATACTGCACACGACGAATGGTTGAGGAAAGAATTTTGCTGGAGGATTGGACAGTTTGCGTCACCAATTAGGCATATGGAGTGGTGACAGTGACTGCTGGGCCATCATAACCCTTGTTGGACTATCTGGTGCACGGACAAGAGTAGTTTTGCAAGTCTCGCTCTCGCCGTGTGTTCCAGAAAGCCCCACGATTTGGATTCTGACGTCCGGTTTTGCAGGCCCGCTTCTGCGACCTGGACCTGCACCACCACATCAACAACGTCACCTACACCAGCTGGTTCCTCGAAGTGAGCCGCAGCCGGAAACCCACTGATCGACAACTGTTGGCTGACAACTCTTGTTCTTGATTCATTTCGAATCCGACATTCAGCGTGGGTTGTAATCCAGCTTCCGTGACTACTTGAGCCCAGGTTTGAAAAGGGCCCGCTCTAATTCTGAAGTTAAGAAGTATCGTCACGAAACGATGCGCTGCAACAACGTGGGGAGAAAGTGCTCACGTGAATGAGGGTGCTCAGCCAAAAGCGCCCCGCCTTTGCTTCACGGGTGTGCGCACCCTGTGAGATCAGGAACATGTCCTCCCTTCGGTTCGTTCAGCTTCATCACAGATGCATAACACATGGAAGCTCGCGACAATTCACCATCACTCGGAGTTAGAAAAGCTGTGACTCTGACGAGGAACATTCATCCGCAGGCTATCGACCGCAACCTTTGGCAGACGCACGACCTGTACTCCATCACCATCGAGTTTCGGCGGGAGTGCACGGGGGAGGATCTGGTGGAGAGCATGCTACATGCTAAGGAGACTGGCGCTAACCAAAACGGCCATGCGAAGCTGCACGAGGGCGAGCTTACGTTCTTGCATTCGCTGTGCTTGCAAGAGTCGAGGAAGGAACTAGCACGGGGGCAAACCCGGTGGCGAAAACGGAAAGAAGGGACGGAAATCTGGACGGAGCGAGAAGCTACGAGTACGGAAGGAAACTAGATCTGGACGGTTTTGTAGAGCAAGACGTTGCAGCCACGGCTTTATTTTGCAAGCAACTGAGCTAGAAGGCTTCTTCTATACGTTCTTCTGAGTTTGATGATGCTACCCGTGGCAGTTTGAAGTCAGATGCACTTGTTGGAACGCGCGCCGTGATGTGCTGCCGTTGTGCTCCCCCTTGAGATGATGTGACCGCACATGCTAAGTAGATTCTGCTTCAGGTAGTTCTGAATCGCATGCTCGAGTAGCCATGGCGGCTGCAATGCTCTGCTTTCTTTATTATTATTCTTATTATTACTGTTCTTGTTATTGTTGTTGCTGACCAAAGTCGATCATTGGGACCGGATATTCTTACTTTCTATTCGGGTATCAGTTGCGAGGGCACGTCGGCGGGAGTCTCGGGTCGTCTCCACTTTCGACTTATCAAACTCTTTGATGCGTTGAAGTTCAGGCGCTAGCTGTTCTGTTTAGGCGATTGTCGTTGCTTTTAGGCACTAGGCAAGCGCGCCGGGTGCAGGCTTGTAGAAACGAAGGTACTGTACACCATGCATGACATAGTACCTACGTCCTACTTTGGGTGCAAGACCGTCCCTTGGCCGCACCCTCATGGGCCTTGGCCATTGTCCATGGTGTCCTCCGCGACTGAAATACACATTTTGAAATATCTAAATCCCATGGCCGCCTTGATCCGACACCTTCAAATGTCATGGAGAACAACCTGCCCAACATGAGCTACCTTGACGCCTGGCAAAATTGCAATAGTATTCTGGCGATCGCTGAAACTTGATCGGACAGACCATTCCAGAGGTCGCTTAGATCGTTTTTGCGGCGCCTCGCGCACGATCACTTGAAGCTGCTCGCCCACATTTGGATTATAACCGTCACGTAATAGCATGTTATCTGTGCACAGTCCTTCGATGTGAATCCGGTCAGTGAGCATATCTCCTTTGCTCTCTAGAATACCTATGCTCTCAATTTTGATGCAGCCTCGACCACTGAGGGGTGAATGAATTATTATCTACAAAGCCTTTCCTGCTCCCTGCTCGCACGATCGACTTTCTATCCTCTAGAAGCCCTCTGTGAACTGATGGCTTTTCTTCAGCTTTTTCTTGACTTTCTTCGCTTCGGGCAAACTCCGCTTACGGGGAGGCTTACCCCCGACATTAGCTACCGGTTGACTCGGCACGCTCTCTTCAATGTCGAGCCTCTCCAGGCCTGCAGAAGGCACCAGCTTGGCACTCTTCGGAGGCTTTGCAACCGCAGCTTTTGACATGCGCGCTGTGTCTCCAAGTGGACTGCCGGTTGGCACTCGGGCAGGACTCGCCAGGAGGCGAGACGGCGTCTGCTGCGAGGAAGGGGTCGGTTGACTTTCCCGGGCACTTTCTAGCAAGGACGTATTGCCCGGGAGGCTGCCCGGTACTTTCTGCTCCTGCCACTGGCGCCACGCAGCTCGCAGGTCTGCCAGGCGAGAGAGGGCAGCCTCTTGGCCCAGCACAGAACCTGGACGAAAATGGAAAATGTTCATCCTCCCAACTTAGCGAAGGCCATCTTGAAGAGCTGGTAAAAGGCTTGGCACCACGTGATTGACGGCGCACTTTTCCAACCTTTTTCAAGTAACAGAATCTGCAAGGAGTAGGAAGTCGCTGCTATTTTGTCCGCCATTTGGACGTTCCAGAGGTTGCTGCAAACGCTGAGTGCCAGCAACGGCTGCCTAGGTAGGCGGCCAATATAGCGACCACAACAGGACACTCCTGCATGATAACCTTTCCCTTCTTCCCTCATAACGTATGATATGAGCCCTTACCTTGGTGTCTCACGATTCTGAACCGGGACAGCTCCCCGCTCTTCGCCTCGGCAGGAGCCGTCACCACCGTCCTGTGAGCGGCCGCCGTGAGAGGGCTCTCCGGTAAAACCTGCACCAAATCCTCCCCATTTACTACGCCTGCTCGTTCCTCCCCTGGCTGCAACCCCCCTGCGCCCCCCCCCTCCTCGCCGCCTGTCCTCTGCCCCCCCCCAACAGAGGCCAGGCTGTGCAGATGGAACGAGTCCGATAGTTGGAACCGCCGAGCGGACACTTCTACGGACGCCACGTCCGCGCCCCCGCTTTCCTGCGCCAGCTGTACCACCGCGTCCCTGACCCGGGGCAAATCCGCCCCGCTCTCGTTCCGCTGATCCGCGCCCCTTCCGCTCGACGTCTGAGTCGCTTCTTCACCCTCCCGGGCCAATAACACCAGCGGCAATTTGTCCGCCTCCGGTCGGTGCTTGGCTCCCGGGAGTCTGCGCCACACTTTCGCGGTACCGGCGTGGCTCCGGCCCAAAACTTTCCCGGCCAGAGACGAGGGGAGGCGCCTCGTCGCGTGCACGTTTGCCGCTTCGGCGGCGGTCAGGGGGTACGGAGACCGTGCGGCCACTCGGGAGATCCTCGACGCAAAGTGCTTCTCGCTAGTCAGCCCTCGCGCGTCGTCCCGACTGCCACCGTTTTGCCCCCCTACCTGCCCGTGCTCCCCTACTCGTTTTTCCCCCTCGCCTGCGTTCAATGCCGTAACGGCCCCAGCTTTTGAAGTCAGGGGATCCCCCGGAAGCTGATGCTTTGCCCCCGCCTGCGTAACGCTGCCTTCCCCCTCATTTGCCCCACTCCCAAGCCCGCCCTCTCCTACCATTTGACTCCTCGCTTCTGCCACCTTCTCAGCAATGAGATTGACGCGCGCCTGTTTATGCTTCGCAAGGACCGCCCCCGCATAAAGATAGCTCCGCGGATGAGCCCGTTCAGCGTACGTCATATTCCTGCGCTCCAGTGTTGGAGCGCTGTAGAGGGGAAGCGATTGGGGCCAATCCCCGAGGGACACGTACGACCGAAGAACGGGGACGGGTTGCAGGAGGTATCCCTTGGTGTCAACACTGGGCGCCTTCGCTTTGGCGGCCAGTGAAAGGGACGTCTCCGGACTGCTGTCACGACCTTGCGGGAGTGACCTGCAGGAGCGAACAGGGCAAACGTGGTCGACCCGCTGTGCAAAGACGGCCAAAATGATCAACAGGAGCGCGACGCGTCGATGGCTCGTCGGTCGCAGGCAACAGATCTCGAAGTATGTTGCAATCATATTGCGACGAAAGGGCGAGGGGAATAAAAGCTTCTCAAAAGGCTAGCGAAGATCGACGGGGACAGATGCAGCTTCCGGTGAGATCAGGCACTCTGTGGACCAAGAAACAAAGTGGGCCCTCAGAAGTCCAAGGAGCACGACGCTACAGAGGATGGCTGCCGTGCAAAGCAAAAGCCGCTAGTAAGCAGCTCAAAGGTCCGATTGGCATCCGTTTGCCCACCTCAGGTTCGAGCCCCCCGCCTGCCCGGTTCGCTCTTCGCCGCCCACTTCCTCCCCTCCCGTTCTGCTGACGTACGATCGTTCCACTAGCTGGCCCCGCCCGGTTAGCTGCACCAACCGCAGACTCCCGTCCGCCGGCAGCGCCAGCAGCCCGCTTATGATCGGGCCTACCGGCACCGTCTCCTCTTTCTCCTTCTTCTCTAAGCTTCGCCCCGACCCCGGCCCCGCAGGTTCCGCGACAACCGCCTGATCCCGGTCGACGAACGGGGCGAGCACGCGGAACGGCCCCCCGAGGGCGTGAAGCAGGGGAACCCGCGACCGGGGGGTGCTTGCTTGGGCTGCTGGAGTGCCCCCCGAAGTGTCGGGGGCGTAAGCAAAGCCTATGACGTCGCCCGAGCTGTTGAACGCCAGGATGGAGCGGGAGTTGGGGGACGGTCCAAGAGGGAAGGAGGGGAAGAGGAGACCGGTGGGGGCTGCGTGGCTCAGGCAGTGGTCCCACTGCAGGCAGCGAGAGGGGCAGTCAGCGAGTTGGCAAGCAGCAAGCTCTGAACCCACTGCAGAACAAATGTTCGATCGTCCACATGTTTCATGAATCCCTTTGTTTGAAGAGCATGGACTTCAAGCACTTTCATGCATATCCAAGGAGCCCAGTGAACGCGGGCGACCGCTAGCCGAGTCACTTCCGAAGGGCGGCAAATCAGCCTAGGAGTGTGAAGCGGCTTTGCACTGTAAGTACAAGCGAGGCAACGCCGTCCTGACCTGTAGCAGAGGCGCGCTGCCCTTCCTCGTGTCCCACAAGAGCACGCGGTACGTCGTGGCCACCGCCACCAAAAACCGCCCAGCCCCGTCGGTATTCTCAGAACGCGCGAGCGCACACACTGCCTCCGCTGTCTGCTGTACCAATCCCCCTGGCTCCCATGCAACTGCCCCCGCCCGTGGTTCTCCGGTCATCTCCAGCAAGCACCGTTCGGACTCAACTTCAACTTCTTCCCTCCGAGCCAGATTCAGGATCGTAACGGACGTCCGGTTCGCCACGACCAGGGAATTTGAGTTGTGCCCGTACACGCATCGCCACCATGTCTCGTCGCTCCTTCTTGCGTTTCTCCGGACCACCTGCTGCTTCGCTCCGACTGCCTGGGCCTTCTGATATTGCAGGGCCTCGTTTAGGGGGCGCCCCACACTTGAGCCCTTGGCAGCTGCCTCCTCCGCAATTCTTTCATTTCTACGTGACCCCACGGGATCCGATGTCCCCGCTTTCCCCGCCTCCTCCGCAAAGCTCTGCCCCCTCCGATCATGGCCAGGACTGGTCTCTCCATCAGCGGCCCCTTTCGATGATACACCCTCGGCTTCGCCCAAGGCGCCTTCCTCTTCCGGTTGCGAGAAGGATATAAGCTGCATCGCCCCCCTCTCTGAGACGACGGCCGCCTCCCTTCCAGAATGCAGATCCCACACCACATCCGCCACGGGGTCTCCGCACTGAATCGTTGCTATTGGGAACACTTGTAGAACCCCCAGACGGTCCCACCGCACACTGTAGAACGCAGCAGCGTTAGCCGCACGGGCAGAAATCAACGTCCGCTCGTCCCAGGCTTTCGCCGGGCTCGCCACTATCTGCTGAATCGGGAGTCCCGGCGCCGGGCCCCTCGCACGAGATGAGCCCCTCGCCGCGGCGCATATCGACTCTACCAGGCGAACTCGTACCACCTGCCTCCCGATGCGCACCCGAAAGATCCTCGCTAGCAGCTTGATGACAGACAGCACATACACTTTGGTGTTGGTGTGCGGGAAAGTGCGCTGGAGCTCCTCCACGGTGAGGCTAGGCAGACAGTGTTGCAGCAGGGTCGCACGGCATGCGGAGTAGCCAGCCGCCTTGGCTTCGGCAGCGAGGGCCTTGTAACGGGCAGAGTCGCGCAGCTCGACCCAGTGCGAGGGGCTACGGAGAAAACGCTTGAGGGTGACAGTGCCCTTTGCTGGTGCGGTTGGGCCGTCCTGTGGGGACAGTGAAACGAAGTTGAATTACTGCTTCTGACAGCTGTCAGTCAGAAGATGCCACAAACAGTGAGACCTGCTCACATACCCACCCACCAAGATTTCCGCACGGTCAGCAACAAAACCTGCTGTCAGAAACTTCTCGTGATTGGTGTCTCAGCACGCTTCTCCCTCCCTTCAGTACATGACCTAGGACTTTGTTAGAAGGCCCAACTCGCCTGCACTTCACCAAGATACTGTTCCACTGAAGGGGGACAACATGGCGGCCCACAAACTAGGCCAGTCCAATTCCGGAATTTGCTGATGATTGTGTGCAACTTCTTTCGGAAAGCATACCTGCGCTGGCTCGATGTCCCTTGGAGGCGGCTCCTCCAGTTCGTGTGCGATTGCTGCAATTTCGTCTTGGGCTTCACCTACGGGGAAGATGGTCACAAGAGAAGTCCCATCTACCCAGCCGGCCAGCTCGTTTCCAGTTCGGTCAGACAAGGAGTCCTCAGAGGGAGGGGGGGCTCCATTTGGTAGCTTGAGCAGGACACGGGAGTTGGCGGCAGGAACGAATGGAGCGCCGCCACCTGCGCATGGAAATCAGACGGACTAATCCTGTTACAATGCGGATTGGGCTTGGTTTGTGTAAGCCCACTCTCAACAGAACGTTCAGCAAGGCTACATCACTCCAGTCACCCCACTACTTTCCTGCCCTGGATTTACAAAAGATATCTGCCGATGGTACCTCGTCAGAAGTCGATCAACGGGGCATATCCGCACCCACGCAGGATCAAGAGGCGAACGGAATGCACGGCATTGTAAGCTGAACCTCACGCTGCGGGTCTTCCTTGAGTGCATGAAATGCTCTTGCCGAGCCTTCATTTTGCCAGTGGACGCCGGCAGTGTGCCCCCATCGCACCGCACTGCACGGATCGTCGACGCCCAGAGATGGCCAGACTCGGTCTACAGGGGCAATCGGTGGTGCACATAAACTGGCGTGCCCAAGGTTTGCTTGATCGTCATCGTCCTCTTCCATTCCTCTCACCGTAAAGTGCTTAGCAGACAACGTGCTTCTTGAAGCGGCTGCCTTCTTCCCGATGCTTTGAGTGGCTCCCAAACTTACAGAAAGATGTGCAAGCTTTCTCGCAAAAAGGGCTAAGCATCCGGATGACTTTGCCCTCAACGAAAGGCTTCAACTCCTTCGAGCTAGAGCCTCTTGACTCTGGGCAGGGAGAAGAGCCTTTGCACGAGAGAGAATTAGGCCTGCTATTAATATTTAGGGTTCTGAAGCGAACCCTAAGCCGCAGTACGTACTGTCATCCAATACCGTGCCAATTATTTCACGAAAAGTGGCCAAAGTAGGTATGTACCGGAAATGCAGTGACTCGATCGCAAAGCAGATTGGAAGGCTGGTATGTACCTGTATAGGATACCGTAGATTAATTGGTAAACGCAAAAATATGTGACGCGGGCCCGGTACCGTACCGGATCTCGAGTGTCGAAGCAGCACGCAATAAATGTAAGAATGGCCCCGAAATACCCGGAACACACACTCCCTTGATCGCACAAACAGAACTGGCTCCTTTGACGATTCTCAACATGCTCAAAGCCACAGTCTCTAACCTCGGGTTTACGCTTCGCTTCCAAGCAATTAATCCTTGATGAAAGGTTCGCAGTCAAGCTTAACCCTGTCTTGGAGCATTGCACTGAGTCTTCATGTAGATCTCCGTTCTCTTTCTTCGAGAAAGGTGGAAACGATCGACCACCTCCAATGCCATTCAGCTGCGCATCTGGGCGCCATTCCAAGTGACTTTTCGTTGATTGCCAGATGCTTTGAGAAACCTACCAAAACATGGGTTTGCAAACCAGCTAGCGGGATGCTAAGTCAGCAGCGTCAGATAGTCCCACCAAGAGGGACAACGCGCTTCGCTAAAGGGACTCAGCAGACTTGTTGCTCTTTGGAGACACTTCAGCGGGTTTCACGGTCGAGATCTGAGCAGAACGAGTCTGCTCGTGGGGCATAGGGTATGGCAAGTAAACGCCCATGGTGTTTGGGGAACTAGAGAGGGCCCGATGATGGGTCGCTTGAGGGGCCACACGCTCCTCAGGGCTGGCTTGCTGCTGCTTGTATGGCTGCAGGCAGGTGAGCGATGAGCAACGGTTTCTCTGCGCAACATCGCATGGCTACTCTCGACAAGCATTGGCATTTTGGGGGCATTGGATCTAGGGAGTGTCATTTTCATGTATGTCTAGTATTGACTCTGTTTGACTCTGGTTTAGGACGGTTTTGGGCTCATCATTTGGACCTCGTGTCTTCAATAGCAGTGTCAGCATGAGCTGGTTGTCAATGTTGCCGGTGAGCAGCATTCTTGCTAACCTCTCTGTTTAGGACATGTGGACATGAAACTTGCACGATTTGGTAAAGCCTGGTGCTTAATGAGGTGGAGGATTCAAGACATCTTGTCTCTGAAAGGAAGCACAAGTAGTGGTTGACAGGCAAAAGGCCTTTCCAGCTGCGGAATGCCTTATTCTTGGTCAAAAGAAGGAGCTTGTCAGAAACTTAAAGTAGTTTGATAATGTGTTCCCATCGTCACACGACCAAAGCTTCTTCTCAAGGGCGAGAAGCGGGGCAAATATGGAACGGGCCCATTGAAATGCAGAGCTAGGCTTTGAAGGCACTGCTCAGCAGTCTAGGCCTATGGTGTGGCTCTCCCGTAGTGCGCTCCCCCACCGTGTGCACTTTGCTGCAAGCTGTGCCGGAGTGTTTAGCATGCTCGCTGAGCCGAGTGACTCACTGGATGTGGTCACAGGATGTTAGAGCCAGTGTATCAGACCCTAGGCTCCTTGACTAGCGCCCAGGATATGCCAACGGTGGGGTTTCTCTGGTTTAGATACTCCAGACGGAACGAAACGCTGCCTCGGTGAAGGCTCTTCAGGGCGGTGCCTGTGCCGCATGGTCCTGGCTGCAGCACTGCTGAGACCAGTTTCCGTCGCTTTGGTACCATTGTTGCCATGGCATCCTGCACCCGTCTTGCGGCACCCTTCTCAAGTTTTCCTCCCTGTTGTCAAGAGTTTTGACACCTCCTCTCACATTCCCGCTCTTTCTGCCTGTCAGGCTCATCCTTTGGGCTGGGCGTCGACGCTGCTGGCGTGGCCGTCGAGCGGCATGTTTCCAGCGGGCGCGCCCTGTCCCGGCACCTCCTCCAAGCTCTCGCGCCTAGTTCTGGAAGCTCGTCGGGAGGATCACCCAACGACGCCCCAACGGCAGCCCCCACCAAAACCCCAACGACGGCCCCGACCCCTACCCCGGTCGCTACACCCGCCCCAACTCCCACCCCCACAAAACCCGCCACGTCACCTCCACTCACGCCCTCCCCCACCACTGTTGCACCTGTGGCAACCAACGGGCCAGCACCCACCTCGGCGCCAACCACGGCCGCCCCCACTGACACCCCCATTCCAGAGCTCACCACTCTACCACCTGCGGTCACGCCCGCGCCCGCCACGCTGCCCCCCCTCACGCCTGCACCGACCACGGCCGGTCCGACCCCCGCTCCCACCCCCCTGGCGACCACAGCGGCGCCGCTGCCCCCTGCCCCCCTCACCCTCGCGCCCACGCTGGCCCCCATCCAGCCGCCCAGCCCCCCCCCAGGTAAAAACACGCCTTCGCCGCTCCCTTCTCTTGTGCCCGCCACGCCGCCGCCCACGCCCCCCGCCACGTCATCGCCGCCAGGTAATTCGCTCGCCCCTCTCACGGTTAACGAGTCCGCTCCGGCGCCAGCACTTGTAAAGCCCGTCGTGGTTCCTAACACGGTTAACGAAACTGCTCCGGCCCCAACACTTGTGAAGCCCGTCGTGGTTCCTAACACGGTTAACGATTCTGCTCCCGCCCCAGCACTCGTAACCCCCGTCGTGGCTCTGGCCGAACCGCTCGCGCCCGCCCCCATTGCGAGCGTCACAGGAGCCTCGCCAGGTATGTCCCCCACCTCGCCCCTCGTTTTAGCACCGCCCGATTCGCCTGCCGCCGCACCGCAAGAAAGCGCCATCCGGGTAGGTTCATTAGTCTTTTCCACCCCACCGAAGTTTCTCGCTGCACCACTGTCCGCTCCACTGCCCCCTAACGCCACCTCAGGTAGGCCCCCCCCTCCCGTGTTCGTCCTTCCATCAGACTCCCTGGCCCCAGGGCCCGCCGCAGTCTTGTCCCCTGCATCGCCAGGTGGGTGTGTCCTTGATATCCATTCTTTCTAGCTCTCTCGTTTTGACCACCGTCACCTGGCGCAACTCTTGGTTTGTCAACAGATGGGTTCTGTCCCCCCCCCTGGGTCACTTGCTGAGGGTCACTCCGCTTTATGTACACCAATGTTCTTCCTGGTTGAACGTGAGCTTGGGAGTGAATGCAGGCCATGTTTTGCTTCAAGATTTTAGAAGTCAAACCTCTTAAAAAATCTATGTTTTGCAAGCCTCAGCAAAGGGAACATGTTCGGGTCGACGTATGCTCTTGTGATTTTCATAGTAAAAGTGTGGCGCGTTCAAAGTGCCATGGAAGAGGAGGCAGCATTTTTTAAGGCTTCGAGAGCGCATCTGGTGTCTATGAATAGTGCAACTGAAGGGAGAGGCGAGAGCGGGGGACAAGTTGCAGTTGAGGATTACGTGGATTCAGCCCTTGTCTTACGTTTCACCTGTTTGTATCAAGCTCTTCATGAGGTGCAGAAAACCTGAGCAGTGTTTGGGCATGACGTAAGCTTGACATGAGCTGTTGATGCGGAAGCGCTAGGCTGCAGTGCAAGTTACGTCCACATGGGTGTCACTTGTGGCATCTTCAGTTTGGGTAGGACGAGCTCTGACAGGTGCACTTTTGGCAGGGCCAAACGATTTCAGACCCACCTATAGCAAAGAGCGCAGCTTATCATCATGTGAAGTACAAAGTGGGTGACTACTGCTGTCAAATGGAAGCTAGTTTGTCCCTGTGAAAATACCTTGAATTGGTAAAGATAGTTTTGCCTCGGTGACACTTTGTGTACAGGGCCGCAACTCCGCAGTGAATCAAGTACTTTTCTTAGTCCATGGCCTCCACTCCTGTCTTTGGCAACTTAAGTATATATGCGTTGCATTATGTGCTGGCAGCACTAACATAACCATATGGATTCAAAACTTTTTCACCTCCTATCCTTCCATGTTTATCCAGCCTTTGTGGTTGCCGCTCTTCGCCTGGCACCAAACCTGCTTTCTTTCTTGCTTTTCGCTGCCGCTTCCTCCCTCAAGTCATAAACACACTCATTTCTTTGTGGGGCACTCCCTCATCGTCCAGATTACAACCCAATTTTACTCTTCCCCCCCCTGCAGCGTGCCTGCCTGGGACCCCTTCCTGTGACCCCCTAGTGGTGAAGCTGCTCCTGTCCAACACCGACTACGGCACGCTCAGCCAGTACCTCTTTGCCGAGCTGGCTTCCCAGCTTGGGCTGCAAAGCAACCAGTTCCAGATCTCAGCAGTTACCGCAGGCGCGGGCCGTGAGTTCAACGTCACCTTCTACATCCTCCCAGTCTCGGGGTTCAACATCTCGGCGCCGATCGCGCAGAACGTTTCGAGGTCGCTGTCGACGCACACAGTGAAGCTGGACCAGGCGCTGTTTGGGAACTACACGTTCTTCTACGCGGTGCCCAACTCGGCGCTTGAGATTGCGCCGACATCCCCGCCCGGTAAGTTGCCCCGCTGGTTGTATCAATTAGGGGTTTCTGTAAATTTGGTCAGGCGTCGTTTCTTTGACAGGTTACTCTTATAACGAGTCTGTCAAGTTCAAGCCTCATTGCCTGCATCAGGTCAGGATGGAAGCTCCATGCAGCCAGCGGCCCTATTTAAGAAGCTTTCTGGACGCTCATGCTTGTATATCCTAGCATCTGCGTACTGTCCATCTTGGTCCCCTCGCAACTACATGACTTGCTTTTGGCAAAAGAGAAGCCATTCTTCTCAGCAAGCAACTATGGTCTGAACACTCTATACCTACTTTAACATGCCAATTCCCCTAAAGCTGCCATACCTTATGCCAAAGCTGACCCCTTACGCACCTTCTCCTCAGTGGCCCCTGCTCCGGCGCCAGTCCCGGCACCGGCCCCGGCGCCAGGCCCAGCTAATAGCACGGTTATACCGCCTGTAAATACCGGTGGAGGAGGGGGCGGCGGTGGGGGTAGTGGCACAATCATTGCTGTGGCAGCAGCAGTGGGGGGGGCGGCAGTTCTTGCGGTGGCTGCACTGGTACTGTGCTGCTGCTTGTGTAGAAAGAAGAAGGTGGAGGAACAGGACGACGCGTTCAGCGAGTACAGCAAGACCACCTCCGTCAACACGGGTGAGCGCGCCGGCGCAGGCCTTACCTGTTCATATGTTTCACTTTGCTCTGGTCGTAGGATTTCGCTGTCAGGTTGCTTTGGTTGGCTTGTGCGTCTCCTTATGTAGCAATCACCGACTAGGTTACTGCTTAAAAGAGTGCTGTATGTCTGATTGCGTCCCAGCTGCGTGGATGCGGGGACGATCTGGCAAAGACGCGGCTCAGAATTCTGCCGAAACGCTGGCTAAAGGGCCAGAGAACATACTGCGAAGGTCTTAGCAAGCTGATGTTGTTCACTCTGACAGAGAGTCCAGCTGTTGTCGGTGAGACCACCACGATTCTGTAGCATTGCAACTCCGCACCTCGGTTAACATGTTTCCAGGCTTTCTACCCCGCCTCCCCTCGAAGAAACTTGCACTCGTTTAGACCTCGCTTTCTGTATGGTTCGTGCCATTCTTTCTCCACAGCCTCTGTTCTGCTGCACGACCCTTTGGATACGGCCATTGTGCAAACAGGATTAATGACCAACTTCTTCCTTTCTCCCCGTGCAGCGTCTGCCCTGCTGACGCGTCCCCACGAGAAGCCGTTCCGTACGCTGTCGTCGGCAAGCATGCCGTCGGATAGCCTGCCGCGCCCGTCCAGTGCTCGCGTCTTCACTTATGAAGAGCTGGCGGACGCGACCAACGGGTGGGACCCCATGTATCTGCTGGGAGAGGGCGGATTCGGCAAGGTCTACAAGGGCGTGCTCAAGGACGGGATCAAGGTCGCCGTCAAGAAGCTCACGGTAAGCGAAGTTCGCACGGAAGAAGGGTTTCGAGAATCATTGAGGAAGTGAAGCGCCTCTGAATGGGTAGGTTAGTCTGAGCGGTAAGGGTGGGTACGGGTGAATTACGCGTTTTTAGTCTTACCGGAACTGTTTCCGAGGTTCACTTTTTCCTGGCTTCTACCTCCGAGAAGTGTCCGATGATAAAGAAGGGCTGGGTCATGGTGGCAGTCGTAAAGAAGATGACTTGTGGGGTCTGCAACTGCGGCGGAGTTTACTGATTCGTAGTTTTGGTTTCAGCTTCAAGTAGCTTCTTTGCGTCTGATGGTAAGTGTCGCATGCTTGCTTCAGGCTGGAGGCCATCAGGCGACGGCAAGCTCACTAGTTTCTGACACGCTTTTCTTCTTCGATCACATTCTCTCAAACGTGATTCTCGTAGCCAGTGTTCCATGAGGGGGTTACCGGGGCGAACTCCTTTTTGACACTTTTGTCAGCTTCAATAGCGCATCACTCATGAATATTCACAGTGAGTGTTGGCGCTGGCTGCAGGTGGGGGGCCACCAGGGCGACCGCGAGCTCACTACTTTTTGACACTCTTTCACCTTAATCAGTGCTTCACTCATAAACCTCAGCAAGTGTCGCACGGTGGCTGCAGGTGGGCAGCCACCAGGGCGACCGCGAGCTCACCAGTTCTTGACACTCTTTCAGCTTCAAGTAGCGCCATCAGTCCTAATTCTTACAGCGAGTGTCGCGTTGCTGGCTGCAGGTGGGCGGCCACCAGGGCGACCGCGAGTTCCAGGTGGAGGTGGAGATGCTGAGCCGGCTGCACCACCGGCACCTGGTGAAGCTCATCGGCTACTACTACCGCCCGGAGCAACAGCTGCTCTGCTACGAGCTCGTCATGAACGGCTCGCTCGAGAACCACTTGCACGGCCAGGGCAGGGGACGTGAGGCCTTTTCTCTGCTTACGCGAGTTATATGAATGTTCTGAAGTCCGTTATAACCTGCGCGTATGGATCCCGTTCTTCTTTCTGACACCGTTCAGCCGCATGCAGCGGGGTGTTGTGGATTTGAGATTTTATGTGACTTCTTTCCCGGGTGCATTCGTCTTTGTACTGTTCGCTGTGTTGTGGCTTTGAGATGTTATGTGGCTTTTCCTGCTGGGTACTTTTCTCATTTTATTTTTCTCGTTGGAGACTCGCCTCTGAGCAGCGGTGTTCATTTGAGTCCGTGAAAGGTCGGCTGTTTGACATCACTTCAGGTCAAGAAGGGCTTGAGCCTCCTTGTTGCAGTGGTGCAAAGTAGTGTCTCTCTGCTGGTGTTAACTCTGCGTGGGCTGCTGAGAAGGGTGCGCCGATGACGATAGCACAACGTTGTTGAGAACCGAACGCGAGCAACGGCTCGCTTGAGGAATTCTTCTTTGTCACTACCACCGAGGCGCCCCTCTCTACTTGGTACTATCCTGACCGAAGCTGAACTTACCTTTCTTCGGCTTTATCTTCTCGTCAAGAAAGAACCTTCTGCAGCCGATCCAACCTTCTTCCAGCTTCTCTTTTATGAAAACAACGAGTACTGCCGGGTTGAGTTCGTAGCGGTTTAGCTCTGAGTAGTTTGTCGACTTCTCAATTGGACGTACGAGAGTCAATCGAGTTCAAAAAATGACGAGGAGTCCCCTGCCAAGGGTTTCAGCAGCAACCCAGACAGAAATTTGACGCAGAAAGATTGCAGGCAACACCCATTGAATTCTGAGATGCGTTTCTCGCAGGGCGGCCCCCGGGCGCGATGTGGCAGCCGCTCGCGCTGGACTGGGACGCGCGGATGAAGATTGCGATCGGCGCCGCGCGCGGGCTGGCGTACCTGCACGAGGACTGCCAGCCGACGGTGATCCACCGCGACATGAAGGCGTCCAACATCTTGCTAGAGGACAACTTCCACGCCAAGGTCGCCGACTTCGGGCTCGCCAAGATCGCGCCCGACAACCGCAGCGACTACCTGACAACCAGGGTCATGGGGACCTTCGGGTGAGGCGCGGGGAGAGCGGCTCTGATAGGCCTTGTGATTGGATGTATACCCGCGCCCTTGCTGGGCCGCCCACAAGCAGACGATGAATGTCGAAAAGAGAGCGAAGGACACGGGGGACAAGGACCAAACCAAGGAAGTGCTTAGACTTCAGTGTATAGAAGTCGTGCGCACAAAGCCCTTGATCGTGTCGAAGCTGGGTCTTGGTTTGTTGTGCTCGGAGTTATCCACCTTCCCATTGGTCGGTTGACGCAGCGCACAATCGCTGCTGTACTTTCTTTCTTTCCCACTTACGTTTTCAATCCACTAGAAGCCAATATTGGTTGAGTGAGGAGGTGAGTATCCAAATTTGGAGCACGTCGTAATATGTTTCTGAAATCTCCTTTGTGGTGTGTAGGTACGTTGCTCCGGAGTATGCGATGACCGGGCACATCATGGTGAAGAGCGACGTGTACAGCTACGGCGTGGTGCTCCTGGAGCTGCTCACCGGGCGCAAGCCGGTCGACATGTCGCAGCCGCAGGGGCAAGAGAACCTCGTCACTTATGTCAGTGCCCCCAGACGCCAACGCGCCTCGACGTAAACGCACCTATTCGTTGCCTTGTTACCATCTCGAAAGAGATTGCAGCCAAACTAAATTTGGCTCGTAAGAGTCTTGCCTGGACTGCTTTGCTTGGCAGCCAAAAGCCTCCTCCTTGACGGTTGAAGCGCGGCTTTCTCGCTCTCTTCCGGAGCATCCTCCAAGGAACGCGCAACTTTTGTAGGGCTGACTCGCGCTGTTCACTGCCCCTGTCTCCAGGCGCGGCCCTTATTGTCCGACCCCGATCGGGTGGAGGACCTGGTGGACCCCCGGCTGGGCGACGCGTTCCCCTTCGAAGACCTGCTCAAAGTCGCCACGATCGCCCTGGCGTGCGTCCACCCTGACCCCGCACGCAGGCCGCATATGGGAGAGGTGAGTGCTCAAGGGCTTGTTCGACGGTGAAGCATGTTGCATCCGGCAAGAGCGTACAAATGAGTCAGAAAATCGTGCGTGAGAAGCTTTATATGCCAGTTTTGGCTCTTTCCCAATCGTACTACGGTCCAGCAGTCTGTATGTTGGAAGGGGACAGGTCCAGAGTTGGGTCACGGTGGCGTGTCGGGCGGGAGCTGAGAGGAGTGTGAAGGAAAACCTCTGGAGCCTTTGGTCTCTTCAAGGAAGCTATTGAAGCGTCGTCTCTCTTTGGAAGCATTTTCGAGCAGCGTGTAGGACTTGCGCCGTTGCTCCCTTAAGCATGGGATGACCTCTTGATTCACTTTGTGAAGCATTTGCTGAGCTTCTTTGCCCGACAATTGATCACCTTTAATCCAGGTTCTGTTTACTTGCTTGGAGACTGAGGTGACCCTGTCTGATTTGTCTTGCTTGGAAGATGTATTTACCCGAGGTTCCGCTTCCGCAGGTCGTCCAGAAGCTGCGGATGTTGCAGCGGTCCCCGGCCAACGGGGCGGAGAGCCACCAGAGCGACGACTGCGCAACGGGGCGGGACATGGAAACGCTAGCGAGCACGCTCAGCGGACCCCTGCCAGCCTACACGCAGTCGCAGTAAGGCGCTTTTCCGGGGTATTCGACAGTTGTGAATACAGAGTCGCTGATCCACAAATCTGTTTCGGAGAGGTTTTGGATTGGACCACACCCTGTTTTAGAGAGCTGTTACCGTGTATTGGACAGACAAGACCGGTGCTCGTTTTCACAGCGAATATGCGAACGCTGTGCTTGCTCTCTTCAAGGCTCCTGTTCTCAGTCTGCGGATTTGGACCGACTATTCGTGTCGCCTCGCTTATCACTGCGGCAGAGAACGTTTGGGATCGAGTTGAGGAACGACGATCTGGTTTTGTTCGCAGGAGCACAGCCCAGATGTCCCCTGGCGCTCTTCGACCTTCTTTTTCTTTCTCTGATGTCTTTTTCCCGCTCCTTATCTCCCAGGCCCTTCCCGGGGGGGTACATGTCGACCGCGTACCCCCGCTTCCCTATGCACCGCTCCATGGAGCTGCCCCCCCACACAACGAGCTCGAGGTTCCAGTCGGAGAACATGAGCGTCGGGGATACCGACTCGATGCGCTCGCAGTCGATCATGCTCGATCACGACCAGCTGGCGCGAACCACGGTCTTCAGCGAGGGCCTCGAGGAAGGCCGGTAGCGGCATCGGCGCGCGGGGGAGGCGGTCGGGGCGGGGAGTGCACGGGATGCCGACCGATGGGCTTGACAGGTGTCCGAGGTAGGACCGTGATCGCGCGATGCTCGGAGGGTTTGTTCACGAATGTGGAGAGAGGAGGGGGATTACGGCAGCTGATACGGATCCTGAGTTGTGCGAAGAAGGTCGCGCTGCGGAAGCGCGAAAAGGGTGCGGGAAAAAGGGGCGGAAAGGTGGTGAGCTCCAGCCGGGGCCTCTGCTGATGGACGTCAGCTTGTATTTTAGGACGCGTCCGAACACGTAGGATACTGACCACAACGTCTCGCAGTCGAGTCTATAGAGGTCGTCTTATAATGGGTGGCACCGTCAAAACAGGACTTGGGGTTTTGGAGAAAGTTGTCACATTAACTGCCTTATTGCATCTAACCATCTTAGTTGAAAAACCTCTAAAAGCATGGCGTGTATGCAGACTTAAGCATACCGCTGGATTGACCAGCATGATCAACTGGAATTCAAGATACACACATCTGCGGTGGCCTCCTCGTCGATCCCCCAGTAGATTTTGGATGTATGAGCCTGGCGTGTATGTCTATGATCTTGATAAGGTTTTATTATGCGGAATATATAGACATGGTCGCCTGATAGAACGATGTTCCTCTCTTGCTGGGGGCATGCATGAAATACCCCGCCTAGGGGTGCTGTAGCTCAGCGTCGGTAGGCCATCTCGCGCATTCAATTGCATCACAAAGTCGATAATCGACAGCCGCCCATGCACATGGAGCAGTTATAGTACTTTGGTTTTGGGCCGTGCCCGGGGCCGTGTCTTGCTTTGGCGCCTTAAGCACTAGGCCCGCGCCCACGTTGGGTATTTGGCATGACGCGCGTTCCAAACAATTGCGCGCGTCCATATCCATTCAATTTCACATATTCGAATTGACGCCAGCGCTGTGTTGACAAAGATTTCTTGCATGAAGCAAACCACTAAAGAGTCGGCGCAAATTCGCAACGATCATCAGAACCTTCTTCGGATCTGAAGATGGCGTCGATCTTCGGATAAGCGCTTGCAACTCATGATCGCCGCCGCGCCCTTATTGTTGTCCGACTGGGCTCGCTCCTGTCCCTGCTAGTAAGTTGCTAAAAAGGGCAGAGGCCGGCGTGGCTGTGCGCCCCGTATCTCTTCACATAGCGATGTCGCCGATTCTCCGCTGTAGGATGGCCGGACCCGCCGGATTCACGTGCCCTACCACAGGCCCTCATTGTCACCACAATGCAATGGGATCGTACGACGCTCGAGTTGCGAGCCTAGGCTAGCACATGCACACTTTGTATTTCTTATGTGTAAGATAGAGCTACAGTAGTTTAAAGTACGCTGTGTCAATTGCAGATACGATGTGACGTTCGGACAAGAAGTCGGGGCTGATCGATCGTGGAAATACTGACTCCGCTAGCAGCTAGGCAGCAGTCAAGGCTGGTCCACTCTAGCGCACTAGACATCAACACAGCCGCCTCTTACGCCAAGCTGATCGTCGAATAATGACGACATACCTCCGCTGTATGCCGTGATCCACCAAATTCTTAGCATGCTCACCGGCTTCAAGAGGTAATATTCTTTTGGGACGAGGGCTCTCGATCAGGCCCAAAAAGGATAAAGCGCCGAAACAGACGCTGTAGAGAGCTGACACGCCTAGCAAACATGGTACAATCCCGCTTTGGAGCACGTAACTCTCATTTGTATCTCTCAAAACAATTGGTTTACACACAATGGAGAGAATGCCAGCTACTTTTTGATAGGTAGCAGAGAGGAAAAAGAAGTCACCCCTGCCTTCTAAAAGCGTCAGGCCTTTTTGGCAACCAAGGTGGGGCCCACCTCCAAAGGGATTCTCCCCACGCATTGGGTACCATCCTTTTTTCCAGGCAGCTTATTGAAAGGGAAGATATGGCTTCCGCAGAAGGGGCCCCCGGCGGGCAGCCCCAGGCCAGTTCGAGAAACCCACCAGAGGGGAAGTGTGTCCTGTGCGCGCTCGAAAATTCCCTGCCTTCGACGCGCGCGCTGCAGTTCGTGCTGGAGAAGCTGGTGCGCGCGGAGCAGGGGGACAAGCTCGTCCTGTTCGAGGCGGCCAAAGCAGTAGACCGTAAGATAACCTTCTGCCACGTGCCACGAATTTAACAAATTGGTTGAAAAGAACGAAGAAGCTCGTGGACTTTTCTGGGCATTGTTTACTTACATGGGCTGCCGCTCTTTGATTGCAGCGGATAGCTGACACGCTGCGGACTCATCGTCATGTGCAGATACCAAGCTCTCGTACTGAGCTGGAAGCTTCTGGAGTCGTGATCAGTCTTTGTTGAAAGTCTTTTAAAACAATCAGTTCATCTTTGTAATGGTTCACATCTTTGACTCCAGGCTTAGTCTCAGTTTGTGCGGATGGTCGTGAGCGGGTAATGCAAGTTCGATACTTCCGTACGCGCCTACTGATTTCGCCTCGCCTTCGCATGCGCCAAAACATTCGATCGAAGCTGGCTTTTTGTCTCCGACGTCTCTTCGTGCGCAAGTTTCTTGGCGATTGCGGAGAAGGAAGGGCATTGCAAATATGTAACTGTGCAGGACTTTCTTTCCCCCTCTTCATTTGGCTCATCTGAAGGCCACCAAGGAGGCAAGAGACCTTTCCAACAAGCCACGTTGTGCGAATCCAGGGATTTTTCGGCCGACATATCCGGTTTCTCCGCAGATCACGACGACCCCGCAACTGCCTTCAAGTCCGACCCCGAGTTGTGCCTGCAACAGGAGCACCTCGAGCGGCAGTGCCGGAGCTACCTGGAGAACTTGCGGGAAGGCCTCGGCAAGGCAAGTGGCAGACCTCGGCAATTGGTCCCCTGACGGACAGAATTATCTTCCTTTTGTAGCGACAACGAATCAGCTTGAATCAAGAAGGATTTTCCACGTGTGTCCGTCTTGTTTGCAGATTTAGCTCCCCGAAAGTGCCCTGTAATTCTTGGATACGAGCAAGAAAACCCGCTGGGATTGAATTGCGTTTAGAACTGATCTTCGGACAGGAGTTATCCTACCCGGTTTCGGAAGGGCAACATGCAAAGCTTCGGACGTGGTCCCCAGTGCATTAACCCGACTGGCGCCGTCTGACATGTTTTCTCTTCAGGGACTTTGCAGAGCCTCCTGTTCACAGGCTTGAGAATCAACCCACAAGAATACCTTGCTGAATGAACGGAAGACATGGCAGTGGGCAAAGCTTGCTCTGGAACCGTCTCTTGAACGGGCTTTCCGCCCTGCAGATCACGACCGAAGTGGTGGTCCAGAAAGGCGACCCCCGGCAGCTGATCCCCGACTACGTTGCCGAGCACGAGGTGGACATGGTCGTGGTCGGGGCGCGAGGCCTGGGCAAGTACAAGAGGTGCGCCAAACATCTGTCCTTGTAAAAGGTGGAAAAGTTGCGTGAAAGGAAGATGCAGAACTGTATCTCGTGGCCGTCCTCTGTGCAGTGCAGTCATAAACCAATGGGCGGAATGGGCGAGAGCGGAGGGCAAGTTTCTGAGAAGTTTTCTCGGTTGTCCGTCAGTTCCGAAAACGGTAGGACGCTTTGGGCTGTTGTATGGGTTGGAAAAGCAGCGCAGCAGTCGCCGTCCGATTACGCTAGACTACAGCTACAAATCCTCGAAGAGAATCGTTTTCGTCAGACCACCGTTTGTTTCTGGCTTCTCTTGCAGCAGTGGGCGCAGCCTTTTGCTTACGAACGAGGCAATGGGAAGTTGAGTGACGCTCTCGCGTGCTTCGTCCGTTCTGATTCTCGCCGTGCAACTCCACTTGCAGCCTCATACTCGGCAGCGTAAGCGCGCACCTGGTGAGGCCCTGCCCGGTGCCCGTTCTGGTCGTCCCCAGTAATCCCAAGAACCAAAAGGACCGACGTCCGGACGCTTCAAAGCCGCCGACCTCAGATACGTAGCAGCGCACCACTTAGTCCGGCTTCTACAGTGTACGAAGTTCGAAGCAGGCTGGACATTTGTCGTCACTATTCCTGAATAGCGGCGCTGGCAAGAATGCGTGGTCTCTCAGCCGAAGTCAGGCAGGCTGAGATGAACGGGGAAAACATGTATGTGGGAGAACCGTACGTTCTCTCGTCAGGAGACGTAAGCTAGAAAGGTACGATCGGACAAAAAGTCGAACGGCTCTGTGAGTCTTTCCATAGATATCGGTGTTAGAGGTTGTACTGCTTGTAGTCGCAACTATAGGCAAGCGAAACCCATGGTCTCTTTTATTCCGGCAATTAGCTGGCGAATCAAAGCGCTTGCAACTAAGCTGTCGGTACAGTACTACGCCCTATGCTGGCAGTTGGTACGTGCCGAAGTAGAACGTGGCTTCCGAACTCGAACTTGAATTCATAAGCCGATAAGCCCTTGCGGATTAGGTCTTAAGCGGCAGTCGATCTACTGGTCGACCACTTGCTTGAGCGCTAGTAATACATCGACGTATATAACTGAAGCGCAGCTAGCGCACTTTTCAGTGCTTTCCGCCCGTCGACCACTTGCTATCCAAGCGCCCGGCCGAGGGCGCTCTAGAGCTGGTATGCCGTTGGGAGTGCCATTCATGATATCGCTATACATAGCTACTTGAAGCGATAGGGAAGGAAGTGAGGCGATGTCGGAGTGCGGGAAACTCAGCGACGGACATTGAGGCATCAGGCTCTCATGCGGTGGGATCTCAAGTTCACGCATGACGATCTACTTTATATTAGATCAGCAATGCCCCTTTGTCCAGTTTGTCCAGAACATCGACCAGCGCGGTATCAGCTAAGAAGATCCAAGAAAGGAACGAAATTTTGCAGCGCAGACGACAGTGCAGAATCATACCGTCGTTTCTATCACACCTTGCTCCTCACGCTGTACTGATCGTCCTGTTCACCCCTGTTCACGCCTTTTCACAAGAAATTCCGTGGTCCCAGGCTCCACAAACTGCTGATGGGCTCGCAGCTCTAGTTATCCTCTACTTACCGAGTCGCTAATTTGCCAATAACAACTTCCTCGCTTTGGCAGCATCCACATCGTTGATCCTTGATCCGACGGTGAGAGCGTCTACTCAAAGCGAATTGCCAGGTTCTGTGCGCTGGTAGACTCGTACCGTCCGATTGACATATTTATCATCCTACCGTTAAAGTTCATTAAAGCAACCCCCTGCGCGCGGGCGCAGCTCCCTTGATCAGCATGCTTGGCACCACTGGGCCTAGAAAGTATTTTGGCTTTGGCCGCTTTGCTCTTTTCTTTGTCCTTGGATCCAATTTCGCACAGCTTTCATATCAAAGAAGAGAAAGGTGGTGGAGCATTCAGCTGTCCCAGGATTCCACTGATTGCTTAAATTGGAACGCAGGCTTGGCGCCATCCATCCCTAATTCAGTCACCATGCCGGGTGCTGCATCTCACGCGGGTGCCAAGGCGGAACGCTATATTGATAACAAGAGGAAAGATGATGTTCGGACAATGAACATGGTGGCTGCAAAAGCCGTCGCAGATGCAGTGAGGACAAGCTTGGGGCCACGGGGTATGGATAAGATGCTCACGACTGCAAATGGAGAAGTTATCATCACCAATGACGGTGCCACAATTTTGCAGAAGGTCAGCTGCAATCTGCCTTCCTTGAGACTCTGCATTTTCAGGCCAGGGAAATTTTACAGGTGGTTGTGGAACCAAAACTGACTGATCTGCCGTGGGGTCAGAAGTGGTGTGGTTCCGGAGTTCTGCAATTGCTGGAGCAGCTTCCTTGTTTCCTCTGATCAAGAATTTGGTCAGTGCAAATGCATCAGACAATCTCAGCAGGATTGCTTTGATTCAATTGCAGATGGACGTGACGCAGCCAGCTGCAAAGATGTTTGTGGAGCTCTCAAAGTCGCAGGATGTGGTGGCTGGTGATGGAACGACCTCAGGTAAGGATATGATTCACCGCCGTTGAAATGTCAGGCCCGCTAAAGTTTTACATCAAAACGGGCAGCTAATAAGGTTTCACTTGTGGGATCCGGGAGCGAGTCACTTGCACATTTTGCTCCGTGCCTTTCAAGGTTTGAAGGACTAAGCTGATGGATGTCATCCTGGGCCTTTAGCGTAAAGGATCCATAAGTCGCTGAACTACCACCTTTTTCTGCCTAAGTTACACGAATGAGAAAGCTGATAGCTGTTGTATAACTTGAATCATCGTTATATGGCAGTGGTCGTCCTGGCGGGTGCACTTCTGAGACAGAGCCTCAACCTACTTGCGAAGGGAGTCCATCCCACTGTGATCTCGGAAGCTCTTCACAAAGCGTCCGATAAAGCAGTAGAGGTAAGCAGCTTCAACGCGTATCCGTTTCTGATGGCCGCGGCGAGTGATGTTGATTTTAGACAAGCTTGGTGGGCCCTGCCAGTGATGTTGTTTGTACACAAGCTTCACACGCCCTCTGTTGCTCCATAGGATTGCTCCAAGTTGCAATTGAGTAATAGGAAGGGGTGTGCCCATCTCTGGTACATGAAAAGCGTAGAGAGTCTTGAACGCCAGCACTCTGATTCCTATAAGTCGATTTTGCAGGTGCTCACCAACATGGCAACCCCTGTCAAGCTGAGCGACAAGGAAACACTGGTCCGGAGTGCAACAACTTCTCTTGGGAGCAAAGTAAGCACTTCTGATTTGATATGAGCAGCACTATATCAGCTGTAGTAGTAGAGGTCACCTCGGCATTTGATTGTATGGTTTGATTGTATGGGTAGTCGCATAGGTAGCTGGGTGTCCTTCTGAGACTGCCGCACGACTCCCCTGCAAGCATTCTCAATGAAACCTTCGTTATGACAGTTTGAGTCACTTTACAGGTCCTTGTTTCTGATTTGAATGTGTTATTCGCAGGTGGTCAGTCAATATTCTTCTCTACTGGCACCAATCGCGGTAGAATCTGTTCTGAGCGTCATCGATCCTGCACGTCCGGATAGAGTGGACCTTCGGGACATCAAGATGGTCAAGAAGCTGGGGGGGACGGTGAGCGTTGCCTGCTGCTTAGCCGCTCGCTCATTCAACACCTTTGCTTGTAGACTCTGGTTAACAACTGGTTAACAATGGTTGTCGGGCTGCCATCCGAAGCTGCTTGCGCATCCGCATAAAGTAGAAAGGAAGGTCCAAGGTTAGCCCAGAAACGACCTGGCTCGGAGATAGCATCAAGAGCTTCTGTGCTTATCAATGTACTTCACCATTTCTAAGTGCTGCATCCTCGCGCATTAGCTGTTTGAGAACAAAGTTAGGCTGTCCAGTACCCAAGGTCTCCTCTCTAGGCTTCTTCCGGTTTCAGCCCCCTGACATTCTCGCCGTGTGGGCAGATCGACGATACTGAGCTTATCGACGGCCTGGTGTTCGATCAGAAGGCTAGCCGGTCTGCTGGGGGCCCAACGAGGGTGGAAAACGCCAAGATCGGCCTCATACAGTTCCAGATCTCGCCACCAAAGACGGACATTGAGCAGAACGTCATCGTCTCCGACTACACGCAGGTAGCCTACGGTGTCTCTTCACTCTGAGTATGCTTCAATAGGTTTGAGGTCTGAGTGCATAACATAGGATTCAAACTGGGCAGCGCAGTGGATGATTCAATTGACTGGCTTCCTACATCTGAACTGCACTGGAATGCGTTGGATTTGAAAATTGCCAACGTTTTTTAAAGTCCCTACGTTTCTGGTTGTTTGGTCCTCCGGGATCCTCATTGTCTACGAACGATTGAGCCGCCAGGGTGGAGGTCGCCAAGCTCTTTCAACATGTTCAAAGCTTGCCTTGGCATGTTTCAAACGTTTGCAATCTCATCTGCAGATGGATCGGATCCTGAAGGAGGAGAGGAACTACATCTTGTCGATGATCAAGAAGATCCGGGCCACGGGCTGCAACGTCCTCCTCATCCAGAAAAGCATCCTGAGAGATGCCGTCACGGACCTCTCCCTCCATTATCTAGCAAAGGCCAAGATCCTTGTCGTCAAGGTGAGACACTTTGACGTTCTGCAAAATGTGTCAAGGTACATTCCCACAGATGAAATTTGATGCGGCGCTAGGCTTGGAAGTTTACTTGATCGCAAAGCAAGTGCTGAGAATTCTCAGTCATGTCTTAGTTGCGTTTGCTGTTGATTCAGGACGTAGAGCGCGACGACATTGAGTTCATCAGCAAGACGCTGCACTGCCTGCCCATCTCGAACATCGACCACTTCCGTGGGGAGAAGCTGGGGCATGCGGACCTGGTCGAAGAGGTCCACGTGGGGAGTGGCAAGGTGAGCGAGCTGGTCTGTTAAAGGAGCGTAGTACAGGAAGTCCATTTCTTTCACTCCACGTTTCCTGGGACCCAGATTGGTTGCACTACTTTTTCAGTCCGTCCGAAATCATTGGCAAATCATTTCAGTGCGCGTTTCCGAGCTTGAGAATGTTTCACCAGGTGAACAATTCCTTTTCCAAGGCTATCAATGAGGAAGCCGCAGCTCAAGAAAGCGTTCTGGCGGCCCGTACTATGTCTAGCACCACAGGCCTTTTCAGGAACTGCTTCTTCTGACTTTCATAACATGTTTGCGATGCACCTTCTTTGTCATCACCGACTCTTGGATCTTCTTTGTGCAGATTGTGAAGGTCACGGGCATCAAGGACAAAGGGCAGACTTCGTCGATTGTCGTACGGGGATCGAACCAGCTGGTAAGGCCACCTAGCTTGGTGATGGATTTGCCTCCCTCTGAAGGAGCCATGCACTTTAGCTAGCCTAAAAGCAGGTGGCGTCAGCAAGCGGCTTTCGTTTCCAAGTACTCGAGCTTTATCAGCAGTTTTGTCGTGATTGCGGGGTGCACATGGGCAGGCTTCAGATAGTCAAAGGTTCAAGTCTTGAGGTCGTTTTGCAATCCTCCTGTCATGTGATCTGCAATTCTGCCTGCAAACGAGCTGACACGGATCTGTAACCTTTTGTAAGACCGTTCTGTTGAAGAGGACCGTTGCCCAAGCTTGTTGCTTGGCCCAGCGACTAGAAGCATTGACTTGGATTATGACTTTTCTGACGCGCTCTCAATCTGGTTGCTTCCTTCTTGCAGGTGCTCGACGAGGCGGAACGCAGCCTGCACGACGCGCAGTGCGTGGTCCGGTGTCTGGTGCAGAAGCCGTTCCTGATTGCTGGAGGCGGCGCCCCGGAGATCGAGGTGTCTCGTCAGCTGGGGTCGTGGGCAAAGACGCTGCTCGGGATGGAGAGCTACTGCATCAAGGCATTCGCAGAGGCAATGGAGGTGAGTTTTGACAAGGGCACTTCTGCAAGCCAGAACTGGGACATCTTTGGTTGGATGCTTAGCAAGCTTGACGTCCTAGCTCGTTCATTATCTTTTAGGGTGCAGGAGCATCATTGGAAGGACCGCCTCAAGTATGCGTAAAGTGGCGATCCGGTCGTTGCCGAATTCACCCGACTGTAGCACAAACCTCGAAGTGGATGTCCGAAGTTGTTTTACAGAAACCGCACCTCCGTTTGTAACCGTGCCGTAAACATACATCTTGAGACCTGTAGCAGCTTCTGCAGATCAGTCACGCCGCAGATGACGCGAGTGTCGTCGATCCAGAATACGTTTTGCAGCGGGCTCTGTCTCAAGCCTGCTTGACCTCGCTCGTGAATGCAGATTATCCCATACACTCTGGCGGAGAACGCCGGCCTCAACCCCATCCAAATTGTGACCGAGCTTCGGAACCGGCACGCGAACGGGGAGATCAACACGGGCATCAACGTTAGGAAAGGGGTGGTGACCAACATCTTAGACGAGAAGGTGGTGCAGCCGCTGCTGGTCAGCACCAGCGCCATCTCTCTGGCGGCAGAGTGCGTCAGGATGATTCTGAAGATCGATGACATCGTTCTTGTCAGGTAATCTGGCCTGACGGGGCGGAGAGTACACATGCTGCCGGCCGACGAGCGCGATCAATCCTTAATGTTGGTTAAGGTTTAGTCAACAGATCCGCTCTTCCCATACTCGCTTGTGAAAGCATTTCGTTCCACGCTGAGCTGTGCTGCGATGCGCTCAGATGTAAGAATTTGCCGGGGTCGATATCTTTTGTTGCATCTATGTTGACTTGCATGTGTACTTAGCCTGCGCCGGGGCCTGATGAGTCACATGGACGAGGGCGGCTGCTGCAAATGTTTCTATAATCCTATCGTGCTATCTTTCATGAAAAATTGACGATTGCGCACTTCGACAATCTCGGCGGTTCATGTGCATGTATTCGTACAATGATTCTAGTGTACACACACACGTACTGATGCGTGTGCTCATATGCATGCATTGAATTATATCATGCCACGTGACGTATATATGCACATTAAGTCTTGCCACCGGCACGTAGCATGTGGATCAAGTTCTGGAATCTGGTAGCTAGCAAGACGGGAATTGTGCAGGGTTGTCCTCGCATGCAAAAGCATCATTGCATACGAGAACGATCCGATCGCAAGCGGCCACTTAAGTGCTGCAGCAGAAATTGTAATTCAAACCGGCCTCATGCCGTCATGCTGACGAAGCGAATGCTTCAATTTGAAGTTGTTACATGATATGGGAAATGCAGCTTGCCCAGGCTGATCCTATGTATGCCACCTCAGTACCCAATTGGTGTCGATCACTGAATGCAGCTAATCTACCCAACTGAAGCTTTCCACGACTGGCAGTAGGATCTCACCACCGCAACTATAACCTGCTCAACCGCAGGTCCCACTATTTCCAAGCACATTTTCATCTTCGTATGCACCCTCCCTGTCGCGCGCACAATGCATCGACGCCCTGTGCAACGGCCGCTCTCATATTGCCCTTCCGAAGGGAAACCCGGGGCATATGGCCTACTTAAGATACCAGTAGTAACACTCTCCAATCGATAAGGCCATAACTGGCCGCCTCTTATATCTGATTTCAAACCGCGACCCGAGCAGAGGCTGCTGGCGGAGCCACATGAAGGCCGGGGGGTGGCGGCGCCTCAGTATCGACGGCGGTTGCGGCACCTCGGGGTGCGGTAGACTGCGCGAGCTCCACGTGGCGGGCCTGCGGGGGCCCACGAAGCATGAGCTTTCCCGGCTTGTTGCCTTTCCTGTGGCCTATTCTGTGGCCTATTCTGAGCAAAGTTGGCGACATTCCCGGATTCATCAAGGCGTCATCCAGCCCGGAGGATCCGAAACCAGTTCAACGTATCTCAGTGAAGTGTCTCGAATGTGGTTCATTTCAGAAGAGAACGGTAAAGACAACCGTCCAGACACGATCAGTGTCCACAATCAAATTGAAATCTTGAAACTCTTTTGAAGCGTTCCGGTCCGTCCACGCTTATTCTTCTTGCTTAGGCAGGGCTGAACGAAAAAGGATCTTCTTGCTTAGGCATGGCTAAACAGAGAAGAATCACCGCTCGTCGGACTCACCCCGACCACCCCCGGCGTCTCAAACTCCTCCAGGCTGCGTCCCTTGGTCTCCGGCACGAAGAAGATGGTGCAGATCAGGCCCAGCCCGTTGGCGATCGTCAGGATCGCCAGCGTGAGCTGCAGGCCGATGCCCGGCGGGTACGGGTACGCGGCCGCGGCCGACTTGGGTTGGCTCGCGTACAGGAAGCCGAACGCGCCCACGATGGCCCCCGCCTTGCCGCAGGCAGCGGAGATTCCGTGGCCAGTGGAGCGGAACCTGCGGAACGGGAACGAGGGTTCGTTGAGTTATGGGGTAAGTTCAAGCGGGTTTTTCGTTTTTACCTTTCGGATGATCAAGCGCGAAGCCTTTAGCTGACTAGGTGCGTGCTGTCTAGGATGCCCTCTTACGGTTTTGCTACGATCGGTGGGACATCACAAAAGCTTGGCGACGGGACTTGAGGTGGAGGAAAGTGGTTCATTAGGCACCTAAGTGCCCGCTTGTATAAACGAGCGGATGCTTTGCAATGGCAAATACAAAGCTTCCCTGTTTCCTGGACTCACTTTGCGGGGAAGATCTCGGACGGAATGATGAACGTAGTCGCATTGGGCCCCCAGTTGGCGAAGAAGAACGTCAGCGAATACAGGGCCACGAACGCGCCTGCCACGTCAACCAAAACAGAAACCGTCAGTTCATGTCGCGTCGAAAAATACCGGCCCGCAAGTTAAGCCCTTAAATCTTCGCCGTTTTCGTCGCTAAGTGCACGTAAATTCTGATGCAATCCACGACGACGACAATGCAGAACGTGAAAGTGCGCTAGCTCTCCAGAGGCAACGGTCTGAAACTGACGGGAACCCGTGTAAGCCTTCCTTTGCGTTTCTCCGAATACGCGAGATTCCCGTTTTTGCGGATGCTCAGCACCTATCATCGTCGGCGTCCCATTCGGCGCCCCTGAACGTCGCACCCAAGATGTTGCACGGCCAGTATGCGACACGTTACGTTGGAGCTTTACGGGTTTTGACCATATACTAGACTCCCCGCCATTGTTGGAATTATTGAACTTTCAGTCGAAAAACCTTGGGTGCGAGGTCAAGGAACCCGAACATCTTTGAAATCTTCCCAACGCCCACCTTTCTTCTTGCTGATGCTGGGATAGTCCGCGGCGAGGATGAGCATAAAGAGCGTCATGAAGAAGAAGCCCATCAGCTGCACCGTCTTGCGGCCCAGCCAGTCCACCGTCGCCACCGTGAAGTAGTACCCGGGGATCGTTGACCATAGCGCCACCAGAGCCTGCGCGCGCGCAAAAGATGTCGTCAGCGCGCGCACAAAGATGTAAAACAACCAGTCACGGTGAAGTAAAACCAGGGGATCGTCGACCACAGAGCCACCAAGGCCTGCGCGCGCGCAGCAATCCCATCAGCGCGCGCACGGGGTGTGCTCGTCATGGGAGTACGATGTCCGAGCACCTTTCTGGAAACGAGTGCACAGAAAATCACGGGCTCAAGGGAGAGTGCGATCCTAAATGTTCCGGTTGACAGGAAGGAGGGCAGCATGGAAAAAGCTCCGCCCGAGCATGTAAGATCGACGAGTGCAATATCCGGAAGGCAACGTGGACTTTCCGCCCGTCAGAATTTGCAGTAAGACATACACGTTTCTTGCACAAAGGAGAATCTTGAATGACGTTGGCAAGTCTGAGGTTGGTCTTGCGTTTGCTTTTGAGGCAGCGGTCACCTGCGCGCGCGCGAGCTTGTAGGTCTCCTGCAGCGCGCTCATGGTGGTCGCGGGCGGCAGCCAGCCGATGACGGTGAAGACCTGCGTCTGGAACAGGTTCTGGCTGTAGAACGCGATGTCCAGGAAGAACCACGTGGACGACGTGCCGAAAAGCTGCATCGCAGGAGCGCAATCATTATGACTGTCAAGGGTGAGAGGATAAGACAAAAGAGAAGTTCAAATAGGATACGCAAGGGAGTACGTTGAGAGATTGGAGCTCGCAAACGTTGACATAGTCGAACTTCCTACTTCAGTGGGGGTCCTCGAGATCTGCCAGCTCCTCTTCAAAAAAGGAGGCGTTTACCCAAACTGGACTGGACTCTCTTCGCACAAACCTTGGAAGCATTCCCGTGCGGTGAAGCCTCGCGGTACCAGGCGATTGAAGGCGTCATGCAAATCTGTTCCAAAGGCAAACGGGCTTAATGATGCCAACCCGTATTCTGATAAGAGGTATTCTGCGTAGCTTCAGCAATCAAAAACTTCTTGAAGTCGCGTAATGATCAAAAGAAGGACCATCCAAAATCCCTCGAGCGTCCTAAGAACCGAATACTGCGGTTGCCGGTTCTTGGCAACACGAACGGTTTCAGTGGCGCGTTTTGGTCAAGAAGACTTGTTTTCCTAGTTGACACGTAATACGAAAGGCTGCGCCCAGGGGCCTAACTGGACCAATGGCGGGAAAATTACAGTCATCGCCTTCGGCTGACGCACGGCGGACTCACGTATCTGCCGTAGTGCCGCAGGAACCAGCCCCAGTTCTGTTCGTCGAAGGGGACAATCTTGGGCGACCGCCAGCCGCGCTTGAAGTCCGCCCACGCCTGCTTCTGGCGGCGACGCATCCGCTTCCACCAGCCCTCCTTCTTGCTCTCTACGGCATGTCCGTGGTCGCCGTTAAAATCCAGCGGGCCGTTCGGAACTGCGGCCGCGGCCGCGGCCGCGACGCTAGCGTCGATCCTGTCGGCGTCGCGCTGGATGCGCGCGTCGGCCTCCGTGAACTGGGTCTTGAGAACCTTGCTCATGTCCACCGCGGTTTTCGCCGCGTTCTGCGCAGGAATCGACGGGCAGGAGCTTCCTAGGTGTAGGAATCTGAGGTTGAGGGACTCGCTCGGGCCCCTTAACCGCGCACCAAAGATGTTGTTCGATACTTCCGACAATGGCGTCGAAAAAAGTATCTCGTCGTAATACGTAAGATTCAGACCTGATGGAATATAGACTGGACGTGCAACAGCTTAAGTGCGAGGTCAAGGTGCCCGTCTTCCTGGACCAGTCCGCATTCAAACGAGGTCCGCGGCGAAACAGGGTTGGGGGGCTTATATGCGCAGGAGGTGGACTCAAAGTTGCCCCCAGTGGGTCAAATCGCTGATTGTTTCTTCTTAACATCTTTGGAAGCCCCGCTAATCGATCTGGATAGACGAACATCCAAGACCCGACGCCAACTCTGCCTTTCCAGCGGTTGAAACCTGTGCGTGTCATGCTTTGTCATGCTTGAGAAAGAAGCCACCAACCATTCACCAGTTATGTTGTTCCTCTCACACAGGATTTTATGTCCTCATGGCACCTTTGAGATTGACGGAAATTCTACCAGACCAGACGGAAAACGAAAGAAAAGACAGGTGGGCGGCGCGCGCGTACCCGCGCAACGATGGACGTGTAGCGCGCGGTCTCGGGCAGCTTGAGGCGGTAGTAGAACGTGAGTATGGCCGGGATGCAGCCGACCGACAGAATGATGCGCCACACAAAGTCAGAGGCGGGGTAGCCCTGCGAGGCTATCTGCAGACGCGGGGATAAGTTTTGAAGGATAAGCTTTGGAAACAGACTTAGGGGATCTAGTAAACTGGGGACGGTGATCTTGGCAGCGTGTATGGGTGTCTCAAAGCACCAAATTGCTCAGGAGTGTTCGTAATCAAAACCGGACGAAAGTGCAACCCGCACCGCGCCGAACAGTGAAGGAGCACGGAAACGAAGTAAGAAGGGCGGGAGGCCCGGTTCTAACTGCACGTGCACGGAGGTTCTGGCGAGCATCGAAGGATGAAATATAGAGCTTCAAGCAGACTGCAAGACGCCTTTTGTGCCCTTCAGAATTCTTCGACAAGCTGAAGGAACCGTAGTTTAAGCATGAAGCAATGGTCCGAGATCAGTTGCAGCGCTGGTTCCGGCTGACGTCGGTACGTACCGGTTCCACGCTGTAGGGGGGTCTAGGGTGGTTGCTCTTGAAAGATCCGGCGACCGCCAGGGTGATGGCGGCCCCTGCAGGCCGAGCGGCAAATCGACGTCAGCAAGGACGTCACAGATGCTTGGATTCGACTTCACAATAGGCAAGAGCTGCGTTTGTGGCCGGTTCAATGAGGAGACAGGGTGGCGTTCTTTGTCGGCTGCGGCTTGACGAAACAAAATGCATGAAAGGATGCACGCTCGTCGAAAGAAAGACCTCATGGAGTCGCACCTGTTATGATGCCGATACCTTGCATGCTGAAGACGGCAGCCACAAAAGCGCCACGTGTCCTCCTGAGGGGCCAAACGGGACGTCAGCTTAACCCCTGAATTTCCCTACTCAGCCTTGATCTATAAAAGACCTGTTGGTGGCAACTAGCGACGTAGAGTATGGAGAGGCATGGCAATCGGGAGCAAAGTCGCGTTGTGGTGGTAGGGTTCGCAGCAAAAGATAACATAAGCAGCTGCTGATCTGTCTGCCGCGCCCGAAGAGTCAATGAGGAGTATACATTTCAGCCAAGTCCGAGTTACCTGTTCGAATACTCGCTCATGATGACGGCAGACAGGGGGTAGTCTCCTCCGATTCCGACTGCAAGATGCACGCCGAGGATATGCAAACGTACGTCTCTTTGGAATCCGTAGAGCTGCTTCGTGGCTTCTCAGTAGATCCAGCAATTCAAGAACCAGTGCTCTCTTAAAGAAAGTGTCTTTTGGAATGAATGACGGTACAAATGTTCTATGATCGGACGGACTGGATGGATCGAGAAGTGAAAGCAGTGCTTAAGACGAGGGAGGAACGGCGCTCACATCCCAGGAAGAAGCGCATGATACAGAGCGTGGTAACGACTGCACGGAAGAGAAACGACGCACGTCAAGAACTCCGACGTGGATGCTGGCGCCCTTCAGCAGCGCATGTCAAAAGCTTTCTTGTTTCAAAAACGCCAAAGAAAGCCTTGAGTCTCCAGTCTCGTTTGCTGAGAAGCGGCAAATATTTCCAACTGGGGCCCCGAAAAAGGTAAACGTTGGATATCCAGGATCTTGCTGTGCTTCTCATATGTTGGCTACCAGAGACAAGTTCCACGGTTGAAGTACGTCCTCTTGCTGTCATTTGCTGTGTTCAACGATTCATCTCATCTGCGCAGCCCGAAGTTTGCCCACCTGCTTCGGCTGTGTTTCCGAAAGACAGCCCCTGCGCCGCGCCGAAGACGACCATGATCAACAGCGTCACGCCGTACGCCGTCTTGCGCCCGATCGCGTCGCCGAGCCTGGGTGACGACAGCAGGAGCGTGTCAGGTTCACACGAAACAATAGACATTTTATATACGTAAGGAACACCGGGTTTTTCTGCTTCAGTGACCGCTGAGTGATCTCTTTGCTTCGTCCTCTTATACCGCACGATTGACAGGGAAGCATTCACCGTGTTCACTGATTCAAAAATCTCAAAAGGATTCTTGGTTCTTAGGGGCCCAGGCCACGGCCGATAGGTTTCGGCCGCCCAACTCAGCCCCATCCATCCTCTTGACAGCGACGAGATAGCCCAGGAAAGTTTGGCTTTTGATTATCGAGGTTTCTCGCTCAAGAGGGCATGAGATCCTCTGCATGCTTACGTCAGGCAACGGGCTAATGCTGACGTATAATGATGCAGTCAAAAAAGAAGAGCAGACAATCAGCCAGACTGCCAGGACGTCCCGCTTACCATCCGAAGAAAAGCTGCCCGCAGAAGGTGCCTACGAGAGCTACCGCCGTTACCGCAGAGTTGGGCCCAATGGGGATTCTGCACATTCAAAATGGACATACATCACCCCGTTATCCTTGCTGATAAGGTTCGCTTGCTTTATGGGATCTCAAAGTGCACGGAGAGAAAGTGCCATTGTGAGTTCGTCACGTTAGCACACCGTCTACCTACTGCCACAGAAGAAATTGACGAAAAGAAGTTTTGGCCTTTCACAAAAATCCTTTCACCCTTTCCCCTTCCCCTATTTAACTGCACTAGGGCATCAGTTCCCAGTCTCCTATTTCAACTGCAATAGGGGGATCAAATGTGGGCAATTGGGCAATTTCTTACGTGGGCACTTTTTTGGGAAAAGGCGGCTGGCTAGGGATGAAGTAGATGCGACCAATGAGCTTGGTCAAGAGGCCAATCCTGCAACATTGAAGAGTCACAATATTGTGACGTTCGCTGGACGTCCTGTACAGCATCAAGCCCCGTCTGAAGGCATGCAGGCCAAGATTGCAGTGTTCTCAAACACCGAAGGTTTCTCATGCCGTTCCTCGCAAAGATTTTTGACTTCGGACTGAACCAGCAGATCAGCGGGTTGCTTACACAAGCTTAGACTCCCGATGAATCTAGGATCACGTAGGACACGGCTCGTGAGGATGCTTTCCTTGTAGCGAGAGCCGAAAACTCGCACAGAAAGTACTATTCCAGTTCTTGACGAGGTTTTGCAGACAAGACTTGTTGTTTTTCATATGCGCAAAACACCTCCGCCGCATGGCTTCGCATACGAAAATAGACATCCTGTGCCGGTTTATCAAAGCGTGAAACGCAGTGATCTATCTTCATTGCTGGACAGATCTGAAAGTCAAATCAGTTGTTGAGTTGGGAAGCTCACACGAAGAGGTCGTATGCATCGTTGAAGAACCCCACACCTGTTCAGGAATCAAGCAAGCAGATCTTAGTGACTCACCAACAGATCAACAAGCGCTACGAAGCCACTACGCTTTCAAAGCCACGGAACTAAGGACACATGATCTGCCGGGTATTCTCAGCATCCTCAATTACTTTCTTTCCACCCCACAGACGTCCTTCCCGGGCTCACCTGCAATGATGATGGCCTGAAAGTGAAACCATGAAACCTTTTTCTTGTCGAGTGCGGTCAGAACCGAGCTGTGCACCATGATGGCGGTCCGGCCAAAAAGCTTCCGCCGAAGAAGATCCAAAGCCCTCTGCAGACTGCAGTGCCTAAGTCTCTTTGCGCACCCAAAATGTGGACCGCTAGGTTACCTTTTGGATGAGGCAACGGTTGAGCCTTACTCTTCGAAGCTTCGGAGCTTCCCAGGCAGATAGCAGCACGAGAAAGGAGGGCCGCCGGCAGCAGGTCCTTGGATTGCAGTCACGCGTTGCTCGGAGTTTTAACTTGACCAAGGAAGAAGTGCAACTCGTGTCGCCTTTCGTAAGCTTCTGGCACAGTACAAGAGCAGCTTCGAGCCATCGAACAAAGGGAGGAATGCGACTACAGTAGTATGAGGACATCAGTTGAGAATATTTCCAGAAAAGATTCCTTTGCATGGACCGAGGGCTGACGAGGCAACAAGTCTGTTGGAAGCTCAGCTGGCGGTCTCTCTTTCGGTCGCTCCTCACGTGCCAGAAGTCACGTGCCAGACACTCATGCATCAGCAATCGAGTTCTGCATACGAAGTCGAGACTGATTACTTTCGGCCAGCGCTTCTCGTTGGAGGTTCGGACGCTATCGAGTTGTCAGCCCCTTCATCCGTTACGGCTTTTGACGCTGCGGCAAGCAGCGTTCGTCATCCTGTACGGCTTGCCCAGAAAAATCTGGATTCTTGGTAGGTGCAGCCAGACTGCTCACTTAGCTAAGTAGTAGCATCGTCAATGTTCGACTCGTGCCAGGTCTACGTCCACCTGGTAGCTGTAGCTCTGTAGCTACATCCCGACTCGTCCAGCGGCGATCGGCAGCTTCCTGAGCTAGGTACATCTTAACTTTTCATTCAAGAATCAATTATCCAACGGCTAGGTTTTGCAGCGCAGAAGTTTGCATCAACTGACCCCGTCGATTTGGCACGAGCTTGCTTGCTCGTTCAACGCATCAAGTTCGTGCGCGACCTCTCCGTTATCAGAACGACAATGAGCGATCGAGGATACATATAAGCTCGCGATCGAGATTCGGCATCGACTTCCCAGACAAGCTGCCGCTCAGCTGCCGGACCATGCTCAAGTGTATGCTGCGCCTTTAGCGCTGATACAAGATCTCCGTTCATAGTGATTATGCCACTGCTCGAGTCGTGGTCTAAAACATTCGAGAGTCGTTCCCTGCGATGTAGCTGGAGCTTGCCAAACGAGCGGTGACTGTACGAGTTTGATTTGCAAGGAGGTCCTTGAGAACTGCATTCCGTTCGATAAAAATAGCAATGAAAGACATGGTGCAGAAGATCATGCATTCAACCAGACGATGGGATAACGGCGCAATGCACATGACAAGTGCACAGTGGCCGCCAGTGCGGAGCACGTCCAAAGTTGCCAAGTGTGCAGAGGTGCAGCTGGCCATGTACAAGATGAAGACTTGAACACTCTCGTCTTCTTTTGGAATGGTACAAAATGAACGCGGATGGATGTCCATCAACGGGATGGGTATCATAGGTTCCGAAGGCACTTCTGGTTTGGCGGTGCTTTCATCCTTTCAAGTTTCCAAGGACGTGCAGTGGGTAGTCCTAGGACTAGGAACTACACTGCTTTGAAAGGTTACGAACTTCGAACTTCGCGAAAGTCAAACCCGCGAGAATCGCGCACGCTTCGCGACTCCACGTAGCTGGAATCGACGGCTGAGACACGGCCACAAAAGATTCCGTGTGGAATCGCAACCGAAAGTCGCGTAGCGATGGTTGCGACCCACGCGGGCAACAGGGACGTCTCCCCCGGGCGTTGCTTGCTGTATTCTGTTCGAAGAGTGCAGACTCGGAAGTGCCCGGAAGATGGCTTCGCCAACCGGGAGTTGCTCCATTCCATCATGTCCGGCGCGAAGGCACATTTCTGTTTTGAGTGTTTGAACCGCGGCAGCCAAGTTGGGCAGATTGGCGGCGCCTTCAAAACTTTGAAGGTTTCCGGAAGGTTGGCTGCTGCGCGCCGCCATTGTAATCCCTTGTGGGGGGAGGGTTGGGCTCCTGGAAGTAGCTGTTCTTGCCAGGATTTGCCGCGCAGGCGCCTTCCAGCGGTCATGCATGTCGGCAATCAGGTCTGCAGCACACCTGATTGTGGTAGAATGGGGCAACGGGCGGAGTTGTTGGAGGATGCAGGGCCTTCTGGCGCCACGTCAATGCAAAGGCTATTAGGAGATGCGAGAATGGCAGGAGATGAAATGGGGTCGGGGCTACAGGCGAAAGTTCTTGAACTGGGGGACAACCTTCGGAAGATGAGCGGAGGAATCTCAGAACCAGTGAGAAGGAAACTTGGGGAAGTAGGGAAAGGTTTGGATCAAGCAAGGCGGGGATTGTTGGATGTCCGGCAAGGCCTGGAGCAAAGAATACACCTTCCAAACATAGATCTGGGATTGGAGGAAAGGCAGACTCCTTTCGTGCAGGTTGACGTGGACACAGATCTCATCCCCTTGAATAAGAATGTCCAGTGGCAGAATGTCAGGCTTGGATTTGCAAGCCTTAGCACGCTCGCAGTAGAAAGCCGGCCGCTCCGATTGCCCGCCCTCCCAGATCTCGGAGGTTTGTTGAATCGGCTTCATGTGCCATTCATGGATGGGACAGGTGAGGAATCCTGTCTTGGTATGCTTTCCTCAGATCTCAGTGACCTGATCAAAATTAAGCACTGCCTACCAACTTTCTTGCTTACATGCAGTCCGTTTGAGTTACAAAGTGGTGGTTGTGGCACAAACATTTTCGGATCACCTGAAGTGCACTATTTCCGCTCTTTCGGTCTGCAGCCATACTGCAGTACGGCCAGATGCACAAGCATTGGTATCTGGGACTGATTGGAGTGTTGTAAAGGTGCTATGTAGTTTTCTTCGTAGTGAACCAAGTGCGCTATGTTGATGCAAATGCTGCGACGTACTGACGTTGTCTTTTTTCGAATACAATTCTGCACTCCCTAGATTTGGTGTCTCTTTCCAGCTGCCAGTGATATTTCTGACATACGGTATAACAGGACTTATGACATCGGACACAATTTTTCCACAAGTTCTGCGCGCGGTCATATGCAGCATGAGGTCCATGACTTTCTTTCTCCAACTTATCCCCTCAATAAAATTAAGAAGCTCATCTTTTTCTGCATCAAGGTAGTTACTGCAACGATCCTAATCAGCCCTTTGTGCTGCAGCGCTTAGTCACGTGGTGGCTGCAACGCTAGCACGCACGGCAGCGCAGGTCGTCGGACATCCTATAGGTGAGCTGCTTCTGTGTTATTGGGTTTCCACTATAGCAGCTCCACTTCATTTACATAGAGACAAAGAATATGTGCACCATGTTTGCCAGATCTGAGCTCCACTTTGTGCGCATGTCCGCTCTGCTCGATTGCGCATCTTCAATCCGACTTCGATGAGAATGCAAGTTCTTTGTAGGGCATCAGCGACGGCATGTCCGATGTTAAGATTGATCATTATGTTTTTCTCCCATCAGACACTGTGAAGACCAGGCTCCAAGTCAAGAACCCGCCCAAGAAGCTGCGGAAGTGGAGGAAAAAGATTTCAAAGAAAGCGGTTGGCATTGGTCCGGTCGACATTGACAATTGGTGGTTCAAGGGGCCAAACGACTTGTACAGAGGAGTGACGATTGCTGTTCTGGGGACGCTGCCGAATGCGTTCATGTACTTCACAACTTATGAACGTAAGTGGACCTAGCCTTTTTTGCTTGTTGGGGCTAATTTCTCATTGAATGAGCCTGACATGACTGTTTATAGCAGACAAAGAGAGGTTGTTGCGACTAGTTGATGCCCTATAGGGCACATATATAAGCAATAATTATGTGAGCTACAACAGGAGGGCAACAGCTGACGACCGCCTTTGTGCATTATGCAGTTGCAAAGAGGCAGTTGGAAAAAAAGAACCTGCCTTCTGATCTTGTCCACATCGGGTCAGCTTCTTTGGGGACGTTTGCCGCTTCCATCGTCCGGGTGAGTCCTTTGGTTCTTTCGCATCTCCTTCAAGTAAGCTGCTCTATGAACCGCGGACTCTTCGTGAAGACACTGTCTAGTGTGTACTCATCCAGCTAGGGTGTTTGGTTAAAGGCTTCTTTCAAAGTAAGCTGTGCCGAGTAAAGTTAGCTGATACTCGCCATCCATTGGAATCAGAGATGAGGAAATGGTTGCAACTACAAACATGCTCTGTGAAAAGGAGCTATGGCACCGAGTGTCAATGCTTCGAATATATCTTTGTGCAGGTGCCCTTCGACACCATGAAGCATCGAGTCCAAGCTTACATGCATCAGAACTGTGAGCATCTGGGCTTTCTGGTCGCTGTTTGTTGGTGTTACTTCATTGCAACACGCGCGTGTGCCTCTAGCTTTCCCACCTTGCAACCATCCGTTGACATGTGCTGTCCTGCGAATGCACCCCTTAACGAGACGTTCACAACACGCAAGGGTACCCTTCGTTATGCAGACTATCCTGCTTCTGGAAGACCTGGTTGCAAGCATTGAAAGCAGAAGGGGAAGACGTCGAGACCGGGGTGTTTTTCCATATCAGACCGTGGTTGTGCAGCCCCCTTGTGATCAAGTCTGACGGTCGTGCTTAGTAAAGCCTTGCTTGCGCCAGCCAGGTTATCTAAACACATCCGAGTTTGCTGCAGTGTTCGATGCTGTGAGGACGGTGGTGGCTCAGGAAGGGATCCGGGGTCTGTATGCGGGGTTCTGGCCGACGCTCATGCGTGATATCCCTGAAATTGCCATACAGGTTAGCATCTTACAACGATAGTTCTGCGAGTTTCGTGAGGTCTCTGTTGGTCGAGTGTGAGTTTATTAGTACCAGCATGATGCAGTATGATAAGATGCATCATAAACAGCTCAATCTACATGGCACCTTGATGCGTTAAATTCTTTGAGGGCGTCCTAAGGTTGCAGGCTTCCTTCGGCTGGATACTTGCCTTAGTCCGGCTCATTCCGATATGAATGAAGATGATGACTTCCTCAACGTGGGTCCCTCTACTTTTCTGCAGTTTTCCATCTACGAAAAGATGCGAGGCATCCTCGAGTCGAGACGGGAGGTGAAGAAGCTCGCGTAAGTTCTCTTTGGTGTTTCGGAGCCCTACTGATCACTTCGTTTTGTACCACGAAAGGGGCTGGCAAACTTGCGCAGCAATTCAAATTATCAGGCCCTTCACTGATATTAGGGACATTTGTTTAAAAAGAGCAAGGGTGCAGAGCTACGAGACTGGGATTCTGGAATTGCGTAGGATTTAGTTTCCAGCTCATGTAGACACGAGGTTGTGACGATCTTATTTGCAACCCTTCCACTTACTACGTTGAACAGATTTTCCGTTTGTCATTCAAATTGAGAATCTTTGCGTCGGTGAAGTGGACGTCTTTTGGCAGATTCCGTAATCTGATTATGCTGACTAGAGCGACTTAACCTGTGTTTGGTCCGCCTGTTTGAGCATGTCTTTTCCTGCTCGCAGAACTCACGAGCATCTGCTGCTAGGGGGACTGGCCGGGGCCTGCGCAGCCACGTGTACAGCTCCAGTAAGTACCAACGAGATTGTTCCGAAGGGTCACTGTTGAACCATGGTCCGCCTCTACGTATTTTGATGCATGATTGATGGCAGCTCTTTATCTCAAAACCTTGAACAACGGTTCCCCTTCGTCGGTTCGCCCTCCGTGGTCTGGAAACTGGAACAAAATGCTGTGGTGGCTCTCTCTTCTGGCACTTCCGCTGTGCTGCTTGAATCTTGACTCCGGCGCCGTGTTTATCCAGCTCAGGGTTTCGCACCGTTCCTCACCCTTCTTTCTGTCTGTTCCAGCTTGACTTGGTGAAGACGCGGCAGCAGTGCGGGATGGGCCTCAGCATCAGGGGAGCAATGATGAGCATCGTGGATGAGAACGGGGTTTTGGGGCTTTTCGCCGGTCTGGTAAGTTTTCCTCCGGCTTCTCTGTACTGCCTGTCCGTACGATCTTGGTTAGAATCAGGCGTTTGTCAAAGTCCTCTTACATCAGGAAGGCTCTTCGTAGGCTGCGGTTGCACAAAGAGCCATAGGGACGTGCAAGCAGACACAGTCGAGTTGGGCTGCGGTCTTCGAGCACTGCGTGTTCCAGTCGAGTGGAAATCTGCTCTGAGGATCTCATAGCTCGGCTTAAGGCCTCATTTCAGGAAGACAATGAACGTCCTTGTTGCCATCTGTGCAGCCTCCTCGGGCAATCCACGTGACCGTGATGTCAGCAGCTTTCTTTGCGCTCTTCGAGGGTTGCAAACTGGTAAGCCCTGCTCCCCTCGACCACGCCGGATCGCACGGTTGACTCTGCTATCTTCCTGCTTGTATATTGGCTGTCCATGGAATGTGTTCGCCAAGCAAGGCTTGTTGGTCGTGCAAGCTCAGAGAAGCACAAAGCTTAACGAAGACAAGCATATTTGCATGGTAGATTTCCGAGTGATCCTATACCGCACTTCTGCAAAGGAACGTACTGGCTAATTGTCGTCTCCTTCTCGCAGCTGCTAAAGCCCGACCGGCATCCGTCCGATAAGCTGGTCATCCCCAAGATCTGGAGGAAGCGGAGAGACAAGATCTGGAAGCGGCAATTTGTATATACGGACTAGCAGGTGAGCAGTCGCTCTGCTCCTCTAGTTCAATTGGTATCAAAGCACGGAGCAAAGCTCGTGTCTGGAATATAGCTTTCTTAGGACTTTGCTCATACCAGTATGGGGATTCACTGGCCGCCCTTGTGTGCAGCTTTGCTAACGGTGTCTTCCATTGTTTTTTGCAGCGGTCTCTCCGACCAAAGCTGGTTAGGTGGTAAGCATTTCTTGTCACAGCCCAGTTTGTGCTAAGGTGGGCGGCTGGTGATCCGGCTGAAGGGAAGGTTACTTGGTAGAGAGGTGTGCAATAGAAAAAACGATAGAGGTGCGAGTCCGAATCATTGAAAGTCGCAGCCATTCAAAGTCGCAACCCAGAAACGGTAGCTTGACAAGTTTTGTAAGTATCTCAGGCTACTTCAAAGAGCTGGTCTGCACTCTTGAGAGGCTTCGTGGCTCTGAGCAGCGTGCCAGGGCTTTTAGCTAGATAAACACGATACAGGACTGCCGCTTTCTGATCGAGGTGAACTCCATGAGCCTCCCACCTTTACTAATACGCGCAAATTGGCAAGCACATCGGAGGTTTTGCCATTACGACCAAGACCCGTCCATAAACACCAACTCACTCTGCGGCTGCAGCTGTTTGGCGCGCGTGAAGTATGCTTGCATCTCAATTGAATGAGAAATTTTCGTAGACGAGCCGTGTGCATGAAGAATACTATGATAGCTGCAGTCTCAGCATATCTGGCCCGCACCGAGCTCTGCATTCAATGTTTTAGAATAAAAGAAGCGTGAAAGTCCTGAAGCGGCCGGGTCGGACCATGCATGCATGCGGCCTCGCGCGCGATCAATTTATATGCAAGCTTGCATGTGCGTGGGAAAGTAAGTTACTATAGCGCCTGCGCGACGAGATGCAGGGCGCGCGCGGCGTATATATACATGTCTGTAGACATGGTGCACGTGTGCTTATGATCGAATGCACAAACTTGAAAGAGCCATAGATCGAAAATGGATCGCAGTATACGCACTGACCAGCGAAGTGAGCGAATGATTGCGATTGGGTGACGTTGCGGTACTGGTTGAGTCAGTCATGTATGCAATTTCACGTCACGCGGGGAGCTGCGCGTTGGTGCTTACAGGGCAACAGCTGCAATATGATGCTGAGATACGCAACTTCGTTGCTTTCATTGATTCAGCAGAATGCATCTCGTTGACATGCCGGATGCATGCATCCAATCTTAACCTGGCCCCACAGAGCCCTTCAGCCTCACTTTGACGCGGTACGAATGCGTGCGGCACATGGTTACCAGACTGTAATTCCGGTACGTCCTGCCCGCAAACACACACTCTGCACACAACGCATTCCTTGCAAAGAATGAGACGGTGCCAAGACTGCACCTGTGTGTTGTATACTGCCTAGTGAACGCACTGAATTCTCTGTACTCCTACAATGTGGGGTTATATTCAACTAGTCACGTCTTTCTATGCCGGGCCTAGAATTGCAGGGTCCGACTTCATTGCTTGCGTGACTGATCCGCAACGTGCCCTGCACCCCAGTAAGACTTGCATCACATCCCACGACGTCACAGCGTCAGTCCTGGTGCTTGAACTTGAGCTGCCTCACGTTGGTCATATCTCGGAACGGCGTTCTGCTCGCCAGCCCGTGGCCAGGCGTTCCGACGCTGATGAAAGCTTTCCGCTTAACAGGCGGATGCGGAGTGGCCGCGACAACGGAAGGCGGCCGAAGCCTCTGCAAGAGAACCATCAGGGAAGCAACCTGCACACAACAGGGGGCTAAAGTTGTCAGCGACCCGCACTCGCCTTTCGTTAGCGTTCGGAGGGTCTCAATTGGACTCCTTTTGCCGCACTCACTAAGCTGGTCAATCCTGTGGTCGACTCGTAAGGTTCTGTTGCATTTTCGGAGACCCCCATCTGATCCGGCTGTCACGATATGAAAGCGAAAGGGGATCCCTCCCAAGTCTCTGACTCCTCTTACGTTTACTTATCGTGCTCACTGGTTCAATAATTCAACCGAGGGTCCAGTGGGTCTGCCTCGGAACGCGTTTTATTTCCGTGTCCTCTCCTCAAGATCAACTGGTGAAGCACCAACATCAGGAATACTGGACCGCCTATAACAGTTGGAAAGCACCGAGAGAACCGAAAGAGTCTCCCCACCTGTTTTGAGGACCCAGTTGGGCGGGGATCCAGTTGCACCTTCCGCGACAGAATAGACGCGATCGACTCCAAACGGAACACGATCTCAGGCATCGCACGGACAGTCTGCATCGCATCAAACAAGAAGTTTCACAAGGTGGTCGGTTGAAAAGAGAGCAGCTTGGGAAGGGGCTCGAGAAGCGCAGCAGGATGCGAACGTAGTCGAGATCTTTGAAGGCTTCTGGTATAATCGTGCACTTGAAAACCTTGGTTTCTCAAACGACGAAGCCAAGACGAAGGGCATTTTGCATGAAGCTGGGAAACCTGAGCAAGCCCTGGCGAGAATCCTACGACTTTACTTGCTTCTCTAGGATTTCGGCGGGCTTTTTATCAAACTTGCCCACTTCAGCTTGGAGCCGAGAAATCTATCAAGATACGCAGTCTCACCTCTGCCCGCTCCGCGTCCCGGCAGATGAGGAGCAGCGTCTCCAGCGCGAGGTTGAAGACGTCTTCCTTGTCCCGGTACATTTGGAGCTGCAACAAGTTCAACAATTCAACGCGTGTCAAACATGGGTGCCCAGGCTCTGAACCCCTGAGGATAAAACCTTCAACACGAGCAAGCGCAAGAAGACACAGGCTTGGACTCAATTGCACCAGGTTAATGAAAGGTTCCGCTTGGAACGAGACTGAGCACCAAACTCCTCCCTAACACCGCAATGTGTCGCGCTCCGAAAATGATGATTAGGCAATGCTGACAAGTTCAAAAGAAACCGTCGCGCCAACCCCCGGGAGGTCTTACCTGCTCCACCAGAATGTTGACGCAGTCGGGGGCTTCGACCACGTAGCCTATCAGCGACCGGTGCTTGCAGAGGTTGCGGATGATGCTCAAGCCGTGCCTGCAAAGGATCGAAGACGTCAAGATCGAAGACACTAGCTATGAGACCTCTAAATGTCGTCGTACAACCATGCAAAGTGAGGACGACAAAGCTCAGTTCAGAGCATGGATGTGAAATCTGGAATCCATAACAGAAACTTGCATCTGAGTCTGGTCAAGTGTTAGGATTCGACCTCAACCGGAAATCGTCCTGCCCCTTTCCAGCTTGCAAGTGATTGAGTGCGCTACCTCGTTGTGCCAAAGCGTACGCTACAGCTCGTCCCGGTTAAAAGTGCTCAAGGCAAGCGCGGAGACCACGCAAAGTCTGCAACGGGCCCTCGCATCCCCCTACAACGTACATGAAGCCGTATCGCACCGAAAGTGCAGTCAGTATGTTTCACCTGAGCAGCTGCAGGTGCGGTGTGCTCCGGTTGCAGGATTGGATGAAGCGCAGCAGCGTGGGCACCGCCGAGTTGGCCGCAATGCGCTCGCAGCACACCGGGGACAAGCGGGTCGACATGTCTGGACGCAAACAGAGGAAGAGTGGGTCAGGCACCGTTTCCGGGAAGAGAAAGCATATCACTACCAGACGGGGAAACTGATTTGTGAGAGTGTCAGGCTGCGCGGCAGCAATCAGGCGACACTCTATGATGTTTGTTGCTGGAGAGATAAGAGCTGTAGGAAGGGAGGCTCTATAACGCTGACCACACACGTTGCAAGGCATTCGAGAGCAGTTCTTGATGAACAAAATGACGTATGTTAAGAACCGAAGATGAGTGGGCTCCGGGGTTGGATGCACGTCCTTGGTCTCCTCTGCTGAAGCCTCAACAAGGTATGCCGACGACGCCTTCAGGATGAGCGGAACGGTCAAAGTAGCGACTCGTTGAGCTCACCTATCGCGGCGCATGCGTGCAGCGCGTGCGAGACTTGTTTGGACGCGAGCAGCACGCGCAGTGCGGCGGTGGTGCGGCTGCCCAGCGTCATGGGCTCCTCCAGCCGGGCCGTGGCGCGCGCGATGCGCTGCCGGGCCGCGCGCTCGCGCTTGCTGGTCGCGCGACGGACCACGTGACCCCGCCAGAGAGCCTGCGTGGAGGGGACAGTTTGAACATTGCAAATCTGAGGGGAAAAATCTATTTCGATCCGAGAGTGAAGACCAAGACACTGAGGTTAGATGAAAACCCGAAGCAGATATGAGGGACCCACAATATGTTAGTACGATGCAAAAACCTGCTTTAGGACTGCACACTTGAAAGCCTTCACAGAGTCTTTCAAATTGCTTACAAACATGCGTTTTCACGAGGGTCAAAGCTCCTTTAGACACCACCATACCGTACCAATTCGGAATGCCGGAGAATTTGACGGTGAAACATACGCACACTTGACACTTCCTGGAACGATCTCAAACGGTTTGCCGCATTTCAATCTCTGTTTCAGCCGTCCCCTCACCTGCAGACGGAGAACCGCCGCTCGCAGCCTGACAAACCGCGCGCGCACCAAGGCCGCCCTGACCGCCCTCTGTATCACCACCGCGGCCGCCAGCCGCCGCTCTCTCCACTCACGTGTCGCCACGTGTCTCCGCCACGCCCGCTGCACCTTGATCGCGGCCCGGCCCGCTGTCGTCATCGCGGCGTCGCGCGCGAGCTGTCGTCGCGTCAGCACCCCGCGCCACCGTGCTTGCAGCCGGATCACTGCACACCGCACCTTCGCCCAGTCCCTGCACGCCCGTCTCGTCTTCCAAGCGGATTGGATAACCACCGCCGCGGCTCGTAACAACAGGTAACGCTGACGTACCACGTGACGTCGCCAGGTGGTTTGGATGCACATCGCTGCGGTTCGCTCGGCCCGAAGCCGGGAAAGCGCCTTCTGGGCGACCTTTCTGCGCCACAGGCTCTGCACCACGACTGCCCGACTGTGCGGACGCCTCAACTCCCGCCGCGCGCTCACCCCCCGATAAACCGCTTGAACTCTGATCACCGCTCCCCGCAGCCGAAGCCAGTTCTTCCTCCCGCGGCCGCCCTTCCACGTGCTCGAAAGCAGAGTCGCGGCTGCATGCCACGCGCGGACTTGCGCGCGCGCGGTCGCCCCTCGCCAGAGCGCCTGGATTTTGCGCGCCGCCCGCTCGCGCGCAGCCAGCCGCCGGGCTTCCCTGCCCCGCCAAGCGGCCTGAACCGCGATCGCCGCGCTCTTGAGCCGCTCGTACTCCAAGACCGCTTGGCGCATGCGCACTTGCGCCTGAACCGTAACCACCGCAGCTTTCATTTTCAGGAACGCACGCCTTTGAAGGCAGCCCCTGAAGCGGGCTTGGATCCTCGTCGCGGCCGCGCAGCGCTTCGACTGCCACACCCGCACGCTCCGCCCCTTCCAGCACGCCTGCACGCTGATCGCCGCTCCCTTCAAGCGTACAAACCGCGCGCGAGCGAGCGCCCGCCGCGCGCGCGCCTGGCACGTAACAACTGCCCGGGTGAGCTCCCGGTACCGCCGCCTCTCACGCGCTCCCCGCACGTGCCTCTGGATGCACGTGGCCGCCTCGTGCCAGGCCTGCACCGTCCTGCGAACCCGGAAACCGCGCCACGTGGCTTGAACAACGACGGCGGCGCGCAAGCGGCGCGCGAGAGCGCGCGCGCACCGGCCCCTCCAGAGGCTTTGAAAAACGACGGTCGCGGCTCGGAGCCGCAAAAAGGACCGTCGCGCCTGTCGGCTGCGGATGGTTGCTTGCAAGAGCACGATGCGCTGTTTGGCTACCACGAAACTAATCCGCGCAAACCCGCCCCGGACTCTGCTCTGAATGATTACAGCCGCACGGATCTGCAAGGCAAGCTCCCGACGGGCCCTGTAGCCCCTCCAGAGGGCCTGGATTGCCCGTGCTCCCTGGTGGGCTCGGGCGACGCTCCGCCGGACAAGGCCTCCCCGCCTGGTTGCCTGGCAGCACAGGACCGCTTCGGAAAGCGCTACGAACGCCTTCCGCGCGAGGACCATCCGGGTCTGAGCCTGCAGCCGAACCACCGCTCTCCGAACCTCCTTGAACCGCGTCTTCTGAGCGTACCCCCTAAAGCAGCTCTGGATCGCCACCGCTGCGCTCCTCTTCCCCAAATAGCGCGCGCGCGCTTGCGCGCCTCTCCATACTGCCTGGCACACCACTGCCGCGCACCGCAGCTGTCGGAGCCTATTCACAGCCGACCACCTCCTGACGGCGGCCTGAATCAGAACCGCGCTGCGCACCAGACGCCGGAACCGCTGCCGGTGTGAATAACCCCGCCAGTGGCTCTGGATCGACGCCGCCGCTTTGTGCGCGCCAGCTAGCGCGCCCCTTGCCACGTGGCCCCTGAACAGGGCCTGGATCCGGACGCCGACTTGCGCTGCTTTGCGTGCAGCGCCTTGCGGACAGCCCAGCCCCTCACGGACGCTTGGACCAGGGTCACGCTTCGGACGGCTGCCCTGAAGCGCTGGCGCTGTGCGTACACCCGCCAGTGCAGCTGGATCAGCCACGCCGCAATGTGCGCGCGCGCGAGGGCGAGCCGGGCCACGTGTCCCCTGAACGCCGCCTGAATCCGCACCGCCGCGGCGTCCCGCCTTTGTATTTCTCTCCGCACGGCCCACCGCCGTACGGACGCCTGGACGAGAGTCACCTTTCGGACGGCCTGCTGGAACCGCCGCACCTCAAGACGCCTCCGCCACCGCCTCTGGATCTCCAGGGCTGCCCGCCGCGCTCTGCTAACGTCACTCCGGACCACGTGGCCCCGGAACGCCGCCTGGATCGTCAGCGTCGCATGCTTGGTCTGTTTCCAGGCGCGGACGGCGAGGCCCCGCCGGACGGCCGCTTGAATGGCGACCACTTTGGACACCGCAAGTTGGAACTCCCGCACTTGAACGTGACCCCGCCACCGGCTTTGAATCACCACAGCCGCCGCCCGCATCTTTTGGACTTTTTCCCGGACCACCCTTCCTCTCCAGACTGCTTGTATGCACCTTGCCGCACCCCCCTGGACCGCTAACTTCCGCCGTGCTGCCCTGCCCCGCCACTGAGCCTGGAAACGGAGCGCCGCACACCGGACGCTAACAAACGCCGCACGCGCGACGTGGGCCCGCCATGTGGCCTGCAGCCGGCGGATGCCTGCCACGTGGCTCGCGAAGGCCCGCCGCTGGGAGTAGCTCCGCCAGCCCGCCTGGATCCGCACTGCGGCGGCGGTCGCCCTCCGCTTTTCCTTTCGGACCCGGGCGCCCCTCCACGCTGCCTGAATCCGCACTATGCACTTCCTGGTGCGGAGGAACCGGGTTCTCTCTCGGCGACCTCGGAGAATCGCTTGCAATGTAACGCAGCTCCTCCTCACTCGGAGGAACGTCGCTTGAGCAGCAAACCGGCGCCACTCCCGCTGTATCCCGACCGCGGCCCTCTCCATACGCGCCACGTGTCGCCTCGTGCACGCCCCTCTCCAACCCGCCTGGATCCGAACCACCGAAGCTACGGCTCTCGAGTACTGCCGCTTGGCGACACACCCACGCCAGCGCGCTTGCACGGCCGTCGCCGCAAAATGCATCCTTCGAACGATTCCCCTCTGCTTTGCCCCTCGGAACGCAGCCTGGATGAGCACAGCTGGACCCGTCATTTTCCTTTCGTACACCCGTCGGCGCAGCAGAAGCGCGCGTTCGAGGCCGCGCTGGAGGACACTGGGCAGCACGTGGATCTCCGCAAAGCGGCGGCGGGCCGCCCACGCGCGGACTGACCGTTGGATGGTGAGGGTCGCAATTTTGAGGGCGGAGAAGGAGCGGCGGGCGAGGAGGCCGCGCCAATGGGCTTGGAGCCGGGAAGCGGCGGAGGCTGCAGAGAGAAAGAACGAGAAGTGATTCGTAAGGGTATGTACAAGCGGTAGTGCATTGACGAGCATAGTGAGAAGAAGTACAGCATCGTTCATGCAGTCTGCCTTCTGTTGGGCAGTCCACTACTTTGAAGGCAATTCTGTACTTTTAGTGTTCGGCTCTCTACAACCATCATACGTGGCAAGAATGACTCCGTTTTGGTTGAAATCTCGTGCCTTCATTCTAGGTATGCCACGAGTGCAGGTAAGAAAGACTTGATGATGAAGATGCCGTACAGAAGTTGCACCAAAAGTCCGTTTGACTTGCAGGAATTACCTGCAACCGTTTGAATCTGAGCTTCCTTCGACACGAGGCGGAGTCGCAACAGCCCTCGAGGATCGTCAGAATTCGGCCGTAGTATGTAAGACGAGAAGGTAAAAGAGTCAGCTGACCTTTCATATGCAGTTGTGCCCGTGCTTTGCAGCCTCTGAAGGCGGCTTGGATGCGCCTGGCGGCCGCGATCCAGCGTCGCAGGCAGAGGCCCCGGTGGTGGCGCCGCCAGGCTCGCTGCAGCTGCGTGGCAGCCTGCATCATACGAAAAACAAGGCCTCAGCTCGCTGGATAGAGGACGAGCAACCTTATACTCAGCGGTGAACGAGCCTTACAAACCCGTTATAGGGACGGAAGACTGTGAGACATCAATACTACACCAAGAAGTACCACTTGAAGGAGCTTTTTGGGGATCCACCCCGTTTTCAGCAACATCATCGACTCTGGCGCCAAATGCAGGAAGAAAGGCACGCGACAAAAGTAGGACCAGCCGTCAAATCATGCTACCGGTCGCCTTATCCTTTCCCTTCCAATTTTCCTCTCAAGTGTGATTTCAAAGCGAGTCAAAAAACCCAATAGTTGGAAGGAGGACACGGATAGCGCGACGTGGATTTCTTTACTGGAAAAGTAAGAACCCGGCCCACTTTTTATAAGTCTCTCTGACGGGCAACCGGTGATTGCCGCTCACCTTAGCCTCCGTCTTGATGTCGAGGAGGCGCGAGCAGAGGAAGGCCACGTAGGTGATGACGATGCGCTCGTTGGGCGCCAGGTTGCCGTCCGTCATGTCGCTGTGCTCCAATACCTGAATAAAAGCAGCGCCGCGCGTATATCTCAATTGGTTCCCAGTGTTCCAGCACCCAAGATAGCCTTACGATCGAGCGAGACTGTTAGAGACCCTAAAAGACATGAAGCGGCCTTGTTGAAAAAGTATGAGGAAGAGTTCGTCGTACCTTCGCTTCGTCCGCTACCGGCATACCTTTTCTGATTGAGCTCAAACCTTTGAGAGCCTCGATTGGTAGGTATTAGTGAGGCTCAAGGACCTCGTTGGGTTTGCAACGCAGTCAATCCTGACTTTGACCCCCTCTCAGTATGCACCCTAAATCGGCCTCTGCGCGCTCGCTGAAGAAACCACAACCATGGAAGCTTTCAAGTCTCGCTGAAGAGTCGGAACTCACCTGCGGCACCCCCCCTAGCTGCGCAACCGCGGCGTGCAGCAGGGCAAAGTTGCGCCTGGCTGCCACGGTCTTGGCGGCCTGCACCGCCGCGCACTCGTCATCCCCCGGGCCCGCAGAAAAGCTGGCGCTCCATCCGCTGGCGGACTCGTCCGTCGGTGCCTGAGAAAGTTTTGAACAACAGAGCATGTCAGTGTCAAGAGAAAGAAGCGAGCAAAGCTATGCAGAGAGAAAGGGAATATGCATTTGAGAAGTTCAAGGATAGATGACTTATCCAAATGGACTCGATCTTCTCAATCTTCGAGAAAATTGAGTCACTGATGCAATGAAAAGTAAGAATGGTTCTCAGAGCAGAATACGGTACTTCTTTGAGCATTCGGCGCTCGAGCTTCTCCCAAGCGGACACTGTGGATCAGCGCAGTCTTTCCAAATCCAATCTCGTGAAATACCACCCCGACCACGATGCTCGAACTCTCGGAAAAAACGGTCTTAAGAACCGTATGAATAAGCCCTTACCTCTTCTGGTGGGAGCAGCACAGTTTCGGGCGGCGCAAAGATGCCGTCTGGCGGCAGCAGCGCCGGCAGGTAGTGGCTCACGAGCAGGCACAGCGCGCGCCCGTCCGCAAAGGACGTCGTGAAGTTGCGGACGGGGACACCGGACCCGCTGCACACCGCCTGCGGACACAGCTTCTTGTTTGATGGTTGGAGAAGATGGTTGAGAAAGGGCACTGCTCGAGCACCGAAAGCCGGAAACTCGACGACAGACGATGTGTATTAGTGAAGGGGGCTTGCCCGAAGAGTGGAGAAAGTCTAGCTTTATCCTTTTTTAGGGGTACAGAAAGTAAAGGATAATCTTTGGTGGCAAAGTTGGCACTGCTTTGAAATCGAAGCTGTTGAGATCCTGGGAGTCCCTGTTTACCTGCGCCCACTGTAACAATAGATCGAGGTGGGTACTGGCCATGTACATGCTGGCGCCCTCGTCGAGGCTGGCAGCCGGACCCTGCAAGCGTCACAGAATCCTGGTTAGGCGTGAAATAGGACAGTGATTATAAAATGATCTGTCTTATAGCCAACGGAAAGGCAGACTGATCGCCAGAGAAGGCGCAAAAGAGGTGTTTAGTGAACCTCGGAGTAACCAAACCTAAACAGTGCCACCCAAAGCTAACTTAGGAACGAGCTGGTACTCAATGACCGAGGATGCACTAACCAAGGCAACAACGCTACAGGTATACTTCGACTCTGTGTGACCGAAGAAGCAAGGACAGCCACCGTTTGCAGAGCTGAAATGTCTAATTGTCTTTCTTCCAACCCCATTCGAGGGGGAAATGGCGACGAATCCCGAGAGTCAGAGCAACGCGCAGCAGGCGGGGCCCTACGTGTATGAGCTGATGGATGCGCCGCTGCTGCCGCACAAGCTCAAGCTCCTCCTTCAGCTTGTCCACGTCGATGAGGGAAGGCATCTGAACCGCAAAATGGCAAGCCAGTGGCAACATCAGTACCTCAAAGAAAGCAGCCATTGGGTCCCTTTGTGTAAGAAGAGTTTTGAAAGGAAATTCTGGGTAACAGCACTTGACGTATGATATTGAAGCACTTATCCCGATCTTTCAGACGTGAAGGTGCTGTGGATGCGTCGGCAGACGAATCCTCATGACAAAGACTCAGAAGCGGTGAGGACAATGGTCAGATACGCCGGTTGACCGTAGGACCTGCTTCGCGAGTGAATCAAATTCAGAGCCACGATAACCGGAGAAACGATCTCCGCCTACCTGCCAGTGCAGCATGATTTGCCACAGCAGCTGCAGCGTCCTGTCCCGCTGCCCGTCCACGACGTCAGCAGCCGTCAGCTGCAGCGCGGCCGGCCCGTGCGCGCCCAGAGGTAGCCCGCCGTGCGCGAGCGTGGCGAGTGCTAGCTGGCAGTTGTGCAGGCAAGCCGCACGGGTGGCGGCCGGAGCTCGGACGTCCTGCGTGTCAAAGGTGGTGCGGGCCATCGGTTGCGTGCATCGCATTCCGGCCTGTTCTGATGAGGACGGTAGATGGTGCGGACAAATCAGGTTGGAGTGTAGCATGGCAGTGGGAGTATCGGAAAGAAAGGCTTCGATGATATGTAAAGCATGACGGAGCAGGTCTAGGGTCCGGCAGATTGTAAGGGATGAAGGCAAATGGCTTAAATTGAGTTGGACAAGTAAACGAGAATCTTAAACGGGAGGTAGCCGAAAAATGGATCAGGTTCCAACATTTAGGATCATATTTGTTTGGACTGAGAAGTTGCTACGCACTTTGTTGCCAACAGCAATCTTGCCTCTCGACATGCTTTTTGTGGCGGCAGTCGTAGATGTCCAGGCACCAGTCGTCTTCCTGAAAGACGGTGCCATCACGAAAGGCACTAAGCGAAAACTCTACGAAGGTCGACGAAGTGACGAGGCCAGAGGGGCGTGGGCTTACCTGGAGCGGCGAAGGGTCACCCGTGAGGAGGTGCGCGAGGCGGGCAAGCCGCAGGCCGTCCCGCAGGTCCACTGTCAGGTTGCTCACGCGGAAGTCCACCTCGTACACCGCAGCCTGCCAAAATGGGAGCCTCTTTGTACATCATTCCAATCCTGCCCCTGTGCAAAATGCTGCGCTTCGGCGCCTGCATCTCGCTCTGATCCTTCCAGAAAGCGTCGCTCTGTCTCGAGCAAAGCATCGCGTCCCTCATACAAGTTGAGTCTCCAGCTTTCACGTCTTCAGGGACGTGTCTGTTTCGGGTCATAGTCTACATGGGGAAGAGACGGCTGTCCAAGAGGGAAACACACGGGCGTTTACTCACCTGCTCGTGAGTTAGAAGATAACCCAGGGCCGCCAGGTGGCGCAGCACGTCTCCTTCTCCCGAGAGGCACCCCGACAGGAACTCTGCGGCGGAAAAGCGTATCTTCACTACTCTCGTCCATAGAAACCATTGAGTCAGGTATCGTCCAAAATGCAAGGCAAGAAAAGCGGCGTATCTAAACGGCAACCTCTGCTTGGTCTAATGTTTATCCATTTCGGCTTAAAGAAGAGTCAATTTGTCGCATGTGTCGAAGCCCGCAGCTCTCGACTTCGTGTTGTAAAAGATAATGGCGAAAGGAGACGCTACTTACTGTAGCGACTTAATCCAAATTCATTCGACTCGCTTTGTTGACTCACCTCTGACAACGCCAGCGCTGCTCTTGACGTTCGCCTCCTTCTTGAAGAGGAGCGGCAGCGGCAGGCTGCCCCGTAGTGACTCCTGCACCCGGTCCAAGAGCAGCACCAGCAGCAGGAACTTCTTCAGGATGGATCGCCCAAAAGCTGCCGTGTACCCAGGCCGGAAGAGACCGTCCACTTGCCTGCAGGGGAAAGAACCGGTCTGGATTACGATTTTTTTCAGGATAGTCGAGCGGACGAGTGAAGTAGTAATCACGGAATCGGTGCGCTCCACGTTTAGCTGCCCGGGAATGAATTGATCGCTCTCTTCTCCCTTCATGACATGGGCGCGAAGTTTGCAGTACTCGGGCACAAACACTTGGCTGCGCAACACGCCATCCTTCGAGAAGCATCCCTTTGCAGTACTTGACAAAGCTGCCTCCCTATTGGCAACGTATTCCCCTCCACGCTTGTCAGCTTTTCCTGGTCACAATTTTTGGGTCCACAGGTTCCAATCCTAGCGAAACGCCCAACAAGGAAGACAGAGCCCGACCCGATTTCCTCACTTGTTTGAGGCATACTCTGCTGCCAGGTGTGGGTCGTGCAGCAGGCGTGTCTCCACCAGTTCTTGCAGCGCGGCTGGCGAGCCCTCCCTCGGAAGTCCCCCCAGCACCGCCTCTAGTCCCAGGTGCAGCCAGAATGGCTCGTAGCTCATCACGGCCTGGACGGCTTTGGACCGCAGGGCGACGTCCGTGATGAGGGGGCAGCCCTCCAGCATGCGCAGGTGACCCGCGTCAATGTGCTGCAGGAGAATGCTCAGGGCCCGTCAGCACAAAGGCTTTTTGAAACTCAACAACATTAAGCTTGGAAACGAGGTTGTAACTTCCAAACGTATGGGCGCTCCATCAGTGTTCCCGCCCTAGGGAACACTTCTGTTTTCTTGTTGCAAAGAGAGGTCCACTTCAAAACACGGAGATTATCTGGATGCTAAGAGCCCCTTCCATGCTGGCCTTCAATCGCCCAAGCCCTACGAACATTTGCGTGCATGCCCACGAGTTGAAGGGTGAAGAAGTCGGAGCACAAAGGAGCTGACGTACATGCTCCTTGGAGTCATCGTTGGCTCTTGAAGGCACCCACCAAAGCAACCTGTTCCTCACCTTCTCCACCTTGATCATGGCCCCCACTGTGCGCTCGTCCCTGGCGTACGCATACCAGATCCTCTGCCGCACCCTTTCCTCGGCCCTCATTCGCCCGAGCTGCCCCAGGCTCAGGCGCCGGTCTTGCAGCCCCGCCACGCGCACCCCTTCTCCACCCCCCAGAAATGGGAGGGGCTCCGCCAGCAGGTGATTCAGCCACGCAGTGTACGCGCGCATCTGCTTCTCCATCCAGAGGTCCCCGTGGAAGAAGCTCATGGTCCGCTTCTCAGACGACTGCGACAACCCATGTGCTGGTGGAAGGGCGGGCTTGTTGCCCTCAGACCGCAGCTTAAGCCGCCTCCGCTGAGTGCTGACGTCAGCAGGGCCCCCAGGGTTCGGGGGACGGGAGCTCGGCACGCTGCGCCTATGGAGCTTTGTCCTCTTCATGTCTTGCCCTAGAGCTCCGGTGTCTCGGGAGAGGCGCTCTGCCTGCATACCAATGCTGCTGAGGCTTTTGGTAATCTCTTGGTCCAGCTTTCGGCAATCCAGGTCCTCTTCGCGAGCAGCCTCCCCGTCCTCCCCACTGTCGCTGTCCTCTTGCTCGACGTACAGCTGGCGCTTCACGCTCAGGGGACGAGCAGCCACACGAGGGGCCTTCTCTACCTTTGCAACCCCCTTATTGGCCCCAACTGTTAAGCGGTCACCTGAGCTATTAACAGGGCCTTCGCTGCAGCTATCCTCTGCCAAGACATCCTCCCCATGCCGTGACTTTGCAACTTCTTCAACAGTGCCTGCAGACCGCTCTCCTGCCGGCTCTGCTTCGTAACAATGGTGTGTGTCTGTACTTTCCTTAGCGGAAAGCTCAGATACAGAGACCGACAGCTCAGGTTCAGCCGCTAGCAAACTCCTGCTTCTAGCCTCGGCTTGCAAGGAACGCTTCCCCAAAAGTGCTAAGAAGCGGGGATTCTGACGGCCTAGCTTTGGGGAGTGTGGCTTGGTGCCAATGGGCTTTGGCAGCCTGGGGGCCAGGGGTCGCACATTCGAAGAAAGTAGCCCCAGGGGCTTGTGCGGGCTGCTTGCACTGCTCAGCTTTGAAACTTTCCGAGACTGCAGCGAAGACAGGCGACATTCGGGTTAGCTTTGGGCATCCGAGATTTGAACCAAGTCCGCTGCGTAGCAGTCGGTGCCTACAGCGTCCTTCTGCAGGTGCAAGTCTGTTGCTAGTTACTCTGACTATGTGTTGTGAGACAGTGCAATGAATGCATCCAAAGCTACTGTTGGCAAGGGAAAGAGGCTGCAAAGAATTCAAAGTGAGGACTTACCAAAGATAAGATGAAGATGAGTCTCTTACCTTGTACATGGTGCCTGTTCCCAGTAGCACCACCTGCAGCCGGTGCCTTCCCTGCCATTTGAACGTGAGCGTCTCTCTGCATCTGCCTGGCTGCGTAGGCTCCCAGGTTATCCTTACGAGTACACTGCTGTCTGGGCCCAGGATGACGCTCCAAGGCTGCCCTGGGCGTGCATGCCGCTGGAACGCAGGATTGGCCTCACTCTCATGCAGGAAGAAGCCTTTGGATCGGGGCACGCTATCCTCCTGCACTTCCTGTGTCAGCAGGCCGCCGTTTCTGATCGCCAGTACTGCGCTGACCTGGCTGCCAATGACTCCCTCCCCAAAATCGATCTGGGGGACACCAGAGAACTGCTCAAGCCTAAGGGCAGGCAAAATGTCCTCCTCACTCCCCATGTTTGCCCCTTGACTCTGAGTCCTGCTTTCAAGCTTTTATAGGCACTTCATTATGTAAGCTGTGCAACTGTGCCCTCAGTGCACCTCTCTCAGGACGGCCTGGTGCGGTACTCTCCTCAACCAGGCTGCTCTATCTGCAGATTGTATCATATGGTTCTTTAGATGACTGCTTTCTGCTTGAGCGATTACACAATGTGCAGTCAATTTTGACCACAAATCAAGCCATCCCGTTGAGCCGCAGCCGATCAATGGCATCAACTTTTGACACGGATGGCGGGAGAACCTCTTCGCAGAGAACTTAGAAGTTACCCACCGCCGCCGGTTAATACTGCATCCGATTCCTCCATCCGAATCTTGAATGAAGGCGAAGAAAAGTCACCGAAGACTCACTAAACACTGCCAACAGAGAGAAATGGTCGCCCACGACCTCCATGTTCATGAGATTTGGTGCAGGACTGTTCACGCAGACTGCATTTCAGCAATTCAAACTTGAACCTGAGTTGGGACCGTTTGTTCTTTCCGCGATTCCTGACGGTCGATCTTCGAAGTTCTGTCCAATCGACGTCTCAAAAGCAAGAGTGACGATGGTCTGCCAAAAAGTTAGGGTTTGCGTGAATGCGTGACTGCATGTGCTGCTGCTGCATGACATTGACAGCTCCACTGCTGCACCAGCTGCAGTCGATCAGCTATGGTACAGTTTAATTCAGAGTTTTCATCCGCTTCTTGAAAATCATTCACGGTAGCAGGAGGCTGCACTTGTCAGGAATGGCGCCAGGAGGAGTTGCACCTCCGCTGTCGGAAATAGATGAAATGCTGGCGGAGCAAGCAGACATTCCATACGAGCTGAAAGATGTCAAAGGTTAGAACATTCTGACCATTTTTTGAAGCAGAGACCACATTATGCAGCTGTTCATCATGTCTCGCTCAGTTGGCTGCCTTTTATGTATCCTTAGCAAATTCCAGGATTCTTTCCATGACAGGAGTGCAGACTGTTGCAAGCCAATTGGCAAAGCAAACCCATTGCAAGCTCTTTTCTTGCAGCTCCGCGTCTGGCAGGTTTGCCCCTGAAGCTCTTTGCTTGGGCTGTGGAAAGCAGCTGGTCATCGTCAATCCTGCCAAAACTCAAACGGGACAGCAACATTCCCCAGGTATGACATGATGACGTGCTGTGCGTATGGATTTGCGAGGGGCACTTATCAGTTGCGTTCTCTTCCAGGGACTCGTTTTACTCGGGGGATCCCTCTTCCATGAACACATCAATATGTTTCTCAGGCTGAGGGTTCACATATTAAAGCGGTTATATTCCGATCGCACCACCTTGACACTATAAACGCCAACTAAGACAGACACTGAGTTGGCCTTGTTGCAGATCTTGAATGAACGTGACTGGCCAGACGAGCCAACCTTCTTCCCAGCGCATTCCACATCAAGTGAGGTTGCAGAAGTTTCTTGTCCAAACTAGCCAATCCTGTCTAAACTTTTTATAATAAGGTGGTCGAAGAATACAAAGTCCGAGGTTAGTAAGCCTCTGGTTCTTTGTGACAGGATAGCAGTCCCTATTGTTCAATGGGAACTTTTGGCAGCACGGTAGAGTCTATAAAGGGCTCCTGCTTAGCACACCAAAGTACCTTCAATCTGCAGAATACAGCTGCTTTTGTGACTTGACGAGCGTTTGCGCTTTTGTTCAGAGCTATTCGTGATCCCAGACACGAAAATTTGCAGGTTACGTAGAAGAGTCCGGTGTTTGGCCATTGCAAGAGGCCAACACGAGGGGCAACCTTGCGACGGCCGTGCAAGCACTCCCAGCAGAAACATCATCGGGATCAGGCTTCCAGTACTGGAAGATCCGTGACTACGCGAATGCTTACAGCACCGGGAGTGTGACACCTGTCCAGGTAATGCCAACCTCCTTCTAAGACAAAGCCAGCTGGGTTGAAGTAAAGTGAATACTCAGCTGTAAATCACTTTCTTTAGTGCATTGCTGACATTCAAACACTGTCATTGTCCATGTAGGCTTCACGGGGTTCCCCTATGTCAAAGTAAAAGGGTCACTTCTTTGTTCAGTGCTAAGATTGTCCTTGAGTGCCCTACTTTCACTTTCGCATCTGAAGGTAAACATATGTGTGTATTTCAATTCGAGTACCTTTTACCTCCAGGTCGCAGAGAGATTCATCGCTGCCATAGAAGCATCCCAGAAGCAGAAGCCGGCTTTGAATTTCCTCATAGCTTGGAGCAAAGACGACATTCTAAGACAGGCAGAGGCCTCGAAGCAACGCTATGCCCAAGGTGAGGGCCTCGCTCCAGTCACTCATAAGGTGGACAATCTGTGCCTTTGATATGCTCATCCTAAACCTGGTAGCTCTTGAGCAGGAGTAAGAGATCTTCGATTTCAGATCACTAGGTCATGGAAACCATGCAGGCTCAAAAGCATCAATTGTGACGAGTCTCTTTGCAACCCTTCCGAGAGACCCCTGCTTCTGCCTCAAGCCTGCCTTTCTTTGTGCAGGAGCACCTCTGTCCGTTCTTGATGGTGTGCCAATAGCCATAAAGGACGAGATCGACTGCCTTCCTCACAAAACAACAGGCGGTACCACATGGCTTGCTGACACTCGCCCGGTGAAGGAGGATGCTGCCATTGCTGCCAGGTTGAAGGAAGCAGGGGCGTTGATTGTCGGCAAGGTTGGGCTCCGTACGAACAGTACTGCTTACAATCTCAGCAACGACCGCTTTTGATCCCTAGGGCTGAATACGAAGGTAGAACCTCTCTCCTTTCTGATCGGCAGCAATCTGCTGTCGTGCAGAGCAATTATCCTGGATTGCTTCGGTCCTGTTTCGAAGCTGACTACGTGCTTTTCTGCCAGGCGAACATGCACGAAGTTGGGAGCGGAACCTTTGGCATCAATCCGCACTATGGGTGAGCGGTGCTAACCCTTGATAGTCACTACTAGTCCAACCTACTCCTGCGACGTCAACTGGTCTTGTAAGGATCAGAAAGCCTCCAGTTCAATCTGCAGTCTGAGCCTGAGAGGTACTTCCTAAGCCACGCAGAAACATCGAATTGTATGTTTTCCTGTCTACAGGTCGCCTCGCAACCCCCATAACCCAGCCCACGTCACTGGCGGATCCTCAGCTGGCAGTGCAGCTCTGGTGGCGGCTGGGCTGGTGCCTGTGGCCCTTGGAGTTGACGGGGGAGGTAAGGGTCGGAGTATCTGAGGGTGTCTACCAAAGTCGAAACTAGAAAGTTAGTTGGGACACATCAATCATGTGATTAAATTGTCGGTAAGAGCCGCCACAGTTGGAAGGACGTTCGATATGCGACAATCGCCTCTGTTGTACAGACATAGTGTCGGATGTAAATGCAATCAGCTTGCGTCCCCAACTCATGGTCAGCACTTCGAACCAAGGTGCGAGAAGGCGTCGAAGTCTCTTCCATTTCGACGTGGATGCGACTAAGGACTGCCTCTTCCGTTCCTGCTTCCTTTTCAGCCAAAGTGACTACGGTCAGCACACTGATTGTCCTGCAGAATTGGTCTTCTCACGATTAGGCCGGTACCTTCTCACGATTAGGCCGGTACTCACATATCTGTCTGTATGTTCTCTCAGGTTCCGTGCGGATTCCGGCCAGCCTGTGCGGCATCGTTGGGCTGAAGGGCACGTTTGGACGGGTACCTGTTCATGGGTGAGTGCGGACCAACGTTTCCTTTGACCCACTTTCCTTTCGCCCTTGGACTTCAGCAGTAACACCACGCAGAAATCACCTTGTAAGTAGGTGATTGTTAGCAGTATTCTTGAAGATAAGAAACTACTGCGGACGTGACAAGTCAGTCAGCCAATCATTTGGCAGCGATGAATACTCACCTAGGGTAGTTTCATGACATGATGGTGCAAAGTCATGACGAAGGATCTAGAGCCTGGCCAAGAAGATAGGTAAGTTATCTCTATCCGAGTTCTACTTGCAAGCCGATGTGTACTTAATCCACGTAATGATCACTACTGCTGTTTTGCACAGTCATCTCCGACCATACCATTGATGCACTTCCCTCGCTAGGCACCTATCTCCTGGTTGCTTGCGAGCGCATTGTACTCGTCGGACATTGTTCGCATTCGACTGAGCTGCTGCCACCTGTAATCCGCAGGCACATTCCAATCACCAACTCAGTGGGAATGAGCGGTCCGTTGGCCGCATCTGTCGAGGACGCACTCATCGTGTAGGTGTGGTGCTCTCTTTGTCGAAAAGCATCTCCGCTCTTGGCTTCTACTTAAGCAGCTTGTCATGTTATAAGGACACCTTGCATGTTATTGCCTCGTCGTCGTTCCAATTCCTGACTCTTAGTCGCAGTGTGACGTTCCTTGCACTAAGTTGTACGAGGCATCTAGAAATTGCTGGAAGCGTGTCCGTGCATCGAACCGCGTGGCCTTTGGAGGGACGCAAAATCTATAAGACGGAGGTCATAAAACGGAGTAAGTAAGCTGATTCTGTGCAGGTACGCCGCAATTGCCGGACCCCATCCTGGAAACCATCACTCGCTGGCCCAGGTAACGCGTTCACGCACCTCCTTGCGACACTGGTTCGAACGCTGACCAACGATGCCCGACCTGGTGCCTCTTCCTTGTTCCTGAACTTACTTGGGATGTTCCCTACACGATCAGAGAACTTTGCTCCAATTGCAAGTATGAGATGAGTTTCTGTGAATAGCTGCTTGAAACCAGTCCTTGCATGTGTACGAGACGATTTTTGATGTCATCTATACATTGTGGTCCGGTCAAGAGCAGCTTTTGCAACTAAGCGTAATGCGACGCGAGTACTGAAGCAGGCGCTGAAGTCAATTCCTCCTGTCCGTAGCCTGCTGTCCGCATTCCACGATTGTCGGGCCCTGGTCTGACCAGCCTTGCCAACGTGAGGATCGGCCGCTACCAGCGCTACTTCGAGCACGCAGACCCGGAGGTGGTGCAAGTGTGCACGCAGGCGGTGCGGGTACTCGAGAACGAGCTCAAAGCGCAGGTAAGTCGGGATTGAGACCTGGACCCTGAGTGACAGTCCTGTGTCAATGTGTGTTTCTTTCCATAGTATGCTCTAGCATGTCGGTGCATCTCGGGTGTTGAGTGCTCACCACAAGCTGCAGAGTCTGCATATCACCTTTCTGGTGCATCCCGCTGTGGATTTTCGATGGACCGTCGACGAATTTTTGAAACCTCGTGGAAACCGACCGGTATGGCATTTCGCTGTCAGCTTCGATGCAGACTCAGAGAGCCGAAGTCAGGCAAGGGGTTCGTGTGCGCAGTTTTGCGCCCTTGTCAGATTCACAGGTATGCAAGTCTTAGAAACGCATATCGTCCTCTTAATCCACATGCGTCTGCCGCCTTGTTCCTCAAACTCTGGTCATTCAACATCTCAGTCCATTGTTGCCATTGACGAGTCTGTGGGGTCCAGATGTCGGTAATCTGTCTGCTGAAATTCTGGTCATCGGACCTCGATGTTCCAAGTCAGTCATGATTGGAGACTCAAAGGTTCGGGTGGGGTCCAGAATCCAGATGCGAATCACAGTGACTCCTAGCACGTTTTGCGAACCCTACCTTCTCCAGCAAATGAGGTCTGTTTTCCACCAGATTGACGTGTAACAAAGCTTCTGAGTTTCGTCGTTCTTGTAAGGCGTTCTTAACCGGAAGCATTGTTATGCGGGCAGTTTGTAGACGTGGTCATTCCCGAGCTGGAGGAGCTGCGCGTTGGTTGGACCGGTACGTTCCCGGTGGAGAGCTTCTCGTTCCTCAACTACCAGTACGAGCACGGCAAGAAGGCGCTCCTTGGGTACGACGTGCGGATCAATTCGGCGGTCGGGCGGAGCTTCAGCGGGCTCGACTACGTGAACGCTCAGAAGCTTAGGTGGGGCGCCAGCCCAGGGAACGAAACATCTTTGCCTCCTAATCTTTTCAGCCGGGGATGTACGAAGAGTCGAAGCTTGCGAAAAGGAAAGGAGAAGTTTTAGGGGCGCAAGGGAAGCAGTGGAGCAGCTTTCCAGGATAATGTTGTTGATTGAACGGTAAAAATAAGGTTGAAAGTTTTGAGTGCCGTGTGCAAAGCCGGGGGGACAGTCAATTCGCTTGTACTGAGTGAGCAAGTCGTGCACACTTGTTACGTGTTTCCAGTATCTTGGACAGCTGATCTGAACGCCGCACCTCGTGTGCTGTGAGCAGGACGCGGAGCCTCCACCACTGGGCCAAGGTCCTCGAGAAGGTTGACATCATCGTGACGCCAACATCAGCGTAAGCGCTGCGGGCTTTCTCGATGTAGCGTTGCGTTGCGTCTTCTGGATGATGTATGAAGAGCCGTACGAGGCACGTCTTCCATTGTCCCGGTGGACTGTACGCAGTCCGGATTCTCTGCTCGACAATGGCGCGGCAAGCTCGAATTGTAGGATACGTCAATGGAAAAGCGTCTTCATTTCGGCGTTCGTATCAGCCGATGGTGCGGAAGCTCTTGCTCCGTTCCGTTTTTACAGAAAGTGCCCCCTTTTCGACGAAAGGAATCCTAATGTAGAGCTTTCTCGTATTGTCAATCCAGGAAGACTGCCCCGCTATTGAAAAGCGACGCGCTGGCGACGGGCGACTCCGACCTGACGCAAGCTTGTGAGCATTTTCGCCTGCCTAAGCCCCTCCTTGAAGAAGTGTGTATCTGAAGAACAATAAACGTTGCTTAAAGAGTGTCAGAACTCCAGCATCAACCTGCTCAAGTCCCTGCTTGAGTGTTCTCGCAGGGCTGCATTGTTCAGTCTGACGGTCAGCTGGACTCCGACAATCCTTTCACTTGACGGCCACATGCCGCCGACCACATCCTCTGTCTTCGACAACTAGCCTCTCAAGTTTCCGTGAAAAGCGGGCTCGAGTATAGACACTCTACTGCTTCGACTTTGCTTGTCATGGTCCTTTGTTCCATTCTTTCCGCCTCTTCCCCTAGGTCTTGCTTACCGAAGGACTACCCGAATATCTCGAGTGCAGAGTTCAGCCCTATCATTTGCGTGCTCCCATGCCCAGCTTACCCGCACAAAGCCCGTCTTCCATCTCACCTTACTTACCCACCTATTGCATTCTCCCAGTGGCCCTCACCCGTTTTGTGGTGCCCGGCAACTTCCTGGGCCTGCCCGCCATCAGCGTTCCCGTGGGCTACGACACCAAGGGTCTCCCGGTTGGCCTGCAGCTCATCGGGCGGCCGTACGCAGAGGCGACGCTCCTCAAGGTCGCCGCAGCGCTCGAGGTGAGCTATCACCTACTCCGCGCATACACTGATCAAACGAGGGCTGCAGCAGGTTTGCGTAGGTTGTTATACAGGTCGCTTGTGTGTGGATCCTGAGGGCTACGAAACGGAAACCTGTCCTTTCTGTTAAGGAATCACACGAATCCCTGTGGTGGACTTTGTCATCAAAAACGTTGAACTGGACTTACGATTTAATGCAGACGTTTCGAGACTCGAGTGCACAGATCATATGCTGGGTCATGTCGGCTACCAGAGCTTCTTAAGAATCAGGTCAAGAGTTCGCAGCTTGTGATCGTGATTTTTTGGCTTTCCAAGCTGCCCTCTTGGAGCATACTCCTTGTATGCAAACGCGAATGCGTTACTCAAAGTGCCATTCCAAGAATATAAACAAAGCTATCTTGGAGCGCACTTCTTGAGGAAGCGGTTCCTAGTCATCGTCCTTGCCCACCGGAAGATGAGGTACAAACCTGGATGTGGATTGCGCTCGGTGTTGGCCCCTTGACGGCTGCAGCTGGCGGCAGCGGTGTTGACTAGCAACCGTGCACTCTGTTTCCAGGCTATAATGTCCCCTTCAAGGAAGAAGCCGGCGATCTTCTATAATCTCCTAAGCAAGTAAGTGAAACGGGATTTTGAATGCGCAAACTAAGCGCACTGCCGTAGGTCAGGTCACAATTACTTGTGGGGTGAAGCCGGCAATTAGTCTGTGTCTAGGAGTGCCACCGCTGTACTGTCATGCTGTGCTGATAGTCACTATGGCAGAAGCGGAGCCTGCTGTGGTGATGGGTGACATTACTATGATCATGTATGGTTGAGCAGTTAAAAGTTGGACCGTGGACCGTTTTGTCGTTAAGCTCTTGATGGCTGGTCCGACCAATTATTGGTCAGCACTGGTTTTGCATGCTAACTCACGTGGATCTGCAAGTTGCCTCCGACGATGGAACACATGCGTTATTCTTCAAGGAAGCGATCCATTCAGCAGCGAGGTCTTTTGCACGCATGCAAGGATGCCAGCCATATTGTGCATGGGCCGCTAGTGCATCGTTAAGTTTGACAACAGCAAGTCTTACTGCATGCTTTTCGCAATTGCCTATGACTAAGCCGTAGAGTGTGGCTCACATGGCATGGCGTTCATTCTCATGGCCTACTTCTGTTCGAGCCTAGCGAGAGAGCTTGGGCCTCCACTTGCCAAGTTATCTGCAAAAGTAAATGGACTTGGGGAGAATTGGCCGTGATCCCAAGCTCGGCCGGAATAACATCAACTTCTCGATAAAATGTTGGGCTATATAGCCCTCAAAAGGTACTAATGTTTTGAAACGCGTGGCGACCCAGGCCACCGTGACCGGATATGCAGAAGCCTGAGCAGTGGTATTTCGGATGGTCTAGTGGTAAGATCGAGGGACTCTGCGAACATTGACTCACGATAGATCGCGGGTTCAATCCTGGCCGCGCTGAAACGCCAGTTGCATGATTTGCAATTTCTTTCCGACGATCTGCTGATGACTTTTCCCAGTAGCCCCCGGGCGAAAAGGGTTGCTACAGCACGCCTCGTCGGACTGTTGAAAACTTTTAGTGAGACTGAATAATTTGCGCGGCCGCGCAAATGCGCGCGACGTTTAGCATGCGGCGGCCGCGCAGGCCGGCCCGCGCTTGTTCTCGCGCGGCCGGGAGGTTTACGGGCGGTTCTACAGTTTGAGTCTATCCGGTCCATACCACGCGTCCGGTACCTACCGTTTAAGGAAAGATCTTGAAGCGGTCCTACTTTTCCGGGCATACCCTGGTACGACCTACATACGAAGTACCTACGTTAGTAAGGTAGGTACCTAGGTACCTGATTGAACCAAATTGGTTTGAGCCCCAGTCGGTTTTGCCCCCCGGGTCATGAGGACCACCGGGGCGGCGGGGATAGTAAGGACCCGGGAATCCTCGGAGTTCAACCGTAGGACCAGTTGAGACCGGTTGCAGTTGGGGGATCGACTCGACTACCGGCCTATGGACCATTGCACCCGAAAGTGCAAAGCGCGGTACACACCGGACACATCCAGGAGATCTGCATTTGCAGGCTGAGGCGGTACCTCTTCGATGATGATTGCTAGGCATGTGAGCACTGAGGCTGCAGCGGCGGCCAGCCATTCCTGTTCCTGTTCCTGTTCCTGCTTCCCCTTCGCGTTCACTGTTCAGCTGGCAGGGTTCAAGAAAAGCCTTCCAAAGAACGCCCTGGTCGACGTTGCAACGTTAGCAAGTTGGTTGAATGCCCGGATTTCTGTGGATGCTTTAGATGTATTTGGCGAGCACTTATTCAAGAGGCTATGCTCCTGGCAAGCTCTGACTATCTTGAGAATCAGCTACCGCAAGCTGTAGCGTTAGTTTTGGGTCGGGACAACATATTAATCTCAGAAGGACTGCAACCCCATGAGAGTGGCTGGCTGGAACTTGTGTAAGATGGCAGGCTTTGAAGCAAGTAGAGGACACCATGAAAGGCGCGCAAGAGGATACTCTATACGACCGCCTTCTTTGTGATAGCAATCTGAGACCGTTGTTGCAGAACTTGAAAGTGAGTGGGGTTTGCTCGAATCCAGCGTGAAGGAGTTGGGTTTACAACGTAAGTTTTGTCGTCATTGGGCGAAGCCTTGTCGTTTCAAGCAGTCCCGTCGCTCAAAGTTGTTGAAAATTGCAGCATTCAATTTGCAACAAAGTTGCACCACAGCAAGAATCTCGGCATTTAGATGTGCAAACAGGAAGCAGGTAAAGAGAGCATTAGCCATAAGTCGCTGAACAATCTTGAGCTCATTTGACCAGCCAGAGATTTGGCTGGTTGATTGAAGGGCTCCTGATCATGATCCAGGTCGTGGTGTCACTTTGATGCAGTGGTTGAATGTGCCAAGCTGTTTCTGTCATCACATTTGATCGTGCAAGCCTTGCCTTGCTTTTACTATTAAAAGCTCACCTGATCTTTGCTCGCACTAAGTTCCTGATCTTAAGAAATAATTTTGTATTTTGCTTCTTGTGTCTATTATTGTTATGCCTAGTATCAGGGAAGGGCGCTAGATTTGGCAGATGAGGTTGGAAACTTCTGCATCGCTCATCAATGTTGCCAGACAGGAAGGCTCATGAGCGTGCTGGTCACAAGGATATCCTGGTGACAGGTTCAAGAGGTGCGATGGTTGTAGGTTGTACTGAGCTTGAAGTTTGGCTTCTCATAAGGCTTGCAATTTGACGCCGCTTCTCTCTTTGGCTTCATTCTACGTAATTTGTTTTGGAGGACAGGTTGAAGGACAGCCAGGCAAGGAGCCAGCTGTGCAATGACCAGACCACAGTCGGCATCAACCCGCAGTCAGCATCCGACTGCTTGTATTGAATGCGAAGATGAGCTTGCCACTTCTTGGTGCGAGGTTAGTCCACATCAGCTCGCTTCAAGATTTCAGAATCAGAAGCTCTTGAAAATGGGTGTTTTCGATGGATCGGAAGCAATCGAGCGTCAGCTCCCTGTGTAAGCTCCTTGCTGGTTTCCTCCTTTAATGGATGCAGATTCGGTGTGGTCTTAGGTTCTAAATCAGTGTGTGACTGGCTCGGTTTCTTGTATCATGGATCAGCCCTTCCATGCTGACCGCATCTCGCTTTTCTCCAGGAGTGTCGCACAAGCTTCTGTGAGGTGAGCCTCGACGTCTTACTTTAACTTTGTTGGCGGTGGCTAGTCCTTTTGAGGGCCTAAATTTGGTATGTGGGGGAGATGCACGATGGGCACTGCTTGACAGTGATCGAAGATTTTATGACATGTGGCTCTCTACAACGTGAGGATCTGGTCTGCGCCGTATGCTTTGTCCAGCTTCTCCATTGCTCAAAAGATGGTGGCGCTGACTGAAAAGCTCACTTTTGGCCACCATGTTCCAGGAATGCGACCTCCATCAGCACCATCCAAAAAGCTTGCGCCGAGAGCATGTCAGGACGCCAATCAGTCCTCCGGAACCCCCGGCCGCGGCGGCATCAAGAGCCGGCTTGCTCTCAAAGGCGTTTGCGACAGAGGAAACGGCCTGGAGTGCAGAGGGTGACGAAGATTCAGCAGAGGACGGACCTGCAGATAGTGGTCTCACTTCTGCTAACCAGGGGGCTTTCAGTTCTGGTGGGAAGTTGGAGAGTGGGAGCAGCCACCATGCGCTCAAGTCGAAACGGAAGCACAAGAAGAAGCGGGGGAAAAGTAGGGGTCACTCAAAGGACAGAGTGGAGGGTGGGGGAGTTGAAGCGGAAGGGCATGAAGATGGAAGGGCTGAGCCCAGCCCTACCAAGGGGCTGGATTGTCAGGTTAGAAAGGAGAAGGACGGGGATTCCGGAGGAAGCTCATCCGTCGAGCACTTGAGGGAACGCCCGGTGAGTTGCCTGGTTCTAAGGGTCCGGCAAGCTCCAAGGAGTCTTAAGATTCTCAAATTGATTGATTAGTTATGTTGAGATTGGTGCGTCATTGAGCCTTGTTTCCCAGGTGGCTGCTACACCAGCGGGGCGCTTCACGTGAGCACAGGCGGATGTTGCTGGCATTGCAACTGTTTGTCACACTTGCAACAAGGGTATCGTGAGACGAAGATGTAGGGACTTTGGTGTTGTCATCGAGAGTAAGAGGTTCTAACTCTCTGATGATGGGCGCTTTGGTCTTCTGTCGACTTCTGCCAATTAAACATCAAGCAGCTCTTTCTCTCTCTTTCTCTCTGTATTTCAAAGACTGTGCATACCCGAAGTCGCTCGCTGGCAATGACGTGTGTTCTCAGAAGCTTGGAAGACTCCCTCACCTTAAAACTTTGTCGTCTGCCAACCCTCAGGTCTGGAAGAAGCGCAAGTCGTCCCTGAAGGGCAGCCATGAAGCGGCCGGAGAGGGGCCCCGGCAGTCTCTGCACGTGCACTGGTCGCCCGACGTCAAGGACCACAGGGCAGAGGATCACTCGCCCTCATATGGCAGCCCCCGCCGCTTCGTCCCGTTCATCAGCAACCGCCGCAAAAAGTATGCGGAAAAGCACCACAAGAAGCATCACAAGGGAGCGGCAGAGCATGCCGACAAGCGGGGCAAGGGCAAGGGGCGGAAGAGCCATGAAGCGCCAAGGTCACCAGGGTGAGTCAGAATCAAGTTTACAAGGTGGTTATAGCTTGTGGGGGTCAAGGATACAACTAGTTTGGGCCCTGTCTCATCAAGGCCGTGTGTAAACTTAGAAATCTCAGGAAAGTAGTCTTCAGGGCAGTTGGTAGAACGTCTTTGATTGAGCATTTGAACCAGTTGACGTCAGGTTTTGCGGTGACACTCGTGTGCTTTTAGAATTTACTGTCGAGCTTGTTTAAGCATTGCTTGATATTTCTAAATCAGGCAAGTCGCATCTTTTCTAACTATCTGGCTTCTCAAGCCTTGATATCAAACGTCTTACCCAAATTCTGTCATTTATAGTCCGTCAGGCTCTTATTGCATTACTGGTTGAGGCAGGCTGAAACCCCTCGGGGCAGTCTGTTAGTGCTGCACCTAGAAGAAGCGTATATGGTTCTCGTCTCAAGGAGCTAACACGACACGATTGCCATGATTGCAGAGCAAAGAAGGCCCACCTGGAAAGTGCTCCCGCCACCGGCCTCAGCGACGCCTCTGAGAGCGCAGATTCGGACGCGTTTAGCCCAGTCTGGCCAAGGGACTCCAGCGACAAGTCGGAGGGCACGAGCGATGACTCCAGCTTCGAGGACAAGATGGAGCCCCGACATCGTGTTCCGGACGTCCAGCTCAAGCTGCCAGAAGCCCGAAGCGGAAGAGGGTCCGAAGTCGAGAACGAAGAGATCCCGGGGGGGTCTGGTAAGGAGCAGGGGGCTAGAACGGGTTCGGAAGCTGGGTTGAAGATGTCGGAGGAGGTTTCGGTGCTGAAGAGGGAGGGCGCCGCGCTGAAAGCGGTGCCGTTTGGAGAGATTGTGAGCAGCAGCGGGGCGGAGGACACAGCGGAAGAATCGGCGACGGAGGACGATTCAATGGCGGGGGGGATGGATCTCGACTCGTCGGAGACCGAGATGCTGGCCGGCGGTGCCAAGGAGCAGCCCCCCGGACGCTCCTGGAAGTGGTTTGAGAGATTCATGGGGAAGAAGAAGTCGGATGCGCCGGAGAGCAAGGGGCCTGCTCAGGAGAGGGAAAAAGCTGCGCGGTCAACAAAGGGGCCTGCGAAGAAGGGCTTGGTAGACGAAAGAGGAGGGGTGGGTTCTGTTCCAGCGGTGGAGAAGAGCCCGTTGGGTTTGATCCGCAACTCGAATAGCAGAGCGGAGTTCGGCGCTGCACCGCAGTACAGCAGGACCGCGCCTGCAAAAGCTCCGGCGGGAGACGCTCCGAATGAATTGAGGGTGGGAAATGATTCGGGCGAACTGGAGAACGCCCGCGGTCGGATGGAGTCTGCGGCGAGGCTGGCACAGGGTGGCGACACTGTAAAAGCTGTGTGCGAGTACGAGGCTGCTATTCGCTTATTCCGGTCTCAGTATAGCGCAGCCGGTCGCCAGGCGCTGCAAGGGGAGGCGCAAGCGTGGGAAAAGATCGCCGCCCTACAGAAACGGGAAGACAACGGCGCGGCGGCAGGACGGGGTTACTTGGCTGCCGCGCGGGTGTATCAGAGGTTGGGTATGGAGCCGGAAATGGGGGCGTGTCTGCAGCAGGCACGTGAGCTGCAAAAGGGGGGGAGCAGTGACGAAGAAGCGGCGGAGGAGGGGCCTAAAGCACAGGCAGAGGCGACCGTCGCTAGAAAGGGAGAAAAGGATTCGAACGAAAAGCAGGGGATGCTAACAAAGAGCGCGGACGACGATTCGACGAGGGGAACACGCGAATTTGGGAACGGTAACACTAGCGTAGAGCAGGACAAGGTGTTTCCAGCACAGGGCAGTACAGTAGCAGTGAACAGTAGCCCGCAACCTGTACAGAGCAGTAACAAGCAGGACTTAGCGCAGGGTCTAGTGTACAATAACGAGGGGGCCAAGGGGGCCAGCGGCAAGAGGGGGCCCAAGAAGAAGGGGAAGGGCGCGGCCAGTAAGGGCACATCTGAAGTCGGTGTAGCCAAGACGGCACCTGGAGAGGGGTCTGACGACAAAGTGCAGGCCGAAACGGTGCAATCGGGACCGGTAGTCATTTCAGGCACGCCGGTGAGGAGAGGAGACTCAGGCGGAAGTTTTGCGGGGAGCGGGGCCGTCGCTGCCAGCCAGGTTGACACCACTGCGTCAATCGCAAGGAGCCGCAAGTCTGGGGCGGCGGCAGTGGCGTCAGGCGACGCGGACAAAGGGAAGGCGCTTCTGGTCGGGGCGTTGGTAGCGGCTCGGAAGGGGGGCGTGAAAGCGGAGGAGGCGCGCTGCCTGCGCCTGCTGGCGGATTCCCAGGCCACCGAGGAACAGCGCGTGCGGACGCTCGAGCAGGCGGTGCAGGGGATGCGGGACTCGGGCCTGCGGCTGGAGGAGGCTGAAGCGCTGTACCGGTTGGCTGACACCAAGCTGACGCAGTACCTCGGAAACAAGGCTGCAATCCAGGCGGCGGTGTCGGGCGTGCCGGGGAAAGAAGACGTGGCGCTGGTAGAGAGCGCCCGGAAGAGCCTGCTGGCAGCCGCTCAGATCTTGCAGGTGGCTGATCTGTGGAAGGGGCCGGAAACGGTTTCGGAACGACCCGCCCGCGAGATACTGAGCCCGACGCGCACGAACCGGCCGGAGGTGGTGACTCTTCCGGCGAGAGGGAAGTTTGCCGCGAGGAACGGAAGGGGTGGGGAGAATGCGGAGAACGGTGTCACCTTTGGAACGAAGGGGGCGTCTGAAGGGGTTCCGGTCAGAGTGGGAGGCCCGGGCTTGAACGGACGGAATGCGGATGAGGTGCGCGTTTTGAGGGAGCTGTACGGGCTGGTCTGCCAGGGTGTCGGGAAGGCTTCCATTCTGCTGGGGCAGATGGGCGCAGCAAAAGAGAACTTCCAGGAGGCGCTTTCGAACGTCGAATGGACGTCCAAGTATGGGGATGAAGCTAAAAGGGTGCGGGACATTATGGGCAGGCTTCCGCGCTGACGGCCGTGAAAAAAGGTGTACAGGTCTTGGTTTTACAACTAAAAGCTTGAGACGACTAGTCGGAGCAGCGTGTCACTTCGAGACGCGTTTTGTAGGTTAGGAGCTCTGGCTAACGAGAGACTTTGTCAACCTATTGTGGTTTGAAGAATAAGGGATCGAAGCATTTAGGAGCTTCTTTGTAAGTTCCTTAACGCGTTGGCTGAAAGTCCTGCCTTCTGCTTTCAAAACGAGGATGCCTGACACAGCAGCATGAATCGGGGGCTCAGTGTGGTTGTACGTTAGGCCTTTATGCATGGAAGCATCGGATGAGCTGGCAGCGGCCTGAGTGTCCTCAAGTGCATACACTTCGGATGCGACGGTACTGAATCGTATGGAAGGTCGACAACGACCGCTGGTCCTTGTTGTTGTTCAGGGCCCTGCAGTGCTTCAACTTCCTATGTGAGCATGTGCTGCTCATGCCAGCTTCTGCACTCAATGCGCCGGTACGCATTCCATGATGAACATGTCGGATAAATTATGTCCGGCCTGACCTAGTTGACTAGGTATACGTCGCACTGACACATATGCGCAGACTGAAAGGCGCACAATTCATGATGACGCAGGCCACATGTATCTCATCACTGTGCATTGCAGAGTAATAATCTGATTTGCACAGATTGAGGATGCACATGCATCAACAAGACGCGGGCCACACGAATCATCTTCTAGAAGCCATGCATGAGGTACATGTAAAGAAGGAAACCTGTTCATCACCCTTGATCACCTTGTAGATCTGCATGGCCACTGCATTTTGCTGGGCCAAGTGTATAACGCGCAACGCATGCCGAGCGATCCTAAGCATGCAGACTACTCAGTAGCCTCCGTGACATTGTCGAGCAGCAACCCACGTCAAGATCGCCTTCGCCGGAGAACACTCAGTTCAGTTCTGCTCATTGTTGCATGAGCCCGTGTGTAGCCTAGGCCGTGCAAGCTCCAGTGCCCGAATCTTGCACTGACTTTGACCGAATTATATACCTTCAGAGATTATGTGTCCATCCACCTTTCAAGTTTAAAGCTTAGCTTTTTGTTGGCCCGTACAAGGCCGGAACCCGACTCACCACAATTTTTCCTGCGTCTAAAGAATCAGTATATGACCTTCTATAGTCTGTGCAAGGACACTGCGAGATCCTTTGAGGACAAACATTCTCCAGTTTTGACAACCTTCCGCTTCCGAGATCAGGGGGCGTGCCAGTCAACTCCACCAGCTTGTTCACCTGGCAGCTTTGAGAATCATTACCCCCCTTGCCGTAGTGCTCTTACAATTTCCCAAATGCGTACACGTTCCGTGACCGTTCGTGCAAACGAGTCCGCGAATGGGCCGCAGCAAAATATGTCAACCTTGCTAGCCAGTTCGAGTGCCCCAGCAAAAAGTTTGTAAGCAACACTTTTGTGCAACGCCTAGATTCCGTTTCTGGTTGCAATCAGGCTTCCGGGTCCGGCGGGGGCGCTGGCTGCTGGTGGGTGTCCATGCTGTGGTGGGCCTTGTGGAAGTCCTGGAACTCGACCGCCTTCTGCTGCTCCCTCCGCCGCCGCAGCCCGAACAGCACCCCCACCGCCAGCAGCCCCACCGCCGCCGCGCACCCCACCGCGATGCCGACAATCGCGGCGACCTGGGGAGACGCTCAGCAGTGTTGAGATCAAAGGAGCTCAGGAGAAGCTTGAATAACGTGTACGCATGATGTTCAATGAATGGTGATCCAATATTCGTACGAGACCTACCTTTTAGGTTACTCGACAATGCATCAGTAACTCGACAATGCATCAGTAACTATACCCAAAGGTTAGAAGTTGACAGAAATGGAGCTCGAGCGACGCGCTAAGCTTCACCGGGAAACGGACCGCCTTTTGATGAGACCAAGGAGGCACCATGCGGCGCCCCCGCCGCGACTGAACCCGGAGCAGATGTGCGAAAGTGGTCTTCGTGCGGGCGCAGACTGAATCGCGTGTTCCGGTATCAGATCTGGTGCTATATTGTTGATGTAGCGGGAGATTGGGCGCACCAGCCTTATTTCTAGAGGCCGCAAGCCGCCTGCTACAAGATTGCAGAATCTATGGAGGGCCCCTCGGCTTTTTTCAGCCTGCTCAAGAATCATATTCTCTAACTAGCCTCAAACCGACAGAATACACGCGACCCATCACCAAGTCAATTTAATACTCCCACTCCAATCCGTGATCATGAAATGCGGGATGCCGCAAGGGCGCACCAACCCATCGTCGGATTTCGCTACCGCCATACGCGAGCGACCACATAACAGACTCCTTTCTGCTTGAACGGAGAAAGCGTCCCTTGGGCCTTACCCCTATTCCGCCGGACCCCTCCGAAGATGCGAGTGACGTGGACCCCGGAGGTGCCACGCTGGCAGCCACGGCGGCAGCGCTGCTGACAGTACCTGCGCGCGCGCACGAGCGTTGTCAAGCAGGGTTTTGAAAAAAGTAGCAGGCAACCGGCCAGCAAAGCGCGGACAGCATCGACTGCCCTCACAGGGAGAGATCAGCGTTGGTCTCTGCTTGATCAAACGCCCTTCTACCAGAGGAACGGAATTTATGCTAGATTCAAGACTCATCTGATGGCCTTCAACCAATCATGGTTAAGGGCGAAAATTTCTTGTGCCTGCCGCAGGACGAGAAAAGATGATTGCAATGGCACGCGCTCTGTTGCGAGCGCGCCCTCTGGCTGACGAAATGGGGCTTGGCTCGAGCCCTGCAATTGTTAGAAGTGTAACAGCCGGACCTCTCCTTTGTGTAGAACACGCCGGGAGAAACTTGCGAATGAACACGTCAACGCTAACGCTTTAAAACAAGAATGATTGACAGCGCAGCACACGCAGGCTGCAGGCTTGCGAAGCAGATTGGTCCCGCCGGTCAGTTCGGCCGTTCCGATGGATCTAACGCAGGTCGATTTGGTCAAATGCAATTAGATCTTCCACGTGGTCAGAGGCAATCAAAACACAGACATGCCTTTAGCCAAGAACGATTGTCGTTGAGAACTGGTTGTCAAGATATTCTTGTCAATGACGTCACTCCCGTACAACGCAGCTCACCCGCCGGCGGGGAGGGCGCGGCGGTGGCGGCCGGCGGCACGCTGTACGGCGCAGGGCACTCGGGCCCGTTGTAGCCCGTCACGCAGACGCACTGGACGACCTTCTGCTGACCGCGGTTGCTGAACAGTGACGTGGTGTCGCACCGCTGCTTCTCCGGGCACACCAGGCCGTTGGAGCACACCTGGCCCCCGGAGGCGGGCGCCGCTGCACATAACGAAGAACTTTTGATAAGTGTGGAATGGTTGCTTGCGCATCCTTCTTTTCTGCAAAGCTGGGGAGCTTAAGATCCATCGAACCAAGCCAGGAGGGATGACTTTGTTTGTCCATAATGTCTGATTCTATTTTAAAGAGCTAACACCATCGAGAGTGCAAGACAGCACGATTGTCTTCAGCTTTTCGGTGCAAATCTTCTCTTCTTTTACGAGCTTGGCCTTTTCTTTGAGAAGCATTCACAATCTCTCTGGTCAAACATTGAGCGATCAAAATAGACCTATGGATTAGGTAGAATAGTTCTAGGTATGGTCTGGTCACGGACCGGCGAAGGGGTGGGGTTAGTTTCGGGGTCAGGGTGGGTACGCATGCAGAGCAGGGACATTTGTCAGTTTGGGTTTTTTGTTTCGTTTTCCCCGGGGACTGTTGCTACCATACCTAGAAACTATTATAAGAGTATCTGGGGGGCAGCGTTGGATGAGATGCAGCGGGGATTATCTTTCTGACCAAGGAGCGTTTTATGAAAGCAAGCAATGAACATAATTCTCGGCTTGACATGCGGGAGGCTGCGTAAGGCTCTGTAAATCGTGCCTGGCTAATCTCGGAATTATCAGGGCAAATACAAGTCCACGTGGTCTGGTAAGTGAAAACCCATCGTGATTGCTCTGCATTACAGGTATGTCTGAGAAAGACTTAAGGCAGGCATGTTTAAGGCGATGAGGATAAGTTGCTGACAGAGACCCGACAATCCTGCTGTGTCCGTTGGAACAGAGAGCGAGCAGAAATAGCTTGAAGAGGCAGACTATATATTACCCCAAGTACGTTTGGCACACTTTCCTGTTTACTGCCGCTGCCAAGCTGTTTCCATACGCCTGGGCTACTGACTTTCCAAGGTTTGTCGGGATGGGAGTTGGCTCCCAAGATCAGATTTTTACAACTTGGTAAGGACACCATGGACCGAAGTCTCAACGGTTAAGGTGTGGGCATGTGGGCTGGCATCTCCATCTAGCGCGGCTGGGTTGATTCAAGCTCCATGACCTTGGAACGTGCACCAGCAGTCTGAAAGGTTAAGAGCCTTGCGGCGCAAGTACTGCCAGAAAAATCACTGTGAACGCTCGAAGTTCGAACTCTGCCTTTCAACTTAAGCGTCCCTACCTGCGACCAAGGCTGGCGGGGCTGACAGGGCCGGCGGGGAGGGGGTAACAGCGTCGGTGGTGGGAGTTGGAGTGACGCTGTAAGGCGCGGGGCACTCGGGTCCGTTGTAGCCGGTTACGCAGAGGCACTGGATGATTGTCTGGGTGCCGATTTTGGTGGTGTCGGAGATTTGTGTGGTGTCACAGCGCTGGTTCTCGGGGCAGACCAGGCCGTTTGAACACACCTGGCCCACCGGGGCGGGCGCTGCTGCACGCAGACAAGGTAAATCCAAAGAAGGTTTCAACAGTTAGAGGCATGCTGTAAGGACATTTCACTTGGGGGCTACTCAGAGTAATTAGTAGTAGACCGGGGATGAAGGAAAGGGATGCCGCTACTGGCGCCGCGGCCACAAATCGGCCACGGCGGAAATCGATGATTTTCAGGGTCCCCTTGAATCGACCACTAAGACCATCATGCATGAGAGGAGGGGGACGAACAACGATGAGCTTTTCAAACGGAAGTGGCCCGTCCTTGTCAAGATCGCCGTTCCCTTGGATAGGCACTGCGGGTATCTGGATGTTAGGATCCTTCCATGGATACACAAACAGAAGACCACCTTTCGTCCCTGCCGCGGTGGACGTACTTGTCAGGTGGAGTCCAGATTCAAGTAACAGAGAGCCTTTTGAAGAAATCTAAAAAACCGGTACCATGAAACAAGCTGTGGGTGCCCATGAGGGAGCTGCCCCTTCTGGAAATGGTTTGAATAGATCCACTTACGTGCTGTTTGGTGCAAGCGCCGGTTGTGATGCAGAGCAGTCTGCCGCCCCTCTGTAGGAAAGACTGCCAGCAGGAAATGTATGCACAGGGGTTAGGGGCAGAGACCTGGGACACAATCTAATGCGAGAACCTCCATTGCAAAGCAGGTGGGGGTGGCAGCAATAACTTATAAGGTGAAACTTTCGTCCTCCCTTACTCCCTTACTCCCTCCCTCCCTCCTTCCCTCTCCCTCTCTCTTCCTCTCTCCCTCCCTCCTTCCCTGTGCAAAGGGCAGTGACAGAATGTGAAGGCACTCTGGCAAAGATTGATTGCAAGGGATTCATTGGTTAACCAACATGTGGATACACTGTGAAGTGAAGTGCACGGAACAGCATTACCACATCCCATTGGCTTTCCTCCTTCTGATGGTGCGTCAAATCAGCTCCTCAGATAGCTGAGAAAGAGCCAGACCAACATGCTTGCTTGGACAGAACTCAATGTGGCGATCAAAAGTTAGGAGTATTCGAAGTGGGCGTTGAGATCCCCACCTGTGGTGCTCAGTAGGACGAGGAGGGCCACCAGTGTGCTCACAGCCGTACTCATTCTGAACCACGAACTGACACAGCATAGAAACTGGAATCAGTCACAGAATGGGTCTGCGCCTAGAAAGTTGGCTACCGGATAGAAGGTGTCAAAGCATTCTGCGACAAGAAACCAAGCCTCGGCTGATGACCTCAATTTTTAGTGCCTCATGAGCTGATACTATATTGGTCAGGGCTCAACCTGATTCAGCTTCTCGCTGGTTCCTGAGGCTTATACAGCATTGAGCAGGAACTTTTACCAGGGGAATGCCCTTCACGTTGGACACAAGCTGCCAGTGCACGTCAGCTGCCGCACACAGACTTTGCCACCTCCATACACGCAGACTCGTCCGACTTGTTCCAACTCCCATCTTTATCTCATCATCCGTTGTTGTCAAGCCTCAAGGGCGATGCAATGGCGCCATCCCAGGGCCAGATTCCCTTGAAAAGATACCTTCACCCGGAAATTGGGGGCCTTCCAGGATGATCCCTCAGGTTAAGTATTTGGTTAAACATAGACCACAAACTTAACTTCAATAGCTCGCTAGCTGGAAGTTCCCTGGAGTAAGGAAAGTGGCTTGTTTCCATGCGATAATCAACCACCTGACAAATTAAATTACCGTATATCGTAGATAACGCGCCGCTCGACAAATCTGTAAAGTGCGTGCAAAACGGCACGCCTGACAAAATTGGTAGCACTGCCGTTGCATCGCGCACCGTCCGATCGGCAACGCACGGTCCGATATCGACCGTGCTCGACGCGACCGTGTCGACCCACAAAGTTGCTCGCTGCGACCGTCTGAATTGCAGTACATAAGGGCGGCGCCCCCGGTGGTAGGGTGGTGGTTCGCGGCGGCTTGCCCCGGGTGCCACCTGCACTGCAAGTCCACTAGCATTAGGGTCTCGCGTACCGCCCGGGGAGCAACCGGGCCCTCCTTGTGACATTAGGGTCTCGCGGGCAACCGAGTGACAACCGGGCACTTCCCAGTGACATTAGGGTGTGGCGGTCACTCTATCCTAGGTTTTTAGTGTGCCCGGTACTTCCCTGTGACAACCGCCCGGGGATTCCCAATTTTGTCAAGCCATGCATTATCTCCGATATACGGTATTTATAAATTTGTAGCGGCGCACGTCTTTCACGCGCTTGTAGACCAGTTTTATGCCTGGGAAGTTCGGGCGTATGTATGTACCGTATGTACTAAAACGGTGGCGCACTTTGTCACCCCTTCGTTCCCAGGCTCGGCACTCCATAACGGTACCCATTGCCCCACCACCCCACGCTTGGAGGCAACGGGGCAAACCGCGTCCTTCTTCCCCTTTCTCACGACACTCACTTGTCTATGTCAATAATGTTCAGAGATGAATATGATCTGCATGTTACTGGACGACCAACCGTCTTGCTTTTACTGGGAGAACTACTTTAGAACACGGCACTTATATGAGCTTAGCTATGTGTATGCAGCAGCTTTTGTAGATACCTCCTGAACTCGTTGAGCACTCGGTCCACTGCTCAAGAAGGGCCTCATCAGGAACAAAGTTGAATCAAAGCGCGCATGTATGGCTAGCCTTATATTCCAACATTGGAGCGGCGAAACGTCTACCCGCCACTCCATTATTCATGGCCTAATAGTGTTTGAGAGAATGTCGGCGGGTTCGAGAATTGTAAGTGGATAGAAGCAAACACTTTTCATGAACTCGAGCATGCCAATATAAGGACACACCGGCTTTACTGCCTGCAGGCCCGATTCGCAGAAGAGACCATCATGTGAGATGCTTGGACTCGACATCAAATGGAGTTGGATATCTTCTAAGGGTAGAGTTTATTGATGACATCTCGGGCGAATGTACAGTATTTGATCTGCCCCCTTGATCCCGCTGGCGGAACTTGCCAGAGTGGTGAACCTTTAGTTCAGCTGGTCCGTGTCTTCAACGTGTCGGCAGTCTCTCGCTAAGTCTGTATTTTACACGGTATTTACATGTTGCACGACTTCTTTGCAGCCCTAGATCCTTCGAAGAAACCAACCCTAGCCCTCACCTAGACATCCAACACTTTGCGTGCGGTCCCTACACGAGACAGCACAACTTGACGACAGACGTGCCACTCTCGTTATTCGCAACCCAAAAAGCTCCTCTTCCGGTGGGGCTTCCCCCATATGCAGCTGGCCAGTTGAGAATCTGTGCCGACATCCGCTGCTAGCGGATGCCTGCTTTCTGCAGATATTGCCGAAACTCATCCTGCTCTTCTTCGGAGATGACGTCAAGATTCTCCGGCCCTGGCAGCGGGCCCTGCTGCTTTCCTTGTCCCACGCCTGCCCCCACTTGCTCTTGCATGTACCGCAGGTCGGATAAGAGGGCCGATGACGTGGAGCGGCCCTGCGCGAGCACGCGCTCGCAGTACTCACGGTGGGTCTCAGCCTGCGCGTAAGTGGAAGAAGCAACGTTGACAGGCAGCTCTTCATCAGCCTTTCTACTTTAAAATGCAAAGCCTGATTGGCTGAGTGAATGAGGCGTTCCACGGACCGCTAAAAGTACGAATTTAGTAGTCTGTCAACCTGAGGAGGACTTCGCGACTATGCTATATGAAGAGCAAAGACGACAGTATGCAAGGGGATGTGAGGACAATATCCGACATTTCCAAAGGGCGATCAGGGACCTCGACATACCAGCTTGGCTGTCGCTCGCCGGTTCATGTAGGCGATGAGATTCCGCTTGATCACGATGGCCGACTGCAGCCGCCGCCGAATCGCCACTTGCTCCTCCTGCAAAATGAACAGAACAGCATTAGAAAGGGCTTCCGAGCAGTCCAGCAATGGCAAGATGGCCAAAGTCGAAAGATCATTGTGAATGAGCATCTCAAGCCTCGCTCGTGCAACAGGCAGCGGACGAAAAGCGGCGTTGATCGGTATCGAGAATTAGCAGCTAATACGCCACCGATCCTATCATACGAAAGGGTTAAAAAAAGCCGCTCATCAATAGTCGGTTGTGAGCACGTGCTGACGGGGTTGCAGGAAAGTCGAGCTTAGCATCCGAGACAAGTTTGATTGCGTTGGCAAGAATGCGTTCCTGGTCACCCTTTCGATGCTTATCCGCGGATGTCGCACACCTTGCACCAAAGCAAAGATTGGCACACTATAACTGACAGATGTGCCCTCTGTAGCAACTTCGAGGCATGGCTTTGGACCTGTCTTCGCTCCTGGTACGAAGACTCCTTCAGTAATATCGTTCTCCTGCTTTCTCCGGGTTGCCGGCACGCCTGGAGTCATTGACTTCAGCCGTCTCAGCCCTGCTTACCCTCTCCTTCTCGTTTGGTGTCTCGTTGCCGCCGCTCTTGTCGCTTCGCGCGGGCCGCGACGCGAGGAACTCGGGCGCCAAGGGTTTCAGGGTTTGCTCCAGGGAGGCTTTGGGATGCTTCGCGCCTTCCCCTTTCCAGGGAAGGGGCAGCCGCGCCTTCGGCGACGCGAGCTGCAACTGCGCGGACCACGGCCGCACGCGGCCCGGGCCGACCTGCGTCACAGGGTTTAGAGGGTTTGAAGAGTCGGGCGCTTTTACTGCGTGCGGAAAGTAGGTCGACTTTAACGCAGTGCAAGATACTGTCTGCACGAAAGGTGGATGTGCTCCGACGAGCGGTCTTTGGCTATGACGGTTAGTTCCTTCGGTCGTCTGGGTCTCTCGTGCGTCCTCTATAGTCGTGACAGCGACTCAGCCTGCTCTCTATGCTCAGAAGCATATGCTGCAGTAGATCTTCCTGAATCGAAGGCATTTTCGTTCGAAGGACGGCTATATCAATGGCAACGAATGTAAGAATCTTGGCGTCGACCAAGAAGGCAGACGGCTCTTATGGAAGCTCACGATCACTTCAAGCTCCCGGGCGAGATCTGTAAGATCAATTGGTCAGCCCCACAATATTGGCTGCTTACGTGAGCAATACACCTGATAAAGTATTCACAAAGTTCAAAACTGTTCGCGGTTTGAAGATGCACTTCAATTTCAGGAAAGAAGAGCCCTTACCTTGACCCAGTTTGCCAGAGGGGCCGCGACGGATGCGGTGGACGGCCGTTGGACGGCGTCGGGCGGTACTCGGATCGTTTTCAGAGGCCCCGGCAACGCGCTGTGAAGCGGGGCCGCCGCCAAGCGGGACCAGGCGCCGACCTCAACCTACATGAAAACAGGGCCTCAAGAGAGAGCGTCGGGAGGCCTCAACTTTGGCAAGATCGATCGAAGCTAGTGGAGACAGCGTTCTTTGTGACGCGGAGGATAGGCTCCGAGTTTTCCGATCTGTTGCTCGGGAACTCTCTGCACCTCCGCTGAATCGTGCACAATGATAGCTTAAGCAGCCTGGTCGTCAGATTGTTCCAGAAATGTCAAAGCATGTGACAAATATAAAAGGTCAAGTACTCAAACATGACCACCTCACTGCCCGTGCTTTTAGTGCATTCAGTTTTGTCAAAGCTGCAAGGAATCCTGAGCGGACCGGGAAGCGCCAAAGGACGCCTCTCGCACTTACCTGAATGCGCGCCTGCAGTTCTTGCAGCCGCAGGCGCGCAGTTTTATATGCAGGAGACTCTAGGACTTTGATCGAAAGCTCCAGGGCTCGTCTGCACCGAGAGAACAGAGGATTGATCAGCAGAGTCCAAAACGTCGCAGGTATGAGTAGACTCCATGAGTTGTGAAACGCCATGAACATTGGCACCCATGCAGCCTCAGAATTTTGGCTTCGCCCTATACTCGTCAAGTGGTGTCTATCCGCGCCGAAGAGGTGAAAGAATTCTTGATCTGTTGTGTGTTGAATAAGCATGATACCGCTCTCTATAGTGCGAAACGCGGAAAAAAGGTGACTATTCTGTTTTGAAAGCCTTGAGATCGTTTACGAAGATTGTGAGTAGAAGAATTTCAAGGCTTGACCAGAGAACCTATTTGAACAGGGGTATTAAGTAAGCCCAGCGATTGAACAGAGCATTCAGATAGAATAAAGGGGACCAGTTCGATGGCAGCAGGAATTACTCAGACACTCTCGTTTGGCTGCATGAGAACAGCTGGGGTACCGCAGGCTTGCTTTCATGCTTTCTTACTTGGTGTACAGTTGGATCGTGTGAAGCATGCGGGGTAAGTGGGGCGAAGATGCTACCAGGACTGACGTAGGCGCCTCGTGCCTGCGTGGATGACACCAAAGTCTTGGATGCGTATAATGCTTAAAGACCAAGCGTCCAGAATGGAGAGTAACAGGCAGAAACGAGGCTCGGCTTCCGAGCGGACGAGGATCTTGCTGTGCCGATCGTGTCGCTTTCACTAAACCCTTCTCCTAAGCATCAGTAGCGCAAGCCAAATAATTTTGGGATGAAGCATCGTCTTATACTTGCTGATCAGCATGGCTTGCCTCTGCAGAAAAAGAAGGTAAAGCTGGACTACAGGCCTCATTGCAATTAGTAGCCAACTCTGGCGAAGTTTCTCCCGCTCAGAATGTGCCTATAAGTCTACTCAATGTCCTCGACTGGTCATAGTTAAGATCTTCACTATCTAGAGCCCCTGAGATTGCGCTCACCATTGCTTTGCTACCCGTTCCACTGCCACCATCATTGCCTCGACTTCGTCCTCCGACATGGTCTGAGGAGTCATGTGCTGCCAAACCTGCACGAAACTTGCGAATAAGTCCCTTCGCCCCACTTTCGTCAAATGAAGTATCCAATCCTCGAATACAGTAGCACAGGCCTTTAGATCGAAACTTCGCGTTTTGGAGTTTTACGGATTTTAGGTCTGCTGGTCGTACGTCATAGTCGCAGGCTCAACGATCATTCTGTGAGTGCTGAAGGAACTGGCTACGAAACTGGTACAGGAGAGCAAGTACGAGGTGCAAGTGCTCAGCCTGACCTGTACGAGCATATCCGCCAGGTTCTCCCCCACGTGTGGTGGCAGCTGATTGCTGCCAACGCCGTATAATCGTGTCTGCACAGCGACAAACAGCATAAGACCATTTCCCTGTTCAGAGCGCGACCAGTCCAGAGACCCTGCTCGTGTCCTGTGAGAAGGTGCACAAAGAGTGTGACTCCTATGTGTGGAGTGACTTTCAGGAAAAGTCACTCCACTTCGGCTTCAGACCCTCTTGGCTTTGAGATTTGGCTAAAGGCCAGCTTTATCCTTTTACTGGTTGTCCGAGCTGCTCCAAAGCCCGATTGATTTGGCGGAGAGAAAGAGAATCGACAGGCCAACCGGAGCCGGGACTCGAGAAAGGTGGAGGCTATGCCTGTCGAAGGAGGAAGGGTATCAAATCGCTGATGAGTTGGGTGCCGGATCTGCTTGGACGCGTCGGTGTTCCCTTTTGACTTCTGGTGCTGTTGCAATTGTTAAGCACTTCAGGCAAGATAACCTGCAGACAACGACATGAACTGTTATGAGGGCTAGAAAAACTTGAATTGCCGTGGGCTTTCCGGAAGCGACAGGCATTGCAAAGTCTGAGCACGCAGACCTGAACGAGAGTCACTCGGGTGCAATATAAATGTCAAGTGGCATAAGAAAGAGGCATACTGGGATAGCTACAACAGAAGCTGTGCAAGCCAGATTCCGAGGCAGATCATGAATCATCAAACATGAATGCTGTTCAGGCTGAATGTGCGTCGTGCAGAAGTTCTCGGCTCGAAGAAATCCTTGAACACTTGCCTCCAATGGGGTTCGTTCACCGGTCCTCCGTATGGCAGTGTGGTCGACATTCATCACTGCCTTGACCGACTCGAATAGGATGCCAGTGTGGCCCGGCTGAGAAGGAGAAAGGAGAGAAAGGTGAGGGTACGTGCTCAATATTACTCCCACTCATCGCCACAGAGTTCCCGTTTTCTGAGGCTTTGAAACTCTTCCCTACAACGCCTCCGTCCAGGAGGAGCCGGCTACACATTTCTGGGGCTGAGCTTTGCAGCAGACTCCACCAATCTTTGAATGGACTGAGTTGAGTGGACTGAACGGGTTGACTGACGAACTTTTCATAGACAGGAAGTGTACAGGATATGTCATGCAGAACCGTCATCGAGTAAGGTTCACTCGAGCTCTTACCTCCTCCATGATCAGGTGCAGCAGCCGCGCTATGAAGGGTGTCTTGGCCAGGCAGACCCCAATCTTGGGCTTGCTGACCTCTTTTCGCCAGTGCAACAGCTGCTCCAGGCAGCGAGGCGTGTCCTGCAGGCCCCATTTGCTCGTCAGCTGCTACTCGCAATTTGTCTGACACGCTCTTCAGATAAATCTTGCGTTTGCAGAAATAGGGAGGTCGCCCGGCCTGGCATTACACGGAGTGGTCTTCTACGAAGAACCTCTGACTTTGAGCAGCAGCCTAAAACTTGCAGGTTGGGGTTTTCTGAATGCAGCTGGGACCAATCCTTAAGGAGGCTCGTTTCAAAGGATTGTTCATTTAGGCCTCAAAGCAAGCTTGGATCACTGGTATTTTACCAGGAAGAGCATCGCTGCATGCATGATGATGGTTGCGACGCCCTGCTGCGTGAGATTGCTCTCATTGCCGTCGCCATTCTCGTCCCCCAGGACCTCAAGCACACTAGCTGGTTCTCGGATGGTGCCCCGCCGCCTGTGTCTGCGGTCTGCCATTTTTTTTCAGAATTTATGGTCGAGCGCTTTTAGCAATCCGCCTGCTCCAAGCATGACATGTAGTGCGGTGCTTGGATACTCTACCCCACGCCAATACTGATCTGGCCCTTCTCAAAAAGCAATGAGGGAGTCATGGTCGAGTGATCATCTGGAGGTAGACATATGTGGTTGCTTGCAAGGCGGAAATGCTGACGGATGTCCCATCCATCTGTCTTGCTGCGAAGCATGAGCGGTGGTTGCACACATGCTCTTTTGAATCATGAGGGACCAACTTGGGACTTCTGGACCTTTCATTCAAGCGTTCTGCTCCGGTGAACGCTGATGGCTGCGTCCTTCTCAACTTGCAGCAGCTTGCAGCACGCATTTGCAGACACGCCTCTCTGAAAGGAGGGTGGCGGGAATATTCTGCATCGACGAATTCAAACGTAACGGTATGGGAGGCCAGGCAGCCAGTCAACTGAGTACGCATGCAGATAGGGACCCGGAGGCTTGCGAACTGCTGACGCATGCTTGGCCATCGCACGGACACAATGATTAGCAACTCAAGCAATTATTGTGAACGAAGGCTTCTTCGAGCTTCGTTCAGAGCCCAGAGTTTGTAATACCCACTACTAAGCTCAGTGATCCAGCCTGGTGCCCTCTGGTGCAGCCTATCCAGGTGACCCGACGATATTAGAGCCATCCCAGGGGCATTCCAGGCTGGCCGGGTGGTGATACCTACTTATGGTGCATCAGCCGAGAGTACCGGTGGGTACTATCAGTACTAGGGTGTGGAATTCTACATTATACTCATGTCTGTACGTCATGACCATCTGATGTCCTTATTAAATGCTGCAAGACCGAAGTGCCTAGACATCTGGTGCGATGCATCTTGCATGGTGCACCAATCTGCGGCGGCCTTGCAAATCTGCTGTCGAATCCTTCCAACAGGCTGAAGTTAGGTGTTTCATTCCTTTCTAGAAGTAGCGAATCCAGATTCCAGACTTTCACTGTATATGTTGACCCGTAATTGTATAACCGTTTTGAGGTCAGTCGAACGTTTTGTCGCTCGCGGGCTTTCTTGATGGCGAAACCGGTCGTCCGCTTGCAGATCATCGGCCCGTAATCAAGCTCCTAATGCTAGGACGGGGTGCCCGGTGTAGACAACCGAGCGAAACACAGTAGCACCCCAAAGGAGCACAAACGTGGCCCCATTCGTTCCCGTCGATAAGACATGCATGGACGGTGAGAACCACCCCGACACTGTGCTGCAGTGTATGTGCGCTATGCAAGACGACGACTAGCACTGGCAGAGATCAGAGGAGGGCGTCGTTTCTTCAGCTGAAGGGTGCTTGTGCGCACAGAAGGTCGACTTTAGGAGCTGGTGCCACAATTGGAAAGATTTCGGTCATTGTGACATCAGTGGCAGAGAACACTTTACAGTCTTGCACCATACATATCTTACATCTTTGCAACTTCTGTTTTCTCAAAATTTCCTTTCCCGTCTCTTGTTCGCTTTCAGTTTGCCCACGCAAGCACTACGCCTCAGTACTCTGAAAGCCAGCCCTAGGTCACAGCATTGGCATTCCTGACATGCTGGCACTATCTTTTCACAGCGTCCGTGTGAGCGCCCACAGCATTGCTGCCCTTTGCTGCAAGCCCCTGCATGCAACAGGACACCAAACACTTGTTGATTTGCAGAGATTTGCCCTGCCGATCAGACAAAAGTTTCTACCTAACCAGCTCACCTATCGTACATTTCACAAGAGTGAGATCAGGATGGTCGAGGGACCAGGAGTTCATAGAGTGGCGATCGCACACAAGAAAGCACTGCTAGGGAAGGTAAGGTTGCATCAGTACCTTCGCTGCCCTGCTTTATTCATGAGCTTACATGGAACTTTTGGCCAATGCAGAGGTTTCATAATTTGGCGTCATATGTACATCGGAAGTGTCTGCTTGTAATGGAGAGGGCTTGAGTTAGTACCACTCTTGGAATGCAGTGTCCCTGTGGGTGGCCCCTTTCAATCAAAAACTGCCGGCAGCCATTACAGGCAACAAGTTAATTCCTGGCATATTCTACAGGTACTTTTGTACGGACTCTGTATTTACGTTCTTCGTACGACTATACTTCTCTGGAAGCGCCTGGTTTTGGATGTTGAGATTTGGCAATCTTGTGCAGAAATTTGAAGCGTCCTCACCGAATGGCCGATTTGCGGAGGGGGCCGCTGCCATCACGGGTCGGAATCTTGCGCGCATTGAAGCGCACGGGAAGAACCTGTTTTACTTCTTCACTGCTGACGGCCAGGAGCCTGTGGTGGTGCACATTCACTTTGGAATGTCGGGCAGGTTCTCAGCGCACAAGCTGCCAAGTGAGGACACAGACCTTTAGTCCTTTCTCGAAAAGAAATACACAAAATTGGCCAGGTTTAACCACCGCATTCTGTAGGTGGAAAGTTGCAGAGAATTGAATGGCCAGGAGTTTGGAGTCTGCTTCATCTGTAAGGTGTGGGCAATTCGGATGTAATAATGCGAGTCAGTGCATTAGTCACGCTCTTCGCGCCTATTGTGCTCTGCCTGCAAGTTTCTCTCTAGGTGCCCAGTCTTTCAAATCGAATATCACTCAGTTTGCGAGTGCTACATCTTCCAGCTAGGCTGTGCCTCCTCATGGATCCGAATCTCCATCATTACGACTTAAAAGGCAGAGTAGCTTTAGCTTTTGTGACCAGAAAATTGTGGAGCCTTAGCGGCAATTGACCATGTTGTCCAGGCCCTGAGCCCAGGGAGACCACCCGCCTCCAGCTGGTGAACCGCGAGGCTAAAATTGGAGCGCACCTGAGCGCCATGTTTTGCAACTACGGCCCCCCGGAGTTCTACGACCAGAAGCTGGCGCTGCTGGGGCCAGACCCCCTGAGAGACGACGCCGATAAGGAGGTGGTGTGGAAGAAGATGCAGGTCAGGCAGGAGTTTTGTTTTTCTCGAGGGGGTCAGCTTTAGTCACCTATTTTCCTCTTCCAGTCTAGCTCATGGAGTGTCTGACTGTGTACAATCGACAAGTTTTTAGTGGTAAGGGCAATTTTGATAAGAGGGGGTTGACGCGTCACACAGAAGCAGAGTGAATGCTTGTCGGGTTGCGGGAACAAAGTAAATGCTTGTCGGGTTGCGGGAACAAAACATTTTAGCATGTTCGTGGGTATGTCAATCTGCAGGAACGTTTTTCGGAGGCTCTAAGAGATTCACAGTGTTAGTCACCAGACATGCCAAAACTTTACTGTGGTGCCACGATATAACTCTGCTTACTTCCGAGTTACGCTGTTGCAGACTCATGGGAAGCCCACTTGATTGAAGTTCGCCATTTTGATATGAGACCATCCGTGAGCAAACGGTCCTCATATCTGCGCCCCTTGAAGCTTTGGTCGTTTCGTGCAGGCCAGCAAGTCACCAATTGGGACTTTCGTCATGGATCAGAGCAAGATTGCAGGGATTGGAAACATCTACCGAGCAGGTACAGTACGATCACTAGAACCTCCAAGGTTTTGGTTCTGCTCTGATTGTGTTTTGTTGACAACTTGCAATCCGGGAAGAATTTTCAAGATATGAGTGTTTAAAAGTTTGAAACGTCCCGTTCGGCTCGCTCCCAAAGCGCAGCACGTCTTGCGCTTTGCCTGCTCTGATGCGCGGAATTTGCTGTGCCACTCTTAAGAGATTGTTCGGCAGCAAGTGACACACGAGAATGTCGATGGGCCAGTCATTTGTTTCGGTCTGGAGTATTTGAGTAGTTCTGAGAGGTTATCAGGATCTTCTATTCGGGAATGTTCTTGCTACTAGGAAGCCCTTTTTAGATAGTTGAAAGTTTCGAAGTCAATCTTGGCAGATGGAGGCAATTCTTTGACTCTACAAACTCGACCTAAGGCTTTTCCTGGAGCGAGGGTCGCAGTGATCGAAGCATTCTCTCTCAGATTTATTGGCTCTCCTTTCCTCCCTCCCGTTCAGAAATCCTCTTTTTGGCGGGGATCCACCCGGAGCAGCCTTCAAAGACTGTTTCCCGGGATGCCTTTGAGCGGATGTGGGAAGAGGTGAGAATGAGACGCGCAAGTTGTTCAATTGGACGAGCCGGCTGTGGAGCTAGGCCTCAAGGACGGTGCAAATTGCGCCTTTGCGGTCCTCTGCTCGCGCCCCAATTCCGCAATCATTTTCTCACCGATTAAGTCGACTAGTAAATGGACCCTTGGTGGAAGTTGCTGTGCTCGTATCTGAGGGGGTCGTACTGTTATTTTCAAGGGCAAGCGATTCAGAGATGAGACAGGAGAGAAACGTCAGGGGCATGAGACGTCGGCAATTACGGAGGAGGCAAGGGTCTCCGACTCCTCGTGAAGCCGCAGTTCCCTTCCCTTCTTCTCCTGTCGAACTGTCCTTCTGAACATGGGTAAAAGCGGCCGACCTGATTCTGGTCCTTACTATGGTTCTTATCAGGCACCTGGTCAAAGCCCTTACCACCTGGTCTAGAAAAGCGTTGCGCGCACTGTTTACCCAATCCCATGATTGACCCCCAACTCGCTTTGTTGTGGCAGTCCGTCCGGCTTCTGCATATCGGCGTGCAGACCGGAAGAATTGTCACCATGGATCCTGTCGAGCTGGGTAAGCTTGGCGTCGCTCTGTAATGATTCGCCACGTGGCGCGCTTTCAGGTCCAGTGTGAACCTGCAGTCGTTACAGATTGAGAAGGACCCGTGCGCCTCGCTGCCTCGCATATGCCGACCGTTTCGGAGCTTTCAATCTATTTCAAATCCGTTGCCGTCGAGTCGGACCCAGCTTTTCCCCTTTGCTGCTACTTGTGTGCACACCGCTTTCACATCTATCTTGAAAGCGCGCTTTGTGCACTGCTGCATCGGCCCTGCCTTCGGTCCTCGCATTGCATCATACAATCAAGAGGTCCAAACAAGTGCACGAAGCTACTGTATCGTCTATGTTGATGACACTGTCCATGCGTCCAGGCAAGCCCGGAACCCCCATGGCCGCTTTGAGGGGCGGCGACCGCCGGTATGTGTACAACCACGCCAGCTGTCGCCGTTGCGGAAGCCAGATCCGGAGTTGGGTGGTCGCCACAAGGTAAAGCAAAGCCTCAGAAATGCTTCTTCCACTGGCTGGCAAAGGGGAGTCACTTAGTGGTGTTGCTTTCTAGTGTCTTCCTTCCAGTTCTTACTCACTTGCTCTCTAGCGTCTCCGTTAAAGGTGTTACTCACTTAGGTCCTCCTTTCGTCGTTGATTCAAGCCGACGCATGTTAGTTCAAGTTTCAGCCAACTTCATATACTGCGAAGTCCCGTAGGCTTTCGACTCTGGTTTGAACCCCACCAGAAACTCCCAGTTACCGGATACACATGCAAGCAACTTTTTCAAGAACCACCCAAGTATCGCAGGATGTGCCTCGAGAACGAATGCGTGGCCCGATCTCGTTTCTCGCATGAGGCCCCGCTCTTCGTTCTAGTCCGCCACAAAATAAAGAAAGAGTAGCCAGACACTCTGAGAGCCGGGATTAAATTTCCGCTTCCTTAACAGACTCAAGAAGTCAAGTCCTACCACCATCTGACCATCAATCCTTGTCATTCCTTGTTCTACTCGGATATGGTGGTTTGACTACTCGGTCTGATTTCGCGGGTTCTGCATCGCTCGGGTATTCCGATTCTGCAAAATTTTTATCGATGCGCTGAGTGCAGTGCCCTTCTCGTCTGCGCAGGACTCTGTACGCCTGCGAGACGTGCCAACCTCTGTTGCTCGAAGTCGAGACCGAGACCGTCACAATAAAGGGGCAGACCGCCAAGCGCACGCGGAAAAAGACGACAGTGGTCGACGACGAAGATGTACCGCTGAGCGAGCTGGGGGCCGGCGGAAAGAAGCGGAAAGCGAGAAGTGTGGCTGGGTACGTAACGCGAAGCACTTGCGTCTGCTTGACGTTACTTGGCTCGACAAGCTTTATTGAACTCCGTGAGGGCTTCGGCTGTTTGGCTTTTTAATCTGTGGCAAAGAACGCGGGCTTTGAAAATGGAGAAAGACCTTCACTGTGCGCCAGGGCAGACAAGCCGAGTGAAGCAGGCACCTGGCGTGGAGAAGATTTTGCAAAAATAGTGTCTGCTACCTTACGACTCTAAGCTAAGTGGCAATCGCTTGCCGTGCATTGACTGTCCGACGCATCCTCTGACGTCGGCTGCAGGTCGGGGCAGCGGCCCCGCCGGGGCGACGGCACCGCGCAGGAGCACTTCGCCCTTCCGGACAAGGACATCACCACCGGGGGCCTGCCGGACACGGATGCTTATGCGGGCGAGCTGCGGACGCTTCCAGTGATAACCGAGGTGGAAACCCTCGAGGTCAAGGCGGAAGCTTTGGAAGAGCCGCGTGTTGCTACAGCGAAAGCGCCACGTGTCAGGGCGACGAAAGGGACACCTGTCACGCGGCGGAAGAATGGGCGGATGGGGGTGGGCGACGGGAGCTCGTCGTGCGATCCAAAGGACCCGCCGGAAAAGAAGCTAGAGGAGAACGGAAAGCGCGCGTTGCCGCCATTGAAACCGGTTCGGAGGAAAGGGGCAAAGAGTAGTCCGGAAACGCCAGCGGAGGGATTGGCCGTGAGCGAAGTGGTGGAGACGGAGGTGCAGACTGCCGGGGCAAGGAAACGAAGCAGGGTGCAGTCGACGGGGCGGGTTTTAAGTGTTGGTTCCAAGGCCGGAGCAGAGAGCGTTGGTGTAATCAGGAGAGAAGGCCTGCGCGCGAGGAAAAAGCTGGTCTTGTAGGAGCGAGAGCTCGGTCATCTTGCAGACTGCGTGGGATGCCTCTCCATCATGAAGACTTGCATGATGGCCGCAAGCAAGGTTTGTTTAATGGAAGGCCTGAAGTAATTGGTATTACGTTGGACTGCTGCGATTGCTAGAGCCCGAGTGCCTGCGCGTTCCCCCTGAATTAAGTTCTCCTACCATGGTCTTCGAATCTGTGCATACTTTGACAATCGCGCCTTGACCCGTGCCAGCTTTTCGTGTTTTCATGATGGCAGGGGTCGACGCGTAACTTGTCCTAGCTCGACGTACTGTATGGTTAGGAGCCCCCCGGCCAGCATGCGAGTTGATGATATTTTAGGAATGAAGCTCTAGCTGCCAGTTTCCAATTAACATTTGCGCGGCCATATATATGTGACTTTCATATGCCTACGGCTCCGGTATGTAGGCATGCTACATGAGAAGCAAGCTTTGCGGCGATGAATCGAATTGCCACACTCAATATGGGCCGCGCTCTCTTTGATCATGCATAGTACCTAACAAAAGTTCACCATAAAAAACAATGTTTGCATGTGTAATTTGCGGATTCTGGCATCATGCGTGTATGATTGAACATATCGTATAGCCGCCTAGCTTAATATAGGCTTCACAATGAATCCATTGCATGAGCCGATGCAGGTTGATTATACCACCAAGCTCTTAAGTGAGATCTGCCCCTTTGTATTCAATCATCTGAGCCCCATCTGAGTCGATTCTTAAGGGTGCAGCTGACCCTCTGACCCGTTGGCGTGAAGCCATGAGTCTCGATCTCAGTGAGTGATTGCTGCCGCCATACCAGGTTCGGTTGCTAGGAGTCCATTTTAACATATAAGTGCCTATAATAGTAGATTGAAGTCAACTATAGAGATGCAGGTGGTGGTTAAAATTGCGAAGACAGAGTCACTACCAGAAGGACAGCTCATACATTTTGTGTCAACAGCACATTAATTTACATCCAAACGCCAGCTAGGCCCTAGAACAGGTAGGCGCGACGGTGAGCCCTTCAGGATATTATGCGAAGAAGAACTTTCGGCGGCCCACTTCAATCGAACACTTCATGCAACTGGCGCCATTGCAGACATTCGCTTGCACAAGCTAGACTTGGTGGTGAACAACAGATCTAATGCTGCACAAGAAAACTTTATCACATGAGCTGTCCATGCGCATGGCTTTTGATTATCTATGAAACGGATTACGTTTTCTATCAAATTCTGTGATATCTATCTGTCCATTAGCGCCACTGCTCTGTATAATTCTACAGAGGACCTTGTATCATACGTATCTTATTATACAGTATATGTATCCTCCTCTTGCTATATATATATCGTGGACCCCAACAACATATAGGTTTCAAACCAAATGCGAAGGTTTTTGTATCAAACGCAATTGAAATCCGATCACACTTTGCTGCAAGTAACTTTGCAATCTACAGATGCAGGCTAATGGATGGTGCCACAAAAGAAGGAGCCCATATCTAAATATCCAGAGCCTTTACGAAGCTATGTTGCAATCCAGCTCATCGGGATAGAGGAGCCCCGCCTTCTTCGGCGCCGAAGGCATCTGCTCTTGAACCTTCTTGAGGCGCTTCTGGAGCTCTTTCATGACTGCCTCGCCTTTGGAGTCCAAAGCCAGGTCAGAGAAGTCCTTTACAAGAGAGGCACGCGGCACGTTGAGGATGTAGTTGTAGTTGAGCCACAGTTGGTAGCGGTCTTTGTCCTCACGCAAAGCGCCCTGCAAGACAACGAACACGACATGTAAGATGGTCCCCGAAAACGAAAGCTTTGTGTGATGAATGCCGTAGCATTTCCACATGTTTTTCGTTGTTTGTTGAACTCGACAGGAGCAAACTTGTTTTGTGAGTCAAGACTGACTGGTTTGTTAACAGGACGATCGTCAAAATGGAAGCAAGCCGGGTCCATTAAAACAAATCTATCTTGATCTACATTGCACCTTCAGATGACTTTCGTGAACACTCGCAACTAGCTCTGAGAGATGGGAATCCGGCTTTGACAGCCAACACCTCTGGTGTGAATACCATCCATTAACGCTTCGCTCGAAGATGCTGAGATTGCCAGCATCGCATCATCGACGAGTGGCGTTGGATCGTGTCTGACCTGATACACTCTGAGCGGCCACGTGGCAGTCCAGCACACATAGTTCCACATGTTCTGACCCACGGCTCCGTGCTCGCCAGTGCCCGACCATATGAAGACGGCTGCAAGCTTGGTGAGACCGCTGAGCGTAGGCGTGACCGGGTTGACCACATTTGTGACACCGCCGGGTACCAGGTTGTTGAGGAGGGTTAAGAAACGAACGATGGACGCGTCCGTGGCAACCGCCTCGTCGTCCTTGTAGTAGATAGACAGGTAATCCTTGGAGTACCTGCGTTCAAAGGGGATTGTGGCTCTTAACCATAGCCGGTTACGAGCTGGTCAAGAGTCCAGCAGACTCGAGTAGTAAGCAGGGACGTAACATGGCTGTAACATCGGTCAAAGAACCACACTGGAACTTGGTTTACCACACCTGGTTAGCCAGACCTTCCGGTGGTTGGGTGCTGCACGGTCAAAAGCTGTGCTGGAGTCAAGGCAGAGTTTCTTCTAAATTAGGCAGATTACAGCTTCTCCGGGATTGCGTTCAATTCCTTTAAAAAGTAACATCGCTTGAAACTCATCACCATGCTGAAAGGCTTCCGGATACCATAAAGAACCTGTCAAACAGGGAGAGCACCTGCGAAAGCTAAGGAAAGACCGGTGAAGCCCAATCTGAACTTTTGTAGTGATTGTATTCAACGTGGTTTGCTCTTATACAACTGAGTGAGCGCGTGGAATAGCAGAAAAGGAGGCAAATGACGTCGTTGCCGACTGACGCTATGAGAAAGCTGTGAGCTTCAAATCTTACATGGCGATGACGCCCCACAGCTCCCGTAGATTGTTGGCAGCGGGAGAGTCGACGTCCATGCAGTAATGGCTGGGGTCCATCTCCAGCAGGTCGAACCCGTCTGTCCAGTAATCAGCTACCGCTTTGAAGATCTCCTCGCGAGGCCAGCTGAACACCGATTCAAACTGCACAGCAGAATAAACCAACACCTTAGGCAATCGTTTCTATCTGAAAAGAGCAAGAAGGTTACCTGAAAGGTGGAGCATCCTGCATCTGATCTCGAGATGTGTTTGAGAATTTTGAAATTGTGAAAAATCTCTTGAGAAGGGACTGCGAACCCTCTGACACTATCTTATTTGTGTCAGACTCACGAGATGTCGACCTAGATAGGCATACCGAAAGACATACCGAAGTGGTTGTGGCAATCTTCTCAAACGACCTCTAAGTTGGTCTGGAGCTGAGCGTGAAAACCGAGAAGCAAGGATCCTCATTACTACAAAAGCAAGGGCGCTCAAGCAGGAGCTAGCTAGCTATAGCAAGGAACCGTCCAGATGGAGTGAATTGTGAGTTGCATAGCTGCTTCAGCACAACCGCAGCATGAGACCAAGCCTTTCTGGGAATTGTGCTTGCTTCGGAAGATCAAGATGTCAGGATGAGGACTTCACCCTTCGTTCGTTAAGAGGCAACTTCGGGCTCGCTCACCGTCGAATTGAAAAAGCCCCCCTGGAGGTCAGTCCTGATGGTCTGTGCGTTGCTCCGGATTGCCCCAAAGAAGTGGGCCCACAGCAGCCGAAGCAGGGGGTGGGAGCCGCTCAGCGTGTTCCGGGCCGCGATCTAAAGGAAGAGCACGTCGTCAAAGACCGAGGTAAGAGCCGGCTTGATTACTCACAGCCGAGTTTGTCGCACGCGCATCTAGTCACGAGGAGGGCTGCTTTGAGCCCAAAACACGTGTATACATCTGGATAAAGATATCGACTTTCTGCCCAACGATTTGCAGAAACAGACCAGCCAAGATGGGCTTTTGCATTTGACCATCAGCAATAACGTCAGCGTTCTGGTCCATTGACTCTCTGATTTCGAAGTTTTTACAGTCCGTCCTTTGGAAGGAGCTACTCGTGAGTACATCCCACAATGGCCTACCGTGGGCATGCGATCACAGCGGCTCCCAGCCGTTCACCTTGTAGCATGCCTCTCTCGATCTGAAATCTATCATCTGCACTGTGGCAGCTTTGCCAAGCACTACTATGCACAGTGCCTGCTAGCTGACTGGTGACACAGCCGCTTTCACATCACTGGGTTGTCCTTCACAATATTCAGAGCTTCATTGCTTAGTATCTGACCTCACATTCTCTTACAAGATTTGTAAAAGGAGGCTTCTGTAGATTCTGTAGGCTTCGTTGAAGGAGAAGCCTTCAGCGCTATGCACGTTGAGAAGGTAGCGGCCAACACCTCTGGCACCATAAAATGTAGGCCGCTTTAAGGTCTGGTTTAAGGCTTCCGGATGCAATATTTCCAATCAAAGCGACCTCAAAGTTCTCCCCAAGATCAAGATGACCTGAAATGTTGCATCTTTAAGATCACCACTGACCTTTAAACCCGACCTTTAATCGCCTATACGTTTCTAGTATTTGGAGCTAAGCAGAGGTCGCCAATCGTACCTCAAAGCACTCCGCCATGGCCACGTGCACTCCCATCGTGTGGTGTAGAATGCTGTTATAAGTGGCAGCGCTGGCCAAGAAAATCTGTTTGGCCAGTGCAAAGCGTTCGGGGTCGTCTGAAGGGCTGACAGCTCCTGTCTCGCCCGTGGTTATGCTGGTTACCTGAAGAAGAGCAGCAAAGCATGATATACTGTAGCGTTGGCAGTTGTCGCCAACATTTTGCATTACATGTATGCCTTCATCCGATTTGGGAAAGAGGCGCCTTCTGTGGCAAGCAATGTGTCGTAGCAGCATGTACTGTTAGGGGAACCATCCGCAAGAAAACGGCTAGGATTGTCAGAAATTGCAAGAAGAGAAGCAGATTTTCACATCGCCTCAAGAACCACTGATATTATGATCAATACCTATCAATAGGTATTCTTGACAGGTGAGGATAGGCTGGGCTGTCCGTGAAGAAACATATCCACAAAATACTCGTGTCCCTCGCCTCCTGCCGGAATTAAGTGCAAAACCAGACTCTGAGCCTGTTCATCAGGACCTGAACGGACACTCTGTCCACTCTGAAAGTTGAACATCGGCAATTGGAGACGTCCATGGAATCTTTGTCACCTAAATTTTTCAGAAGGGGTCAGTCAGCGATCGAAGAATTCCCTCCAGTTGCTAAACAGAGTTCCCCAAGGCACCACTCAATTGAAAACTTAGAGACTGCTTGGATCCAGTTTGCTCCCGCCGGGCCCTTTCAAAAAGAGCTAGGTCTGGCTCTATGGTCGACATTTGATTTGCAAAGAAGCAGGGTTTGGTCTGACAAAGCCAACGTCTAGGTTCAGCAGACAAAGGTGATCTAAGCAGTTCTTTCAAAATGTCTGGAAAGCTTCAGCTTGTGCGTACCTGCCACACAGCGTTTAGCTCAGCTTTGGCCCCCAGTCTGTGCAGGCCCGGATAGACTTTGTACTTTGCGAGCTTCGAGAGATCAATGATGTACCCTCCCTGGGTTGGCCCTTGCTGAGACTTTGCTTGGGTGTACCGAAGCAAGGGGCCATTGCGGGCCAGCTCTCCGATGTCAGCTCTGCCCTTTGCCATACCCTGTATTCAGAAAGGCAACCCCTATGACAACCTGCCAGATCAAAATCTCCTCGTGCATTTCAACCACGGTGCTGCACAAACTGCAATTCAATCGCTGTATCTACAAGAAACAAGATCTAGGCATTCAAGGTGACAAGCTGGCAGCCAGTCCGTGCACAGAGAAAGAATGTAGTGAGGAGAGGCTACCTTTGTTGGTTGCTTACCGGAGGGCGCACAGGAGCTTGGAAAGACTTCTGGAGGTTTGCAAATGGGACCTTGGTGAATGCGTCTTGGACCATCTCGTCCTCTTGCAAAGTGAAAAGAGACAAAGTAAGGGAGCGCCCTTCCATCAAAATGTGCTCAACCATTCAACTTTTCCACAATGAAGCGCAGCAACCAGAAATCCTGGAAAGTTGCAGAGAAAGAAATTGCAACACAGGCTAGTCCCTCCAGTGAGTGTGTTTATAGAATTGATTGCCTTCTTCCATGGAAGATCTAGCCCCCATTCCAGGGTCCCAGCAAAAGCGCGTGTATTCCACCAGTGGTGAAATTGGATCATCACTTGAGCAGACTTACAAAAAGAAAGAAGATGCCAGCTGAATCTCACCATCATTCACAACAGGTCCGCCGGTTCTTGAGTCGCCTGTTGCCAATGGGAAGATCCACATGAGCACCCACTGAACCAACGTAACAATCTGCAGAAAGTTGACGATTTGAGCTGAGAAGTAGAGAGGTGTTCATACAACTGTAAAACCTAACCAACCTCAAAGTTACCTTCATACGGGAACACCCAATCAGAAGATAAGGTCTTGGAATGCTTCTTAAGAAGTTGACTGACGTGTGAGAGCTATTGCTCCGTGAAGAAGAGGTATCCGCACCAAACTTCAGGTCAGGGCTCCTTGGGAAGGCTGATCTTGTCCTGAGCAGTTTCATTGATTGGTCCCAGTGCCGGGGCACAATCCAGATGTTGCAGATCTCCAGGTCATTTAGCGTACAGGAAACAGCAGATGTTTGACTCCCATGTGTATCCAACAAAGATTACACAGGGCTGAGACAAAACAAGACTTGCTATCAAAGTAACCTGCCAAAAGTGGAGCACTGTATTACCTGAACAAGCCACTGATAGAGAATTGCCTCATCTTTTGGTACCGTTTCAGCCTGCACGACCAGCTTCGAAGTCGATCCGGTGCCTGGATCAACTGTTGGCAGGTAATGCGGCAGGAAGGACTTCACCCCCAGCTTATCCGTCTTGCAGGTTTTCAATAGGTTGTTGTTGGGAATGGGAAGCGGGGAGCGCTGGTTCCTGTCCATCTTTGTCTTTGCGAATGCTGTCCAAAAGATGCGCCGCAGACTGCAGCTAGTTTCTGATGGAGGCGCCATCTTCCAGTGGGAAATGCTCCTACCTTTCCTCAATCAGGAATGTCGAGTTTGAGACAATGCTATCAGACAAGGCCGAGCTGGGGGAGAAAGGAAATCTCCTTCGAATGTTTGAGGCAGCCAACTCTCTGGTGGTCCCAACACATATATACTTTTCTTTCTTGAAGAAGGGCGACGTAGCGGGGAAGCCATGGACCTGATTGCTGCAACAAAATGAATGTACGAGGACTGGTGCAGCAAATGCATTATTCACGTGATGGTATGTACTACCGAATTCCGCTGGAAAATATTCTGGGCGGTAATGGACCGATAATGGTTCTATTTAGCTGGTAACGCTAGGGCTGCCGAAAGTCGCAAACGTTTCATAATTAATTATTTGGCGTCGAACCTGACGAAATCAAACGCTGGTACGGTATGCTGAGTGCTGCATTTAATGACCGTTAGCTTTCAAGGATGCATGATTGCCCTTCAATCATGAATATTCTTCGAATCTTTCCGTACTGGTTTGACTTTACGCGAAGTTCTCAGGCTCTGCGATTCCGCCTCATGCGCAGGCGTCCGGACTCCGACTCCGGACTCCGGCGAAGTACAAAGACGGAATCTTCCGCTTTTACTCCGTCCGATTTGAAGGTCCGACTACACCGGAAGGGGTGTCCGCTGGGACTGACGGTACTAGTTCATCGGACGGTCTCGAACGGTTCGCCTTCAATAGGGTCCAGAATACCTATTCTACTAGTCCAGCTAATAGTATCCTTGCTTTCTTGCTTGGAGATAACTTTCGCCCAATGATGCAATGAATGCGCTGTTGCCTGCAATATCGCACGGTTCAAGGGTACGTTTGATTTCACTTCGAAGCTTCTCTAGTCCGTAACTGGCAATAGGTTACTTAGCTGAGCCGGAATGAAGAAAATTAAAACATTACTCCAAGCACAGATTTGCACTTGGTAGCTTTCTAGTCACACGGACAGATATACACCGAAAGGAACGAAGAGATGTGTAACAGCAGCCAAGAAGCGGCGTCAAGCAACAAGTGGTGAAGTGGCGCCAAAAAGAACGGACGAGAGATGGCTGCAAGGCTCGCATCGCGAGACTCACGTTCCAGTCTGTAGTTTGCATCACTCGGAACGCTGCGGGTACTAACCATCTCTGATCACATCTTTGTGACGCTTCCAAGTTCAGGTATAATCTCATCAACGCGAAGGCTCTGAGAGAGCATAAGAGCACCAAAGGCTTACTTGATGGCTGATTAGGATATAACGTGCATGATGTTTGATGTCAGCCTCAGTGCCTGGGGTATCCAGTTTTAAAGATATGGATGCCTCTCTACTTTGGTCGCTCGTTTGACATTTGTCAAGCAAGCTGCAGCGAGCTCTCGACCGTTGTCCAAGTTGTCACTAGAAGGACTCAGCAGCCCTACTTTAGCTGTAGTGATTAGGGACACGTTTCCATATGAATCAGACGAATGGGCTTCAAAATGAACTGGTTGAACTGGTCCAGCTGCGAACAGAGGGCGGCCGCTAGTTTGTCATCTGGTCGCCAGACTAGGGCGCTCTCTTGTAGAACTTAGAGCTTCTTCCTTGACCAGATTGATAGCTTATCTTGAATGAAGACGCTGTTTCTAATCCATTGGTGTAAGCAATTCCCGCCTCGAGAGATTGCTGATGTAAAGTGCTTAGTGCATTCGAGAAGAGTGGCGCTAACTTGTGAAAGCAACCGTCCAGGACGTGGCTCCACCTCAAATGGGGACGCCCTTAGACCTTTCACTGGACACGTGTCTGTTCCCGAAAAGTTTCTTCCACAAAAGGCGAAGCAGCTCACAACCGCGCAGGCAAGCCCAAGCCCTCTGAAAGGCCGGTCGATTTTATCTCGCGGCGGTGCTGCGCGTTACTCGTGGCCCGCGGAGCGCGCCGCGGTGGGGCAGCCGCTTGATCGACGCCGTGGAGGCGTGCTGGGACCACGACCCCACGCGGCGCCCCTCCGCGGACCAAGTCGCGCGCAGGCTGCACCTCGTTGGCCTCCGCCTGGGACACGTGGCGGCCAGGGAGGCCAGGATGATCTGTGTGATTAGGAGAGCTTGCTTCTGTGGGTGGCGGAAGAACTAAGAAGGTGGGCTTTCGGTTAGCTAGGAGAAAGTCAAGTACAGTAGTCGTTCATTCTGTTCGATTACGCCGGGGGGAGGGATAGAAATTTGGAGCTTTGTCGTGGTTTAGCTGACAGCAAGTCGTCACTCGGCGCGGAATGGAGATCTTTCATGCGGGGTGGGTTGACAAGATTTTAGAAGCCCGTAGTGACGCCTGTTTCATATCGTGGGGGGAACTCAGAATTTAGAATATGACCATCGTGTATGGTTCTGTGATCGCCTGCGTACGAGATCATTCAAGTTGATACTGGAGGATTGCAGACGGGTTGTAAACAGGTCGAATAAAATTGCTGGCAGCGTTGGTAAGATCAGATGTAAGGATGACTTTAGACAGGACGAGACCGTTGTTGACAGAACCCGTCCGTCCGTTGACATTGCAACGCCTAAAGCAAAGTTTGATAGAAAGTTGAGACGATCACAAACTTGATCGTTCGAGTCAGAGACTTGCATGCGTACTACATCCTAATGAGACTTGAGAATCCTTGGTGCCCCGGGTAGTCGGAGTGTGGTAGTGACTTATGTGTGCCGGCAATGATGTTGATGGCAAGATTTGACCCGAGCTCGAGCCTGCCATGTACTGCGGTCACTTGCTATAATAGTCTCGATCTGAAAGCTATTCAGTAAAGGAAAGGGCCTTCACCTACGTGCGAACGCATTGTGCACTCAAACTGCGTATAGCACCTCGGCGTTGGCACAGAGTCTGACGCCGCTGGACTGCCATGCAGTACTAGTCTTATTACTTCAAACAAATTTTAGCGTCACTCCCGATTTGGATGCCTTAGGGCCAGTATAACGCGGTCGAACTCGCTTGGAGTAGGTATACGGTGATGTGGACGTTGTCAGCCAATGCTACAAAAGCAACATCTGGGGTCGCAAAAATCGACTACTCATCACTACCCAATCATCCATTTAATCATTTCCGATTCAAGCAGGCCAAGTAGCCTTGAAAGGAACCGTTCGATATGCACTCTGGATTCCAGCCGATTCGTAACGTGGAAATCAATCAACGTGGGATATCATCAGGAGTCTCAATCTGCTAAACTGTGTCTATAAAAAGCTGATTTTAACGAGTCTTCAATCACTCTCCCTACTTCTTCCAGTATCGCCGCAGCGCTCGCTAGTGCGACTGATCAAGATGCTGATGGTAGCTTTTCGGGAGAAGCGCTCAGAGGGTATGAACAAGGAGGTTTCGGCTTCAACCCGATGTTTCCACTTGAGCCAAACTGGTGTGCAACATATCCCTAGTTTTTAGTCAATCTGGAACACTGGAGAAACACCTTTCTAAAGCTCAAGCTTGGGATCTTGGCCTCTGCGGAAGAGAGGGCTGTGGTACTGAGGGCCCTTGTAAGGGACACCTGCAGAGGAGGACCAAAAGGGCGTCAGCAGAACGGAGCAGTGCTGCTCTTCTTGAAAGAAGAAGAGGCTCGGAGACGGACTTCATTTTACAGCAGGATCTTAAAGCGGCAAGGATCTCGGCACCGAAGTTTGGCATGTCAGCGAAACGGGTTCATCCTCAGGGCTTTCAGGCTTTCTTATCATCGTCAATTAGACCGGACAACAAACTCAGTACCCTCTCCACACATAGAATACTGGAAGGACCCCTGAAAGACTCTCTCTTCCTCACAAGCTTTCAAAAGCTTAAGCATCATGGTTTCCAGATCTTGGATATCAGAAACAAGGGAGCTCTTTGAGGTTAATAGCCCCCTTCTGGATATCCTAAAAGCTCAGAACCGATACCTCCACAATACTCTGAAATGATCATTTGCCAAATCCAACGACATACCTTGGCAGAAGATGCGCTCGCACTCTGGCCCGGCCAGCTCCCTCTTGTAGACGCTGACGAAGTCGGGCGCGGGGCAGTCGCACGTGTACGTGGTGGTGCTCGTGGCGTGGCATATGCCGGGCTTGCAGGGGCCCTCGCGCGCGGCGCACGGATCAGCGGCCGCGGCTGCAAGATATAGGGAGTTAACGACGTTAGAAAGGAAAGTAGAGCGAGGGAGGGAAGTAAGAACCGCGTTTTTCAATTGAGCCCGTATTGGAGCCATCTTTGAATCTCAATCGCTGTGCAGCGAGAAGAGATATTGTGCTGTGGAAGTTGAGATGGGCGAGTCATTTGCTTGGTGGATATCTTCAAGGTTGCGCACTGATGCGCAACAGAGACCGCAAGAGCTGGCGAGGTTGACATCCCCTTCAGCTTACAACACGTGCGCAAACCCCAGCTTCACCTCGAAAAGCACGATATCCTTCAGGAAAGACCGTTGCCAGACCATGCGAAAGGTCTTACCCAAGCTTAGCAGACCTGTATAATGCAGAAAAGGCGAGCCGGGGTCTTCGATAATTACAAGCATCAGTCAATCAAGGGTCTGCAAACTCACGGACGCAAACCTCCCGCCTCTCCCCGAACGGCCCGGGCGCCTTGGTCTGGCGCGCGAAGCCCTTGGGGCAGCGGCACTTGTTCCCGTTCTCGTACAGGCGGCACGTGCCGGGGAAGCAGACGTCCACGTCGCAGGACGGGTTGCTAACGCCGGGCGCGGGGCCGACCGCGGGCGCGGGCGCGGGAGCGGTTCCATTGACGCCGAACTGGCCGCCGCCCGGAACGGGAGCGGTGAAGTTGCAGATTCCGTTGACGTAGTTAGGCCAGGCGAGCGCGGCGAATAAAGTGCCTGCGAATGGAAGAATTTGATCAGTAAACGAGCTTGATATCGTTAGGTGTTTGGAAACTTTCCAGAATGGTCCTAGAGTTGAGAGCACATTTCTGCTGATGTTTCGGAGCGTTCTTCTTCTTGCAGGTGTGATGATGATGATTCACGGGTGTGCAGAAAGAAGCGGCAAAGCTCCATCGCAGCAGAGAGACCGCCTCAACGGGCTGCTTGCAAAGACAGCCAATTTGCAAGACATTCTGTTAAGAAGGGGTTTTTCGCTGGGACGACTTACCGTTGGCGCACTCGAAGGAGTGAGGCCCCTTGAAGTTCTCGGTCTGCAAAGGAAGGACGGCAGTCGTATCAGACTTCTTGCCTCTCTTTAAGTGCTAGACGAAGAGCAGATCCGTTCATCCTTCGACCCATTATTGGCCTTGCAATCACACCCTTGCAACCTTGATGGATGACATACTCGTTTCAAAGCTCCCGCCACGTCGTCCTTTTGGACCCCTACTGCCAGAGTTGACCAGTTCTCATTAAGCTTCAACTAGATTAGAGTAGCTCTCTGATCAAGTCTCTGACAACTTGCGCTTTGCATCATCCGGCACTTCATCCATGTAAACGGTTTTGACCAGTTCCACTTAGAGTGCGAAAGAATCGAATGAGAGCTACGTTCAGCTTTCTGACAATTTGCGCACTTACGGGGTCGGTGAAAGTAATATTGGGAACGCGGCACAGCTGCGTGAAGCCGGCGGGCTGGGTGAAGACAGAGTCGGAGGCGCGGTCACCCGAGTCCTGTGGTGGCAGAACACACTTGTATTGAGGCTCCAATCTACTCAATACAGTGGGCCGACGCATGGCAGGCTGCTTTTCCTACCACCTTCGCGGCTTTTGGACGAAACAAGGTCCTCGCATTGGTAAAGAGAGCTCCGAAGACTCTGTTTAGTTTGTGTCGCCGGAAAAGCACGTTGACAGAGCTTGCTTCGGCGGAAGTTTGCGTGAAGACTCTCCTTGGGGATTGTGCATTCGTTCTGGACTTTCCGAAGCTGACGTAGCTAGCGAAACCCTGATCAAATGAAATTTTTCCGGATTTGTCCGCTAGATTTTGGATGGATTTGCAGGCGCTATCAGAGGTCTATATTGGCTTGCCTCTTTTTTTACGTAGTAAAAAGGCAAGTTGTAGTTTTGCTGTATTTTCCGAACTGTACGACGTCGTGAGCGGCTACGTGAGTGACCAGTCTGGTGGTTTTGCCTCGATTTGCCCCGGATCGACGATAAAACGTACAGTAGGGACCCAAAATTTGCCATACCATGGTGGGTTTTGCTTTTGGACTGCCCCCGCAGAGCGGCGCAAATAAGCTGTATCGCATCGAAGGCGGCCGCGAAAGCCGCTCGGAGCCAGATGTAACGCTGCAACAATCTGACATTCTTGAACGGACAAGATTCTGCCACGTTGCAATCTCAGTGTGTCGCAATCCCGCCACGATAGCCAGTAACGTACCCTTATAAGGGCAGTGTCACAATTTCAACAATCAATCAGTCCATCAATCAGTACACTAGGTTGATGCGCAACTTCATACCTTATTGAAAGGCTTTCCAAAATATACGCTTCGATCACAACAAATTTCAAAAAATCGCCGTTGAAAAATAGCACAAGTTTCCGTCCATAAGCCCCCATTAGAGGCAAGCCCTGACGCCCCTCCGGGGCGTTTCCCACATGTTAAGTTCAAGATTGCCCAACGGAATGGTGTAAGGGTCAAAAGATCGACTTACCGCCACCTTGTTGCTGTACACGAAGGTGGTCTGGAGCAGTACGCGCGCGCAGTCGTCAACCCAGATGGCACCGCCAGCAACCTGCGAGGGCCGTCCACGTGTCAGCCATCGACCACATATCAAAAGAAAGTCGCTACTAACCTATTACCAGTATAAAGAATGCGAATAGGCGGATAAAGAGAAAGCCAGCATACGGAAACGACAGTAGCAGGCCATATTACAAGCTCCAAAACTGAGTCAAACATTTCGCAGCAGGGATTATCCTTCAAGCATGCATGCCCCGGCAATTCAATTCCTCATTCATGCCGGCGCTTCGCTTGATTTCTGGAGGCTTCGTCTCAGTCGTCGCAAGTGTGTGGCTCACCCCGGCCTGGTTGGAGAGCAGCGCCCCGGTTGCGATAAAGTTGGCAACGACGGGCCCGACGAGCTTAAACGCTCCGCCGACGCCGCCCGCGCGGTTGCTGCCGTACGTGAACACCTGGTAGTCGCTGTCGCCCTTCAGGAACGCGCCGCCGCCGTCCTGCGATGCCGCGGCCGCGTGTCAATCACTAAACCCTTCGATTTCAAAGACGACTTGAGATTCGAAGGGCCAATCGTGACAAACAGAATCCCGAAACCACATTCTCAAACTGCGCCACCGTTGGGCTAGGAGAAGGTAAGCTGGAAGGCCAAAGGCCCCGAGGTGCTCAACCTCGAAGGAAGCAAAGTGCCGCCGATTCAACGACGGAAGCTTGCAGACTGCTCTTTGGGTGTTTCCCAGGAACAATAGGACTCTCAACGGGCCATCTTCCAGAACCCTTACGAGCTGGTTCGTAGATTGCAGGGCAGCGAGAGACAGGCGAGCCGGATGGAAAAGTCACTCTTGGCGTTCCCGGTCTTGATAAAGAGAAGGGCTGAGCTGTCGAAGCAATTATTGAGAGCCGACTGCTATTTGGCGTACCTGCACGGCCCTGTTGCCCTGGATGCTGTACGAGCGGAAGTGAACGGTGCTCCCCTCGGACGTGTAGATGCCTCCGCCGTTGCCCTGCGCACAAGGGGAGATGACGTAAGCTGCCTGCCTAATTCTCACATCGAATAAGTTCGTCTTGATCCAAAGTAAAAGCGGGACGGAACCAGATACACGAATATTTTGAGCTACTGAAATCTGGAATTGTCACCGCAGAGAGTCACAATAGAATGGTAAAAAGCTTTCGCAATAGCACCGAGCAATAATCCGCAATCCGAACTTGTCTTCATTAGATGATAAGACCAAAACGGATAGAAGTTTCGCGCCCTTTCTTCTCAGATTCTGAAGCTTCGTACAATGCTCAAGAACGGTACCTCAGAAAGAAAACAAGCACAAGATCACGAGGGGCGTATTCTCACCGTGGCCGTGTTGCGGGTGATGGAGCCGACCTGGAAGGTGGCGGTCGCGCCCTGGCCCAGGAACACCGCGCCACCATTGCGCGCGATGTTCTGGGTGAAGTACATGTTGCTGTAGGTGACGTCTGTAAAGACGTCCTGGTACACCGCCGCGCCGTCACCGGCCGTCTGAGGAAAGTGAGGGCAGCTTAAGAACTGGGCTTTAACGTGCAGCCTCCGTGTAGTTTCCAACCCCTCGACTGGACCTCGAACGTCATGAAAGCATGACTGGTGAGAAAGTCTTCATTGTCCCAATTATCCATTACAAATCGTCCTGCTTCCGACCAGAGATTGGCTAACCGGTGGATCGGCAAGCCGTTTTGCAGATGTTCCAAAGCCGACGAAAAAAGTATCAAAAATGGCGGCAGTATAAGCAATGCAAACAAGTAGACGGCAACATCTCACGTGGAAGCAGGTATCAAGCAGTCAGCCAATCAAGCTTCCAAACCGCGGAGCGCTCCTCACCGCGGCCTCCATGAACGTGAGGGACTCCAGGATGACCTTGACGGGCGTGAACCCGTTCTGGCGAACCATGAACATGGGGTACTTGCTGTGGGTCGTAAACACGTTGTACAGAGCTTGGTCAGCCGCCCCCCGGATCGTGATCGATTTGTCGATGACCAGCGGCAGAGACGCGCCGCAGATTTCGGGGCTCATCTCGATGTAGGTCCCGCTGTTGGACCAGCCGTTGAGCGCGGTGTCGGTGGAGCCGATCAGGATCGTGTCGCCCGGCGCGGCCGCCTTGAGCGCGGCCACGAGCGCGCTGCAGTTCTTGATGTACTCGCCCTGCCCCGTCAGGACTGCGCGCGCGCGGAAAAGAGGCGGTCAGGTTGGCGCAGTGAATCATGGATGTTGGTCGAAGGGAAAGGTACGTTGGAAGCCGAAGGGCGTAGCAATGTGAGCAACATTGCTTTATCCGTAAAGTGGCAGCAGATCAAGCTCGAGCCAGGTTCTAAGAGGCGCTTTGGTATCTTCCTGTGCAGCTCAAGAACTCTTGAGGACTACGAGACTCCCTTCTTTTTCTCACTTCCCGACGCATCCTAGCCATAAGCATGCTTCCCCTGGTTACGGTTAGATTCTTCAGGCCGTAAGAAACTGGGCGATCGGATCTGGGCAGTAGGCTTTCAAACGCACGTTGGGGTGCTGTTCCTGCTGACGTCATTAACAATCTCGGGTGCACACTCACTCGGGCAGGTGGTGTTCCAGGCGGCGGTGGTGTTGGGCGACACCTCGAAGATGACGTCACCGAACTGGTCCTCCTGAGGGGGGCACGCCCAAAGGTACGTCTGCGGGTCCGTGTTCACCACGCGCGCATCGCCGCTGGCCAGGTCAGGGGTGCACTGCACAAACGGAAGGGGACTGGTCCAGTTAGGTCTGATTATCCTGGAATCTCTGCCGCAAAGTGGTGTTTTTAGCACGCCACAGCGCCGCTTTTCTTGGTCGTACACATGCGGCGATTGGAGAGCAGGGTGTCATGCCGTGCATATGGGTCGATGCACGTCTAGCCGCCAAAGCTTGATGACTGAGAAGGCAACAAAAAAGACGGTCAAACAAGGTCAAACTAAAGGGTACAATAAAGGGTACAATAAAGGGTACAAAATAAAGGGTACAAAATAAAGGGTACAATTGAGCAGGGCCGCGTCTTTGAGCCGAAAGTCAAGCGTTGCGTGGGCTTCTCACCCCGGACGGAGGCGTGACGCTGGCGTCGATGTCGTTGGTGATAAAGACGTTGAAGCGGGCCTGGACCTGGCCGCCCTCGTCCAAGTAGAGAGCGCCGCCGGAGCACTGCAACAGGAGAGAATGTGTGTAGAAGCTGGTACGTGTTTGCATTGGAGCTGACTGCCCTACCCAATCTGAGGCGCACGAAGCTGAAAGTGATCACAAAAGGGCTACAATGCAGACCAATCTGAGACTCGGAGGAAGGAAATAATCTTGCTTGATGATGCGGAGGGCCGACAGTTTTCGACGGGCCTGCGCGGCAAGCGCAGTACTTGCTCCTGTGCTTCGCGCTCCGGTTCAAAAATCTCATACTGATGCGGCTGGGATTTTCTTTATAGAGCTCACCATGGCTGTGTTGTTGCCGAACTGCCCGCCGAAGTAGATGGCTGTACCGCCGTTGTTGTCGACAGCTCCACCGAACCGGCCCTGCAATGTGCACCGGGCCGCCGTTCAGAATCTTAAATGGAGCAGAAAGATGTCGACGCGATTTCCAAAGGTTTCCGGGCTAATATCTCTCACCATGGCTTGCTCGATAATGCTTTTTGATCTTTCAAGACCTTATACTCATGAATGTCGCCGGACTGGATACAAGATACGACCGATGCAGGGCTAGGGGCAGTGCCTCTGGATCAAAACAAAATAAGCTTCGGAATTTCGTTCTTACCGCCTGGTTCCCGTTGAAGGTGGTGTAGTCTCCCAGCATGCTGCCCTTGTGGAACAGGCCGGCGCCGTTCTCCTTGGCCCAGTTCTTCTCGATCGTGGACGTGAAGGCCTGGATGATGGACCCAACCTCCGCGTAGATGGCTCCTCCGTTGAGCTGTACGGCGCAAAGGAGATCTCAGCAGGTAGATTCTACTCAAAACCAATGCACTCAGAAGGGATGTTCAGCAGGTACTTTATAAAGATTTCACACACTCAGAAGGGGAATTCAGCAGGTAATCTTATCCTCATTCCATGACCTCAGAAGGAGTTTTCAACAGGTACGTAGGTAGGTTCAACCCGGTTCCAATAGACTGAAAAGGAGAGTCCAGCAGGTAGATTCAACCCGGCAGCAAACAAAGTCAGAAGGAGAAGTCAGCAGGTAGATGTAAGGAAAAGGAAAAGCTAGTGGGTGAAGGATGGGCGAAAGGACTCCTCACTCCTGTGATAATGCGGACAAGCCAAGGTCAATTCAATCGCAAGGGCATGATTTCATTCAGAGTTCCGTATCTCCGCGGGTCGACTTTGCCATTACGAAGGAAAAGCAGTCCTGAACATCTTACCGCCCAATTGAAGCGGAAGGTGTCGGCGTATGCCAGGAGGTAGGTGTCCTTCTCCATGTAGATTGCCCCGCCATTTCCATGGAACTGTGGAAAGAAGAAGACGCTCAGGCTCGGTGAAACCTATTGACTTATACGAATTGAGCAAAGCTCGAAGTCCGATATCGTGATTCGGCGATAGGGCAGAAAAACATTAGTTGCTTTTCGCGTTGAGGGCTTAAGCTTCGACTCTGAAGCAAAAGTATTCAAGACTCCACGTTGCTGGGTTCACGCAACGATCTCTCGTTCAAAAAGGAAGCGCGATGCTAAGGGCAGCAGACTCCTGCCTTCTTGAAGAAGCTCCGGACCTATGAGAGGTTACGCTCCAGCTTGCAGTGGCTATTCGTCGTCTTATTCTTACCGACTTGGAGTTGAGGAAGTTGCACAGGTTGGTGAAGAGGAACGCTCCCTTCTTAACGTAGAAGATGGCGCCGTTGGCGAAGGTCGTGTTCAGCTACAGTACGAAAATAGTACGTCAGTTTGACTGTACTCAAGCCTTTCCGGCTGCTCTGTGAGGCTTGCATCTCTCTTTGCATCTGAGAGCCTTGTCTTGAGCAACTTCACCTGTATGAATGTAACTTGTAAAGGATCAATCGACGGAGCAAACGGTATACGGAGTCCTGCGATCATGTCGACGTGTCTGGACGCTCAAATAAAACAGGCCTTGAAACTATTTGTTGTAGCTCAGAACGTGTAAGGTTTCGATTGAAGTAACTTTCGGCTCAGTGTCCGAGCAAATGTCTTGCGAAACGTATAGTAAAATTGACCCCAAAGTCAAAGGACACTGCGCTCCTCATGTCTCTGGGTGATGCTTTTGTATGGATCCTAGCTTCTTATCGCTTATGAGACGGCTCAAGAAGCCTCACCGAGAACTCCCTGAAACTGATCCTGTTGAAGCTGGCCGTCACGTTCTCGTCCACGACGAACGCGCCGGCTCCAAACACGGTCCGCCCGGTGATGACATTGTAGTCGGGGTTTAAGTCCGCTCCGTTGACGGTAATGTCCTGGCTGATGTGAATAGGCAGCTGCACGTTGCACGGGCTGCACTGGTCGGCGGTCAGCTGAACGATCCCCGACACAGTGAGGGTGGCCCCCTTGGCGGCGCCCGCGATAGCGGCGCCTAGAGCGCAGCAGTCGGTGATCGTGCCAGTGACGCCTGAGGGAAGAAAACGAACGGGGTCAGAGTTAGCCAGGGGCGTTATTGCAACGAGCTAAACATCGACAATCGACATCAGTGCAAGGGGTTCTTGGAATTCATCGAAAGGCTTGGCGGTGTTCTGCGACATTTCAACCGTGTAAAGACAGTGATGCGGGATTTCGGACGTTGGGCGGCGCTTCCGGTGCTCCTTCCAAAGGATCCAGGCCAGCACCCAACTGGCTCAAGAAAGTAGCTGCTCTCAGACAGTCGATGCAAGCTTTTCAGAGCACACTGCAAGGTTTGTTGAAACCAGCATTCGACCTCAGAAACATGATCGTCGCATGCGCAGCTGAACCAAATGAATGTTCTTTACGGTCAATGTTGTTTGAAGACCCGTTTGACTCTCGGCTCTCCGTGTTCACGGAGCTCTCATTTGCCTTGCAGCTCTGTGACAGTCTCACCTGGGCACGAGGCGGCGTACGGTCCAGCCAGAGTGTGAGGGTTGAGGTTGACCGGGTCGTTGGGCATGGGGCAGAAAGAGGCGAAGCCAGGAGCCTCGCCGAAGTAGTCGGCGGAGCCGTCGGGAGCACCGAGGCCGGTCTGCAAAACAGCAGGCGAAGCGAACGGTCAGAAGCTGTTTTAGAGCTCCGAAAACAAAGTTTTGGAAGGTGATGAGATCTGTGACGGTTCGCTGACGCTCACCAACGTCGCTTTTGAAAATCGCAGGTCGTCCTCAATCGGCCCTTTCAGCTTCTCATAGAGAGACCTCGGCCAAACACCTTCTTATACGCGCGGCTGCTTTTTGAAGTTGTCAACGGATGCCACTCGTTCGTGGCTAACGCATTCGAAGCTTACGCATTCACCTTCACTCGAGAAGCACATTCTCTACGAGATATCTCGTAAAGGAGCTCCGACAGAGCGACGTGTCCCCAAAGGCTTCTCAGTCCCTGAGCACATTCTGGACACATTTTTGCAATCAATGTTTTTTCCAGTCGCGTTCTCGTCGACTTACGGGGTCACTGTTGACTGGCATGTACGTGCCGCTCTTGAAGTAGGCATTTCCCCCGAACACGTGGATGGCGGCCCTGGCCCCCGCCACGTTGCGGGTGATAGCGGTGGAGGTAAAGAACGCGAGCCCAGAGCCGCCCTGGCTGTAGGCGGCGCCGTTAACGTCCTGCACGAACAAAACAAAAGACGTGCTTATGTTGTCTAGACAGACTTTCAGATGTCACTGTTCCCGGAGCAACTGGTTTGTATCTCCTGAAGGCCGTTTTCGAAGGATTTCGTCAGGTTCTTGCCTAAGCGAGAGAGGCCGGCCACAAGATTTCCAATCTAGTATCTCAGCTGAAAGCTGACGTTTGTCGGGCAGAGAGCGCGATTAAGGGATGGGAAGATACAGCAACTCAAAGAAATAGAAGATGCACCATTTACGAGAGTAAACCTTTGGGTTGTCACCAAGATCGGACGTTCTATGTTCGGCTTTAAATCCTACCCAACGGAACAACTGAGATGCAAGAGGTGTGGTCGTGCACTTACGGCAGTGTTGGCATCGATGGTGCAGGCCGTGACGGTCGCATCTCCCCACACCACCAGGGCTCCACCGTTCTGCACGATAGCCGGTTGTCGCTCTTTAAGTCCTTTGATCTTGTACTTCTCGGCCCTTTGCGATTCATCTTGCTTCGTGTGGAAGGGGTCTGCATTTCGTCAATCTTCGTGGAGACGAAAGCCGAGATATGCTCAGGTAACAAAGCTCGAATGCACGAATGAAGGTTTGGTGAACCAATTTCGAGCAGATGACGACCGGAGAACGAACGGATCTGAAGGCGTTTGGCGAAGGGGTGTCCTCACCACGCTGGCGTGGTTGTTGGTCAGGAAGCTGGTAACGATGGTGAGCTTCGAGTTCATTTCAGCGTAGATGGCACCTCCGTTGGCCTGCAGCCCAACAGCCACAGCAATTTGTATGCCACCCACTATGTTCGAGCTTCTGTCTCCAATTCTACTCCAGTCACCAAGTCGATGCACACCTTCAAATTCAGGACACGCAACTGAGCTGCAACAGCTTGTGACAAGCCTGCGAGCATCTTCAGAACTACCGAAACGCGTCTTTTCAATCGATGACACCCAGGATGCACTCAACCTCACTGGCCTCTGAGTCAGTGTGGGATACACTCGATCATTCTATATAGTGTTTGCATGTTTCGGAATATGCTGAGATGCACGTCAGCACGTCTGACATAGGCGAGTTTCACCAATCCCAACGAGATAACAATCAGAGAGTGTCAACTTACGGCCTTGTTGAACTGCATCGTTCCCACAGTGAAGATCGCAGTAGCCGATGTTCCAAGGTAGACCGCTCCACCCTGGGCCGTCTGCAGCCAGGCAAAGGAAACGCTTTGTTTGCTTACCCTTTATTTCTGCTGAGCTTTCTCATCTTTCTGAGACTTTGTGATTTTTAGTTAGAAAGAGCTTTGAAAGCAAAGCATCCTCTTGCAGCCTTCATATAGAGGTAGTAGCTGGGTTCATCCGCCCTTACTGCTGCTGTCGACATTCCAGTACGCGGGTAAAGGGAAGTGGAGGACTCACCGACTCGAGCCACTTGAAAACGTAATTCGTGAAGGTGACCTGAGAGTTGCTGTCCACAGACACCGCCGCGCCATTTGCCGACGACTGCATCACCAGACAGGCCCAGTCAAGCTTCGGTCTATGTTTCAGATTTCAAACGGCCCCTCCTAGAGAAGTCGAGCTTGTCAGTCAGCTGCAGCATTCGATGTTTTTGCTGTATCAATCAGTGTTCGATTTATTGCAGGTTGGTGAGGCAAAGAAGAACGGCACCTTGACATTCTGGAAGCCAACGTTGACGAAGTCGACTTTGGCTCCGTTGGTAATCTTGAAGAGCGACGCCGTGTTGGTAGCACCTCTCCCGTCAAAAGCGTTGTCGCTAGGCAGCTGTGACCCGCCGGCCCCGTTCACCTGGTTGGGACAAAGTTACGTGATGTGAGCGGGGCGCTTAGCATGGTAAACAAACATGTTCTCCTCAGAGACTCTGTGCTTGATGCTCGCTTTGGAGATCATCGATTATCAAGGTGCTATAACGGATGCAAGTTAGGTTCGCTGCTGAAAGGGGGAAAAACCAAGTCGACCAACTTTGGGGGTCACAAAGAGGTCGTTCGTGCTCTAGAGGGGTCCATGGCAGATTCCGCAATACAGTCATCTTCTTCAGTGCACTAATATTGCATGTTTAGCTAAGCAGGAATTGCCAACTCACCACGATCTGAATGGACTTGTCGATGACAATTGGCAGTCCCGTGGAGCAGGCCTGGGTTGTAATTGAAATGTTTCCATTGAAAATGAGTGTATCGTGATCCTGTGCTGTGGCTAGAAGTGCCTTGAGGGTATTGCAGTCTGTGAAGGAACTCGACCCGGCTGCAGAGAGGGAAGGCAAAGGAAAGAGATCAATGCACACGGCTTTCAGAGGATCTAGAGAAGCTTGGCTGTCTGATGATTCTATTTCAAAATGACTGGCTTTTCATCTATTATTGGGTAGGCCCTCCCTGGAGTTCCTGAGAGCGCCGCCATAGAACAATATACTGAGGTCTGACTGCACTGACCTGTTCATGTCAGAATATGTGATGGACGAGTAGCCTAAGAGTACACTCATTCGCACTAGCAAGCTTCAAGCCCTTTGTGCCCTTTGCGGGTGCAAGCTTGTTGAGGCAAGAGGATCTGGGATGCAGGGACTGGGAAGGCAGATGCTGACATCGAAAGCGTCCAAGGAAGGCTGTGCTTACCTTGCACAATTGCCACCATAAACAGGCTGCAGATCAGCCCCAGAAGGCAGACACGCCAGGAAGCCATGCTTCTAGATTCCCGTCTAGAAACGGCGCTTGCAAACCCCCGATCTAGCCACCCAGACAAACCCACCTTCACGCCCTGTTCATAGAATAGTGCGCCTGAAACCAAAGCGCACCTGCGCTGCGATACACGGCCACAAAGACGCCCTGATGACTACCCTCTCGTTCAAATCTCCCACCAATGTATGTTTGCAATTGCTCAAACGTGGTGAGATTTGCTTCTTGCCATTTGGGCAATCTGCGTTGCTTGAAGATAGTCTTAGCCTAGAGGCTACTGTAGGGAGCTGCTGAATTTCGATCCAAGCCAGGATGTCCGCTGCAGTGCAGCACACTGCAACTCAGATTGCAGGTCTTGCATATTGCTCATGTGCCTACCTTCGACAGACTTCAATACACGTGTACCTATTACCTGAAAGACATCATACGCAGTGAGTACGCACTCGGGTTTTACATGTACCTACATTGACGTAGCCTGGTGCCAAAGCTCTGCTGCCCTTGCGTCAGTCGAATGAAACCCGTACACATCATCATCATACCTACCGCAGACAAATTCCAACCCAACCCGGCAGTTATTTCTGCCGCGCGCGCAGCTTGATGCAAATCATGTTTGCCGTCCGATGAGGCATTCGGAAAAGGGCGAAGATCATCGAACGCTTGAAACACACACGCCTTGGGCCTGAGTCCCTGACCCTATGACTCTGAGTCTGTAGTGAGAAGGTGGACCTGTTCATTCCACGTTCATTCCGAGCTAGCTGGTTCAGCAAAACACCACCACGTTTGATGGGAGCTCCGCAGCTACGTATTGCCGTTGGTTATGAAAAGCTCTGCTCTCCAACAGATTCTTGTTTGTCCTGCGCTTGCGTTTGTGGCCGTCTTGCAGAGGGAGCTGCAGTAAGAGCTTGAACCCCCACCTTCAAACCTGATCACCGCACATCGTTGCTTGAACATTCTTTCAGGAACTGTGAGCATCAGCCACATTCTCTCTGTTTGAGACTATGCCTGGCATGGCCGGCAGCTTACAGCAACCCCAGATCCTGGAGCACACCAGCAAAAGCTTGTCCGTGACGATCTACGATACAAAATGGGTACCCAGCAGGTATGCACCAGCCACACCCAGTCTGCACACTACCTGCTGTTTGATAGCCCTATATTGGAAAATCCGTGACCAACTCATCGTCACCAACTCTGACGATGCCCATCGACGAGATTTGAGCTAGTGCATACCACCTTCAGGGATTACTATGTTCTCTTTTGCTTTATCTAGGTTTGAGTCTCACAAAGAGAGCTCACGGGTGATCAATGCTCACACAAGATTTTTCAAAAGGGGAACATCTGTGAGCAGGTGGTAGCTCTAATGTTCATCATCTTCCTTACTGATATTGTGCAGCGCTCGCTTTGTGGTCCTCGGCTCCCACCCTAGAAACAGCGGCTGTATCCAGGTGTACGAACTGGGGGGAACGGAGATCAACAAACTCACAGAGGTCAGCCTTCAAAATAAAGATCAAGTTTTTTGCTGCACCTGCAAGTAGCTATGAGCTAGCTACTTATAGATTCTGGTTCCAGGAACATCAATAAAGCCAGTTTCCTTTATGCCACCATGTGAATATTGCATCATGAAGCAGGAACTGAGGAAGTCTGCTAGTGCAAGCAAGGCTGATTCTTTTTGCGTTTTGCCTTTCTGCATAACGTCCTTTGCTGCTGCCAGCTAAACTGAGGCCAAGCCTGAATTTTATAGCAGAACTGTTAATCGAAGTCAGCTTTGGGCCCTCAAAGTCAATGCAACAGAGAGAACTTTATCACTAGAACAGGGGAAGAATGAAGTACTTTCGCACACATGCGTTCCTTGTTGACAGGCCCCCAGTGTCACTTTCTACTTATAGAAGCTTGTTCCGCAGGCGGAAAAGCAGCACAGCTTCAAATGTGGGACATTTGGCGCCTCAAGCCTGGTAAGGCAGCATTCTTCCTTCATTTTGAAAGTCGATTTCTGGAACAGATTGTCGCCCTCAACCCCAGTTAGTGCTTCCCCTCCTCAGTGTTCCAGGCTGCACCTCATAGCTGCCTTGGGGTTGTACACCTATTGCACAAGTCATTCCCAATCGATCGCCTTGCCCCAGTGAGCCCCAGCAAGCATCAATCTGGTTGTCAGCCTACTTCATGAGCAACAACCTAGTCTTGTCCTTCCTTCGTAAGAGAGCTTGACATCCACTATCTCCAACACTCCCAACTGCTGACATGCTCTTCTGTCAGCGCAGACCCAACGCCACCTCGCCACCGGTGACTTCGACGGTAACCTCAACGTTTGGGACCTCGACAGGCTAGGGACCCCTCTCTACCACGCAAAAGCCCACAGCTCAATAGTAAACGCAATCGACGGCTGCGGAGGCCTAGGGGTCGGGCGGGGAGCCCCCGAGATCGTGACATGTGGCAGGGACGGCCGGGTCTGCGTATGGGACACCCGACAAAAGGACGACCCTGTGGCGTGCTTCGAGCCTGCCACGTCGGACAGCACGCGCGACTGCTGGGCCGTCTCGTTCGGAAACGCGTACGAGGAGAACGAGCGGTGCGTTCTCGCGGGGTACGACAACGGCGACGTGAAGCTGTTCGACCTGCGCACGGGCACCGTGCGGTACGAGACGACGCTGCAGAACGGGGTGTGCGCGGTGGATTTCGACCGGAAGGACATCCCGATGAACAAGTTCGCGGCCACGACGCTCGAGTCGCGGTTCCACGTGTTTGACGCGCGCACGCAGCATGCAACAAAGGGGATGGCGAGTTTGAGCGAGAAGCAGGCGCATGGGAGCACGATCTGGGGGGTGCGCCACCTGCCTCAAAACAGGGAGGTGTTCATGACGCTAGGGGGAGACGGCAGCTTGGCGTTGTACAAGTATTCGTACCCCGAGAAGAGGACGGCCAAGGAGGAGGACGGGAGCGTGTCGGGGGTGAGTGCGAGACGCCCTGATTTTAAATCGTTCTTATATCTAAGTAGTGGGTGGAAAGAAGGCGATTAGAGTCGATTTTGCTCGCACAAATGGTCGAGGTTTTGATCACCGGAAGGAGGAAAGCGAGAGCGTCACGTGAGACTTCACTCTTTGTGCACGCAAACGAGCACTGGCTACTACTGGATGGAGAGTCGTTTGAGGGGCCTTGTGAAAGCGATTTTGACGGCTAAAGTGTGGTCCCGTTCTTCCTTTCCGGGATGATTTGGACGCTCATCTCAGCAGCTCCCATTGCTGTCAGGCAACTTGCGGAGTCGAGATGCCGGCTGTCGACCTCTTAACCCCGTCAGCAATGTCCATATTCAAATGTGTAGCCTGACCCAAAACGGCAAACCTCAGAGAGATGAGGCGCTGGACATGATTGGAAAGCTGTTGACCCGTTGAAGAAGCATGTGGTCCACTGTTTTCAGCAAAGGATCAGGGGCTAAAGAACGGTATCTCCGGAAACCTCGCTTGGCCCGGTTCAGTGGGAAGGCATTCTTGTTTCTCTGAGGAAACCCCCGGATCTAGATTTCGGCCCCTGTCCATGCAGGTCATTGGAAGCGTAAACATGTTAGCGTCGCGAACGGTGGCCTCTCAACCAATCTCCTGCTTTGACTGGTGAGTTACTCCGCTGATGTGCGCCATTTCATGGTTCTGGATTGTTTCGCTCTTTTCAAGTGCGATTTGATATTCTGGATCTCCTGGAGTTAGGAGGTAGATCTGAAGAAGGGAAAGGTAAAATGAGCGCAAGAATTTGACGCAAGAGCGACCTGAAGCAAGGGACCTCCGATCAAACATTCATGCGTTTACTTATGAGCTTCGTGTACAATGTGAAACCGTGGTTCTGCTCTTGGCAACCGCATCCAACTTGCAGCAAATCGGAACCGTTTAGGACTGGCTCCTGCATGATTTGTATATCCCCTGCCCGTAGCTTCTTTTGCGGCACGTGGTGCATCTCCACCGTTTATAATTGCTTCTCTTCAATCTGTCTCTCACAGGAGTCCCGACAAGGAAGGCCTTGCCGTGTTTGGCTCTTTCGATCAAAGCATCCGAGTTGGGATCGTCACCAAACTGCATAAGGTTTGAGGAACAAGCGCCTGCCACTTATACGATCGTGTCGGCCCGCCCATACATGCATGGGCAGCAGACATTCTGCTCCTTCCATGTCGTCCAAACGAAGTTACTTATCTGATTAAGCAATATTAACTTACGGCGTACTTCGCTCTTAGAGTCGGTCGAGGTGGCCGCTAGCTTTTTGGCGGCCAATATTCATCGAACGCGCTTTATCGAATGTTTGTTTCTGTTGAGCCAAGCACCTTTGTCGTTGTATTAGAAGCCATGATACTAAGAGCCTGCATGAATGACTGAGACGTTTGTTGAGGGCCGTCAAGCTGCACGAGAAGTGCACTCGTTGATAGAGGCAATCGGGAGGCAGTCGGTCCGTGTTGCCCTGAATGGTATAGACAATTCGAACTAATTTACCAAGAAGTGTCGATCGGGCCCAGATTACCAGGGTTAATCTGGTGAAAGCTGAGTCCTGTACATGTCAGATTTAAGTACATCTACTCACAAGCTGCCATTTATCGCTGCTGGCAAAAAAACCTTTGGACACAGCCAGTGAGGCACCATGCATCATCGTTATGTTCGCGGTACCTTAGTACCACGGTATCTCCAAATCCGGGCCAGCTTGGCTGGCTTGAGCTTCAACCGTAGCTGCGCTGATTGCAATTGATTGGCTGCGCATGTCATATTTGAACTTGGTGGGCTGGCCCATGTAAGCGGCCAGATGCGATGCGGTAATCCTCGGAGTATGCACGTCTAAAGCGAGACGTACACCATAGCATATTGCAACAAACAGAACAAGACGTAATTTGTGACGCAGATACGTATACTTAGCCCACATCATGCATATATACTAGATCGACAACATGCATGTAATATATGGTGTACGGCAATGACAGCGCAACTTCGGTGATAAATACAATTCTAGTCACAGGATTATAGTCACGCTGAGGGCTGCCGCCAGCTCGTCCGTCAAGACTTGAAGCATATATGATAGAGCTAGCTAGGCCGGAAGCATACGTACAATCTGGGTGCAACATACGCGCATGTATATGTTTGCCAGCTGACGGGACTTTTAACACCATAGACTACTCTGGCACCGATGCTCGTGTCTCTAGTGCACAACAACGTTCATTTTAATCATGCTTGAGTAAGTGTACAGTCCAAACGAGTCCATTTTTGTGAAAACGGTTAGGCAGCAGATTCTGGCTGGCACGGATTAGTGACAGATTGCTTTGTCCTGCTGTACCAAATACGCCCCCGATCTTGCATAGCTTGTCAATAGGTGACAACGGGAAACATACAATATGAAGGGTTGAATTGAGATAAGTCAACTGCAGGGGGTTACCAATCAAGAACTTGAAACACGATGATCGACTCAACAAACACCTTGCTGGACGTTATATACTAACAAGTGGATATAGACATACCTTGTCGGAAACATACATACCTTAGACTAACTCCAATCTCTTTGGCAGCGCAAATGTGCGCTACCTTGTCTTAATGCTAAAATGTGTGACTCACTGACCAACCGGCCTGAATGCTTGATCCGGTTTCAACGACTCCGACGCTCTGTCAGTGATTACCTGCAAAGACTGGAAGACCTTAGGATGAGCAACCATGTGCCAGACGTTGTGCTGCTCCTCACAGGTCACGATAGAGCTGGCATGCCAGTTTGATAAAGAGGAACCTTCCACCCAAACAAGCAGAAACAACCAAAGACAACCAATGAAAGTGACCCGATTGCCACCCCACAGCTAGCTGAGGCCGTCAAGAAGCACAGGACCAATCTGCAAAACCATTGAACAATCGACAACGTAGTGTTATAATATTGAGAAACAGAACAAGGCACCTGACTTACCTGATGACATGCGCTTTCCCAACCCGATCCACACCAGGGACTCAATGCCCGGTTATAGCGATGCTCCGCCTGATCTCGCTGTACGGTTGGTAATCCACAACTCTTTCGATCTACAACCGCAGATTGTCAACCTATCAACTCGGCTTTGAGAGCTAGTAACCTTCTGTTTGCGCGGCTCCAGCTTTCATGAGGCCTCACCCCATAGCACTCCCGCAAAGTATTCCTTCTTGTACCACCCCCGCCCCCTCGCCCCCTTGGGCACAAATTACCCCCCAATTCTACTGCGCTCTTCTTTCGCGCCACCGCCGGCAGAGCCCTCTCGCCCATGAACCCTTCGTTTCCGTCATTCTCACGCAGCCATCCAACACTTGACCACGTTTCCAACTCGTTACCCGCTCCTCGCAACTCTCACCGGCCTCTTCGCTTGCGGCCTCTTCGCTTGCGAGGTCAAGCCCCCCCAACCCCTCCTCCCTCTCAGACCAAACCATGCCCCCATAGACAATCGCCGCTCCTTTCACCCCCCTACCTCATTGGATCGGAGCCCTCCGCTGGCGGACCCCAACCCCATACTTCCCAATTTATTCTACCTCCGCCTGCAACGCAAGCCCCTCTTCCTCCTCTTTCAGGGCCTCTTTCTCGTTCTCGCGCTTCTTGATGCTCGCGTCATCGACCCGGAGCGCGAGTCGGGCGGCCTCGTAGCACATGCAGCTGACTGCGGCGGCGGGGATGAGCTTGACGCACGTGGTGCCAAGGCCGCGATAGAGCGCTAAGAAACCCTCTTCTTTGTAGATGGTCTGGACGACGTCGAGGGCGTTTTTGTACACAGCTTTCCCTCCCACCGTGCCTAGTTGCATCTGGCGGCGTGCCACCTGGAAGTCCAACGGGGCTTGTGAGACGATTTCATCAAACTGAATCATCAAGTGCACGTATAGGAGTCTGTGCTTGAGTTGACCGAATATTCGTGCAAATTAGTCTGTGCTTGACCTAGAAAGAGAGGCGCTGAATCCGTGGTTAAAAGCATGGCTGTAAAATAGTCAATAAAAGCACGAAAAACCAAGAATTAACCAGACAGCTCGCCATTTACAGCACTCAAAGGATTCTGTACACTTATTACCCGCAGCCACAAAAGGTCGAACACCGACACGCGCAAAGTACGGCAATGCCGAGCACTGTTCAACGACACGAGGAACACAAGTCACTCAATCCCGATTCAAATCCATGCAACTCGGTGAATCACCCTGATCAGGGCTGGCAAGGGTGACCACTCTTCTCAACCCAAACACCTCCCCACAAAGGTTGCATCATTGTTCTGGGCAAGCTGACATTTCAACCATTCAAGAGTTGGTTAGTTCAACGGCAACATTTTTCTCATTCCAACTAGTTTGCGAAGGAATGTGAGGCCGAAGGGGCTGCAGTGCCATGAAGCAGCGTACACAGCGTCAGCAATACGCCCTTATTACCTTCCGTTCGCCTCAAAAACCTCCCGCAAAAGGCTGCCCTCATCCTTCAGAGCTACTCAACAGTTCTTACAAACATTACTTCATATCAGCTACCTTACGCAGCTCTCCTTTTCTACTCACCTCCAGAGGGAACGTGAGGGCGCTCGAACACGACGCAGCGGCAGCCCCAAATAGCAGCGTAGGCACCGTCGGCACATAGTCCTTCTTTGTGACCCGCTTATAGGCGGATCGAAGGCCAGCATAGACGCCGTAGTTTGCGGCAGCGTATGGAAACACCCCCAGAACGCTAGGCCGTAAACCGCTGTACAGAGCGCCGGCGCCCTCCTCCGCAACAATCTTGTGGAACGTGCGGCTGATGCTCGTATACAAGTGCGGCTGCGAGGGAACAAAGAGGATGACCATTTTGACATGGGCACAGCGCTTTCTCCAACAAGCACAGCACCTTTTCTTAGAAAAGGGCGTTCCTGAATGAAGTCCAGTCTGATCAAGAAGAGCCGATTTGCCTTCTACCTTATCAGAACCCTGTGTTCCATCCACTTTTGACTGGAACATTGTCTGAACCACCACCCCAGTTTCAGTCTTGCTGTCGAGCTCCAGACCGGTTCTAAGGGTGCCGCTATGTTTACATCCGAGATGCATACAATGCATCTTGCAAATTGACTCTCAAGGATCACGCCGATCCGTTAGATGGTATTTAGGAACTATCTGAACCAGACTATCCAATCTGCAAACAGTACTTTACACAAATTTCCGTTCTCCATTTGGCATCAGTTTATTTAGGAGGACACTGCCCGCGGTGAATATGCTTGACTCACCTGCACCATCATTCTGGTCCTCATCAACTCCAGGGGATAGGTCGCAACTGTTGACCTGGAAAAAAAAACTTTGCTTGTGAAACTACTCCAAAGTGCATAGGCTGTGCAATGCAGCAATTGCAGAAGTAACATGGAACCTCAAGTACGAGCCTGCTATACATTTTGAGACGCCTGCCAATGTGAACAAGAAAATCCAACCGCATCCAGCTACTTGTACAGCATTTGGTGGGCCAAAGTCATATTAGATTGGTTTCTGCAAACCGTAGAAGCGGAGAAAGGTGTCAGGTACCATCCAGAGAATGTGCAGGAAAGTGCAACCGGCAAATACTCACATCATGCCTGCTGCTCCTCCCGCTACAGGTGCGGCGACGAAAGACATCAAACTGCCTTCATCTTTCGACAGCGCGCGCTTGAGGTTTTCAAAGACACACAGCTCGATGGCCTTGCACGGCGCCACCCGCAGACAATTAATGCCGTTCCCTGCAGATAAATGCAAGGGTGTTGAATAATTTCGGAGAGACCACTCATTGCACGTGGTTCTTGGATGGGATCCAGAGTGCGAGCTACACCCACGCATCAGAAAGAGCTCCTTTCCATACTGCTTGCAGCCGCACAGAACTTTCGCCTCTGTTGTTGCTGAGCATGATGAAGAGAGCAAATATTAGAAAGTCTCTGACGCCATGAAGATCATAAGCATTTCAGATGGACGTAAAGAATGGAGCAGTCCGCGTGCGTTACATTCATAAAAGCGGGCAAACTACGCTTGCGCAAGGTGGGATGGCGCCTTCTTTGAGCAATGTACCAACTATAGCAACTTTTATTGTTGCGAGGGTCCTCAAATGCCTCAAACAATGTCAGAAGTTTGTCGATTTGACAGACATGGTCAAATGTGCCAAGAACCACCAAAATAAACGCCAGACTACAAAATGAACCTCATTGAGATGACACATGGGAGCCCATACTGGAGCTAGATGCACAACGTGCCAGTAAGAGCGGTGCTCACCTCGAAAGAACGCTTTCCACCCCCCCTCCTCGAAAATCTTTGCGGCCACCACGGCAGCAGTCTTGGGAGCCCCCCGGCTCCCATGCCCCGTTACTAGGTGCGTCTTTATAAGGTCCAGTGGGGCCACAAATGAGCGCGAGACCACGCCTGCAAACGCCCCGCTTGCTAGTTGCTGCAGCAGCCCGGATCTCTTGCCCAGCTTCTCAAGCCGCTTTGCTATTTGCGCCTGCCGCTCCACCCTCTTGAAATGCCACTTTCTGTGCATGTGCTTCTGTCTGCTGGGCCCAGCCTCAGTCTCCTGCCCGCTACTGCTCACAGCTTCCTGCTCTGAGGTGGTCTCCTGGGACTTTTGCGGCCGAGACGGTGTCAACTGGTACCACTGGACGTCCGGGCCTTTGGACAACTCATCCTCAAACACGAAGTCGGCTCGATGCCACGTCCTCTGCCCATCCAGAACACCAACAACGCCCTCGCCAAATGCTGCGTGACTTAAGCTAAGAGTAGCCACCGTCGAGCGGGGTCGCTCCTCGGGCGAGCTGGCAACCCTAGACAATGTGACGTCTCGCAATGCTGACCGGCTTCCCCCAGTAGAATCTTCCATGACAACGGTTTGCCTCCGCTTTCTTTCAGTGACCACCTTACCCCTTTTATTGCTACTCTCAGGTTCCACGGGTCTTGCTTTCGACTGCGCAGGCCCTGCAACCTTCCTCGACCCCGCGCTCTGCGTTCGCTGAAGCGCCTTGGCGAGGCTGCTGCTTGAATGCTTGCTCAGGAAGTGCTTCGGCAGCCCTGTGGTAAAAATGGACGCGCTGTCCGTCAGCCGTGCGAATGGCAGTCCAAGCGGCCCTGAGGACTCCAAGGTTTCACCCGCTATCTTTGTCAAACTCGTGGCAGCTTCTCGCAGCGTGCCCAGCGGCTGTGACTCCTGGGCACTTATCATGGCTGTCTCCTCTATACTGACAAACAACCGTAACACAGGCGAGAGCTGGCCAGAAAATGTGACGGCCGCTTTCTCGCCCCAGTACCAGCCTCCTGAGCTGCTTCCCTGCACACCTAGGTCCTAGAGGCGCCTCTGCAAACAGGCAGAGCTCAGCACAAGGGCGACAGAGCAACCTTCTTCACCAAACCAAATCGCACTGCTCAGCGTCAGGTCTCTGTAGACTGTACCAACTTCCAAGTCTCCGCAGAGCAGTGCAGACTCAGACTGCACAGTGCAGTGGCGTGGCTTGCTTCCTCGCCTCGAAAGTTTGACAAGAGGATTTGGTCCAAGGTTCGCCTGCGCCACAGGAGCAAATTTGAGCCACAAACGAGCATCAAAAATCTGCAGAAAACACGTGTACGGCGTGTGGATTATCTGAAATCGCGATTCAGGGTGATGTACGGACCGTGGATGGCGGTATTCTGACGGTGGGTACCGCGGCGTGCACGCTAGCCCACTCCTGTGGCTTGTGCACAATGCATAGGTACCAGGTACCTGGTACCGCTTGCCGCCGACCGGATGGTCATCATGGCATTCGGCCGGATTGGGATGCTTCGCCTCTAACTTTTAGGGAAGCCCTGCTCTCTCTACTAGCTGAGTGCATGCAGCCATGCTCTTAGGTAGCATCCGATCGCCGTGCACATTGAGTTGTACATCGAAGTTCGCTCCTTGCAACCGCGACTGACAGGCTGTTCAAATGGTGTTTGCCACCCGGAAGCAATAGCTTTGAAATGTAAGTGCGTTGGACAAATCAGCCAATCAGCGACGTACCACCACACGAGTAACCTCCGCACCTGGTACCCCTTTCCTCGGCAGCCATGACCGTCTGCATATAACCTGCTAGCCTGATCGTACTTTTGGTAAATCATGATGCAGCCGCCAGATCGAACTCGTCGAAAGAATGCTCTGGCTAATCATATTTGGATAACGAGAAGTGCATGCCATCTACTTTGCCCGAAAATCGTGTCTGAATATTGTCAGGTTCTGCGTGAATTTGTCTCTATTTTTAGGCTCCAAAGTCCTCGTCACATCCGCCATGAGCTTGTCAAAACACCCGGCCAATCGTTGTTGTTGATCAGGAGCCTGCAACAAGAAGGTTGACGTTTTTAGATTGCCCTCGCATGAAGATTGGACGTTTTACAACACAAGATGCAAATAAGTCCATCTTTTTCATAAACATGAGACAGAACAAGCACTTCGGAGTTAAGGATTGAAGTGTCAAGCCTACGAGCTCAACCTTGCCCAGCTTACCTGTGTCGCCAGGATCTGAGCTTTTAGATCATTGAAAATCTGCAGAACAAACAAGTCGACGAGCGTTGTCATTCAGCGGTAACAAGGATAACTTCAGTGTCCAGGCCAATGTATGCCTCGGTGCAGGCCGTCAAATTCTGTTGCACTTACTAGCAGACCAAAGTGGCGTGCTGACAAATTGGGGGTCAAGATTGCGCTGGCAGAATGAAGACCGCAAAAATGAAAGCTTACCTGTTCGTTGATCAAGATGAGGCTCAGCATCGGCCTGCTCAAGCTCCACTGGTTGCCGCAGTCCTCGAACAAAACTATCTCGAAGAGCGTCTTCAAGATCTGCAAAGAGGAGGTGCATTACGGCGTCCCTTTTTCCACTTTGAGAAAAGAGCCGACGAGTGAAAGTGGCCGCCAGCAAAATCTTTGGCTCACTCGCTATCAAATCCTCATCATGCAGTTGACGCAAAATTGAGCTTATTTTTGCGTCAACTCACCAGAAATTAATGAATTCAATGGAAATCAATTCACCAGCTATCGCCTGGCCGCTACATTGTAAGGTCAGCAGCGACAGAACAGTTGGTCCAATATCACCGATAGCAAACAGTTGGCTGTTGCCAAGCGCTTGAATTGCCCGGGCTAAGCGCCAAGCCGTACCTCTGGGAATAGGCTTGGGCTCGCGGCAATATGCCTGGCTAGATTAACAGCAGCGGGCGTGGACGGCGCTTCGCCAACGGTAATATTGGAGAAGTAGAACGCCGCTAGGTTGTCGACAGAGGAAGCGCACTGCAACGTATCAGGCACGAGCAGTCAGACAAGGGAATCATACGAATGGGCCTAGATAACCGGGCAGCGTGAATACACATCAGCGCACTGTGCTCGGCAACAGAGTGAATCCGAAGGCATGCGCGCTGCGAATCAATGATAATGGTACCAGATTATTCAAGGCATTGCAATACTAAGCCTTCCGTTGCAAACATTCTCATGCTAAAGCATGTATTAGGCCATGCAAATCTAAGCGGACGGAAGGCCTCAACTGTCACAAGCAAATGTGTGCAGGATGAGGTACACGAAGAGCACCAGAGATATTGGGCCATCTTTTGGTGACTGTTCCTCACCTGCGAGGATATGCTGACGTCTAGACACTTGAGCCCCGCTTCTAGGGACTGCATGATGTGGGCGAAGGTGGCCGTGTCGAGGTTGACGATCACGGCCGTGTGGTTGTGGCAGAGAACCTCCAGGAGGGAGTAGTATGCCCGCCCAAACTGCAGAAGGAGACCAGATGAATGTCAATAGAGCATATTTCCGGCCAGAATTTGGAAGGATTCCACTGTGACGACGCTGACAAGGGAAGGGCCTGCAGGGAAACGAGCAGCTCAGTGATTTCCAGAATCAGCGGAGATTCCTGGCGTTCCTAGTTGGCTCAGAGAGCTAGCGGCTCCCTCTGCCACAGTAACGGACTCAGTCGCGCTCACCTTCCGGAATGCCAGGATGTCCGGGAGAGGGACGGACAGCGCCATCTTGAGCCCGATGTCGAGCGCGTCGGCCAGGGCTCTGTCCCCGTAGAGCTCAAAGACGCCAAAGTTGACGTAGTTTCCGGCCAGGGCTGTGGAAGAGCGTCCAGAAAAGCTTAGCGATTGGACGACTGAACCAAGTACAGTAGAGTCACTTCGATTCTCAAGCGGTACCATTTCGTCGAAAAAGTTCCCATGGGCAGCAAGCCACAAAACTAGATTGCTTCAACAGTGGAAAGATTCTGTTGCAAGGATCCGCTTAGGTAAGGGCAGAGTTACTCAGCTACTTGAAACGGGGGGCTTCAAGTAGCTCCTGCGTCTGCAGGTCATTTCAGCTTCAAAATATATAACCGGGTCAGGATAGCACGCTCACCTGCTTTTAGGATGGTGAGGGAGATCCAGATGCCCTTGTACTTGTTCGCGTACGGGTCGCTTGACACGGGCAGAAGGAGGACTCGGGTCCCGTAGCTCACGATCAGCTTGCTCACTTCCCGGAAGAGGAGGATGCCGTTCGGGGAGGAGGAGTCGAAGGTCAACCGCTGGGTCTTATTCACAACGAACTCGGCCATGAACTTGAGGACCGGGGTCGTCACCTGCAACCAGATATGACCGAGTACCGTGAAAAGGTACCAAATCAAAAGGCACGCTTCTCTCAAGCACCGCCAACCTGACAAGATGCTCTCATGAAATTCATTCCGCCACCCAAAGCTAGCACGTTGAGGAAGAGCCAAAAGGTAAGTTACCCCTTTGAGTTGGATCCTTCGAAATATTTGGGTAATGGGAACAGAGAACACAAGCGGTAGCAACTTCCGTCAAAGTAGTCCTACATGCCTTCAGTCAGAAGCACATAAAGGCAGCAGGCACTGACAATTTGTGTCGTCTAAAAAGGTCACCTACCTCGGGGGTGTCCGTCCACACTTCCACAGATCTGGCCAGGAGGGGGGTGTTTGCTGGGTACAACCAATCAAAGAGGAGGCCGTATGTACGGCGGCTGGAGACGAAAAGAAGGAGGTCAGCAGGAAAAAACTGCTTCACCAAAAAGAAATGCAGAAGCGAAGAAACGACAGGAAAAGCCGTTTCATGCAAGTAGCTCAATCCAGAACATATGTAGGGGAAACAAGGGCGCAACGTTCCTCAAGAGCATCAGCACCTGCGGAAGAACGAAACTTCAAAGAGCATCGTCCACCTTACCTGTTCGTGGCCATCGCGATACCTCTCAGATCCCTGAAGAGCCCTATGAGTGCGTATTTGACAGCGTCTGATCGGAACGCGGCGTCAGGCGTCGTCAGCAGCTTTGCCATGATCTGTACGCAAGAGCAAGTTGGCACCCAATCTTGCACAAACCCCGTTGATGAGCGCGAAGGACAAGCAGAGAAGCAGGATCAAACGGCGCGAAGGACAAGCAGAGAAGCAGGATCAGACGAATGCACCGTTTGAACGTCAAGGCTTTCTAGTCCTCCTCCGTGCATCAAAAGACAGACGGGAGTCGATCCCTGTTTCACTTAGAGGGAAGGTGCAACTAACCGCCTGGAAAGGAGCTATGAAGGCCTTGAATTTTGCTGGGCTGTCTTCCATGAAGAGGAGACGGCCGAGAGTGTAGTAGAACATCGTCCTGTTCCTCGAACTACTGTACTGGTCGAGGAAGGGGAACGCATCCCGCTGCAGTAATAGGTGGCTTCATATGAGACAGATTGGACGACACCATGGAAGTTGCGGGTTCCTGACAAAAGAGTTACGCTCTGGCAGCAACAGCACCCAACTGTTACTGGTGCGTTCTATATGAGGTAAGAAAAGCGACAATAAGCTAGCAGTGACTTCGTTCGGGGTCCTCTTCCTCTAAGGTAGAACATGGTGGAAGGATGCAGCACGTACCGTGTGATTTGCCAGGATGAAGTTGACGGAGTCGAGCTTGAGCAAGAGCTTCCCGCTCATGTACCTTCAGGAGAGCGAGAGCGTCAGTCTGAGCATGGCGGTCAGAACTTGCGCTCTTTTTTCAAGTTTCGAGACAGGTTCTATCCGTCGCACACAAGAGAGACACAGAGTCAATCGAGGCAAAGCACCGCACCAAACACCAAAATCCCAACTTACGTCGTTGTCTAAAAGAGCGATACGAAAGCGATGCTTCAGCCAGTTGTTCTCCTCTGGCAATGCAGCCTGATGCCATCAGCAGATCGTTTTCTTTCCTCGAAAAAAGGAAAGAAGGAAGTTACAGCCGCCCTGATTTTCAGCTCAAGACGGAGCTTCCTAGAACCCTGATCCCAAAAGCTTCGAAAAGACGCCTAGAGAGTCGGTACAAGCAAAGTCAACTGCCAAGTCCTCGATCTGGATTCGAAAATGGGCGCTCAAATCACACAAGAGTCAGGGTGTGCAGAGCAGGTCGATACCATGCAGACCTCTGGTCATTATCGAATTGCGGGATCTGAAGGCCTTTGAAACACAGGTGGAAGCCGAGGGAGGCAGCCCTTCAACTGCTCTCCGTGCAACCTGTCATTTTTCTTCCTTGCTCCGAGATGCGACGTTCACAAAAACTATAGCTTAGCAATGCATGTTGGCAGCCAAAAGCGCTCACCCGGCAGCGAGTTCCTGGAACAGGTTCAGAGTGGCTTCTATGACTTCCTCGCAGAGCGTGTAGCATTTCAGGTTGGTGGCGATCTTTCCTACTGTGACGTTGAGAACCATCAGATGGTCTTGCAGGCCCAGGAGCTCGGTTAGGCGGGTGTAGAGTTGCTGCAGCCAGAAAACCGTCGAAAGTTTCATTTCAAGTTCAGAGTGCTATTGACCGTCTTGACCCAGATTTGATGTGTTTGCGGCGCGGCCCTTGAGACATCGAAGGGCGTATCACATGACATGAAGCTCAGCACGGCATGCTAGTAAGGCAGCAAGTGTTTGTCCTTATCACAATCAGGTGTTTAGGAGCCTTGGAAGCAGAGGACTTGCTGCAAGAAAGAAGTCTTTGCAGGTGCTTGCCTTTGACGAGTGCATTGCTTGATCCCCGACGTAGACCCGCCGGAAGCTCTGGAAGAAGGCGAGAATAGCGGAATCCAGCCGCTGTTTACTCCGCTCTTGGTACCGCTGCAAGAGATGGCGCATCCGTCAGGCTGATGTTGAGGGGCAAGCATGCTACGGCGAAGCTTGCAAATAGGTCGCAAAATAAGCTTCACCAACATTAGGTCCCCTAGCTTGCTCGACAACCCGTTGCAAGTTTGCAAGGAGCAGATATTCACATTTTGACCGCATCGCAATACAGATTTAGTATCTCCATGTTCGCTATCGATGATTCCCCTGATTTTCAAATAGGGGCAGTCCGACCAGATTTAATTTGATGGGAACGCTTACAGAGAAGTCTCTCCGGACAAGCTCAAAGTACTCGCGTTGCCTCAAAGGCACTGACCTGAGCGTGGAACCCCGTGTCTGACACCTGAATCAACTGGAACACCCTCGCAGCGAGCTCGCCGTCGATCACCTCCTGGGACTCAGCACTGCAAAGCGAAGAAAGGCAGTCATTACGGGTTTTAAGGCAGACAACCACTTGGGATTTCTACGTTCTTGATCAGGGACGCAAACAATCGCTTCCCATGTGCATGGTCCTCAATCAGCAAGCTCCACATGACACTCCGAACTGTTTCTCTGGCTGCGTGTCAATGCATACCTGCTCGAACTCATCCTCCCTCTTATAATCGCCCCGATTATATGGACAAGCCACGTCAGCTGTCCATCCATCACCGCGATCTGGGCCGCGTTCCCCTGAACCTGCCCCGCTTCAGTGAAGCGCTGAAGCAGGGGCTCCATGAGCGCAATGATGTACTTGGACGTCTTCTCGTACTGCAGGGGCGGCAGCGGGGCCAAAGGTCAGCGCCGCTCGTCTAATCCTGTACATGACAAATTGATTGCGCGAACATCCAGACCAGCTCCGTTCCACTTGGAAGAAAGGTGTACGGTCGCTCAATCATGAGAAAGCTCCTCAGCTTAGAGCGACAAGCAAGCATAGGGTTGGTCGCTAACAAGTGGCCAACCCGTACAGTGAGTCAGAAGCCCGCCAGAGCTGCCCTGTGGACTCTGTGCAATAGTAACGGTTCGAAACCGCTCACCTGGAACCGACACAAGTAGGGCAAGCTGTCTAGTTGGTCCTGGAGCTGCTCCTCGTTGTCCAGCGGATCCTCTCCGGTGGTGCCTTGGAGCACCGTCTGGACGGAATCCAATCTGCCACAGCGTTGCCACTGTCAGTTGCTTCATTTTGAATTGCACAATGGTCCCTCTCATTCTGCCTGCTAGAAGATCAAAACACTCAAACTTGTTACAAGCCTTTGGACATGCGTCAGATCGCAATGGTTTTGGCCGCTTCAATTGCAGCTCAGATGCGGACTTCAAACCCACCTGGACGTGATGTAGGCTTCCGTGATCTTGGGCACAAAGCCCTCTAGCAGGCTTGGCGAGTCGCTCTTCAGGTACGGCATCGAAGACACCAAGCGGGACCACAATCCAAGCAGGTAATAAACGCTGCCACTGGCCCACTGCAGTCAACAATGATCCAATTTGAGACCTTTCTTTGTTCCTGTTCAGAACGGTTTGGCCACATACGTTGTCCTTCCTGGGCGTTCTCTGATCGCAGCACTCAACATATGCGTCGAGTACTATGCCCAAGACGTTATCAGGAGATGAGCGGGCAACCAGAATCTGCATCAACCAAGGCAGGAGTACTTCATAGAGAACACTAAGTCAAAAGCACTGACCTGCCAGCTTTGGAGGGACTTGATGGTAAACTCGGCCACCAGTCTGATCCAGTCGGCATAGTTCTCCACGTTTACCAACTCGGACAGCTGCATTGAAGACAGGACGTCTCAATCAGAACACGCGTTTCCTCCAAAGCAACTGTATTCGAAAACGCAATAAGACGCCAAACAGAAGGCCTCCACTCAATACATCTGATCACAGACGAAAGCAGAGTCCTTACTTGATAGTTGGTCTTCAACCTCCCCAGTAACCGGCAGTACTCGTGATAGTTGTCGTGCTCCGAAAGGCCTGCAAACGAAGGCAGGAAATGGTCACGTGAAATGCATCCGGATCAATACCTCGATTGGACGAGACTTGGCCTCTGCGGAATCCCAACCTTACCTAGATGGTCAAAACTTGAAATCACCAATCAGACATGCGGAATACCAGACGACATGAGCTACAAGTTGGAAACCTGAAGCCATGCAATTACACAACTCCTCACCTTGTTGTGTTCTAAGAATCTCTCTGGTTCCTGTCATGAGGTGAGACAGGAACTTTGACCGTTCCGTTTCGCCCGAGAAGAGTGACCTCCGTACCGATGCTAATCGGACAAGGCACTCCAGAGCCTGCAGAAATAGTCAATGGCAAGTAAGCAAAACAACCATGACACTTCTTTCACCTCCTTTCACAAACCTTGCCTGTCAAAGATTGCTGTCATAAGGACAAACCGATAAATAAAATGGTGCCACTTCGACAAATTGTGCCACTTCAATATGAAAGTCCTCACCTGGTTGGAAAGTGGTGGCTTAGTGGATGAGTAGTAATCCAAGAAGAGCTGCATCGTGGCTGTGTCCTCAATGACAGGCCTCCAGGACGAGGGGATCTGTTACAACATGGAGAAAGCATGGTGAGGTCCTACAGACTCCTGAACTCATCTACATCTACTTTGTGCATGCCAGGGCACGAAAGCTGTCCTTACCAATTCTCTCGCTTGTTGTCTCGCTTGTTGTCTTGCAGAATACATGGAATGCAAACTGCTGAAACTGACTGCCATACCCTCCAGATAAAAGTAGGTTCACATGTGACTAAGTGTGGAAGCCTCACCTGGATGGTCCCGAGGTCTTCCGAACTCTCATCCAGTGATGTCCCAACGAAGTCGAATGACAAGCACTTGAGTGCCAAACCAATCGCTTGCTCCCGCAGCTTATCATCGGCTGCAGATTTCAAACGATCCCGTCATTGTTCAGAGTCCAGAGTAGAGTGGCCGATACCATGCTAGTGCGACATCAATCTTGTGACGTCGAAGAATCATTCTCAAGTCGATCTTTGTACAAGTGCTTGTACATCAACCTCTTGAGAACGGATATGGCGGAACCTCACCATTGGCCTGCAATTGTCGCAGTGACGTGAGGGAGATCTGGAATGTCTCAAAGAGTGCCAAGTCCCGGAATGAGCAGGCGGTCTTCCGGTGATGGGTCAGAGACCGACCAGGTGTGGCCTGAAGAGAAAGTTGGGCCGTGAGTAACAAGCACAGGTTTATTTCAAAGCAAGGGTTGGGCGACTCTGAGGCAGACTGTTTGAGTAAGTGAAATGAGGCAGACTGTTTGAGTTAAGTGAAATTCTGCTTTTCAGCAAGCCATGCGAACAGTATTCAAAGAATCCATTCAAGCAGAAAAAGGAAAGTGGGGCAGAAGCACCACCTGATTCATCTCCGCCACCAACTGGTTCAGAATCTTCAGACCAAGGTAGAAGTGATCAAGGGAGCCCTGCATGATCCGGACAGCAAAAGATGGTTATTGAGGACTCAAGGTAAAAGAGACCATGAGCAATGGAGAGTTCCGCACAGCCTGCAGCCTCATCACGGTAAGCGCTCAGACACACTGTGCAATTAAATGAGGCAAAGGCAGGATCTGACCAACTTCTGGACGGCAAGTGCCAATATGCCCGGTCCAAGTTGTCCAACTCTGACATGAATGACATAAGTGTAAGAAAAGTTACCACCACCAGTTCTATGATTACCTGGGCCAGAAACTTCATTGCTTCTTTCACAATGTCCCGATGGCGGTCATCGTCGTACCAACCAAGTTTCGTGACTCGACACAGTAGTTGTATGAGCGAAGTTGTAACAAAGGGCTCAGCTTTCGGCCCCTTCGTGGCCAGGTACGAGACCACATAGTTTCCTGCAGCACACAAGATACTCTTGGAACAGCTCAGATCAGCAATGCTGGTCCCGGGGTTGCCACAATACAGGCGAAGGATCAACATGTTCACTAACCATCACAATAAGCGTTCCGCATGCAATTTACAGCCTTTAGCGCAATTGAGTATATATGTGCCCAGCCTGTTCGCCAACAGATGCCAATGTACTCCGCTTGCTGCATGGTAGCCCATCAACAAGGCTCTAGAGAAAGCAGGTAGTCCTTACGAATATCGAGTCGAAGCTGAGTTGAGAGAGTGTTGTCCGTGAGGAGTTTGACAAGGCTGGAGCTTGCCAACAGCTGGGCATAGGGTGATGCCGAATTGTCGAGAATGTACTGACACTGGGAGATGTAATCGGTGTTCACCGAGAACACTGCCAGCGTCTGCTCTGCATGAGCCCGCTCCTGGGGATTGCTAGAATTGTACAGGCGCTCACACAGCGACTCCAACTGGGCCAAACTCTGCATATTGGCCATCTTTTTGCAGATTGGAACTCTATTGTAAACCCTCCAGGCAAGTACTTCAAAGTGGAAACTCCAACATGGGAGGCGGCCTTAGAAAAGACATCAGCACTGGCTGCCTGGAACTTTCATGAGGAACCTGCAAAAGCGGTCAATGCGCAACCCGCCAAAGGAACTAATTGCATGGCAAACCTACTCATCCATTTCGTGCTCACATATCGATCCGCACCAATGGAAACTCGGGCTGATCAGGAAAGCGGGTCAATGCTGTCCGTAATGCAACCAGAACTCTTTCTAAACACCCAAGCGTTGGCACCTTCCATCCATTACTTGCAGCATCGTTGGCTGACAAAGAGACACAACCTTCGTCCGGAAGCCTGAAGGAGGACCAAGATCAGGCCAGGTTGCAGGCGCCTTAGCAAACAACACGCTGCTACGTAGGACTAGCGCATTGCCCACATGTATGGTGAAGAATGCAGGAGGCACGTGAGGAGAGGAAGCTATCTTAGGTGCCAGCTATTGACTATTCTCATATTTAGGGTTTCAAATTTGGTGGCGACGTTTGGTTAACTCTCAAAGCCGAAACTACAAGCTTCTCACCCCAACCTAGTTTCCAGCGGTTCCTTCTTTTGCGTTCTCCATCTATCTCTTCTCGTCTCGAGCATGCCAATGCAGGGCGTTCTAAAAGCTTGCCCGGCATGAAGCTTTGTGCATGATGCCAGCTCGGAACTCGCTTGAGGCATCTATTGCTCGAGCAGGATCGCTTGGACGCTTTGCACAGCTTATTGATATAGATTTAGCTGCGTCTTGAACGACGTCCTCTCATATATCCAGATTGGTGGTCGAAGCTTGGACGTCAGCAACATGGGTGGCGGCGACAAATGTACTCCTTCATCTGAAGATGATGCTCACGACGTCAATGGAGGACATGAGAAGCAGCAGGGGAGCAAAGAAGCCGAAGAGGTACATTGTCCTGCAGGAAATTGACTCTGGTTCTTGTGCATTTTCTTTAGTTTTGGGACTTGTGCTTTGATGCAATGCCACATCACGGCCTGAAAGTGCCATGCATACAATTCAATGTCTGCTGAACTTGATCGTGCAATGCTGTCAATGCACAGTTCAGTGTAACAAGTGGGGAGAAATAAGTGGTCGATGCTTGAATCTTGCTAAAACGCCAATGATGCTGTTCAGTCAAAACAGGCAATCATGCCAACTTTTGATCAAGCAAGGAGCAAGAGCCTTTTGCGATTGAGCAACCGCTAGGAAACTTGAGAGCGGGTGGTGTTATTCGAAATGAGAACATCGAAATGAAACAACTGAACCTTGGAGCGGAAAACTCTCTCTCAGACTCGCTTCCACGTGCTCCCTCTGCAGCTCAAGAACCAGGGGAATGAGCTGTATCAAGCTGGGAGGGTCAAAGATGCACTATCCAAATTTGACGAGGCCGTCTCAAAGTCCCCCGATGTGGCTGTCTACCGAGCCAACAAAGCAGCAGCTCTGTCCAGCCTGGGCAGGCTGGGGGAGGCAATGCTGGAAAGCAAGGTGGGCCTGCTTAACGACTTCGGCGGCGGGAACGTTCTGAAGAGGCGTCTTTCATGGATATATCATTCATCTGAGCTTGGAAAGATTGCCTTTGTGCTCAATTGAGTGTGTAGCGTCACCCACATGGATTTTGACCATTGATGTCATTCTTGCTTGGCTTAAGGCCTTCTCTAAGTTCCAAATCTATAAGACCTGGAATTTGTAGCGCATCTTTAGAGTGCATGTGTTTAGCGATTCTGTGGAGGCCTTTGTCTAGTGTCCAAGGCAAGCTTTTTGGTTGAGCCTTTTGACACAAGATACCTCAGAAGAAGAAGGCCATCTTGTTGCTTCTCAATACACTTCACATAAACTGATTGCATATGCATGACAACCAAAACAAAGCTTCTGTCTGCTGCAGAAAGCAGTAGAGCTAGACGACAACTATGCACGAGCCCATGAACGGCTGGCAAACCTGTGCCTGAGGCTTGGAAGGTTCAAGGAGGCGAAGAAACACTTCGAAAAGGCTGGCGAGGGAGGAAAGGATGGTCAAAAGCGGGCTGACCAGGTGAGGGATGTCAAACCTGGTGTGCCTCAATCAGGCTGCTAGTACGTATGAATGGGTGTGAGAGCGGGAATGAATCAGATGTGCATGAGACGGACTTAGCTTAACCTTGAGGCGTTGATCTTGTTTTGTTTCGAAGGCTGAGGTGTCTGCTAAACACGGGGCACCTTGGGCAAGCAATAGAGCTGGACCTGCATACCGCAAATTCAGTCAAGGGTCGATCCGAGGAGAATCTTTCTCGATTACACCAGTCAACTTCTCCTAGATCAATATAGAATCATTGTCAAGGATTAATGAACATAGAGCAGAGGTCAGTGCAATTCTTGCACCTAAAGCTCTTGTATGTGACTGGAAGACAGACGAGAGGCTTCAGGGGTAAGTCGTATTGACTCTCTAGTTCGCCCTTTGTTCCGCAGACTAGATGTTATCTATAGCTAGAGCATCTTCGCTCGGACCAGTCGCTACCCTCTTGGAACTCCCAATCTCATGGCACTACATCGTTATGTCATTACCATTTTCCATCAGCTCACTGCAAATCCGGTCAAACCTGGCCGCCTGACCTGAGTCCGGTTTGAGCCTGTCGCAAAACTGTACCCAATGCGCACAATCCGGACCCTTTGATGTCCTGGATGCTAAGGAACGGACGGCCGAAGTTCTGCATCTTTGGCCGGGATTTTGCAAAAACATCAACATAGTGATTGGGTCAGGCCAGGTTTGACCAAACTCGCAGTATCATCGGATCAACAGCCGCCCTCTGTCTCCAGCTGGATCAGCACGCCAAGGCCGCCTTGTGTGCGCGTGACAAGGGTGAGTGGGAGAAGGCACTGCGAGAAGCGGACGCCACAATTCAGGGGGGCGCCGACGCTGACTGCACCCTGCTGGGAGTGAAGGCAGAGGCACTCCAGAATCTGGGCCGGAGCGACGAAGCGGAGAAGGCGCGTGCGCAAGCGGAGAAAGCGGCAGCGGATGCAGGGACACCGGCCATCAGGGTGAGCAACGGACAAGGAGGGTCTGCTGTAGGCCTGTGTAAGTTTGTCTAATGGGGAACCCTTCTCTGAAAATTTCGATGTCGGTGGAAAATGTGGGGGAGTTTGCCTCGTAGTCCGGGTTTGCCGGCTTTCGTATGGAGAGATTTGCTTCCTTGTACGAGGAAGGAGACGAGATGTTGGTGAGCTGGCCTGGTTAGACTTCAGCCCCCACCGTCTGCACTTTCCTTTTTCAAAGTGCTATTGCTTATGCTGGTGCTCGGCGATGACGCAAACGGCTCCGGTCAATTAATGACGCCTTCTGTGCTGGATAGCTGTGAGCCGTGGTAATGACACGGTTGTCCTCGTCTGTATGCTGTCTTCATCTTTATCTTCGGCGTCGCAACGATTCAATAGATGCCCCATGGGCCCCACGCTTCTCTTCCCTTCAGCAGAAGACGTTTGCTTCAAGTTTTTAAGAACGAGCCCCTCAAAAGAGTCTCCCGTGTTCCCTCTCGTCAGGATCCGGTCATCTCCATGCTGCGCGCGAAGATCGCCGCCTCGACGGGCAACTTCGACGGCGCCGTCGCGGCCGCCGAGCGCGCCGTGAAGCTCGACCCCGACAACTGCGCCGCCATCCAAACCTTAAAGCAGGTGCGCGCGCTGGCAAACGCGCGCACCCGCGGGAACGACCTGTTCAAGGCGGGCGACTTCGGGGGGGCCGAGAAGGCGTACTCGGAGGGCCTGGAAACCCCCCTGGGAAAGGAGAACGCGTTCCTGCTGTCGAACCGGGCGGCCGCGCGGTCGAAGCAGGGCCACTGGGAGGAGGCGCTCGCGGACGCGGACAAAGCTACGCGCGCATATCCGAACTACAGGTGGGGTGCCTGTGTGCGGTGTAGCGAGTGACATCCTAGGCGTCGAAAAATGTTGCAAGCAGTGGCTGCCCCGCTTCGACACAACGTATTCAAGCGTCCCTCTCGAAATGTTTCACCCACGAACTTTCAGGGAGTTAGGTGAGAGTATCGCGGAGGAGGGAGGATCTGCCGCTTTGGCTTCAACAACGGTCGCTGTTTGACGGAAAAGCTTCCCTTTTATTACCCGCCAGATTATGACAGTTCGTCTACGGTTCCAAGATTGTGGCCCTTCCTCTCCTGCAGCAAAGCGAAGCTGCGAAGGGCGCACGCGTACCGAAACTTAGGCAGGCACGAGGAGGCGGTGAGAGACCTGGAAGAACTAGCGGCGGCGGCACCGTATGACGCGGACCTGGGCCGGGAGCTGTGGGAGGCGAACCGCGAGCTGGCGCAGTCGCGGGGCGAAGACGTGTCGGGGTGGAAATTCACACCGCCGGGGGGCCTCGTGGATGTGACGAGCGATCAGCAGTACCGGGAGAGGGTGAATGGGCCCGGCCTGGTCGTGGGCTACTTCACAGGTGGGCCGTCCTTCGCGATCCGTGTTTCTTCATGCCGACGTCATCTGGGCCTCTACGACAGGCGTATTAGGCTTCGATAGAGTCAGCTTCTACCAAGGGGATCGGCGAAGCCGGCTAGAGCCTTGATTCGAGACGGTTTCGACATCAATGTCTTTGTGTATCGTCAGCTTTTTCAGGGAACCTGAGCAGTCACAGAGAACATACGCTCACAAAAGCTGAGCGAGAAGAGCGGGATGTCAGAGGAAATACGCTTATAGAAACTGAGCCAGCAAAAAACTTAGCTTCTCGTCAGCGTTCCACCCGTTCCCAACTTGTACGTCACTGCTCACGAGTGACAACGCCCTCTCTCCGCCGTTCGTCCAGCCACGTGGTGCGGGCCGTGCCGTCAGATCGCCCCGGTGATTAAGAAGCTCCCGGAGAAGTACCCCGGGCTCTCCATCATGAAGGTGGACATCGACTCCCACCAGCAGCTGGCTGCGGCGGAGGGGGTGGCCTCCGTGCCCACGTTCAAAGTGTACAAGTGAGTCACGCTACTTACCAGCGCGTTCAAAGTGTACAAGTGAGTGACGCCACTCAGCAGCACATTCAAGAGTGTACACTTGAGCAACGCCAGTCAGCAGCACACTAACTGAAACTGCACAGGTGAATAACGCCAGTCAGCAGCACGTTCATATTGCACAGTCGAGTAAGGCCAGTCAGCAGTATGTTTCAAAGTGTACAAGTGAAAGCCGCCAATCAGCAGCACAGGCCTCTGGCGGTGCAGCCAAGCACACCAGTCCGCGGCATCTCAGAGGGCGGCCACAGTCGCGACTGCTGCTTGGGATGAGAGTCAACCTACGCAGTTCGTGGTCTTCGGCCAGGCCGTTGTTACAGAGGCAGCTTGCTGTTTGTGCATCCTGTGTAGAGAAGGTCTCCATGGAAGTGGCCCTGGAACCAGGGGCTGTCAGCGAAGGGGGGACATTTGTATGCAGATCAAGCGAACAACAGTCTCCAGGATACCTCTGGCTTTCGGCTTCTCCTCGAGGGTTTGGCCCTAAGTCTTGTCTAAGTCGCCTTTGCTCCGTCGAAAAGAAGACCTCTTCTAGAATCTGATCCGCCGGCAAGACGACTCTGCTCTTTCGAAAAATTGTCTTTTGATATTGATCCGCCGGATACGTGTGATGCAGAAATGGGCGCAAAGTCAACGAGATCACCGGCGCAAACGCCCCTCTCCTGGATCAGGTGATTAGTCAGAACCTTCAAGACATCCTTAAGAAGGTCTGACTCCGCCACATTTAGGAAGAGGAGCTGAGTACAGTTATTTGCGCGAGGGTTACCTTTCGTTATTGTGTCCCGAGCGATATTTACCGCCAGCCTGATTGATCAAAGGCTGGCAGAGGCGAGTAATCAGGGTCTCCCCAGAACTGGTTAGTTGTGAGCTAGGCGGCCGTAAGGCAGCTGTATGGCGGAGCGGCAAGCACTGAGGGCCAGTAGTGCCATAGTGCCAATTCGTGTACATAAGAAGCAAACAGCTTGGCGGCTCGATGGCTGCTCGGTGAATGGTGAAAAGGTACATGCATGATAGGTGATCTCTACTTCATCGATTCCGACGATCTTATCATCAAAGATGCTCAGGGTTATGCAGATTGGAGAACAAAGTCGTGCGTCAGGCCGGATGATTCTGCCGCTATAACAAAACTTGACCTCGGAGAATTTCAGACCTCAAAGGCCTTTCTAGCGCGAGTCTTCATGCACGGCATGCTTGCACATGACGGTCGAGTCCAGAATGGATAGCTAATCAAGTTGCAATGGTCAGCTTAGGAGCGCTACTATGGTACGTTCACGCATAAGTTTTTGCTGATCTTCGGTTCCATGGACACTGAAAATTAAGGATGCGTGATGTCATGATGCACATGCAAAAACGGACGCTATAAATTAGTCTCGAACTAGGTATATAATGCTGTGCACAACGTGCTACAGGTCCTTCGAGTATGCCTGGCCCTGCGGAAAAATTCTTCACTAGCCGGCGCAGAAAGATAACCCGAAGTCACCACTTGACTATACAAGGCTTAATATGTTAAATCCCACTTCAGCGAATCCTTTAATTTGCGGAGCCGGCCGTTCTGCTGCTCAACGAGAGTCCCTGTACAGCTTAAGTACGGTATATAGCTAGCGAGTCCTTGACGGCCTCAACAGTAGTTTCTTCTCCTTAATGCACCACTCAAGTGTGCATAATCTGCATAATGCATACCTACGCCAGCATGGAGCGGCCGCGTCGTCACGCTCGTCCTGCGCCGGGCATTGCCCTGATCGATCGGCCTGGGGCCTTCGCTTCCATGATGAGTCAGCGAGCTAATACCTTCGACTGTCGTCCGCCATTGTTAAACATGCAATATTCCTGTAGGCTGAGGATTCGAAAAGATACAACTCACGCATGGGTTCTAGCATCAAGGCACATGTCAAGGGCGCTTCAATGCGACGGCCACAGGCTTGTCGCGGAAGACGGTTAAATTGCAAGGTTCGGATTCATGGAGAGGGTTACGATCCACTTCTAGGTTGTTTCACGTAGCGGCCGCAAGTGCAGGCTGACGGCGGTGGGCCGTTACTATTTACACAATGAAGCCGCAATAGTTCATCTCCACATGCAGCCGCACCGATGCCGAACAGACACTGAGAGAAGAGTGGACATGGCAGCATTGAAGGCACAAGATCTCGAGCAGACGCACGTGAAAAGTGAGGATGGCAGAATCGAGATGTGGCGCGCGACTGAAGTCTATACACGTCCGTCGTTGCGAGCATGGCGGCGGGGGTTGACATGCATTGAACAGGCGGACTTGGATGCTCGGGCACATTGAAGTTTACTCTTTGAGCGCTCATTCCGACAACGTGTTCGTAAGCAATCACCTTATTGCGTACAAATATCTACAGTTCTGCACAGCGAAGGGATGCTCGGTGCTTAGACTCTTCGAAGGCCTGAGGAGGATCAATTTGACGCTAAAGATGCTTTTTTCTTGCGAAGGAAGCCCTCCGCATCAATTTGACTGATCTTAGCCGCCAGAATGAAATCGTTCTCGCTAAGGCCACCTGCAGATATAGTGCTAAGGACAATCAAGAGGCCTCCAATTAAAAGGTCTCGAGATGTTAGCTGTCCGCTCTTTAGGTTCGTCTGGTTGAGAATGAGTGGCGCAACAAAAGGTTGGCATAATCATGGGGCCCTTTTGCCTCAACGAAGAGGACACAGATTGACGGGCAGCCCCGGTTTGAGACATTCAATCACGAGGAAGCAAGTGGCCCTTTCTGTACAACGATTGGAACTGCTGAGGTCGTAAGTTAACTCCCAATCACCAGGTCAACCAGGAACTCTTTAGTAAGCAAAGACCAAAAGCTGAAAGATCTCTCCGGCTGCTACGGGGTGTCGCCCACCAATCGAAGCAGCACATTTCGGTGGGAAGCAGTCTACGTCTGGCGAGCATGGCTGCGTTGTACTCACCGATGGAGTGGGTGTTGATCTCAACGCTCAGCTTGTTCCATCCCACCAGGTGAAGATCCGGGTGGTGGCCTGTGCAGAACGAATCGACTTCAGCACAATACACAGTCATTGTTTCTTGGCGGTACCCTTGAGCTAAGTCAGATAAGGCGCTCAATAAATTCTCTTGGCTCCCGACCCCTGAACAACACTCAAGAAATATTACAAAGTGTATCTGTTTCGAGATTGGTCGAAGCTGAAACGGCTTGACCACGCTTCTTATATGACTGTTCAATTGCAGCGTGAGACGTACATAGACCAGCGCCCCTGTCAGTAAAGACTGACGTCCTGTACGTGTAAAGCAAGGGGCCGGGAGGGCCAGCACTCGTGTCGACCAATTTAGATTTGGGATCAGAATGGAGAGCGGAATGGAGAGAGAAGCATGTGAATACACCTACACCCAAACTCCTCATGTACTGTCTCTTGCCAAACGTGTGAAGACGGAACTCACCTTCTTGCTCTGCAATTTCACCAATCTTCCCCATGAATTCAAGACCCTTCAAGAAGTTCTTCGTCTTCCATTCTCGTCTTAGCTTGAACTCCCCCTCGGTGAGAAGCTCCCATCCAGGCACCTGCATCAATATCGTCATTAACCTTGACACCAGCTCTTCCCGAGCTTTGAAAGTCTCCATGACCTGCCAACTCCGGGGAAACGCTGTCAGCATTAACGCACCAGAGTTTCAGAGTTGTAACGAAAGAGGGGCCGCTCATGTTGTCACTAATGGAGGACCTTACGGGCGCGTCTCACTTGACATGAACTAGGAGTTTCATTTGACCCATGATGCAACAGCTAGCTTAAGTGGTCAGGTTTGCACAATCTGGATAAGCCTCATAAAACAAGTGTGCCCGGATGCACAAAAGCCAATATGATGCTCAAAGCATTGGCTCTGATGTACCACTGTGCCAATTTGAAGGTTAAGTGAGTAAGGAATGCGTGGAAGTGCCTGACCTCTTGCAGAAGCTCCTCAGCGGCTTCCTTCTGGAGCGCTTTCACATTCTTCCCCTCACAAGGGATGCATCTCTTGCTGGCAAGCTCAGCCGTTTCACCTGATCCTGCAAGGAACCGCCTCAGCTGAGTAGAGTTGAGCAGAGAAACAGATTGATATCAGTTGCGTCAACCAGATGCTTCGAGATAGTCCATTCCGAACAGAAGTCTTGCAGTACGCCCTATTGCATGTTCCGATTATTACTTCTAAACGGGCAAAAGCAATGTTTCTTCCAGTCAAGAATGATGAAACTTAGAAGTAAGACCTTCTAACTCCCCAAATCAACTAGTGCTGAACTGTTGAAGCACCTGATGGCCCCGCCTCCGCCTGCATGCTGACTCCTCTGCTTGCAACCTGACTGGTGTGCCTGTGTCCAAAGTCCGGCGCTACAAAGACCTGCAGGTAGATGCAACATTGTCCTTGAAGCTTTACGACATATCCCCTGGAAAGCATTTCAGACCAGCACGAGTCTATCAGCTCAAGGTTGCCCGACTTCAAGCTTCCAAGTTGGCTTGACAGCAAGAGGGCTACAAAAGGACAAGCCGATCAATACAGTCCCAGCATTTTGACAATCGGGCCAACGTCCAAGCTTTGAACGGATCAAAGCTCAAGAGCGACGTTTCAAATCTGCAAGGGGTTCCAATCGGGCCGAGACTCCCTGGACAAATGATTGTTGAACGGCCAACGGCAACCACTGAAAGCGTGGAGCGCAATGTCGTGGCAGCCAACATGTTCACTTTGACTGTCCTGTGTAAAAGTCAATCCACTTCAAGCATTCATCCTCTCTATACCCTTGCTCAACCACTCTCATGAGGCTTGTATACATTCAACTGCCAGCTTTGCAAGTAACAACAAAGGCGGCGCTGGTCCAATGCACAATATCCAAGGCGTTGCACATACCTTGAGTGGCGCTGATGAGAGAGACCTGTAAACCCCTGGAGTTGCCCAGCGCGCACAGATATTTGCAATTGTCTTGGAAGGCTGAGCTTTCACTTTCTGCAAGGGATTAAAAGCAGACGCAGTTGCAGATCGGCAAAGCACCCAGGAGCTCTGTGACGCCTTCAGGGAAGCGGCAGCCATTGCTGAATTCAGCTTCTGAGGATTGCAGATGCCTCGCCGACCATGCACGCAATGCCGAGAAGGGGCCTGCCGCCTGTGAGTCTCAAGCTTGCATGCAGAGAGGTGCACCAGAGAGAACAGCTTGCTGGACAGCTCGTTGAACAGTGATGGCAATCCGCTTTACTAACATTTATCAAGCGCGTATACTGCTGTTTGACGAGCCAAATTTTTCGTTCTTCGCAAGGATTGCCATTATTCCTTAGGATCTCGATTTAGAGCTTGGGACTCGAGAGGCAAGTGCTTTCTACCTACTTATGCCAAGACCTTTCACTCACTTATTTAGGTCCATTATTAGATTCGTACTGCTCATCCTGCATTTTAACGGTCCCCGCCTGTATACGTATGTGGTCCGTTATGCCGTTTATCCCTCAGGTCGATGGCGCTGGTTGAGCAATTGCAAGAAACGTTGACGCGACGTTATGCCTTCAGCACACGGCTTTAGCCAAGCGTTCGAACTTGAGATCGAAGCACGCTTCGCTACAGATGAAAGCGGTGAAGCTTCGCTCGGCACGATGACGGTGCGCAACGGCAATGGGCGACCGTTCGTCTTCTTGAACTTTAGGGTTTCCTTATTGGCGCAGCTTGCAATCCTGAGTGCGCTCTTCTTTCGCTGTTTCGCAGCCTGCATTCTGACCATTATGGCCTGCCAATATTGCCTTACAACCGAAGTGGACAGCGTTCTGGCAGGATTTTGCAAAGCAGATTGGAATTCCCCTTCCTGTTTTGGCTGTCGTTCAGCTTGGCATTGGGCTGGTGATTGAGGCTGCGCGTCTCTGAAGATTGCCAGCATAGGGCTGCTCAAAGCCGGTGCAGCCTGTTCAGTAATAAAGGCCACCACCGTAGCGGCCTGCTTGCCGCAAACGCTCTCTTCTTAGCACCTTTCAAGTTGCATATGACATGGTATAAGCTGCACAAAGACTGCTCGGCCCGGATGTGTAGGACGTTCCAAGCTTCTACTTCAACATTTTCGGAAAAGTCGTGGGCAGGATTAAGCACGAGCAGCGATGGCTTCGAAGGTGGGTATGTCGCAAAAGCCTGGCAGTTAGGACGTCAGGAATGTGACAGCTCTCATTGCTAGCATCATCACAAAAACCTTGCACGAATTACATATGCAGGCAGCTTCGTTGTTGCTGACACTACTTGGTAGTTCACCTCGCTCACCCCTTCAAGCAAGCCAGATATCTTGTCAGCAGCATGCAAATGCTGTGAACTCTCAAATCCTACATGTCAGATCTTCGAGGCTCGAGTGGATACTCTGCCAATGTAATCCAATCTTCAAACTTACTTATTGCGAAAGAGCTGTATAAGCAGCCGAATTGTGACGTATATGCAGGTGTTGACTGCCATGGCTCGGCACATGACCTCAGAAAGCAGCCACGCCAGCGAGGAAATTTCCAACTTCAGACAGGACCTGGACATACTCTTGCTAGCGAGCGGTCCAAATGGTGCAGGAATAGGCCTTCCGTTGCTGCCTGAAGAAAAGTTCTTCCCAATCTGGAGATGGTTGAACCAGGTGATTGGCAGTTTGAATCTAATCCTGATGGCTGCAAGCCTGGGGTGGTGGCGTTTGTGATTAGTTGGCTCAGCTGCTATCACTACTTAACATCACCGCGGCTGGAGGATTCAGACTTTCTGATTGGGATTATCTTCACCATTGATTCAACAGTTCAGAAGAGCGCCTTCTGTGTAGAGAGCATCTACACAGAGGAGCTCAAGGTGGTGTTGTGTTTGTACATCTTCTTGCGGTGGCTCTGGTGGTCCTGTGGCTTTTAAGTGAAACTGGTTTCAGTAACGGCTTCATGTCACCGATCCAGACCATGTATCATTATCTCAAAGGCAAACATTCCCACTGTGAACGTGATAATACGCCTAAGCAGGCACTGTCTTCAGTTCCAATACGAGACCCATTGCAAGGGGTAAAAGGTCTTCAGCCTGTTTTCTACATGGTGCCGCTGACTTGGTCTAGCTTCTTACAACGTGGGTTCCATATTCTTAGCCTCACAATCTCCATCGATTTCAGCCTGTTGATCTTGAAATTTTATTTTGATCCTGTCCTCTGTCCAATATGATGCAGGCTGAGCCCTCGACTGCATTCGCAACTGGACTCCTCAGCCGAGTGGCAGAGTTCGATGGACAGGCAGAAAATGGGGGCAGCCGACGAAACAGGGGCATGTCTGTTGCTGTCGGATCACCAGGAAAGCCCAAGCCCGGCACACGAGTAACTGGTGCAGAAGGGGAGGGGTCTCCTGGGGCAAGGAAGACAGCCCCTTCATCTGATCGTATCCTCATAAGCTTTGCCTCCGAAACTTCTGTGATGTGCTTTGTTCCCTTCCCGGTTAGAATAAAGCAGGCCGGTTGGCTGTTCACCAGATATCAGACCGGATTGAAGAGCTGTATTGGCAGAAAGCTGCTTTATGTCTCTACATATAATGATGTGTACTATGTTCTTCCTTGACATGCAACGTGCCAACTCTATCTGGAGGAGCGTCTTTCAACACCCCACGCATACTGCAACTTTCTCTGAAACTTGTTAAGTATCCTTCCAGACTTACGACTACCGTCCTGTGCTCGTTCAAAACGTACAACGCCATATTGGCCTCCTTGACCACGTTCCCAGAGCCCCTCATCACACGCACCGCGGCCCTCAACACGGTTCTGCTGCTGGCGTTGCACCACCCGCTGGACACGACAGACGAGGCCCTTGCGGCGGTGCTCGGGAGCTTCATGCACGCCCTCAGCAAGTCGCTCGACTGGACAGACTTCGTGAGGCCCAGTTCTTTTGTCGAGCTTGTAGTGTGGTCCTGAGGAACTACTGTTGTTGTTGTAGGTTGGACTGCCCGATTGACTTTGAGCGTCACTGGACCGCCATTTCGATCGGTACAAGTCTGCCGATCTGATTTCGTCTCTCCATTAATTTCGAAGCCTTGGACTTTTGGAAAAGCCTGAGGACAAGTGCAAGCAGATTTTTGCCTTTCCTTGTCTCCATGAATCTAAAAATGCTAGTTTTACCGGATTTTTCGTCGAACCTGTCCGCACGGGATGGTCAAGAAACTGGCGAGACACCCGCGAGTCTCAGAATCTTTCGGTACTCGATTCGGCTGAACACACCGGGCAGGTTCCTGTGCTCTATCTACTGCGGAAGTACTGCCCGGTAGGTTGACCTGGCCAGATTCGTGCACCCAACTCAAACCGGATTTTGTACAACCCCCAAATTTTCCACCCGTTCAAGGCGGACAGGTTTGACGAAAACTCCAGTATGCAAGACCGCTCATGCGAGGGATTTGCTCGTAACGTCTTAGGTCGTCTCGGCGGTGCGGCAAGGCCCCGAGGGCCGACTGAAGACGCTGGGGAACGCGGTCGGGCAGTGCGCCAATCTGCTGTGCAACAGCCTCCTGGGGGACGCTGCCATCGGTAACGGCCCTTTCTGTCTTTCTGTCTGCTTTCAGGGATGCCCTTGCAGAGAGTCGGAACTGTAAAGAGGGGCTGCGAGCAGCCGTCGTTCTAAGTGAAACCGCTGTTCCTGTGGTTCATTCTCGAGACTGAGATTTGGAGACGTAGGCTTGTAAAAGTTCCTCAAAACACACGCGGTCACGATTGGGCGACTTGCACTTTGTCCGAGCGCCCTGGATTGCTTTCGCACTGACCGTCTTCGTGACTACAAATAATCAAAAACTGGCATCGGGAAGTCACCGTCCACTTTCGTTGTCGAGCGGCCGTTCTCTTTCCACGTCATCAGGGAAAGTGACCGTTTCCGAAGCCCTCGAAATAAAATTGTCCGACTCCTCATGATCGAACTAGAAAATTGTTACAAAATTTCTTCGCCGACCGAGTCTCAACCTTTCAGCTCCTGCTTCTGATCACAACTCCTCACCGGATTTAGTTCCGTTCCGTCCGCTTGCCAGGCAGCGGCTTCATTTACACGTGGCTCCAGGGCCAGTCGCTCAAGCCCGGGCTGGCTCCGGCCATTCTGTCGGGCCTCATCACCGAGACTCAGAACGTGGAACCGGGGCAAGGCCCCGACTGCCTCAACCAGGGGCTGTGCCTGCTGCACATGGTCCGCCAGTTCCTTTCCCTGGTGAGACGTATTTTGTGGGTGACTTCGTCGTCTGTGTCCCTGAAGGTCCTCTCACAGATGCTGAGCAGGTGTTTGCGGCGCCAGAATGCTGCTGATTGTCTACGAAGGGTGGTTTTGTGCTTCAAGGGTCCGGAATGCTGCACTTCGTTGAGCATGCCTGATGATATGCAATCCAAATCATGCTCCGTAGTAATTATCGGCATTCTCACTTGCCTTGGAACTGTCTCGTGCTGCAGAACGTGTACGATGACGATATGCTGACGCAGCTCTCGACAGCCGTGAGCTCGCTCTACTTCTGGCCCAACCCGGTCGGCAAATACGCTGCTGAGACGCTCCATCTCATTGCTCGGGAGCAAAGATCACCGGGTGAGCCGAAAGCCTGATTCACGGTAGCTACTTATGACGTAGTGCGTCATCATATCCAAAACCGGCGACCAGAAGGAAGCAATTCCTTTTTGCCGTTGACAGCCGTTTGATCTGAAATGGGTAGCGTCAACGGGGGGTTTTGGGCTAGATGAGAACGTGGGCGCTTGAAACTCGGGTCTGAGTCTCGACTTTCGTATCCCGAAAGTCTCGACTTTCGTGCCTGACCTGACGTAGCTGTGTTCGTCGTTTAGTGAGTTGTCAGTACCGTCGAGAGTCGCTCTCTTGCTTTTTAGAAAAAACGTTGGCCGAGCCCGAGCGCCTGGAGACCTTTGCTTCATTTCCGCCGTTCCGGCGCTTCATTCGCTTCCAGGCACCAGCTTGCGGCGCCGTCTCGCTGCTGACAACACGGCTTTGAGCACCCGCAAGGAGACTGACGAAGGGTCAACCCACCGGCGCAAGGTCACGGTGCTCCTCAACTCGACCTGCCCGCGGGCCTCGGTTGTTGCCAACCTGCTGCAATCGGAGCCCGGGGGTACGGGGGAGACGCCCCCGGAGCAAACGGCCGGGGTGCAGCTCCGACTGATCGTAGGTGAGCCAAACTCTTCGTTCCTTAGTAGACCCTTTAGAGTGTTTCGTTCCCCGGAGCAAAGATCAAGTAGATGGCCTGATTGAAATGCTTCGATTGAGAATGGCTGTAGCTATGTTGGTTTTCCGGAGGTGACCTGGATCGGCTAGGCAAAGCTTGACAGCTGGATGCTGAAGTAGCAAGGAAGCTTCGGATGTCCATCCATGATTTCAAGAACCAGCTCGGCTAATTATTCTCGGAAGCTCGCATCTATGGCTCCACTCCCGCGTCAAGAGAGATTAGCAAGATGCTCAAATCCAGTTTCGTATGTCCCCGGAAGCCAGGCTTTGCTGCGGACTGTGAAAGTCTAATCTCGTTCACCTTCGCATTGGGAAGTTCGGTGATCGTTGTTGTGGCCTTCAGACCTCATTTCAGATGCCTCCCTTCTCTGTTGATCCTTGTAATACAGATAGCGACGTTGACCAATATTCCACTCTACTCTGTTCAGGAATGCTCCAGTCTGCGGGGATCGACGTGTTGAACTCAGCAGAAGGCCGGGCACGCGCGAGCTTGCTTGCGAATCTGCCCGTGGACATGATAGGCAATGCCTACGAGGCCTGCGTCAACACGGCATTTGAAGCGGAGATGATGTCGTGAGCTTTTCTCATAAAACGTCTCTTCAAAGTGCCGGCTCCACGAAAATGTGCGGTATGTATCTCACCTAACAATCGACGGAAGTGATCTTTCCAAGAAGTACGACAAAAGCCTGGCGAATTGAACTCGCGCAAAACTTGCAAAGTGGACGGCTACAAAGAAACTCGTGGTTCTCTTCAGCCTGACCCAAGAACGCTGCTTTGCGTCCGGAGCCTTCAGCAGCTGACTGGACTCTGTCAGCGCTGATCATGAGGGACAGCACTGTAGTACAAGTATGCCGCACGACCGAACTTGCTCCGGTTTAGAACGCTTTATAGAGGACGCACACACTCGAAGCTCTTGTATCTGCACTTTTGTGATGCAAACGCTTTGAGACAACGGCCATAGAAGCAAGGCCGTAGGCAGATAGTAATTTCGGGACACATCACAGAGACCAAGCGAAATAGAATGTACTATCGAAAGCAGGCCCCGCAAGTTCCTCACAGCAATTGCTCAAGGGAACTGTATCTTGACTGGTACGCCGTTTTTCACTGCAGCGACGTAAAACAGGCGGCTGCGCACCGGGCGTCGCACCTAGCTGACGTGTGGCGGCTACTTGGGGAGGACGTGGAGGCGCAGCGCAAGACTGGGGGAGGCGACCAACCGCCGGAGCAGCGGCTCAGCTGCCTTCCCATGCAGGTCGCCGCCCTGGTTGGGAAGGACCGCCCCCGAGAGCCCGTCACTCTCGACCTCAACTCCTGCGCAAAGTAAGGGGAGCCAGTTCAGTAAACGCTTTTCAGGACTTACGGTGCTGAAACAAGAGCGAACGGGGTCTGATTAAACGTGCGCTGGTCATAGTTTGAGATATTGACCGTTGCCCTTAGGAGACTGAGAGGTATTACGGCCCATGCGACGCCAGAGCCGCTGGAAGCCCTTGCCAGGTGGAATCACCGGACTGCCCCCGGTTCTGCAATCAACCAAGGCGTTCGTTCTGGAGTGGTGTTTGGGGCTTTTTCTGGCCTCTTCTACATGTTTCCGCTGTTCCGCGATGGAAACATTCAAATGTGACATGGAGAGGCAAGCTGGATTACCCCGTGCGTATGTGTGATTCGAGGCGGGAGGAAATGCAGGAAACCTTCAGGATTTTAGGCTGACCCGGCGCATGTATCCGCAGGGCTCTTCCTCTCCAGTTCGAGGTGCTTTCCGCTGAGCCGCGGTGGCGTTCCGCTGTGACGGATGCCGTCGAGGACGAGGTGGGGTCGACCCCGGGGCCCATCATCCCGTGCTACGCCCACACCGGGGCGGAGGAGACGCTGCTCGACGTCATCAAGAAGTATGACGTGGCGCCCAAAGGGCGGGTGTACCAGAAGCAAAGGTGAGCTGCGCTATCATTCCGATCTCACAAAGTGCCTAGGGCACGTGGCGTGCTGTTCTGCTCTCTTCCTTAGATACCTCGTATTTGCTGTTCTGTAGTCGTCTTTACTGACAAAGGCTGCGGTTCCTAGACAAAATGCTCGGAAACTCTAGGAGGAACTGCCTATGAGCTCCGAACCCAATCCTCGAGATACGCTCCCAAATTCGCATCGCTGTCCGTAAGATTTTCGGAGCCTCATACCGCCGAATAAGTCCTTCGCTGAACCAGTCTCTACATGGTTTGGACTTGTTGATCATTCTCCTTCCGCTTTGAGTTTTCCGTTCGTTAGCAGAAAGCTAATTTTGTGGGCAGTCAAAGAAGTCTTTTTCAAAATCTCGCTTTTCACAGGCTAGAGCCCATCCGCATTGTCCTCGCGGGTGGCGACGGCAGCCTGCACTACGCAGTGGCTGCCTACGTGGGCCTGCTGTACGCGAGCAGCGACGGGGGCACTGCCGCAGGGGGCACGTCCAGCAGCGAGATGCTGAACGCAGTCGGTAAGGCAATTTTGGGTAGGGTACTTAAGGCTTTGCATTTTCAGTGGCTTGGAACAGCTCGGTTGATCTGGACGCACGTGTTGATGCGCGAGTGCTATGACCAAAGTGCTGGATGAAGGGAAGCCCGCTGTCCTGGAGGATAAGTCTACAACCTGCGCTGAATTGGTAGATTCGCCTCCGCATATACTTGGTGGCGGCAGCAAGCTAACGATGGATACCCATAAGTCGGTGAAGTCTACGAAGCGCAGGTCTGACTTTGGGACGCATGTCGATTAGAGTCCAATAGACGATGACATGCGTTTCTGCTTGACTTGAAACGGCTCTTGACCTGCCCTGAATGAGCCGAAATCTTCGCAGAGTTGCGGTTCTACATCGTCCCGTGTGGCGAGAGCAACGTGCTGGCGTCGTACCTGGCTCAGGAGGACATTTGGTACGGTTCCGGATCGACGCTCTGTTAAGAAGCCGCTTGAGCCGGTCGTGGGTCCTCTTATTTTATGTAGCAGTCTTCACGGATCTAACATTGAGCGACGGTCAGCGCCCTTCTGACGTCACCGACTTTTGCGACTGGTTTCTCCTGAGAGCTTTCGTTGCCGCGGTCGAGCTTTGGAGAAAAAACAGATAAGCAAGCGTAGGAAACTAGAATCACGAAGGCACCCGTAACCTTCTCGGTTCCTGTAAAGATGATTTCCGGATGGAGCTTTTCTCCACCATCTGAAACGGAAGATCACGTGCGTCTGGATACAAAAGATTTTTTTAATGCGCCGGCCGACTTATTCTCGTGGTCACTAGCTAGACGATGATTCCAGCGCAACCTGAATCTGCTGCCCACTCTGGCCCGTACCTTCGCCTTTAATCACTCTTCTCACACACGTCCGTTCTTTCACAGGTACTACGCCAACACGTACCTCCCCGTGCAGAGCCCCCTCCCCATCATCCCCCACGTGGGCCACATGACCCCCGGCTCCACAACCGCGCGCGCGCCTCTCGCGCTCAACCGCCCCAGCACCCTGCAGCCCCAAAAGTCCCAGCCCTCCGTGCCTCCATCCACGTCATCCGTCCACTCCTTTGCCAAGCGCTCCTCTCCCCCAGCCTCGTTTCTCCAGCAGCCAACGCCCGGGGGATCCCTTTCAGGGAGCCTATCCAGCTCCGGGTCCGGCATTTCTCCCCAACCGGGCGGCCCCGGCTCGCCCTTCCAGTCGAGGCCGACGTCAGTCGCCGCCTCGTTCTCCCCCGAACGTTTCCAGGGGGCACGTGGCAGCTCGCCATTCGCCCCCATCGCGGCGTACCCTTCGCAGCAAAGCACCGCTCCGGGGGCGGTCCCTCCAGGAGCAGCAACTCCCCGAAACGTGCAGACGGCGACCGCGGCAGTGAGCGGCAATGCAGAAGGTGTTAAGGCGCCGGCTGAGGAGGTCGCCGAAAGCGCGCCGGCGGCCAAGCAGCCGCTGCGGTTCAGCCAGAGGCTGCCGCTGACTCGGAAGACGAAGGCGCAGGGCCGGAAGTCGACAGTGAAAGGGGCGGACGGCAGCGCGACTGTGAGACCGCGTCATATGACTCCATAGCGCCCTCCCTTTCAAAAGCTGTTGGCACCGAATTTCATCAGAAAGCTCGAGTGGCTTCAAGGATTCGAAAGCTCTTTAAAGTTCTGTTGTCGTTTGGTGCGGCTGCAGCATGCGGCTGCAGCATGCGTAACGAGATTGAAAGCGGACCTAATCTTAGAGCGTGCTCGAGCTGTGGTAAAGCATGAAAATCAGAAGCGTTCTTCTTCCGCCTTCCCGAATTGCCACTGAAATCATCTTGCAAGACCGCCGAGTTTTACACGGTACAGGGTTGCTCACCTTTCCCACTGCAGTGATTGTTGGCACTGAGCGGACATGTTTATTCCACAGGCCGAAACGCCGATTTTTCAATTCACTAGGCAAATAGAAAACCTGGTGCGAGAAGCGGAGGTGCCGGTGAGAGTCAGCATCTTCAACTGCGAGGGCTGGTTCAAAAACGGTGAGGCTTCTGGCGCTTGAACAAGTCCCTTGCTGCGAGACAGGTGACCGATTCCAGGAGGCGAAGCGCGTATGGTGTTCCTTCGTGAAGCAAGCACTCTTTTTTTGGTCTGTGAATGCATCTCAATTCGCCTTCGTTGCTCGGCTCTAGATGGGCATAGAAGAAGGCTTCAATGGCGGGCAGGATTGCGCCCCGAATGTCATGAAATGTGCGACGAAATGCTGCCGCAGCCTCACCATAACTCAAAACGGCGGTGCTTCTGTCTTATACGGACTGTGGAGCGAGCCTGTAAGTTCGGTTATCCACTGAGGTACTATCCTCCACCATAACGTCAACCGGCTATACACTTTATTTGGCTATAACGTCCACAAGCTTATGGTCATCCGTACTACGGGGTTTCGCGTGCAGGCAAGAAGAACCACCACTGCACGCTGCTGTTCTTCTCCCGGGCCGAGATCGGGCTGAGTGCAGTGGTGGCGACGCAGGGGGAAGACAAGCAGTCCGCCAGCAACTACCAGAGCGTGCCTCGGCGCGCGTCCGTCGGGCTGTCAAGCACGCAGGGCCAAGAAAGCCTGGAAACGCTCTCGAAGACGTTCAGGATGGGAGCCGAGATTACGCTGCAACAGGTAATCAAGCTCGTCTCGCCACTCTAGATAATTTGGATTTGTTGAAATGACTGTGCTATGTCGCAGACTTTCTGCTTGCTTTTGGATTGCGAAGAAGTGGGGAATCGGCACAGCGTCCAGTATTTGCCAACGGCGGGTCAGTTGGCTTCTTGACTGTAGTTATCCGTGATTCTGTCGATGAGCTACTGCGGTCCGCGTCAGGCCGCTTTTGTTCGCAACTCGGTTTCAGTTATCCTGGACATCCTTTCTTAAACGAAGAACGTAGTCAGAAGTATGGCGTGGGGCCATACGAACTGAGAGCTCTTTCGTTACTGCCCCCTCGTTACGATCGCTCTAGCGGCTGATGGTTACGACAGTGACCTAACAGAGCCAAATGGTTTTCTGGGCAACATAGAATGGTCAAAATGTTTTTGCCGCAGGTGACGCCATATGGGGAGGAGAGTGACGAAGTCGTCAAGATTGACAGCAAGGCGGTCTCTGCGATCGTGGCCGTCAACGTGCCGCGACCGGGCGAGCAGCGGCTGGGCGCTAACCCGTGCACTGACACGCTGGAGATGTGCCTCGTCGACGCCGATGCGGTGAGGCGACAGCTTGGTTTATTAGAAAAAGCAGCATTTGACGAAGTTTGATTTGCCTCGGGAAGATTTGCGCTTGCACACGGCATGTAAAGTTGAGCCTCAGGAGAGGAAGAAGTGGCCATCGCTAAAGGGAGATTCAAGGCATGCCACTCTTTGATTGAACGTGAAAATCGCAGGTATTAAGCAGGTTGTAAGGCTGACTAAATCAGAGTGGAGGCTCGTGTATGTTAAGATGCCCTTTCTGCGCGGAGAGGAAAACCATGGGAGAGCACAATCTGCACCGTCTTTTGACGCCTTCTTTTCTCAGCCGATCTGATCTCTGGCACCGTCCCGTCCAGCGTACCGTGATCCTATCGTGGCAAATTAAAAGAAAGCGTTGACATTTTGCAGCGGAGTCGCCGCCGTTTGCGGTCTATTGACGACCTACTGGACGGAGCGTCGTGCTATCACTCCAACAAACTGGTCGTTGAAGCGTCCGACTTCTCCAAGCCATTCCACGTGTTATTAGATGGAGAGGTGTACGGGCCGTTTTACAGGATCCGCATCACCCCATGCCGATCGCCCAAGAATCGAAGCGAGATTCTACGCTTTCCGGTCATGACGTACTTGCCCATTGTGCAATAGATAAACAGAGGTGCTGAAGGTAGGAGATTAGTTATCAACACAACATGCTTTTGCAGCTGGGATTAAAGCGTGACTATCTAAGTCACGTTGGAAAGAAAGATTGGGCAAACGATCTCGAATACTACTTTAGATATTCGGGTTCCGGAAACAAGCCATTCGCATCTTTCGGATAAACTACAATAATGTGAGGACGGTAGGAAGTAGATGTATGACTGAGAAGCACGCTGAGCGAGCGGTTTAGCTTCATTGAAACGAGGTGTTGCAGATTCAGATGATGAAGAACACAGATGACGTTGTTTAGCTTGTCCTGACAGTGCCCTTTGGAACGAGGCGTGAAACCAACGGAAATATCGCGATAGACGTACATATGCTTCAACTTCAAAAAGATGCAAATGTAGTATCGCTTCTGCATATTCCCTTCCTTGATGTTTGCTGGGCAAAGAAAGCTCCATTAGTCCACTCGTGCAATAGACTGTCATGACTCAAGAACGTCTCCTTCAAGTGCACCCCCTTTCGACGCAAGATATTGAACCATCAGCCAGCATCGATCACATACGTGTGAGAGGCCCAAAAGATCATTCAGGTCGACGGTCGGAAAACTGTATGCTAACAGCTGAAAGTTCTAATCCTTCACTCATCCGCTAAAAGCGAGCGCAGACTCTCTGCCGTCTATACATGCTGCTAATCAGGACACCGGTGAAAGTCCATGTTCCATTGGACTGCATCAAGGAACACCGTTTGTAGGGCTAAGCTGACCTCGCGTAAGAGCTGAAGAACTTCTCGATGTTCTTAGCCTGCTCAGGCGACAAGTCCGTGCACCTTAGGATTGCTTCCCCGTTTGAAGATGAAATCTGTGCCAGCGAACCAATCCCGTCTATGAGCTGCACAACAGAAAGTAGGAATTTACTGCGAAGAAAGACAGCAGCAGCCTTTTAGCCTTGACAACTGTCAACTGATGTACCGTCCGTATTCCAGTTTTTGTGTGCTTCAGGCATCCAGTATCCAAATCATGAAGCAGCAGCGTGCGGGTAGTATGCCTGACGGCAACTTTGCCAAACGGCCGTCAACTTAGAGAAGCGGTGAGGATGCCTCTGCCATCTTGGCACCGCGGATTGAATTCCAAATATTAGGTAGCTCGCTAACTTACTGAAAGCGCTTCGTGCACTTCGATCCCTGGTATGGTTGTCAGGACTGCAACGACTGCATCGGAGGACTGTACAATATCTTCCATCTGTCGCGCAAAAGAACTGCCCTCTTCAGAAAAAGTATGCAGCGCAATTGCACGTCGGGGCACGGGAGGCAAAAGTAAGACTGCGCAACTCTTGGATTCTTGTTCAGATGATACAGAAGCGGATATGCGTCCGATGCAGTGAGTTTGGAGTTCACCTCTTGCTGAAAACGAGGCACTGTTGCCTGCTCCTTGCAATCTGCATCCAATGGTTAGGGCGGCCATAAGTTTTGAACAATGAAATCTCACTCATCGAGAAATAGCGATTAAAGAAGAAGAAGCGGACCAAATTCCAGACATCATTCCAGCGTGCTTATAATTACAAGCTCACACAGCCTGGACCATGTTTATATGAAGCAGGGGTTTGGAAGCCCTGAAATCTGTAGCATGTTTTCTTGATTAGTCTCCTTACCTGCATGAGCTCCAACAATGCTAACTATGCACTGTGCAAGATCGGTGGCAGAGGAGATTGCCAGAACGGCTGGTCTGCCAGGACTTCCCTCCGCACAGCTGCATGTGACCGAACTGCCCTGGTGTGAACGCTTACCGAAAAGCTAAGACTAGTCACACCCAGCAAAGCACAACGGAGTACAATTTCAATGAAGTCATTTGAGGGCGAGGGATTCAACATGAGGGAACAGGAGGTCAAGTAAACCAAAGGACTCGCACCGGGTGTTTGCGTACACTCACGTGAAGCAGACGTCAGCGAAGTTCGCGTAGGCTTGCTGGTTGTGATCTCCGACTGATGACAGAATGTAGGAAAACTGGAAACCTCCAGCCATTTTCTCAATTCTAGCAAGATAACGGAAAGAGGGTCAACGACTACTTAAAACAGACAAAGTGATTAGCTCGAAGTGTTGCTGTAGCATTGTTTGGTTCTACTAAAGACAGAAGGTCAGGCGTATGTATAGGCATTGTGAATTACGTCTCTTCATGAGAAACCTAGAGGCTGAGTGTCTCACCTTTCCTTAGTTGCCGCGATCCCAACACTTTGGGCATCACTGACGAAGATGAAAGCAACAGAAACACCTCGAGAAGATACTATCAGGTCCTGCAAGACGAACGGAAGACTTCAGCGAATTCAACACCGTTGGATTCAAAGAACCCCCATATCCATCTCAAACAAGCCTTCTGCAGATTGAGTATCACGGGGCCGAACAAGAGAACTGTGCTTCCACCCAAAAAAGGCAGAAAAGGAAGGCGCTGACCGGGATGATTCTTGTGACCTTGATCTTGAAACCTGCCGCTCCAATGGATGCGACAGCAGCTCTCTGCTCGAGTTGCCAGGACTCGCTTATGATGCAGACACCCGGAGTCGTCATGGTTGCCCCTCACTTCAGCGATCGAGGATCTGCAGATGCCCTTATTGCACAATGTTCTCAATCTCATAATAAACTAGAGCTCCAGCTTGCCAGCTGACTGCAGTCGATTAATATTATGCTTAACCCCAGATTTAGAAGGTGAATGATTGGATTTTATGATGGATTTAGCAGCCAAATCCTCATTAAGACTTGACCTGTCCCAAGGAACGAAACCGGTGAAGCAAAGACTAGACTTCTGCTGAGACCTAAGGCCGAACAATCAGCCGGAATGCAGATTGAGCATCATTGACATCGAGGTTCGCAGGCGCAACCCCATGCAAGACAACCCTTGCTGACGTTTCCAGGGAACGCGAATGTGGCTCGCTGACGGGATGATTATCTTGAGTACGAAAAACCACTCTTAGTGATGACGACCGTCGAATTCAGGAATAACTAGCGGAGATTAAAAGCTCCTGACTAACACTGAAAACCTAACCTAATTTGCCTGCCTCGCACCAGTACCTACCCTGAATCACAAACTATTCTCACCTGTTTCAGGATGGGGAGCTTATTAGCTTCGCTGCTTAATGTTCCTAGAGGATGAGCGGCGCAGAATATCTACAGGAACATCCACAGACTTGCACTTGCAAGGTTTTTCGTAACCTTCAAGCTTTGCAGTACTTCACCTTTCCCTCGATTCGAAAGCGTTGACGACTTTGACGGAGGACCTGGCAGCGACTTAGTTCTTGGCTGCTCGAGGCTTTTAAAGCCTTCGATGTGGATTGCTGGGCGGCGAACCCAGTTGCAAGGCTTCCCAGTCAATTTTCGAAATGGTGTGACGGCCTTCTCAAGTCCAAAGCAAGGTTTGGAGGCCGATGCGACACTCCTGCAAGAAGACTTGCGCAGCCGTGGCCCCTCAGAAGTACAAGCAGCAGCATAAAAGCAAATAGACGGCAAAGAAGGCTGTAGTTTCGAGGACGGTATTTGAAATGGCCGCCCTTTTAGATAGGCCTTCATACACGAGATCGACTTGGCCGTGAACACAGCCACACGACATTAACGCACAGACCTCGCATAGAGGCAATTATAGCTTGAGACTCGGACTACTGAGACATCGAATCAAGTTCGCAAACGATCGTTTCTATGTTTTGATCTCCACACGTCTATCATGCAGCTCGCGCTACCCAGTCATTGCCTGTCATTGCTTATAATTTGCTCGTCACAAAGATCATAGTAGGCTGCTTTTTTTGGTGATTAACGAACGGACGCACCAAGTTACTCTCTTGCTGTCTCTTGCTCGACGGATTGCAAGCTTGCCATGTTGAAGTACTGGTCGAGTTCGCTGTTATCAAACTTCCGATCCAAAAATCCATCTTGTGATCAGTCTGCCGCCGTCGGCACTGGTTTCTCCAGGGCGACGAACGGCCGCAACGTGGTCCCAAGCACAGAATATGACGATAAACATTTATGGAAGCATGGCACAAGAAGCAGTTGAACAAAGCTCGCGAAGCTGAAGATCAGGTGCTCTTTTTTGAGTTACGGCATGCCAGGCAATGCCAGGCGTCCGACCTCACGTCTGAGGCTGTCTTCCTGCGCCATGATCGGGACGGCCGACGCCGTTGGATTCGAAGACGCTGCAAGCTGCATATCGAGCCGTCGATGCGGTCTGTGCGAATCGAACGGGTCCGAAGGAGTAGTGTCTAGAGTTATGCAGGACTGCCAGCGCTGGTTTTGCAGTTCCGACAGCCTTTTCAGCTTTGTTTAGCTTCAATGTTCGGATAGCTGAAGGCCATGGCGTCTGCATGCGCTTTGGCAGCCACATTGCCCCTGTCTTTCGTGCAAAATTCGCAGGGGCTCCACTCCACTTCAACCAATCAGCAGAAAGGGGTGCTGTCAGCTAAATTCTTTGCAAAACGGCACACAAGTTTTGAAGCTTTTGATGGAGATAGGAGTGTCCTCCAGATAATGCCCGGGTTCCACAAGAAAGCAATGCTGCGAAATGGTCAGGGAGTACCCCGCGCGGCTGTGACCGACTCGTCAGCAACTGCAGCGACAGGAGCTGACACCAGAGCGCTGGTGGAGTCACTTTTGACAAAAGTGAGGAGTTTTGCCACTCGTTGAGATCTTTCTCAGCGAACTTGCTGATTAAGGAGTGTGCGCTTCGGTTTGTCACCCTTTTGTATTGACCTTTATGCACGCCTTTATGAATTCTGATGCATTCCTCTCACTGAAGGAGCGACAAGCTGTTCTTACGAAACAGCGTGTAAGAGGACATTGTGTCGGTACTTTGAGTAAAACCCCAAGTGGAGCACCCAAGCTGGGGAGGAAGTGGTCTCAGCGACTTTTGAGGTGGAAACTTCTGCTACCACGACCCCCTTCTAGCTTCATCTAGTTGTGGGCAGCTGAGCTGCAGCTGAATCGCTTCGACTCTCTAGAAGCACTCCTGTGACACAGTTTGAGACTCATACCTCACTTTTGGCTGCATTCATATTGCCTAAGGGGTCGTTAGCAGAAGACGCGTCGTGCAGTCCAATTGTCGATTCACTGCCAGCCCTTAGGTGTCGTTGTACCGCACCTGTTCACCAGCCTCAAAGGTTTCATCATCTGATCGCCCTGAGTGTGGTGGCATTAATGTCAGTTGGGGACCCTGTAAAAGTCTGTTGTCAACCAAGTGCAGATTATCCAGCCAGGCTTTGAGGAGATATAGTCTTCACTTTGCAGATTGCAAACACGGACAGAGGTGCGGCCATGACAGAAGAGCAGAAGGCGGAAGCTGCGCGTTTGATTGCACAATTAGAGAAAGTGGGGACAAAGGACCCACTCAAGGACCCACGGATCTTTGGAGGTCAGTTCTGAAAGAAAGAGCTGGCCTTTTTGCACTAAAAGAAGGAGTTTGACTTGGTGCGTCGTCCATTTGCTGCCAAAAGCTCTAAGGTGTGTTTTACAAGTTATAATGAAAGCAGCGATCTGGCTCAATACGTGCTTTTGTGCCCTGAGGAGAGTTCAACTCACAAAAGAACAAAACGGACGCCCTGCTATAAGCAAGTTTGCTATTGCGCCCTCAAAGTGATTGAAATGTCAAATTTGCCTTCTCTGGATTCCCTGCAGATTGGGAGGTGGTTTACTCGTCAAACCCGACATCGTCTGGGGGTAGCTTTCGTAGCACTCTTGGAAGAACCGTGTTGAAGACTCGGGACATGGTCCAGGCGGTCAAGGAGCCTAACGTGGTGGGCAACCAGGTCGCCTTCAATGCTTTGGGAGTTATCCCTGGAGAAGTAACGCTAGAAGGTAAGCTCTCCGTCTCGTATGGTTGCATCTGCTCTTCCGATCTTCATACTTGCATTCTAGCTACACATACAAATGCACGAGTCTGAAGGCTTTGCAGTTCCAAGAGACCACCATATCCGATCCAATTTATCAAAATGTCTGTGATATTTTTGGCAAGCACGCTAACAGCAAGCCAGCTTCTTTACTTCTTTCCGCTTAGTGAATTGCTCGTCCTTCACTTGACGTTCTCTGCATAACGCGTTCGCTTGATGCCTGAACAGGAACTTTGACTACAGATGATTACATATGGGCAGATGTTAAGTTTAAACGGCCAACTTTCAAGCTGGGACCATTTTCGTTTTCATTTGGAGGTGACAGCTCAGTCCGGCTGGCCACGACTTACCTAGACGAGAGAATTAGACTTGGCAAGGGAAGTAGAGGGTCCTCATTTGTCTTCAAAAGGAAGTGAGGTATTGCACTGAACAGTTATACAAAAGCACGCAATAATCGTTTTTCTGAGAGTGAGTCAACTTTGACGTGTTGGCGCATGGCATTCGGGCGCAGAGCTGAGTGTAAATGTGTTTTCTTTGAACGTGACACGAGAGCTTTGTCGCAGATTATGTAATATAAGTTCTCTGTGTCTGAAAAAGTGCTCTGAGTCTATTGTTTTAGATCACTATCCAGCACCGTCCCGGCGCTCAGCAACTGGTTGAATTCGATAATCGTTTTGAAACTTCAAACGCATGTGATCTCAATTGCATTAGTGTGGCCGTCGTGACTCGGAATATTCACAATACAATGGGCCCATACCTATGAATCGTATGTATATCTAAACATAGATCCCAGCATGGAACGTTTTCATGTTGCGTGGTACATGAGGCCGTGCCGCCGTAGATATACATTCCGCAAGTGGTATATGCGTACTCACATACATGTGCACTAGCTGCAGCTAAATAGCGGCTTGCGCATGAAGTGAATGATATATGCCACGGCATGTTAAATTGGTTCTTACATGTGCAGTAGATTGAATTGCATTCAAAAGACTCAATTGCTTATAAGCGGCTGTTATCATGATCGACTCAATTGCATATACGGCTAGGTTACGGCACCATGGCGAATTGAGTCGAATTGAGTTGGCTTTAGCCATGATGCAGCCATGTAACGATCACAGCAAGTGACTGCATCAGTTACAAGAGCGCCTGATCACAATCTTAGAACTTTGACAGCTATTGCGTGATCATTCCTTCGTAACCAATGAATGACTGTTAAGTAATACTTGAATGCGTTCGTTGTTGCTCGTGAATTGAACCTGAATCACCCAGCAGTGGGCCAGGAAACTCCGCACGCAGTTGATTCATGCATTCGAGTCTGGACAAACATGACACTAAGTGCGTCTCAGTTTCAGTTACGCAACGCAAGGACTTTCGTTTGAAAGCTTGGTTTTGCAGGTCAGAAGGGGACTCTTTAAAACGTGACTGGTTGTCTTCCAGCAAGACTGCTCAAACATTCCACAAATATCCCATGACAATATAAGGTGGGTGATGCACACACAATCAAGTTCTTGATTGACTCATAAATGGCAATATGAAAGAGAAACACAGTTGTTGATCTTAACAGTAGCTTGAGAATCCATGCGAACCAAGAAGAGGAGCATTCCAAATGTCCAACCATAGCTGTTGCAGTAATATACAATCTACTAACGAAACCTTCCTAAGCTGCCGATGCAGCCAATCGCTGCTCTTTGTCAGATTCAAACACCATCCCTAAACCTGATCCCCTTCTCAACCTCTCGGATCGAACCCCAGGCTTCCTAGCTTTTCGCTTGCCCCGCCGTCGCCTGCGGGGCGAGGTGCCCCGGACCAGGCTCGCTACCCGAAGGCTGCAGACAAGCTGGCTGCTGCTGCTGACTTGCTGGCTGTCGTCTCTGCTTTCTGGGTTTCCTACTGGGCTGGCTAACCACGCGAGAAGCAGGACGAACAGCAGGAAGGGCCCACTTGCCAACAGCCGCTGCTGCGGCAGCGGTGGCGATGGAGCTAGGGGGGAGGGGGGGCAAGTGGAGCGGTGGAACAGGGAACTCCACGGCAGGGAGTCTGCAAATTGAGGCACCTTGCTCAATACAGGGTGAGACAGGGAGACGAAGGTCCTTAAGAGAGACAAAGATGTAACTCAGCTTCTCATCCTAGACTCAGTAAACCGGCTTACTGATACTCCAGAATAGTGGCAGTCCTATGTACAACCCTTCCAAAACCGTCAAAACCGCCCTATTCTAATAAACTTCGTCGAACCCGTCCTTTTCTGATAATCTTCCAAAACTGTGTTTCACTTGCGCAGTGTGACACTGCTTTCTGTTCAGGTTCAAAGATTGATTTTCACTTGACCAGTGATGCCACCGCTTCACTGAACAAACACAGGGAGCGAAACCGCCGATGAACCCTTTCTCCATTCAAGCCCTTAGTCCACTCGAACAACAAAAAAGCGCCGGCCATCAGTGAGTCACTGAAGGCGCTACTATGGTTTCTGACTGAGGCAAATCAGCAAGGCGTATAACAGTCCCCCCCACAGCCTGCACAAGCTGAGCCATCCTAGCATCCACTTGCAGGACAGCCTTCCTTGAAGCAGCACTTAGCCGCCCTGAAGAGTCCACAGAAGGAGACCTGTCCTTTCTTCGGGTCACACACGTACCACTCGAAAGCACTGCAGGCTCTGTTCCGTTGCTCTTCTTGGCCCCTCTCCCCCTGGACCTTCCAGGGGCGGTCGCGGCCGCTGGTGGGAAATGGTACATCTGCCGTCGGGCGAGCTCCTCGCGCAGCGCCGCGTTCTCCAGCGCAGTTGCTGTGACGGCCCTGGATAGCGACCGGACTTGCTCCTCCAGGCTCGCGCAGCGCTGCTCCATGTCCTGCATCCGCTGTTTCTTGCGCTCGCGGCTCTGCGAGGCAGACTCCCGGTTGCGGACCAACCTGCAAAGAGAGGAGCAATACAATGAGTGAACAGCAAAGACTTGGAAGGCCAGAATATATGATGTCATAAAGCTCAGCATGTCTTTAGCGGAGCTGGAACATAGGACAGCAGAGTCAGCAGTTCTGTCAAAAATGACGACGGTCGATTGCAACGCAAATAGTCGACTGCAATGCAAACGAACAAAGCCAGCTTTGCGCACTGACAGCAATCTGGTCACCAATACAACAGATTAAAAATACAGCAAAAGGCCACGTGTTTGACTTGCAAACATCTTAAGAGCGGATGACATCACTTCATTCTTAACCTTCGTAATGAGCAGACACAGGCAAGAACTACGGTGTGTTAGCTTGACAACTTACCTTGCTCGTTTCTTGCTGTCTTCTGGGCTATCCGCGTCTCCTTCTGAACTCCCATCCCCATCCTCGCTTCTCGATCGCTTTCCCTGGCCTCCTCCCAATGAAACCTGTCCTGATTGAGCGGGCTCTTTCTTATTTGACTGCCGCTCGCTGCTGATTTGGCTTACCGAAGAAGAAGTCTGAGAAGCTCCTGCCTGCTTCCTCACAGTGCCAGTCACCGACGGCAATGGCTCAAAACTGGGAAGGGGAGTGCCCTGAGCATTCCCTACGGGCCAACCCCACATAGGGGGTTCTGCAGCCCCCTCAGCACTTTCAGGGAGCGGACCCAGCTTCTCAATATCCACAGTAAACTCATCCGGCCAGATCCTTTGAATCTCCTCTGCGTCTAACAGCTTCTCCCAGTCGCAGCTTGTATTACTCTCGGGGTCCAATGACAGGTCAGCAGCCCCGGGCCCTTGGTCAGGTCCTGACTGGCCAGCTTCAGGAGAGTCCCAACCAAAGGACTGCCAGAGGTTTTCCAGCAGGTGGTCGTCTGCTTCCATGAGATCAGCCCCCAGACTGCCACACCGCTCCTCAACCTCCATGGCCATCTCCGGCCAGCGTTAGTGCAATCGCATCGCCCCGTTGTTCGCGTCACAAGGGTTTAATAACCAACCGGCTCCCAACAATTTAGACTACTCCGCACAGCACGCAATTCCCAAATCCCAACTCCTAACGTCCCTGACCGACTTTCCGGATGCAAATCTTCTCAAAGCGTTCCTACCTAGAAGTGTTCTGGCAACGACTTTGCTCAGTCGAAAACAGCCCCTTCATGCGTCCTCCCAACTTCCATTGGCATGAGACCAAGCAGTCCGATCCTCCATGGGCTCCAAGCAGGACGTGTAACTGAGCCATGCCAAGCCCGCTCTCTGGCTAGGCTAGCTCCTGCAGTTACCTACTGTCAGTGTTGATTCAAAACAGAGGTACGGCGTACGGTGTCTTTGGCTTGCCCGGGCGTTGGCGGTCGCGTACCCTCTGCCCCAGCCAATCAATGAACAGGGAACGCGTCATTGAAAGCAAATCGGACGGCGCAGCAGCCGTTTCGCCAGATCGTGTGCTTCTCTAGAATAGTTAATATAGACAGAACGAAGCTAAGCTAATACTACGGTTGAAACCTAAACCCGATTGATCACCGCTCCGCACCCGCACCCACGTAGGTACTAGTCCTAAACCTACCCGTCCCAGTTAGGTACAATAACTTGAGTTAATACTCTACCCAAAAAAGAGAACGATCAGATCGTACGGCTTTCGAAGCCGCGTTCACTGCTGGTGACATGGTTTCGCTGTACGACCAAACCCAAGTTTGTCCTAGCAGATTCGACCGTCCAGTCAACCCAGGTTTTTCATCGAAACCGTCCGTGTAAAGGACCGGACGGCCTTACGTGCACCGTTGATACAACGACCTTGACTTATGGTAATTTCACCCCGCACGTGTGACGCGGCAATGAGGCCGGCCGCCGCATGACCCGAATTAATTCAGTGCAAGGTTCACCTTGCAGGCATTGACGTCATCGTTTCGTCACCGAGTGATGGCTGAATATATTCCTGTACGCGTTTTGTGAGTTTTCTTTTTTTTTTTTTTTTTTTTTTAGTAGCCGCTAGACCAAGCGCAAGACTCGATGACTGCGATATAGCAATGGATTATGATGGTCACTGGTACTACCGGGACTAGTACCAAGGTCTATGCATGATAGGTGTATAAATATCAGCAGGAGTGGGCAAGGAGCGAGCAATTCGAACGTGCTCTTGACAGGTTGCCTGTTGTCTGCTAGGTCTGTGGAGCTACAGGTGAGACGGAACTGGGCGCTTGCATGGAGCCTCTCACTTGCCTTTCAAGTCTCCCGCGCGTCGGACTATCTCAGTACATATACGTTTGGCGGATAGCTAACTCATGGACCACACTGATCGTGGCTGAATGCATCATCTTGCCAGGCTTTCTCCTTCAACCTGAGTTATCTATTTCTTGGGTACAGTTTTTATATGTAAGGTCGCAGCGTCATAAGAAGTTGGTATGAAAGCCGCATCATGGGAGGAAGTGTCTGTTCTTTCTTTTTGAAAGGATACATGCTGAGTCACTTTGCACTTATTGAAGCAATCTCTGACTGGATTGGCAATGGCCGCCATGAATATTCCTGTGACATTAAAAAGCATAAATGTACATGGTGTACTTCTAGTATCCTAGCGCATGAATCTGACAGAAAGCCGCCATAATCTGCGGATTTTTCAATTTGTTCCTGTGGTCGGAGACAGGTGCCATTCTTTCGAATGATGAAAGACCTGACTTCTCACATAAACTCCTTTTCCAAGCTGCAGAATGCTTCCAATCTCAATGAATACCTGGTCTTGAAACCCTTTCATCATCAGATCCTCTTTGCCTCCTGGCAGCAATGATGGCCGTCCGACATCGCCTTTTCAGCCAGCCACGTGCCGACGACGTTCTTGGTGGCACTGTTGCTTATCTTAGCGGATGGGGCTCCCGGTGTAACTAGTGGCCCTACTGCTGAGGAAAAACTTCAAAAGATGACCGAGCTGTTCAGCTACCTCCTAGACAAGGACATTCCAAAGTTCCAGGCGGGATTCACGGACGACGCAATTCATAAGTACGCAGGGGGCCCAGGGCTGCCTTATACCGGACCCTTCAAGGTGAGCTAGCGGACAGTCCCGCCTAATCAATGAGCGACCCGTTGCTATGACCAGTCTTCAATACAGGCAGGAGGATCCAGCCTCAATGTAGAAACAGAGACTATTATCTCGCTCAAAACTGACCTCAGCCCGAGTGCGCATGGTCTCAAAAAGGTGATACTTTCAATCGGACCTGGTTTTGATTGTCACTTCACATTTGGTCTCAATTGGGTCCCAACTTGCAAAGCTAAGCTTTCAGCTTTCTAAGGTTCCCTAGCCGTGTTTTCAGTGGCCTGCAAGGGAGAGATGGACTTCGAGTTCGCTTTGAGCAATTCGAGGAGGCCACGGTTTTGACCTTCTCAATTATGTACGAATCGATTAGTGGATTCCTTTGTGCCTGAATAAAAGGAATTCACGGAGAGGCGGCTGCTTTGATTTGCATCTACTTTGCTATATAAGCAACAAGACTCCTCAGGAAAGAACGTTTCCCATCTTGCCAAAACCCCTTCTCTAGTCTTCGAATAGGTTCCTAGTGGAACGACCTTTGCTTCTATATTGACCTAGGCCCCCATTCATCTTTCAATTCAATCAAAACAGAGGCGCCAGACATCCCTGCTTGGTCCACCTCGTTCTTGGCTTGTGCTTGATTGAGTGGTCTGCGTGTCACTACAGGGTCAAGACAGCTTTGTGCGGGCCCAAGAGATTTATTTATCCGTGTTCAACGCCACCCGGCGCTCTGTTGACCTTGCGGTCAGTCCGAGCACTGGCAAAGTGATTGCCCAAATTGATGCGGGGATCATAGGGATAGAAACAGGGGTGGAGTTTGATGAGGACTGTTTCCTCTACATAACTTTAAACGACGATCTTCTGGTCACTAGGATTATTGAGAACTGCAACTCGTTGGCTGAGTTCGTTGCTCTCCAGTCGAAGCCTTGTGCCAAAATGATTGAAGAGTGCGCAAAGCAGCACGACAAGAAGGGCGAAAAGGTTGAGTAAAGGAGGCTCGTCTAAGAATGGACTAGGGCAGAAGCTCGATAACATGGCCAATACGAAGTCTGGATTTTAGCGCTCTAGCTAAATCGAAGCTAATGGACATCGGAAATGGCAGATAAGCACTAAACAAGGAAAGCGATCAATGCGCGAACTTGGATGGGGCTTTTGACATGGTTTGAGGATCTTAACCCAGTACTTCACCCACCATATAGCATTACAGTCGGATACAAGGCGTCCGATTTAGATTTAGGAGCTTGTGGAGTGCATGATATAGAGGTAGTTATCAGCGCCTGGAATGGTAAAGTTTGATGCGTACAGCTTGTATTGTATGGTATGTCCAATGACGGTGTTCAAGAAGCCTTCCAGCATGCTCATACACAAGTGAGTCCGTTCGCCATATTTCACCAGATCTTAAATTTTGCTAGCAATCTTCAATCAAATCCTTAACATGTATATTGAGACTCGAACCTCAGAGCTCTAGGCTAGCTAGCCATGATGCGACTTGCAAGGCGCCTGCCTGAGGAGCCAACACCAGTTTCAGAATCTCACATGTGCCATGACACGTGGACGCGTTGCTGCTTAATGTGCAGACAGTTTGAGAAAGTGCACACCAAATTCTCCAATTCATGGTACCACGTGCACGTGCGCATGCAAACGCTTAAATCCGACGACTGCCTGACATATATTGTAGTATTGGTGCAAGCTCAGACCCACTTCCAGTTGTGCGAATGTACACCAAATAATTGCAATCTAGTGTCAAGTTGGAAGTATCGTACACGCCATTGCCTCAACCAGTTGACATGAGGAATAAAACCGGTGACCACTCACAGTCTGGGCTGTGAGTATAGCTACGTAATGACCACCGAAAACCTGGAGAAAGTGCCAACGCGTCCAGAATGCGTGCTCGGCACAAAGCCTTGACACCATCTCCAAGTCTGCCTCGGTCCATCCTTTTAATACCAACCCAGCTTCTTCTCGGGGAAGTCGTAAACTCGGTCGAGGGTGTTGAGCTTATGTCACTCGACCAATCAGATCGCTGGGTTGGTTCCTGAAGACTCTTATCGAGCCTCCTAGACATGACAGAAGGCTCGGATCAAAGGCCAGAGTGTTCAGAAAGGTACAGTGGGCTAACTAGGAAAGCGGCTTGGATGCTACATCCGCCTGGCAACAATGGTTCAGTGTCAAACATATGTTGGTATTTTACAGTGTCGTGGACGGCTTTGTCCGCCCTATGTCAAATCCTCCGCATCCGTCGGTCGCCTACTTGACCAGCCTGTTCTAGAACTGGCTGCTTGCCTACTCGAACTCGCCACGCTATACACACTGGGCGCGGGCGTACTTCGTCCGTAAGTATCGAGCCCATCGCCGCCATACCCCATTGCTGCTTGGTGCACGGGGGACCGTGGTGGAACCCTCGAAGCTGGCCGGTACGCGTCGCTGATGTCACTGTCTTGGCTCGAGAGAGAGGACGTCCGTCGATGCTGCCTGTCCGTTCGGTTAGACGCTGCTCCAGGAGGCGGAGTAGAGATTGACTGGTTTCCCAAAGGCGGGGCTGACGTAGCTGCCGGAAGAGGGGGCTGCCACCCGTTAGGGGTTTGTGAGCTTGGTCGGGCACGGCTCTGAGAGGGTGCTGGTGCCGACCGTGCGTGGGGGGGTGGCGTCAGACCACCCCCGCTTGCTTCCATGAGGCCCCCTTCCTTGAAGCAGATGACGTTGATGCGAGTCCGCTTCAGCTCCTGCAGACGGGCTGAGTGCCTTGAGGACAGGGGCAAGAACGGCTGATCGTTCCAACGAGTAGAGCGGACATATTGCACCTAGTCCATCAGGCACCACAGAAGCTAATGCAAATCAACACGTGCACAATGCACAATCCGAAGACTGCTAAGGCACAATTTTACAACCCTTGACGACAGCCTTGATGTTACTGTCGACCAAACTCAATCCCCTCGATCGTTGAACTCCGATCGTTACAGCGCGTCGGCATGCTCAACCGACTGCTTTCTCCCAGGATGCCTGCTGAATTGCCTGTGCCTGCTTGTTTCTCCTCGTGTCCGCTCCTCATTATCGAAGTCGAGAGAAAACAAACCCTCGGCGATCGTCCAGTGTCCTCACAACCAGACACCTCCAGACCGAACGCGCAATCTCGTTGCAAAATTCAAAAGCTTCGAAGCTTTGAATCACTTACCGGCTCCAGGAACCTGGCGTTGGCCGCCTTGGCCGCCGCCTGCGCTTCCTCGACTGCCCCCACAGGGCTGGCCGCGGGTGACTCCCCGAGGTCAAGTTCGTCCGTACTGTCGGCCCTGCTGGTGCGCCGCGAGTGGCCTGGGGTGCTTTCGGCAAGAACCTTGTCCTGGAGCACGGCCCGCAGCGCCGTTACGGTTTCTTCGAACGCATCCGTCGCGAACGGCGCGAGCACGATGTCGAGGTAATCGACCTGTGGGGGAGAGGTTGGTGACCTTTGTTAGCTAACAGAGACTGGGGAGTAGTAAGGAGAACCTCGCCGGTAGGATCGTGTTAGCAAAGAGATTCGCAAGGTGAGTTGGACAGAAGCAAAGAAATGAAAGTGAGTATGGTCGGTGTCAGTGACAGAGGAAGTGCGGCATCAATTGGGACTTTCCACCAAGGTTGGGAGTCTCCTTCAAGGCCCGCGACGAATGCAGGACCATGGCATGGAGAAACAACGACTCCGCCACTAGAGACCAATCGCATGTCGCTCAAGTTACTTTGTCAAGATGCAACTCATTCGTCAAACGCTCCAAGCGAGGACACCGTGCCTCAGTTGAATCTGGGGTATGTTTCTCAGGTCGGAAGCAAAAGTCAAGTGCACAACGTTGTTAAACCAAACGAGTACAAACGCATGCTACTTGGCGGGCGAAGCCTCTACATCGACGACCATCGGCCGGCCACACTCCGCTTGCTCCCAGCAACGGGCGCGTACAGCGGATTCTCACCTCCAGCATCAGCTGCGCGTACCCGTTCGCGTCCAGCGTTCGGATGCGCTCTCGGCAGGAGCTGCGCAGGAAGGCGAACAGGCTCTCCGCCAACACGCTGATGGCCTTGCCCACGAACGGCCGAGCGCAGGCGTGCACCTGCAAAGAGGATCCGCTCCGCTCAGCCTGGTTCGACAATTCTGATCGACTCTGAGCGGTTAATTAAACGGGGTTGCTCTGCTTATGTCCCTAATGTCTAGCTGTCTTTCATCTTTCGACACTCGTGCCGGGGTCAAATCTGCGGGCCGGAACACGTTATCTTTGAGATGCTCTTTGTGCGTTGAGTGACCTGAACTTTGATGGAGTACAAACGGCTTTCGAGTCGTGAGACAAGATACTCGGTGCTGTTCTTTTATTTCACGGTTCTTCTCTTTTGAGTCTTAAACGCCTTTTGCAGTCACCTGAATGTTTCATTTTCGTGCCGACATTGGTGTCCTTTCGGAAACTTCATGAGGTTTGAAAGTTCGTGTTTTCCGGATAAGCCGAGACATTTCCTGAGCCCCAGTAGCTTTGCTGCTACTCAACCTTCTGCTTTCCGCTTCTATTTTCGCGGCATTCCGTCTTTATCCTTCCATTGCCATTTCGAAACATCCAGTTGCAGTCAAAACAGCTCGAGTTCGGTACCCACCTCGGCATGGACCGCTACAAGGGGGTGTAGCAGCTCCAGGACTGCATCCCGCAGGCCTTTCACCGGGGGCGCCTGGCCCCACGGAGTGTTGTCCTCCAACAGATACGCAGTCACAGCAGGGCCCAGCAACGCAGCCTGCACACCGAAAAGCCATCAACTAGTTGTCAGCTTAGTCCGCTCTAGCAGTTGACATACCTCTAAACCCCCTGGATGTCGAGGCCGTTCTCTGTCCATGTTGGTTTTCCTTTCCAAACGATTGAATTACGTGCAATCCGCGAACGAGATGGAAGATTCAGTGGAACGACTTTGGTTGTCGACTCCCAACGCGGTGAGTGATTATGAAGTGCACCTTATCTCGATCCCAATTCTTTCAATGCTCGCACTTTTCCGGAACTTTCTCATGGTTTCACGCAAAACCCAGATCTAGTAACCCAACCCAATTGAGACCAGGAAAAGAAAGAAGCGGCGCGCCTCTAGGTTAAGCTCTGGAAGGCCCACCGCCAAGCTGCACAAAATCAGGACCAACCAACACATAGCCCCACCTTCCGCTCGAGGTAGTCTTCCAGCAGCCGCTCTTCCAGCGCTGACAAACTCTCCGACACCTCGGCGACTCCCGTAGCTCCGCTCAAGTCCTGCTGCGCCGCTGCGGCGGCTGCCGCTGCTGCCTCCCGCTCCTCTAGTTGCTTCTCGTAGTCGGGCCGGGGACCCCCCCGGTGGGGCCGACTCGGGCTGGTTGCAGGGTTGGTGTGGAGAGGGAGGGAGGAAGGGGTCCAGAGGGATTGGTACCTGTGGAGAAAGGGCGAGACGGCATTTGACATGTGTTTCTTTTGGTAGTTGAGGGGAGGAAGGGGCAATACTAGGTCGACCAGTGCGACGATTCAGTGACGTCTTGTAACACATGCTTTGTCTTGGTTGGTCTAAATCTTGCAGGGGAAGAAGAACGCAAGGACATAGACGATTGAGGAGCGCGAAGCAAATGTGAATAAGCAGTGAAACCTCCTTTCTGTGAGCTGGTACTGCACGACGGATTTGGCAACCTACAAAGCCACAACAAGCCGACCTCATGCCAAAGCCTGCCGTTTCTACTTCCTCGTCGTACTCATTTCTGCTCCCACTTTCTGCAACCAGTCAATGCTCTCCAGAATCGAGGCTGATCCGGATAATTGAGCTGTCGGCCACTCACTGCTTGACCAGCTCCCGCACCAGGAACGTCCGCACATATGCGCTGTTGCTGAGCAGCAGCATGATCTTCTGCTGCACGGACTCCGCGCGCCGTCCGACGGTGGGCAGGGCGAACTCCCCCTCGCTCGCGGTGTTCGGGCCCGCCCCTTCCCGGCCGTCCGGAGACTGGAGGCCCGCGGAAGAGCCGACGGCGTCCGTGTGCATCTTGGTCAGGCACTCTGTAAAGGTGCGGAGGGAAATGAGGGACTTTTACATGCATGCAGGCGGATGGTGATTCTTTCCTGGACAGGTACCAGACTAAGAGAGGAGCGTTCATGAGGAGCTTGAAAACACGCGCGGAGGACTTGTCACTGAAGCAGAGCTTGCCCGGAATCACCGTAGCCTCTGCTTGAAGTACATTTTCATTGACACCCAGTTTGACCCATTCTCATTCTCAAAGGCCTCAAGCAAAAAATAACGTCCGAAACAAGGCGAGGGCAGAAGGCCTCTGCGCACCTGTGTAGTCCTGGAAGCAGTCGAAGAAGGTGGAGCGGACGCTGTCCTGCATGGAGCGGACGGCGGACTCCAGGGCCTCGTCTTTTCCGAACTCCGCCAGCTGGCCCTGCGGCAGCGCACTGCACCAAGGAGGACACACGCAGATTAGAGCTGAGTCGTCGACTAGAATTATCGCACCCGCGCTTCGCCCGCCTGATGCACCACAAACCTCGGCTCAACAGCACAAATCGGAGCCAAGTCATTGGTAAAAGCAAGAAGGATGTAGGTATGTGAAATGAAAGCAAAGTCGTCGACTGGAAACAATCGCAACCGTGCTTCGCACACCAAATGCACCACAAGCGTCGGCTCGAAAGCACGAATCGGAGCCAAGTAAGCAACCGCAACCATACAGAGCACGCTGATGCACCAATGTTCTTGGCGCTTGTTGAGGATGTTGCACTGTCAGCATGGTGTGCTTGAACACTTCCGAAAGACGAGAGATCAGGAGAAAGTTTTGAAGCTGGTCGAACATGAGCAACCAGGAAACGGTAAAGATAAGCGGGGCCTGCTTACTCTGCCACGTGGTCCAGCGCGGTCGTCAGCATGTCCCCAAACCGCAGGGGAAACGCAGACACGGCATACGGGGTCAGATTCCGGGCCGCCGTTGGCACCGGAACCCAGTCCTCCTCGTACGAGAGCTCCCGGGTGGTGCCGCGCATCAAGGTGCACAGCCGCAGGACGAAGACACGTGTCACCTGGCGGTAAGGCGAATGATCAATAAGTTTACAGGCTTATCAGCCCAGTTGTGCGTCCGGAAAAACCCTCTCCCTTAACTACCTGGTCTTTTGAACCAACTGTGTGAACCTTATACAGCCAATTTTCTAAGAAGCTTTTGGCGTGCCTCGAAAGAAGGTCTTCACACACAGCACTATCCAGGTCCGTATACAGTGACGTTCCTTGGAGGCTCGGTGAACAGAACATGCCAGAAGGGTTCACTCAGTTGCAGATTGCTGGATGACTACGAGCAGATTGCATCATCGTCAGGCTCGGTACGTACCTCTGTCCGCAAGACCAGCATGGCCTGCACCGCAGAATGCGGCGCACAGTCCTTCTCCTTGAGCGCGCTGCACGCCTTGGCCACTTCCAGCACTGCTTCCCGCATGTACGGACGCAGCACCGTGGCCTCCGCCAACGTCATGAACGTGCTCTGGACCTGGAAAATGCAGGCGAGAGAAGGTCAAACTGGCTGTCATTCTGTTTTATGGCAGCCAATCTTACTGGGAAAGAAAGCACTTGATGATGCTCGGTTCAGCGCAACCAGGTCCTTAGGCCTGTAGGTTTCAAGCCCTGTGAGAGGAGTCTGACTCACGTAAGATGAGCACAGGAGGAATGAAGGGTGACAACAGTATCCAGAATGCGGCTACTTCCGTCAATCTTGACACTGGGGTTCCAAAGCTCAAGCTGCAGTGCACATTCACGAGGGGCACAAAGAGCCCTTTCAACCAACGAATGGTCCAAATCCAGGAATCATTTCAAAAACATATAAGGCCGTTGCCAAGTTTGATGCAGAGTCGTAGATAAGGAAACACATAGACCGAGGTGTCAGAGTACTCCGAAAGTCTGGAGCGTCCCTCAGGTATCCAGCCACTGCGCCTCGATCTGAGACAGTCGTACCAGTGAGAATCCTCAAAACAACATCAATTCTCTCATCCTTCAGCAATTTGTAATACCAAGTCTGACCTTACAGTACTGAGGCTGTCAGAGCCACAGTCAACATCCCCCGAACACTGGCATCGAGCAGTCAGACCAGCGTACTTCATGATACCGACAGCAGCAAAATCACCAGATTCCAGATTCAAAGCCAGTTGGCAGCGACTGCTTACCTTGGTTTCATAAGCGCCCAGGATCCCCAGCACCATCTGCTCGACCTCTTCTTGCGGGTGCTTGATGTAGCGGCTGTCCTTCTCATCTTCCTTGTAGTAGGACGGAAACTTAGCTGCCAACGCCTTCGCCTTCTGCCCATTCGCGCCCTGCTCCTCCAGCTGGTTCGGCAGGTCGTTCGCCTGCATGATGCAATCGTGGGAATCTTCTTGGCGAAAAGTGTAGCTTGTCAAGCATGTTCAAAAAGGGATGCATTGAAACTTGTGCAAGAATCACCAGCATCCTGCAGCGTGTGTAGATTGTCGCTTGTGGGCCACGAGTATCTTGAGGCGAGACCTGTAGGTTGTCAAGCATGTTCAGAATACAAGATAAATGATCGAGACTTTCGAAAAAATCGCGACTGTCATGCTGTGTGTGTAGATTGCCGCCCGCGCGTGCCAATCACGAGGATCTTATGGCGAGAACGGTGGGTTGTCAGGATTGTTCAGTAATGCCAAGAAATCGATTGGGACTGGTGAAAAGCAACCGTCCTGCAGTGTGTGTACGTCGAAATTGGGCATAACGGGCATGCCTTCGTGTTTCGAAAACGTTAAGGAGGATGGGAACCCGGTATCGATGTGAACCACAGCGCCAGGTCGTCAAAAGAAGGTGCGCGAAGAATAAGGAAACATCAGCAGCAGAAACCGCAGGCCAACGACGAAAACGTACGCCACAAACGCAACAGTTTGGGCCGTGGGCCTTCGACTAGGTGGCACAATCTTGTCTAGCCTAGCTTCGTTTTTTGCACGTTGAATCGTGTTTGCAAGAAATCGCAAGGATGGCAACACAAGTTGAGGTCTTGGGGCAGCAATCTGCACTGGATGCGGGCGTGCAGCCCCTGTTGAGAATGTGCTCGACCACTTTCCCTTTTCAAATGGTGCTGAAAGTGGGCTTTCAGACCTTGCTGGCTAAAGGATAATATACGTCCACAAATTGATGGGGTTTGAGTTCGCTGATGCATTCCTAGAAGACGCAAACGTGCCTCACAAGAAAAACCTGACTTCCACCCGCATAAACTTCGCCGCTGAACCGATGATGGCTCACCTTTGCAAACCTGCCGCTGTAGATGGCCAGCCACAACCGCCAGAAGTTGGGCACGTGCTTCACGATGACCGCCGTCAGCCGTCGGATCTGCCGTCCCATAAGTGCGTCCGCCTCTTCCCCAGCCGCTTCCGATACCCGCAGATCTTCCTGGTATCCGTTTTCGGAACCGAGGAGGAGCGTGAGGTCCACCTGAGACTGCAACGGAAGAGAAGTCTTTGTTTTAGCATTCATTCCCTCGTACCTGTTTATGCCTAGTCACTTCCACGCCCTCTCCTTTCGACCCACTTTCAAGGAGAGGTTGTGTTTAGGCAGCTTCGGGTTCACAGAGCGAGCGAGCAGCGAAACATGTAAGCTGTTCCCTGGTCCTGAATTCTTGCAGCGTCGATCTGCAGCGTAGAACCGAGCACGAATGGGTAATCCCCTGTCTGAGAGCAAACCCTTTGCTTGTCGTCAAACTAAACTCTTTCGCTTTACCAGTATGTTCCACAATGATGAAGACCCCTGGTCGTCATGTCTAAACAGTGCCATCTGAAGTATCAAAGGGCGCTCACCCCTTTAGTCTGGTCCTTTTGCAGCTGCTGCCAGCGCGCCTCCGCCTGCACCTTCTCCCTGACCCGCTCCACGAATGCCTCCATTCGGGCGTCGTGCTCCGCCGCTACGCTCTCCAGCTCGTCACCAATGCGCTTCTCCTGAACAGACAGATACAGCCAGAATGAGCAGAGCTTCACGGTACACATCACATGAACAAGAGAATGACAGCTGTCGCTTCTATCCTCGATTCACCAGTTTCGCAGACTTTAGGAGCAAATGCTCATAGTGGCCTGCATCTGGAGAAAGTGCCAGGCCGTCTTGCTGCTGACATCATCTTCGGTATCGACTTGATCGTCCTCTCCAACAGGTACTCGACACAGCTCCCTAAGAGAGCTCAACGTAACATGCTCTTCATTTTCAGCCCCAGTCTTTGAGACACTCAGCTCAATCCCCATCTCCCAAAACTTTCAGACCTTCACTGAGGATCGAGCAGCCACCCGCTACAGCACCATCAACCTCACAGCACAACGCACACCACCCATGCTATGAAACTGTGAGGGCTAGCCCAAGTAGCGAAACAAGAGACTTTGATCAGCGCAGCTGGTGGCTCCATCCTGATTGATCGGTTGAAACAAAGTCGAGTCTTCAAAGACGAAGATGAACGACGAAAGTTGGGCCCAACCTCAAACGCACTGCTCGCAAATGAGCGCCCACCTGCGTTTGCAGGTAGTGCCAGATGGGATCGCTGTTGGGCTCCAGCTCGAGCAGCAGCTTGATGGTGCGCTCCACCTCGGAGGGCTGCGCGCTTGGGCTCTCCAGCGACTTAGTCAGCATGCCCTTGAATTCAGCCACCACTTTATCCACCTCCTCCAGCACGTTCTGCAGAATGCCAGCCTGCACGGAGAACAAATGACGTCAGCAGCGACGTCTTCGAACGTCTTCCGGCCGGGTGGACGTCTCCCAGTCAAAGTGTCCAGGAGAGAGACGACACAGTCTCTGCAGGATGCTAGCCGGCACGAGCAACAACGGAGACGTCAGCCACGAGCTGATCGGCTTCAAAAAACGTATCTGACAGGAATCAATAGGAATGGTTCCATTTTTTTAGATGCCAGCCTGCGTGAGGACGAATGAGACGTCAGTGCTGACGAAATAGCAATTTTTCCAAGAGCGGAAAAGGCTGTTCCAGTTGGGGCGTCGGGAGGACGGGCCAGCACAGACTTCCCCAGGACGTTCTGCAGGTATGCTTCCAAACAGACGGGACGTCAGCATGGGCTTGACCGGTCTTCCGAACGAAAAGCAGAGAAGATTTTTTAAACTGCAGGTTCTGGCCTGCGCGGGGCATGGAGGAGACGTCAGCGGTGAGCTCGCTGTTCTTCGAAACATTTTTCCGGGTTGGGGTTTCTCGACAAGGACACTGCACGTCTGGTCTCTTTCGTAGAATTATTCACCAGCAGAATATAGCCTCCTTCCAGATTCGAAGTGCCTCGAGACTCCAAAACGCATCAAAAGCTCCAAGTCCTCGTGGATTGAAACGGAGAGGCTCACTTTGCTTGGCATGATGAGGCTCTTGGCCTTCTTGTACTCGCGCACCACCAAGTCATACTCCTTGTTCTTGATATGCGTGCGAATCGCGCTTGGCAGATTGAAAAGCGTCCGGAACCGCTGCAGGACGCCCTGGACGGAACGGATCCTTTCCGCCTGAGCCTGCACGCAACAAAGAAGCGAGAATTGGCGCAAGCCACTTGGGTTCATATGGGTAACCCCAATATGAAACAAAAGCAGCGCCTCGAGACAGGTTAGAAGGACCTCGACTTGCAGGACGAAGTCTGTGTAGATAATCAAGTTTCCTTAGCACAACTCAAAGCAGACAACGTAGGAACAATCTTCGCACTTTCCTATCCTACCGAATCTGCTTCAGCCGAGTTGGAGACGAAGTGACATAGTCACAAGCAGTGCCATTGAGTAATCTCTACAGTCCTTTCATCGAGCTTGGGTGGGTGTGAGACACCCGTTTCGAGCCTCCTTACGGGGATGCGCCGCTTACCTGCCGTTCTAGGAGAGGCTTGAACGCCCTCTTCGCGACTTCGTCGACACCCTCTATGGCCTGGCTCAACTGCAGCGTGCCAGCGCCCTCTCGGTCCGACTCAATTTGCTGCAGCTTCGAATGAATATCTGCGGCACAGAACAGGTGGATAAGAGGGGACCTAACACAGGTCTCGTTGGGACCAGCGGCTGCCAAACCTACAGGACAAACTCGACTCTTGCCCTCGCAAGGATGGCGTACGACTCGAAAACGCCAAGAGGAGACTACGCTAACTGACCTGCGAGGCGAAATGTTGAAGTTTTTTGGGAGTCATCGTAGACAGAATGACACTCCTAAGCTTAGATCCATAATCTCTCAGACGCACAAACCAGAGTCACGTTATCGCCTCACCGTCGATGGTGTTCTTGCAGCTGATGAAGCAGTCGAAGTTGTCCTTGACGAGTTTCTTGAGCTGCTCCTTGCGGTTTTGTAGGTCCGCCTTGAGCGCGCGCTCCCCCAGCTCCAGCTCGTTCGCGGGCGTCTCGCGGTGGAAGCGCGCCAGGTACAGCTGCGGGTCGAACTTCTCGCTGAACACCAGCATCTTCTCTGCAGGCGGAGCAAGAAACCTTATGGGATGAGTCTGGCCGAACCGGACTTCCTGTGCGTGTTTCCAATCGCACTTTCCAAGGGATGCGGAGAAATCGAATGCTGGTAGGTACAGCTTCGACCGGACTTCTCGCTGTACACAAGCGGCTACTTTGCGGGCCAAAACCGGCAGAAACGAAAATCAGATGCGAGTAAGCCGGATAAGGTTCCAAGCTTACGTGCACTCCGCCTCAAGGGAACTACTTTGGTCAGTTGATAGCAGTTAAGAGAGTTTAATACTCCAGACAAAAGTTCGGGAACTTTGGCTGCGTGACAACCATTCATCACGGAATCAAGATGTCGAGCTGTCGAACATCAGTCTTTCAACTCGCACCTGTATGCACGTGGTATGCAATTGAGTCTGGTGATAACACGCTTCCCAGTACTGATTTTTCGGATTTCCTGGGAGCCTTCAACGGTTCGAAATTTAGGTATGGTTGGCAATCAAACTCTTTCGCCAACCCGCAGCGACTTCGGTGGCCACCAAGGCAAGCGAACAAGACCAACAAATCAAGGGGCAGCAAAGACGCCAGCAAATAAAAGGCTTTCACCCCTGGAGCAACTCAGAACCTGGTGTGCGATGTGCCCTTAACTCCAAAATTCCACACTGAACCCAGAGAAGCGGCATCAAGCAAGCGTACCATAATGCAGCATATCGTCCTACTTTTCGAAGTAGGGTCGTCATTGACTAGTCAAAATATCACAAGTCGTTTTTCAATCAACTGTTCCGAAGTTTCTCTGAGCATCGGTGAAAGACCAACCAGCCACACGCAAGGCTCAGTACGTGCTGGTAAAGTCTTTGCTCGGCACCCACCTTTGTCTGCAGGATCCAGAGGCCCCGCTGGCGAGGGCGGTGCACTGCTGAAGTCATCCTGGCCAAACGACGTCTCCCGAGAGCCAAGCCTGTTCGTCGCCCCTCGCCTCCTGCTGCTCTCCGACGCTGAGGGCGACGCTGACGCGCTCACCCCCGCTCGCGCCAGAGTCATGGTCTTTAGACTGATGTTGCTGCAAGAGCAAGAAGAGAGCAAAAGATCAACAACAAAGCGCACCTAGTGCTTCAACACCTGAACGCAGCGAAGGCGGTTTTGCGAGGGCCATCAGCTACCTTCCGACCTTCTTCGCCACCTTTTGGACAGATATGCAACAGTACCCTGGTAACTCCGCACTTGGCCAATCGACCCACGCAAAGCTTGTATGAGGGACCGACGTCCTTTCTGCAGTGGAACCTGTTAAGGCTCGAGGTAGAAGTCCTTTGCTCCTATGACAAAATGAAACCGGAATCACTACCTACTTACGAGACCATAACTACAAGAATTGCAGTGACATAAGTAATGGAGAGTGGCCTCATCATTATGGTGAAAACTCGATGTTTCTTTTGCCATGACATGTGAAGCCGTGGGGGACTTGTGACATTTTAACTTCTCCTGCATACGTCAGCACTAGCTGGAGGAATGTTTGATTGACCAAGGCTTTGAATGTTCGGTCATGTTTGATTGACCAAGGCTTTAGGCAGCCACTGGTTTCCTCACCCTAGCCCCAGCGGATCTTGCAGAGTGTCCATCCGCTCCGTGTCGATGGTGGACGCCCGCCTCAGCGTCCGGCTGGCGACATTCTCGGCATGGGCCGCTCGGTTCACGGACCGCACGTTCAGCGCGCGGTCAGACAGCTGTACCAACGGAGGGCACAGGTTTTTCAGACTCCATCTGCGACCACTCTGATCTTACAAGATGCATTTTGCCGTTCTAGATCAAGCTCTCAATGTAGCATATATCAGGGAATCATAATTCGTCAGCCTCCTTGTATTAGTTCTCCATGTGTGTGTCAAAGTTTCCTCTATAATTTAAGCTCGGCAAAGTAGAGCCTCCAATCAGATCAGGGAGCACAGGAAAGGCACTCAGCAACTGGTTGAGATCTCGAATGCTTCCCGGCGTCCACCGCATATTATGTATGGACTGTCAGGCAGGCCCTCAGGCTGGCCCTGCTTGCTGCCACAGTCGAAGGACTCAGCACTTGAGAAGTAGTTACCTGTTCAGTATCGACTTGCTTCCATGTTGTGGCATCGTCTTCGTCGTCCAGTTCAGCATCTAAGTCTTGGAAATCAGATGCTTCATTCTGCCTGGATACTCCCACCAGTGGCCTTTGGCCCCCCGGAGGAGCCACCGGTTCATAGCCCTGCGGTTGAAACTCAAAAATTCTCAGCACGTGCAGAGCACTTCTGTCGTTTTGCCCTGTTTTTGCCTCTCCAGTCCTAGTCTCATTCTTCCCAAGCTGATCCGCATCGGTGATGCAAGCGCAGCTCTGCTTCATACTCTATGAGGCAAGGCTTCAAGACTTTGCCAGATCTCGACGTAAGAAGCAAACCGAAAACCAAAGAGGGGAAGCAGGACAAGAAAGACCAATCGTGCATGTATTGAAGTAGGTTCCCACATATTGAAGTCTTGAAAAGAAACCCTAAAATGCCCCAAGCGATGACAGCAGCTAACCGAAACCAAATGCAACCGTGGGGGAAGGACCCAGTCCTTATCTATATAGGGTCTTCCTCACATTGTGATTCTTGCTGTAACTCGCGCCCTTATAAACACAAGACTTCAATCACCAATCACACATTGCTCAAGCACCATCATACTGGCAGCCAGTGAAAAATGTAACTCGCAGAAAGCAAACCAGCAAAGTACCACCCCACCTCTTCGCTTGAAATGCTCAGCATTTCCACATCGGACTCCTCATCATCGTCCCGTTGCGGGGGCGACGGGGGGGGAGGAGCGACAGCTCGCGAAGGTGCACGAGAGGCCCCCCTGCCGGGAACCATGGATGACCCCCACGACTTTATCTTCTGCACGACGGGGCTCGAGACTTGCTGCCTTTGCTCCCGAGCAGCTTGAGCAGCGGGCGCCTTGACGAGCGGGGGGGCAGCAGGGGTGGGGGAAGGGCCCCGGCTTGGGATCGGGGATGCTTGCACAGGTGCAGGGGCTACCGAAGCGGCCCTAACAGGGGCGGCCTGCGATGGGGGGGTCACAGGGCGGACCTGCGGCTTTGGAGGGGAGGGCGCTTGATAGCCCCTTTCCTTCGCCTCCATCTCAGCAACGGCCTGGGCGAGAAGGTCGTCTTCATCGTCGCTGGATGCCATGGCTGCCGACGGACGGTCGGTGCTTCACTTTCAACTTGCTGGATGGGACTCTCCACCGGCTAGGAGCAGGTCCACAGCTTGCGTGGCGTTGTGCGCCGAGGGCCAAGCCCCCTTTCAATCAGCAGGCAATCCACAATGACATGCATTTGCAAGCTTCGTCCGGGGAGCAGATCGTGGAACCGAACCTACTGCCTATATTATTATTATTCATGCAATGCAATGCCCATACAATCTGATGCAATGGCAAAACTTACTACCGTAATACTGGATATGTGGGTACTTATATGCCGATGTTTGCCTGCGTATGATTATACAACATGAAGCTGCTCTACAGCTGACACTGTGAGTGTCAATTTGCATGCATGCACGCGCTCCCTGGTGCGCGCTCTCGGGGGGGTGTAGCAAGACGCGGGCTGGCAATATAAGAAGCCCCATGCAACGATCGAGGAAGATTAAAACCACATGTGCATGCAATTTAGCGTCCAGGAACCTATATATTTCAAGCTCTTATGTACGCAGAGCAGGACCCTTTTGACTTGCTAATACCGTAATATGTCCTGGCGCACCTGTGCCAAACTCTGACATTGCAGTGTTGGAACTCGAAGAGGGTGGACAGGGGACCTGGGGAGCAAAGCGGAGGGAAGCAAAAGGACAGGAGACCAGAGTTGCTGCAACAAGGGGCGTTTAGCGCACAGCTTAGGAGGCGTCTAAGGGCTACCCGCAGACCATCTGAGGCTTGTCAGGCCGTGTATGCAGAAAGAAAACGGGTGGTGCAGGTGGGCTAGTGTCTGCAAATTGATTGCAGAGTTGGGGTGCTCTTGCGGCCTTTCGTAGGGTTATTTTTTGGCCTACAAGCATTGTGCATTGGGCCGTTTACGGGTTTGCAAGAGCGTAAAAACTGAGGGGACGATTGCCAAGTGATTGAGATCTGCAGGGAAACCCTGCAGACGGTGCTGCACTATCACACTCGTTGCACGACAACTTTAAGCTGGCTTTGTGAGCTTGAAGAGTTTGTGAGGCTGGTGCTATTTCTGCACTTCAAAGCAGCGGTGATTAATCAGGCCCGCCATCATGAAGTTGGTTAGGTGAGTCTCCCTGCGATCGTCTTTGCAGATATGTTTTTGAACAAGCCGAATTCGTGGTCAGAAATGTGCGATTGCCTGCATGGTTGCATCAAAAGACGGAGTTTGGTAAGGGGCCCACCTCAAAGATAAGAATGGGATGATTGTCTTTGCTTCAATTCAGCCAGTAAGATTCATTTCAATCCAGTCTGGCCTGGTGATCAGTTACTATCCAGTCAGCTTGCGCTTATCAAGCTCTCATGTAGGTGACAACTGAATTGTTGGTAAAGGTGGAACCAAATTCAATTTTGGTACTTTGGGCAAGTTGACAAACCACTGTTGGAAGCTTCAATTTTGACTACATTGAGGACGAAGTTTACTTCTTCAAAAGACATTTCAGGCATACCACCCTCCTTTCGGTGCTTGCATCACGACAGGGACGCATTGTGCCTGGTTAATACCCCTTCATTTACAGACACCTGAGTGCCGAGAGGTGTTTAGCTGGGTCTTATAAGATTGTTGAAAGTGCCCTGACCACTGACGATTAATCGTGCTCCACGTTTAATGCTACTTTTCAGGCTGCTTTTTAAGGGATTCTCTGCTTGGCGGAGATTTTACCTGCAAAAGCTGGTTCTAAAGCATGGAGAAAAACACCTCGGTGCAGGTTCCTCTAATCAGTGGGTCTGACTGAGCGGCTTAATAGGTCTATTGAGCAGCTAATGCAGTTACTATTCATCGAGGTCGGAATCAATGTCTCATGTGCTTCCCTTATGCATCTATGCAGATTTCTTATGAAGTTGCACAATGAAACGGTCAATATAGAGCTGAAGAATGGGACTGTGGTAACCGGGACGATCACAGGCAAGTGTCATCACTTGTCTATAGTTATGCACTCTGCTGGACAAATTTTCGCTTTAGTAAGGGACTCCGTATGGTTTTGCAAGCACAGGTTTTCCTTCAGACGTCTATGATAGGTTTCTCACTCGGCATGAAGTAACCTGTAAAGCGTAGGATCTTATGCGTGCGTGTCTTCTCTACTTCGTTACAAAAGCAGCTGGTTGCAATTGCACTGACATCCAGTTTTCATCTGCTGAACTCAAAACCCGAGATAACCTTTGAGCATTCAACACGAACTGGCGCAAAGCAGAGCGAATCGGATTCTTGGGCGTTTCAACTTCCTCCAATGAATGTGAGGCCACTGAATGCTTGTCAGGATATGGGTGCTGTGAAGTGGCAAGACGACTCGCAGCTCTGACATTTTCATAAGCCCCTGTGTGTTTGCAGGGGTAGACATCAGCATGAATACGCATTTAAAAACGGTAAAACTGACCCTGAAAAACAAGAACCCAGTTACGCTGGAGCATCTGAGCATTCGGGGCAACAGCATCCGATACTACATTCTGCCGGACAGCCTGAATCTGGACACGCTCCTAGTCGAGGATGCCCCACGGACCAGGGCGAAAAAGCCCACCGCGGGTAAGAGCTGCCGCTCAGCTTGGTTTCTATTCAGTCTGTTAAGAGACTGCTTGGTGGCCGTTTCAAGGTCGCCTTGCATGCAACTATTGCAAAGACCTGGGTGCTTTTTGAATTGTTACTGTCGTTGGTTATGACGCACCTGCTGTCTCAAAGTGAATGACAGCAGAGCGGACGCTACTTGTGCCCAAACGGAGGACCTTGTGAATGCTCAGATGTCCTTCGTTTTTCCAAAGTCGCGGTTGGATTGCTCTTACTTTGTAATCTGGTTCCGATACTCCCAAAACACTTTTTTGGTTCTTGTTACAGGGGGCCCGATGGGGCGTGGCAGGGGCCGTGGTCGGGGACGTGGAAGAGGCCGGGGGCGAGGAGGACGATGATAGCTCTGCGTTTTGTGCTTGGCGAGCGGCTCAGCGCCGTCAGCCGCAGTGTTCTTTCTTGTATTTGACTTATGACGGAAACACCGGAAGGTTTTGAGCGGTCTTGATTCTTTGCCGCATGTTGTTGCTCATCTGCACTTTTGTCTCATCTCTTGGTGCTTGGGTTCGTTCTTTCCCCTTGTAGAGGGCTACTGGTGTAGAATTTCAGGACATGCATTTGTGTGTGTCAAAGTAGCGTACATGCCTAGAATTGTGCTAGTGCATGGCTGAGATGCGGCATGGACTTCTTGCTTTCCTATCGTTTAACCACAACCCGTCTATGATGCAAAAAGCAAGGTCGGATGGGCTTGATCATGACACATGTTGCGAGTCCCATCCTGCGACGTACAATCCTGCGAAATGAGCAGCATGTGCTACAGCTATGCGTGCAGTCTGTCACCAGAGGCAAAAGGCTGACATAAAGCTCAATGACCAGCTGGACTTGATTGGATCGACTGTGGTATATGCGTCGACGCTTATACCTATTGACGCGGCTGTCTCAGTCACTGTCGCTTAGAGCTGGCATGTAACCTATACTATTACAGAAATCAATGACCATCATTGAATGCCAGTCATGCAGGGGGGGATCCAATTCACATGTAAACTAATATTATCAAGGATTACTCAGGACAAAGATATAATTGCAATTTCAATCCTAAAGAATTACATGGTTCATGTAAGCTCAAGAACGTGTAGAAGCCCTCCGTCGCATGCACTGAGCTTGGCAGTCCGGACTATCATAGTACCGGTAGACATGCTGCAACCTGCCTGTGTATTAAGCCTATAGTACCGCTGCTACGATAAGTGCAAATTTGCTTAATTGTTTGCGCGGCTGCCGCCAGCGACTCTCTTTAAACCGTCTGATCGACCTGCATTTCCCATTGAACCAAGTTCCGTCATTGTGGCATCATGTGAGCAAATTTTACCGCGTTGACTTAAATTTCAATGCGTTGACTCATCAAAGTGAAAGATGTCGGATCGTCGGTTCTTAAATCAAGTAGATACAATTCGGCACGGGCTCTGATGAAGACCTAGATCATGCATCATGAGTCTCGATTTACATAGGCGTGTTTCCGGCTGATTCGACAACACGCAACCTTAGCTCTTATTAAGCAGCTTATAACGCACTTAACATTGAGTTTTGTGCAAACGCTAAACTTCGGACCGATGTCTACATGGTCGACCCACGAACAAAATCTTGGTAAACCTCGTTAGCATGCATCCACTCCAGTCGCGCACTGCCAGTCGTAAAACAAACCGGGAAGATCCTGTGGAAGGAACATGCCTTAACCGCTGAAGTAAGCTGGACATAGTCTTGAAAGTATGCACTCGAGCGTGTGTCTACAGGCTAAACACAGTATGCAAGGGTTTGCGCCTAGGAGTAATCAAAGCAACCCCCAATGCAGAATAACGCCTCATTCTATGACCTATACCTGATCTCTTCGCTTCTTTTGAGCTGCCTTCTTCAAAGGTGGAGAAATGGGCACCGGTAGTCCTCCTCGCGTTTTGTCAACCGGACTCACAAACGTGGGTGGGGGTTTGGTGCCGTTGCGCCGCGGCGAGCAATAGGAGACTGGGAGCAGAAACTGAGGCTCCCCACATCCCCAACCACTACTTAAGCATTGGGTCTAGACGAAAGCGCGAGCTAACCCGACAAAGCCACCTAGCACACCAAGGAGCGGGTGCTTTCGTCCCTATCTTCTGAACGCCTTGGAGCCAGTGCCCACGGGGCCCACTCCTCCTGTCTCACTGAGCAAGTGTACAGCGCGCCTGTCTAGCTTATCCGTCGTTCTAGGACGTCTAGCGCGGCCCGGTAGACACGCTCCAAGCCCCCCGTCCCCCCCAGCGTGGTAAACACCCGCGCCAGCGCCTGGAGCTCCTCCATGCTCCCCTTGTCAAACAAGCTCCGCAATAGCCGCTCGTCTCTACCGAGCCCCACAGCCGCCCCCGCATCCCCCCCGGGCCGGCTGGTGACCTCGTTCAACCCCTGCCGGCGGAGCCAATACTCGCGGCACGTGTGATGGGGGTCTAGCGCCTCCACCAGGCGAATGATGGCCGGGTCTGTCAGGCCAAACATGTCGACACCCGAGACATCGGCGACCGCAAGGGGGAGCGCTTTGTGGACTGCCGCCGGGAAGACGTGGTCCTGGCGTAACTGGCGGAGGCCGTTGTTTACGAGCGCCTGGATCTCCGCCCAGCACTCGTCGGGGCTGGCGCCCACGAACGGCGTCTGCGGGCGGTCCTCCGCAATGACCTGCACACAGAATCTCGTCAATTGACTTGCGCAAATAAATCATGACTTGCGCAAATAAATCATGTAAACTAAACAAACGGTCTTGTACTCAAACGTCAATCTCCGGACAGCGACTTGTTGACGAAGCGCCTGCGAGTAGGCCCCAAAGTCACCTTTACAACCTCCACGCGGTTCGGGAATCTTGACGACATTCCAGTCACTCTCTCTGTCGAGCTCTGGTAAAAGGGGAGAACGGTGGAAAACTTTGTACTTCAAATTGCACCCAACTCTGCACGACTAAGCACATTCTGAACAGGGGACCCCTCAACCAAGCGCGGTAAAAGGCAAGAGCCACGTGCCCCAGGTGACTGCGGCTGAAGTCAGGAACTGAAAGGTTGTGACGACAGTGAACTAACAATCGAAGCAATAGCGCCTCGGTATTCAGGGCGGCTGCAAATCTGGACTGGATCGAAGAGCGTTACAACAGACGTGTACTCAACAAGGGTGGAGAAAGGACTCGATTTTTGGGTTGCCTTTACTTGAACATGGATAAACAAACGGGCGGCAAAAGCAGCCAGTGATTCAATTACTCGGTCATTCTGAATGCATTCGACGGCTTTTGAAAAGGAAGATGCAACCCAAAAAGTCCCTCGTATGTGGAGCCAGGCCAACAGACTTGCATGCACTACAGGATCCATGTGTCCGTTCGAGCCGTCAGCAAACCGGTTGCACTTGAAGATCCGGCGAAGAGAATGGAGGAAAAAGAGCTAAAGTATCCTCCAACGCAGCGTGCAAGAGATGCAAGGAGGCTGGATCCTGTGAACCTCAACACAGGGACTACACAGAGACTTTGCTTTTGCTTATAGGAATCTTGATTCGAATCAGGGGCCGCACCTTGAAAACGGGGAGGGGCTGCACAGTTGCGTCCCAGTGCTCCATAATCTCCTGGAAGAAGAGGCACTTTCGCGTCACATCGCGCGTGCTGTAAAAGCTGACGGCGCTGCGGTAACCCCCCGGATAGATGCTCCGCTCATCCCACCAACCCGCCCGCGAAACCAGACGCCCTAGGTTTACCAGTTCTACATCCACCGCAACCCGCCCGCTGCTCACGGTACGCCCAACATCTCCGGGGGGGTTGCGCGGGGGGTCTAGTGGCCGCGCTACCGCCCCCCCATTGGGGGTGGATTGGTCAAAGATGGTCCTGCCAAACAGGCGGGGGGGTTCTGGAGACGGGTTTGCAGGCGGCCGGTACGGGTCAGGGAAGGAGGTCATGGGGCGCACGCTGGGGGGCTCGTCGGGGGGCGGCCGACCAGGGGGGGGCGGAGTCCTCTTTTGCTTTGCACGCACTTTGCTGCCTGAGCGAGCCTGATCGCCTGCAGTGCAAACGAGACGGATCAAAAGGGGACCCTGAGAGATGGTTGAAGCAGACGCGGTCTGCTCTCTTTGTCGTCCTCGCTGATACAAGAAACATGCAGGGTGTGAAGGTGACCTCGATACAGCGAAAAGATCAAGACAGGGAGGGTGGCAGATGATCAGCAGAAGACAAGGCAGGCTGTGCATCTCGGCAGAGTCCTGAAAGTACCGTAACACCTGGCATCTTCAAAGCCCTTGCAAGCCCCTCATCAAGCACCAGGGCTGCGACGGTGGTTGCAAGCATGAAACTCCTCAGGCCGAAACTGAATAACAGAGGCTCCTCTACTTGTTACAACCAGCTAAGATGAGCCGGAGGATATTACCCTCTTAGGACAACAACAAACTAACTGGGGTTGGCACGTCAGTTAAACGCCTAACATTCCATTTGCGGTGGCTGCTGCAGATGTGGGACGACTGCACGAGCTCAACTCTCCAGTGCACCCCCCCATTGATTGGACAATAAGTACCCTCGTTCCATTATGCTCACCAGTAAGCGTGTCCCCCTTGCCAAGCGCGCCCTCCTCAAAGTTGCTCTGCCGGCGCCCGAGGCCGTTGTCCTCCAATATCTTCCCCAGCGGGATGCGCGCCCCGCCCTGCGCCTCGGGCATGATTGCGCGGATGCTCGTGCGCCACTTCTTGCTGCGGCTGCCCGCGTGCAGCTCAAACTCGTTGGGGCTCATCTCGGGCCGCTCGCCAGGTGGCAGCGCGCCGCATGTTGCGCAGTGGCACCGGAAAACGCACCGGTTGTGCACCAACAGCATTTCTGCTTGCATCTGGGGGGAAGAACATCCGGGCCCTCACTCAGCATTCATACTAATGCAGCACTTGAGAAGCGCCTGCTGAGGGATTTGCGCCGATTGAAACAAGAGGGAAAGTAGCCAATCGGAGCAGCCATGATTAAACCTCGACTAGCAGTCACAGACTTCACATCAAGACCCGCAATTCTGGGCGCTGCAGAGCACCACGCTGCTTAAAGCACAGCTCTCTGATGAGCAGCAAGCAAACTGGGGCTGAAGCAAAGGTGGGGCTGAAAGGGCTGCATTTGGTCCCATTTGTGCAAGACAAGACAATTGAAGGCCCCCAGAGCTATGGGAAGGAACTGGAGAATTGCAACGCCGAAGTGGACCTCTAACATGAGTCTCCGCCGTGCTAGAAACCTGCTCGTTGTTGGGACTAAATGCACAGGTACGGCCTGCGCTTTTTCTGACCTTGCAAGTGAGCTCCCCGGTCGATTGTTTCTATACCCCAAAGCTTGCCGGGCAAATTGAGCAGAAGCGATAGGACTTGATGCAACATTCCGTTAGCTCCTATCAAACGTCAGTGTCAAATAAGATACAGCGGAAGCTCACCCCATTACACTCCACGTTCCACTTTTTCTGCACCTCCGCCTTGTCCTTTGCATCCCCAGGCGCCTCCTCACCCTTCGCCCCTTCCCCCTTTGCTTCTTCCTCCCCTCTCTCGTTAGCATCCTGCTCCATGGGGTCCGCCGATTCAGCGCCTCCACTCCCCTCCTTCTCTCCCCCGCCCTCTGCATTCTGGGAGAGGGACTCCTTGTCAGGGGGGTCGTCTTGCCCACTAGAGTTGGCCTCGGGCGCCCCCCCTCGCAACCTGCCGACCCGCTCATCACTGGCGGCCATGATGCATCCACCCCAAAGAAGTGCGTCTCCGCAAGCCCGCTGCTCGACGGGGCCAACGAGCAAGTCTCCGCTCGAATCCTGGCCACCACAGGCCTGCTGCTTTGCAAGCATCAGACAGCCTTTCTCCTAGTGCTGGCGCCTGAGTGGTCTCTATGAGGTGCGAGTACCTGAGCCAAACACCACGGGTGTACTGTAAGGACCGATTAGGAATGGCTGACTCTTGGGTGCCATGTACCAGGCTGTCAAAAAGAAGCTCAGCAGGAAACAGCAACTGCTTCCTGGGATCATAATTGAGCAGCAGATCAATGGGTATCTGCTATCATTGTATCAATCATGCAGGAGCACCAGAGGAGCAGATTACGGGGTAAAAGCGGAGGCGATCCGTGGACTGATCCCTGTCATACAAACCACTCCAGAAGCAAAATCTGGCGTTACGAGCATCCGATGCCCTTGCGTGTGCAAGTATCAGCCAACCTTGGGGCCCAGACATTATGGAGATTGAATCCAATACATGTACCCCCCATTGATGCTCTAAGCAACACATGTTTGAGGAATTGCTCATTATGAACCATATAGGAGCTGGAAATTGTTCTGGCAACGAAACCTTGCAACTGGACTGAGATAGGGCTTGGAACAGAACCCTTTTCCATTTGCTGCAAGGATGTTGACACACAGGTGATTGCCTGGACTTGTCAAAGAAAGAAAGCCCGGCAACTCTGGCAAGAAAGCTGCACCCTGAGCAACCTACCTTCTGAGGACGAAGAAGCGCTCTCCTGCTGCCAGCAACTGCTCCTACCTAGTCTGTTTAATAGTGTCATCTGACAGCTCCTTCCGTCTTTCTTGCCAGCTCCTCCCATGCTCAGCTTCCTTGGCAAGGCGACGCCATGCAGCTTCAAGTTCAACTTCTGATTCCGAGTGCGTACGGTAATATTTCCGTTCGACCCAGAAGCCAGCTGGGTCAGGTTGCAGGTCAGGCCAGGCCAGGTCAGCCTCGAGAATTTGCATCTTCGACATTCTAAAAAGCTTATATTTCAGACTATATACCAGACGTAGTCCATCGTCGAAGACGGTGTTTTCAACGGGGCGGAATGGGCGAGCTGAAACCGTTCCATGCAAGCGTTGCATAGGGCCTTGGACCATGGTACGGTACGCAGGTACGTGCGGGTACACTGTGCACATGGTTTATGGTACCGTGTACCTACCTAGTTCCGGTACCTACAGGCTACAAGTTACAACCTATACGCCAAGGTATCTTCGAGCGGGACTCTAACGATGCAGGTACGGTATCGTGCGCCTGAAGGTACCGTTCGAGCCGCTGCGCAGTGCCGCAGCATTACCGGTAACTCTTGTGTGACCTAACGGGCGTGTGACCTAAGATACGTGTTACCCGGGCACTTAAACTAAAAAACCTAACGCAAATAATCACCCGCTCCGCACCCCAACCCACCCTAACCACCTTACCAACCCCACCCGTCCCCCGGGTGCCTATCTTAGGTCACACGGCTCTTAGGTCACACGAGAGTGATCGGAGTGGTGCCTGCATGGAAGTTGAAGGCACTCTGCAGTGGGACTCACTGCTGCTCAAGAGTACCGTACAATTGACGGTACCTACCAGCGTTTCCCGTATTCAACGGTATTGTCAACTCAGAACTGGTCGTGCGAAGATCTTCCGTGCATGGCTTTCAATCAATCATCTGTCGTCGGCAGTGGGCACTCAGAACTCAGGCCGATTCGAGAGGACTCGGGATTCGGGCGGATCCGAGTCGTCGTCATTGATGACTCGCGTCTCGAAGTTCGGTACGTACCAATGCACAAGCTGGCATGCTAGTTTAAGTGGTCCGTTCTCAGGCGGTAGCTACCTGCCCTGGGGACGCCGTACCGTACAAAAAGGTACTACTCCCTGCCTAGAAGTTAGAACCTGGGTAGTAGGTACGGTACCTACCGCGGCTACCGATATTTGACTTGAACTTGGGAAAACTCTACGTAGGTACGTGGCCGGTACGGTACCTACGGCGGCCTGGAGGCTGGTGCCAAATTGCCAATGTCCAAAGGCAGATACCGTCGGCCCTCGCGCCCGCAAGTGGGGTCGGGAATCGGGCCGGTTCCAGGAGAACAGTGGTTCCACGTGTACCGGTCGGCGGTAGGTTTTGATTTAGGTAGGTAAATACGGTACATTGAGGCTTGCGTACCTACTGTAGAGCTTACCGTATCGTCGGTAGGTACCGATCCAGTCCTGGGTACGTCCACGTGAGCTTCCCGTGAGCTTGGAGGCATATGTCTCAAAAGGTAGGCGCTCGAGAGGACGGAGGGTTAGTCTGGTGGTTTAAGGATAGGCTCAGTTCGAAGCGCGTGACATTGTTTGGTCAACGTTTAACTACCTAGGTTAGTCACGTAGATACTATAGCACCGGGCGGCCGAGGGCCGTCACGGTCGGCTGACTCAAGAGACGGCGGCCGCCGGCGGCACCTATTGCAGGCACCAACCTAATACTACAGTACCGAGGTACCTACTACCGGTACCAACCTTGTTCAGCCAGTACATACTATGTACAGCGGCCTTCGAGGGACAGGTTTGATGCATGTACGAGGGTGCGCTCATGCAGCACAATCCGCACGAGACTACTACCTACCTATGTAGTATGCTGACGTGAGGAGGGGACAAGTTTCGTGAGAGTCGAAACTTGTCACTTCGAGCCTGTATGCAATGTGCATGATGGCTCACGTGTGATACGTAGTCTGACGTCGTGACGAACATTGAACATTGGATTCTATACATACTGAAAAGTAGGATGGGCTGAGGAGGGTCAAGCTTCTTTGTACAGATGAGGATCAACTATATAACACTCTTTACGAAAGTACTTGATAATACTCCCACCTGCAATACTGCAACTTTAACTAGCATGTTTGGTTTATTTTGACCAACTTAGAACCACTAGCTTCTGCGCTTCAGCATGCAAGCTATCGGCCATATTGATCAAAAACATGCTCAGATTGGCCATCAGCTTTCAACCGCCCATGATGATGATTAGCTCCATCTAATCAAAAGCATGGCGCAAATCGACATATCACACCCATGCATGTAGTGATCTGTACATTCTCTTGGTAGTACGGAGTCCAAGCTCCATAACTGGCGGACTGAAGCAATGAATTGCACGGTCACCACAACATAAGTGGGCATGGTTGCTCAAGCCGCCATGTTTCTCAGATCCAAGGAAAGTTTTGTCGAACTTTACTACGAATAGTGAAAGGACAACGTCATGTGAAAGTCGAACATGACATGATGCTATCAAACTGACTTCTCTCTGCACTTGTGATACAAAGTCGAACGTGCAATAGATTTTCCAGTTGAATGAATCTGCGAAGAACTCATATGCATGCCTGGTGATAAGACTCTAGTCTTGATTGACAACGGGCAAAGGTCAATCCTTACCTGAAGAAGCACATACAAGCAATGAAAGGACCAACATTGGACGTCTTAGCTTCGATAGTCTACACCGACATGGACCTAGCCTAGCCAGCAACAATGATCTCAAGATTCAGCCCCTGGTCAAAACAATCAGAATGCGTCTTTCTGACGTTTCTATTTCACCTCTGGGCTACCAGAAACAGTCTATCGATTCTTTGACGGTCTGAAGCATGATCATGCTTGGCCGTCCCCGTTCTATTCCAGTCTTTACACTCGTCAGCAGCGCACCCAAACTTCAAACCACCGCCATACACCGACTGCAAAGCCAGCACCCGCTCTGAACCTGCTGTATGTACCAACCTCGAGCATAATACCGTGACACCCTCTACTTTATACGCCAATATACAAGCACTCTCAGACAGAAAGGTTTTTTGGATCTTCTCAAGACCTGCTCAGGCTCAGTAACTGGGTATGGTGAAGTTCCGGCCCAGCAGCCCCTTGACATTGTGCACCCAGTCCTTCATGGCCAGAAACTCAAACACGTGCAGGCCGTCCCGGCCGCGCAGCTTCTCCTGCAGTGACGTCACGTTCTGGAAGAGCCGCGAGTTGTCCTCCGCCAAGCGCGAGTTGTCCTTCACGTAAGCCGCCAGCCGCATGCTCATCTCCTCCACCTCGTTCACCTTCACGGCACAACGGGTCCTCAAGAAGCTTGAGATTAGGCCGACAGACAGCGGACATGCGAACGACACGACCCGGATCCAGAAGTGAACTTACACCTTGAACCTCCACACTCCTGGCGGCCCCGCCGGCCCGTCTTCCGCCTGACACGTGCTGCCTGGTCGGCCCTGCACTCTGACTGCTTCAACAACGTTAGTCTCAGGTTAGTATCGCTAGACCTAGGACGCGGACCGACCTGGACTGACTTGGACGACCGGTTATTTGGACGACCGCTTACACGCACTTATGACGCGATAAACTCACCTTCTGCTCCATAGCTTGCCGGAGCTGCTTGTGCTCCAGCGTCGTGTCCGCGAGCATCTGGGACAGCTTGCCGTTCTGCAGCATCTGCTCGTTCAGGGCCTGGCGGAGCGACACCGCCGTCGCCTCGGAGAAGGTCAGATCCTTGCAGCAGGAACCCACCCTGGGGATACGAAAACAGCCCCATCAGCAATATAAGCGGTTCTTTCTGAAAGTTAGAGGCGAGCAATCTTTCCAAACAGTACCGAAGCTGTTGAGCGTGGTAGTCTTGAGGGTGGTAGGAGCCGAACCGACGGCGCCAAGGTACAGGCCACGTCAGCAGTTGTCGAGGGGCCCAGAACGCGGTTTCTCAAGAGCAATTTTCGCGTTCTAAGATAGGAGATAGCTGAGAAGAGAATTCCGAAGCTCTTACCGACGGTCCAGGAAAGAGGCACCACAAGCTGGCAAGGCAGTAAGAAGGCGCCTAAAACTCGTCGGAAGCTCGGACTTTAAACTTGTTGGCATCTTTGAAACTCCCAACTTTTGAAGGTGACAACTGAGTCAAAAGAATCAGACGTTGGAGCTCCATTTAACCTCTATAGAGCTGTGAGTCGCCGAGAGTCAGAACCAGAGGCGGCAGGAGCAAGAGAGTGGCGGTTCGCCAGCACATCGATCGAAGCACGAACCCAGTGTTTACGACGAGCGTCCGACCGGTCGTTCCTGGCCTCACCTGACCGGGGAGATGATCGACAGGAAGTTGAGCGCCAGCAGCAGCAGCAGCGCCGCCCCGAGGGCCAGCTTCGTGTGGTCGTCCTTCCTCCCGCGGGGGCGGCGCGTCTCTCCAGCGGCCGCCACGTCACCTGCCACGTCATCATCGGCGACCCCCTTGGTCTCCCGCGCAGCCCCTGAGACGCCGGCGGCATTCGCCAGGCTGCTCACTGCCGCCCGGGAGTTGGCCACCAGGGTGGTGCCCGCGGCTGAGAGGCGCTCGGTGATGGGTGCCTCCGGGCTGTGCTCGAGGCTGCGCACGAAGTCGGTGAAGTACTGCGACTTGAACTTGCGCAGGCGGGTCACGTTCTCCTCGAGCACCATGCTGCGGAGGAGGGAGCGGTCGCCCTTGGGGTGGCGGTGGAACGCGATGCGCTCGCTGTGGGCCGAGGCCTGCCGCTTCACCTTGACCTTGAGAGGGAAAAGGCGCACGATCAATTTCTGATTAGGGAAAGCGTGGTGCTGACGAGAAGCTGAAAGGGGCCGCATAAAACCGTTCAATGGGTCCATTTCGATACGCAGAAGTGGACCCGCAAGGCTCAATAAAGGGGAGGCCGCGTGAACGAACTCTAGAAAAAGAAATACTTTACAGCTGGGCGAATTGCTTTTTCAAGGAGGGATGCAGTCCTGCCACGGAACTCAGCGCTCGTGGGCAGATAACATGAGTCGAACTGCGACGAGATGATGCTTCCTGAAACAGAAAGCTGATTTCATGCTATTACCTCCTGTGTTTGCACCTTCCTTCCTATTGAGACGGGTAACGAAAGAATTATAACAAAGGCCCTGCAGGTCCTTACCTGGCGTTTGGCGCTGATCGCTCCATCATCGTCGCTGGACACGACCGAGAAGGCCTTCTCGAGCTCCTTCGTAAGCGCCGGAAAGGAGAAGGTGGTGATGCCCTTGTCCTCAAGATCCAGGGTCACGTGCTGCCGAAACTCCTGCTCCTCGGCCTCGCTCATCGAGTCGCCCTGACAAGACGGAAAAGATGCCGTGTAAGGCCACCTAAAATCTAAATTTTTCGACACGATGGACGAAACAAAAACTGCATTTGCGACTTCGCCCTTCCATGAAAGAAAGCCAAGTCCCTCAAAAAGGAAAAACACGTTCAGAACTCGTCGAAGGTTCACTTGCTCGGATAAGTGGACGGGAGGCCCGGGCGGAGGGGTGTAATGAACCACTTGGAAACGCGTTTGACGGTCTCGTGGTCATTATAAGCTTGAGTACATCAAAGTACGTCAGAAGCGGACGTTCGAAGCTCAGGAAGGACTGCAAATCTCTATGCATCCGTCAATCTTGCGTAAGACATATACCGAAAACTTCGGGAAAGGTCATTCGGCTCCATGCAGGGAAAAGATTGTCAAGAGAGGTAATTGACACCACGTCTGTTGCAAAATTCCATAAATCGAGGTCTGTGGTCCTAACCCTCACGACCGCTCTCCCGTATGAGCAAGCAGAGCCTTCAAAGCAACGTTTGTCAAGCAAAATTTACTGCCAACAACTCAGAAACCTGCCACAGTACAGGCCAAATAGTACGAGAAGCGTGCCTGGCTAACCTTTGCAATGACTGGAACCAGCGGCGCCACCTTCCCGATTGCTGCCATGATCTCCAGGTCCACAGGCTTGATGGCGTGAGGGTTGACAAAGTACAGGACGCAGGAAACACGCTCGTCCTCGGGGCTCTCGCGCATGTAGGTCGTCCACTTCATGTAGAAGATACGGTTCTGCTCTGCGATGTAGTCCGTCGCAGCCTTGATCCTGTGGCAGGCGAACTAAGAGTCAGTATGCTTGAGACTTCCGGGGCTCTCTTCTCAGTACACAGCAGACTGCAGGAAGCAGACGGAGTAAAATTCTTCTTAGGTATGCAAGAAAGTCGCTATGGCACTTATATCCACGTCCCACTATCAAGAGCGGCCTTGGAACAGCGCCTTGACTGAACAGGCTACAACTACTTCATTAGCAGTCACCAAGAATACCCAAGGAGGGGGCCCAGTGAGCACAGTGGAGCTGACAATGTGTAATACCAGAGAAAGCAGACCATTCATGAAACGTCAACACCCACTGTCTGACGAAATAGGCTGGACTTTTGCAGATGCACTTGCCTCTTCTGCACATCGAAGTCATCTCCTGCCCCTGGCATATCAACCACCTTGTAGTGGACGCGCATCTTGCCGTTCCGTGAGAGGGTTGAGAACGTGAATGAGCCATCCGCTTCAGCGGTTGCTTGGCTGGCGTCTGGCTGGGAACCACTGCCTCCAGTAGTGCCAATTGTCAGAGCGTCAACAATGTCTTGGATGATGGTAGGCATGCCCAGGCCAAATGCATCAGCAACCTGCAGAAAGCAAGCACTGAGGTTTCTGTGACCACGTTCCCACAGCAAGGACAGGTGCTGCATCCTTTCACTTTGCTCTGCGGGTCACATTTTCTAGCAGACAGTTCATGTAGGCCTTTGGAAACTGAATACCGTGGAGAAAGAACATGTCTGGAATAGAGTAGAATATTCTGGATGGTTTGCTTCATCAGTAACCGCTCAATAACTGACTTGCAACGTACCATGATCTTGTGCCACACGTGCTGGACGTCATCAGAGGCTTCTTCCTTCTTGGCATCGTCCACTTCAACTGCCTTCTTCACGCCGCTCTTGGCAGTCTCGCTATACTTCCTCTGCTCATCCTTGACCTTCTCAGTTCTGCTGGCCTCTTGTTGTGGTGGGGTGGGGGGTGCAAAGGACTCTCCTGCAGGACAAGCGGAGCCAAGCGGTTGTTTATGCGCAGTGCTCCTTGTGTGCAGCTCTGAAAAGCGTTAACCATTGTCTATTGTAGATTGAAATCCAGAGAAAGTAACCAACTCTGAAAACTGAGAACGTACCATTGTCTACCGTAAAGTGGATCTCTGAGAAGTAAAGAGTTGCCGCCTGATTTGACAATCAAAATTGTGATAATAGGTCTCTCTGTCATCACTCTTGTTGGGCCTGCTTCACACAACCTGTCCTCAAGATATCTGAGCACGCTCACATAAGATGAGGCACAAGAAGGATAAAATTGCGGTCACCTGCTGGGCTCAACGCTGTCTTCGTTGTCGATGTTGGACTTGGAGCAGTCTCTGCAGCGGCTCCATCAAGGAGAAGCCACGAGCGCTGCATGGCGTCCGGATCTGAGTTGCGCGATGGGGTTTGTGAGGCAGCCAGCTTCTGTTGATCTGACGTGTCGTGCGCCATGCTCTCTGCGCGCCAAAAGACTATCAATGGTGAGCGGCGTGAGTCAAAACACCACTGTCAGGATAACTCTCTGAACAAAGCCCCAGACAAACAATCAAGACAGTAGGTCAATTCCGCAACATCCTGGAATCATCTTCCTACACGCTTACTTTTCAGCTTATGTTCTGACCTCCAACTTCATTTCAAATTTGGATTGTCCCCCTGGCACTGCCCCATTCCCTCTTGCAGCAAGTGCCCAAACACAAATTAACAAACCCAACAGGTCCCAGGAAGCACTTGCCAACAAGGCACCAGTTCCAACCTCTTGCGTTTGACCCCACTAAACTGCAGCTGAAGTTTGTCCCAAACAAGCAATCGTTTTGTTGTGACAGATACTTGCAACAATATATCAACTGGTCTGATAGAAAACGGAGCTGAACTGAACAGATTGTGGCAAAGCCACCTACATATGCATAACCCTTCATTTGCATCACGACAAGCTGCAGATATCTCAGAAAGATAGGCCATGTAGATTAGAGATACAGGTTCCACAGCGACCATTGCCATGTAAACAACAGTTTAGACTTCAACAACATTTACGGAAGTGCCAAAACCCAATTTATATCCATGAACCTGGAAATGCTCACATGGGCAATTGCAAGACAATTGCAAAGGGCACAATGAAAAAGGTGCCCAAATGCTGCTTTAAAATTTTCCAGCATTCCCAATCAGAGCACCTTTTGCGGAAGACCTCACCAACTCAGCAGAGCTTGACAGGACAGCTACTGATTGGACAAAGTAATTGATGATCCTTTCCAGTCCTTGGACAACACTGTATCTCCAATCGCACATTGTTTAGTCAGCAAGTCACCCATTGCTCACGCCATGGACCTCTGAAAAAGAAACCTTCACCAACAGAATGCAGCGGGGCCCACCGGCTTGCAAAAGAAAGCAAAGCAGAAGCGAGGCCTGCCAAATCCAGCTAAAATCAGACAGAATAACACCTCATCTGCCCTTCTTCATCTAGCATTGTCTGCAGATTACTAACAACACCAACCTATACTCTGAAAACTTGGCCCCTGCAACAACTGCTTACCTGTCTTGACGGCACCAAGGGTTGATGATGCAGGGGATGAAGGAGCTCCGCCTTCTGTGAACCCTCTGGAAACGGAAATGCAGGAGCGAAAGTGAAACTGAAGCGGCAACACTTGAGAGCTGCGCAGCTCTGAGAACAGTTTAAGTCTCCAAATGCCTGATTGAGGCGCCCTGCTTCTCACATCCAAGCTGAGTCTGCACAGAACTCAGGGGACCCCAAGCTCATTTTAGAAAGTTGGCCAAGGTTGGCTGCCGCGCGGCCCCAGCCGCGGACGCGCGGCGGGTCCAATCGCACGCAGGTGCGCGGTTTAGGGAAGGTATGGGCTTCACGGACTTCAAATGCAGTCGTCCGGCGGCGCACCGTAAAACCGGAACGGAACGGCAATCGCAGGCGGCACCCAGCAGTGCTCAGCGCCCGCAGGCTGCAGTACACACACATGCTCGAGTTGACCTCGTGAGACGTGTATATGGAGCCAGTATAAGTTCGGTGCAAACTGAAAGCTTGTTGGCTAGTTCCAGCCTATAAAATTGGAACAGGCTAAAAAGCTTGGACAGAAGCTCAACTGATCAATCACTCCAAAATATCTCGAAGACATTAACCGGTCAGTAGTACCAAATGCCGGCGATCTTTTGCCGCCTCAACGCAGCAGAATCTGCGAGATGCTCGACGGAGCATGATGCAGCGCTTCTCTGCAGCATTAGCCGGTCAGAGATGTCGAGCGGGTTCAGCCACTCGTAAAGTTAACGTCGAAGCCGCAAAGCCGGCTCAGAGAGCGGTCGAAGAATGACTCAGTATTACGTGTCTCAGTGTCGAGCATTCGAGCATTAGCGCTCGAAGGCGTCGAGCATGGGATTGCAGGCAACACGCATCCTATCAGAAACCATCAGCGAAGGACTCTGCATCCTCGAATGTGCGTTCTGACACTAAGCGCAAAATCGCACCATGCATTTGATCTTCGGGCTTGATGATCGAACCAGATTGAATCCCACCGCAACTGCAGAGCACACACAGAGGCACTGTCGAGCAAAGCTCGCCAAGCCAATCAAAGCGCCACCCAAGCATCCTGCAAGCTGCCACGGTCGACCGATCGCGCCGCTCACAGCAAAGGACCTCTCCTTTCGCCATCTTCAAAGCGCACACGACGCGCGCGCGCATTTTAACCCCACTTCCCCGAAGAGCAGCAGTCATGGCGCTCAGCACGTTCACCGGCCGCGACCCTTTCTCCGACCCCTTCTCCGACTTCGTCGGCCCGCTCGGTGTGACCGACCCCTTCTTCACTGGCTGGGGCGGCCGCGGGCTCGGGGACTTCTTCGGGGGAGGGGGGCGGGGCGGGAACTCCGGCCGCGACCTGAGCGATGACGACAGGAGGCGGCTGCGCGAGCGGGCGGCCATCCTGAAGACGGATGTCGACTGGGTGAGGGGGGGAGGCCTTTGGATTGTGGATGGGGGACATGATCAGCTTTTAGAAAGGATATAAGGACAGCGAATCTTAGGAGGACGTACGACTGGTTGCACAGTGGAGAGAGGGGGAATGGCAACGTTTTGTCGGCTTTCGAAGGAATTAGGTCCCCAGCTTCCGCAAGCCGCAAGCATGCAAGAGCATGCAAAGTTTCTCTTCGAAGAATTGAAGAATTGCCTGCGGGTTGGTGCAGTGCATCCGCTGGTATTCACATATGAGAATGCGGTTTCTGCATTTTTCCGAAATGCTCGCGCATCCGTGGCTGCTGCGTTTCCACGTTCCTCGTGCTAGAAACCTTACGCTTCCTCCGTTCTGGACGCAGGTGGAGTACCCCGACCGCCACGTCTTCTTCATCGACTTGCCCGGTCAGTGATACTTGCTACCTTCTTGATAGATTCTGGGGCTCCCCTGCTTCCAAAATGTGTACATACGGCCGCATTGCTGACATGCATGCATTGATCTTTATGGCACTGGTCTTAGTGGGACGCTCGAATCTGATGAGACAAGCGACTTCTGGACACAGCCAATCTGCTATTCAATCCGTTTCCCCTGCCATTTGATTTGCTGCTCCTCGCTAAGGTGATCCTCGTTGAAGGAGGGACCACCTCCAGAATGCCTGCCTTTATGCACCTCTCAATTGCTTACTCTTTCAATATGATCTGAGACCCATTTCATCACATCCGCTTTTTCTGGCTAGAAGATAATCCACAATGCACAAGAACACTGAGAAATCACGGTCTGCACTCAGTATTTCTCGCATTCTCGACGGCTTGAATCAAGCCCCAGTTTTCGCCCAAAATGGCCTTAACACACAGTATGCCTCAGCCAGAGTCTGTGGATTCTTTACAAACTTTTATCCCTCTCCCTTTTGGGTATGCGCTTACCCTGCATTGATCGCTGATTCCGCTGTGTCTTTTGCTGATCGCGACGCGCATCATTTCAAATACTCTTGCAAGCCCTCTTCGGGCCTGCCCGACTCATTCTAAACAATGACCGTTGCTTTGTCTCGAGTGGTGTTCAAAGCTGCGTGCTCTATGACCATCTTCTGAACCGTTGTGCGCTTCGGCGGTCCACATATTGGACTCACGAAACCTGCAGAATTGTTTTCGAGATGTTGATTTGATTTGCCTTCGCAGAACGTCTCCTGTGTATAATGCACATTTCTCGTTTCCTGAGATAGACTCAGCTTTGGGACTTTCGAATCACTCTGCAGGCGTGCCCAAGTAAAACGACTTCCTTTTTCCTCCTAGCTCTTCTCACAGGTATCCTCGATACCTTCTCGTGTTCTGGGACAGACAGATTTGCAACTCATTCGCCTGATCATACGTTCGATAGGTCGGGTAGATGCAGACATTATATGCATTTCTCCACAGAAGATCAAAGTTGTTTCCCCAAATGACACCGAAATTTCCACGACATACTCGATTTTAACTGTTTTTGCTGCCCGCCCAAACACTTCGAACGTCGAAGATCACTCAGTCCACAGGTATAACGTCGTAATTCCTGGCGTACCAAGAGTACATACAATTTCTATATAATTTGTGCAGGCGTGCCCAAGGACAACATCAAGGTGCAGCTGGAGGAGGGCCGCACGCTGGCCATCCGGGCGGAGCGCGACACGACGCCCCCCGGCCAGGACTTCACGCTGCACCGCGCGGAGCGGGGCGACTACTTCTTCCGCCGCTTCAGGTACGCGCTTCCGCCGGAAACCCCAAGCGCTTTGTTCCATTCTGATATCAGGCGACTCCTTCCGTCGCTTCAGGTACGCCCTTCCGGCGGAAGAAGGATAAAGAAATTCGTGCCGTGCCGATATCAGGCGACATGTTCCGCCGCTTCAGGTCCCCAGCGAAAACGTAATGTATGCTTTGCAAAGTCATTAACAGCCGTGACTGGAGCTCAACCCGTTACCCAAACTTTTGAGATGCCTTACGATCACTTCATGTGGCCCCATTGCGCCGCCGGATTTATCGTTCTCAGTATGCTCGTGTCTGAAGCCGCAGCCAACCTGGTCGGCTTCAAGCCGCATTTGAGGAGGTCAGCATACCGTTGAAAGACCATTTTCTTCTTGTGATTTGACTCCGTCTGTGTCTGTGCGCGCGATTAGGTGGCCTCTTCCGTTTCCGATACAATGTCTCGTATGCTTTGGTGGAGCTTAGGCCCCAGCGAATCTCTTTCCGCACCAACCCCCAAACTGCAGCATCTGATCTGAGAAGGTTTTGAAAAGACTATTTTGATTAGCAGCCTTCAAAGGTCCTCCTATCGAATAATCCGTCCCTAACTTGCCTGAAGTTAGCGGTTTATTCGTTCCCTTCACTTGCTGCTCTATCTACGACGGCCTTCCTGACCAGATACAAGCATTCCTGGCTACTGGTAGAATCAGCCAAATGGGCACTCCTCTTCCCCAGCTCACGCTGGTTTCGGCCGCCTGTAACCGTTTTTAGCAAACAAGTCCCACAATGTCGTTTGTCAAAATGGGCCGAGTCCGCTCACCTTTCTTCCGCCCAGTCGCGGAGTTCGTAAGGCACACCAATGCCGGATCTGCCCTTTTCAGTTACCTTGAAAACTGAAACGACCACGACAAAACCGCAACTTTCGCTTTGCAGGCTCCCCGCAAACGTGGACACGTCCAAGATCGAGGCCAAGTTCCGGAACGGCGTGCTGGAGGTGACGGTGCCCAAGAAGGAGGAGGCTATCAAGCACGAGACCAAGGACATCCCGGTCGCGACTTAGGGTTTCAAGAAGAATCTAGGATTTGCGGAGTAATGATTCTGCCTTTTGCCGTGTAGGGTTTCTGCGGAGCTATGTAGACGAAAGGCCGGAGGAAAGGACAGTTCTTGTCTCCTATTCCAGCCGAAATGGAGGCCTCGATAAGAGCCAGGGGGCAGGTATGGACGTACTCGGGAGCCCCGTACCGGGCAGCGATGGCTGCAGAAGCCTTAGAAGATTTCAAAAGGGACAGGGAAGCGAGAAAGCGAGCGCGGAGTGACCTTTAGAAAGCTCCGTTGGGCGCTTTGGTCGGATCAGCTGGAGCTTCGACAGTGCAAACGGTTCGACAACCTCGCTGTACAAAGAGGTCAACGTGAGGAAGAATGAAGTAAAAGATTCTTGTATGGGCATCTTTGCCAGAAGATTCAACTGCATTGCACATAAGCCGTCATATTTCGCTCACATGAATCTGCAGCTAGACACGCCCGCAGAGCCGAGGTCTCATTAAAGGATTCGTAGAAGATATCGAAGGGACCACCAAGTCAGGTGATGTATCAGTCACGGTCTGTGCTTGGGCCTGACAAGACTTCAGGCTTGCAACCTCCATATGCGCATCAGACTCCGCACTGCGGCCTTACGGAGCTGATTCTGGCCTCTGAATCAACTTTGCACGTTCCACCACAAGACCGCACGGTATCCTTACATGCGTGTGTTGCAACCTTGTCGTCAAACACAGCTTTTCTCAGTTGAAACGCGCTGTAGAATTCTGAACACACTTGTGTGTCAAAATATGAACGCGCGGCGCCTCGCACTGTCGAATTATCGCGCACAATCCGATCACATCGCCTTCTTTGGGAGGCGTCTCACGAAGTAGAGGAAGAGTGCGCTCGAGACAAACTCTACTTGTTACGCCTATCAACAGCTGCCTCAGCCTTCCATTCGAACTTAGGCAGCCTACTGTAAACGTCAATTTGCTAGTACACTGCCAATGCGCGGCCCGCATACTAGACCGTCACGCCAGCGGGACGTCGACGCGTGGACGGACCACTTCGATGCCAAATTCTAAATGCGACATGTATCCATCCATTCGGCGTTGTGAGGCGGCTCGTAAGCTTCGGCCCAATTGTAAGAAAATCCCATATATCAGGATATATGAATCATTACCTACGGTCTCTTAAAATGAGCGGCGCGCCGCAACAAAAACTCAGTACGTGAGTGCATGAGCACATGAGTGCATCGCGATCTGGCAGACGGTGGGCCAGACTCCTAATTGCTAACAAGTTTATGCAATGAAAAATAGGGCCATGCAACTGAGCCCGGACCACATCCATGCACTGCATATAGCTAGAACTGTTCATTGCTCTATGCATGATAGTGAAGCGCGCAAAGCCAGCAGTCATTCGGCCGACAGAAAAACTGATTTTTACAAGGACTGTAAGAAATTTCAGTATCAATGTCGACCGGGTGGCATGCAATGCGAATTGCTTAAGATACAATCATTTGATATTCATTGCCAGAAGCTTGTGCATGTGTGTCCTGCACACGACATGCAAAACCGGAATTCTTAACTTCTGTAAATTGATACTAGGAGATCAACACATTGTTCCTATTTTTTTCGGGGATTGTACACGAGTCTATGGGAAGTTTCACTCACTCAAGGTCTATGCGAACGGGCAACATGTAGTGAAGGGGGCGGTCTGCTGGCGCCAGTTGTATAAGTTACTCAGCAGCACGATGTTCCAAGCAGCTTTGCTCTCATATTTTACTGCACATTTGGCACCGCCCAGATCATGCTTGGTCGCCCTTCTTTTTCCGCTGAATCTTCCCCTTGGTCATGGCCTTGATCTCGTCCTTTGCTGACTCAGTCTCCTGCTTCTCCTTCCGGCCGCCAACCGCCCTTGCCAGCTCGGCACTCATGTCGCCCTTCAGCTGTTTGCTCTTCTCCTTCCACTCTTTCTCCCTGTAAGGTCGGAAACGGAGATCCATCTGGCTATGTCTAATTTTCATGCATAAAGGGCCTTGAAAGTTTGACGTTCACGAAAGAGCGAGTCGCCTTTCAGACCAAGTGCAGTCAACAGCGCCCACTGGCACACAGGGACTATTTGTTAGAGTACCTACTGCCTTGGTCAAGTAAACGGGTGGGTCAAGGGACACAAGCTGAATGTGAGCTAGAATCTTGGATGAGATTTCAATTGCATATCTGCCTGGCTCTATAGCACATCCTCAATTTGATTTGCCCACGGGCCGGTTTTGAGTAAGCAACTCAGTTTAGCAGGACCTCACACAAGCAATTTTATTTTCAAAGCGCACTCACTTCCGGATCTTGAGGATCGCCGCAAACTTCTTCTTGGCCTCCTCCTCCGCTTTCTCCACGTCATCCAGCCGGCAGATGTCGAACGCGGAAATCGATCTCGCGTGCTTGGCCTGCGGGGACAACAGAGGAGGTTGATAGCTTGTAAAAGGCTGATAGAACATGTCATGTTGGGATCCGAGATCAACAAGGCTTGGCGTGAATGCCGTATTCGACTGTTGCAAGCTGCGGGCAAAAGAAGCCGGGAATACGACGAGAGACGGGCAAGAGGAACATAGATTGACGGTGCAGCGCGGTGCTAGAAAGTGCCGGAGCGGACTCGGAATTACGGATCGACAAGTCGGTTGCGAACTTCAGCTTCCAGACGATAAGAAGCAAGGTCTATGCGGAAAGTTGCGGCGTTCGGATATCAGTAAGCAGGATTTGGACATTTGGGCGCAGCATTTGGAAATCAGAAAGCCGGATGTGGGCGGAACACACCCTTCGGACATCAGAAAGCTACATGCGTCGCTGGTAAGGAGTGTTCGGACGCCAAAGAGCCGGATTCGGGCAGTGGAAAGCCGCATTCGGACGCCAGAAAGCTGGGTTCGGACGGTGGTACGCAGCGTTCGGACGCTCACCAGCTCGTCCGGCTGCATGAGGTCGAGGCAGTTCTCCTCCCACACGAGCATGAGGTCGTAGCAGAGCTGCGGCTGCAGTGCGTACTTCTGGATCAGCTTCGGGTACTTCTCCACCATGCGCCCCAGCTCGTCGTCGTCTGCAAACCGGGTTAGAAATGGTTTAGAAATGGGTTTGACACGTTTGTAGACGGCTACTTTTGTCAGGATTAGGATTTTCAGTCACTAGGATTCAGCTTCGGGTACTTCTCCACCATGCGCCCCAGCTCGTCGTCGTCTGCACACCGGGTTAAAAAAGCTTAGTTATGACTTTGACACGTTTGTAGACGGGCTACTTTTTTCAAGGTAAGGGTTTTCAGTCTCTAGAATTCAGCTTCGGGTACTTCTCATGCCCCCCAGCTCGTCGTCATCTGTAAACCGGGTTAAAAAGGTTAAATAAGGGTTCCACATGTTGGTAGACGGGCTACTTTTTTCGAGGTTAGGGTTTTCAGTCTTTAGGATTCGCTTCGGGTACTTCTCCACCATGCGCCCCAGCTCGTCGTCGTCTGCAAACCGGGTAATCGAAGGGTTGAGATGGGTTAACATGTCTGTTTTGGGCTATCGTTGGGATACTCTAGGTCCCCAGTGGTTATAAAAGACTTCTCGCGAACTTCTGCATGAGCTTCGGGTACTTCTCGCAACAAAAAGCCTAAAACCTGGTTCGGGTTAAGCAGGGTCTGAAAGAGATTGTTTATTTGTACATGGGAAATCCCCTGGGGGAGCAAAGGGTCTCGACAATTGGGTTCCTGTACGGCAAAAGAAGGCAAGGGAAGACATCTCGAATGCACTCTGGCTGGTTTACACCTTCCTCCAAAGGGGGCTGTTCGCCCAACTCCGTCAACCACTTGCCATCAAGCTTTTCTCCCCAACGGCAGACCTTGTAATCATTTTGTCAGGTTTGAGAGGATCCCTCACCGTCCTCAAAGGCCTCCATGAAGTTGGTCTTGGCGGCGGTCCGGTTGGCCGTGCTGATGTCAGCGCCGTCGAGCACCAGCTCCAGGCCCTTGATGAGTGGCACCATCTTGCCCTCTTCGGACTTGACCATCTTGCCGGCGGGGACGGCAGGGGCGGCAGGAACTGGGGGAGCCGCACCGCCTGAGCAAAGAAAACAACGAACGTTTGCTTTAGCATGAGGTTATTTCGTTTCAGAATCCTTGTAGGTTTTGTATGGTTGCCTGTTTTGATTAAATTGGAGGTAGCAGACGTGGGCACCCTCTCATCCCCGCATGCTTTTGAATTCGCGTCGAAGGAGTTGCGCTGCCTTCCCGAACTTCGTAAGTCAGAAGGCCGGGAGCTACGAGGGTCATAGATGCGAGGATGGAAAGTAGGCTTACGTCAGACGGGCCGTCACTCGCGCTGAAAGAGAAGCGCTGCCCTTCCAGAACTTCGGAAACCAAAGCGCCGGAAGCTACGAGCGTCACAGATAGGAAAGAAAAGGCCAGCCCATTTAGGATACTTCATTACTGGTGCTGCATCCATCCCAATCTCCAAGAACAAGCGCCACTTTTATCAACGTTGACAACCCACCTGAAGCAGGGGGGGGGGCGGGCCGCAAAGCCGGCCTCACTCCCCCGGGGGCCGGGGGCGGGGGAGGGCCCCCCGGTCTAGGAGGGCCGGGAGGGGGGGGAGGTCGAGGCGGGCCGCCAAGCTTTCCGCCAGGGGGGGGAGGAGGAGGTGGAGGGCCGCCACCTACTCTCCCCCCCGGAGGGGGAGGCGGCGGTGGAGGACCCCCTCCCACCAGGAGGGGGGGGCGGCGGTGGAGGGCCGCCAGCCCGAGGAGGCGGGGGGGGAGGGGGCGGCCCCGAACCCGAGCGGGGAGGGGGGGGAGGAGGAGGAGGGGCGGCGCCTGCGGGAGTGAACAGGAGAGGGTTGATTTGAAGGAGCGGCAGAACTAAGAGACGCATTTCCCAACGGGAATGGCCGAAGGCTAAAACGCGGCAAGTCAGCGAGACCCTGCGTTTAGGCCACAGCAAGTGACGTATTTGACAGCCAGCAAGGGAGAGCATTCCGCCGAACCAAAGCGGAAGTGCAGAAGACTGGCTTGTTCTGAGACAGCTTGAGAGTACAGGAGAATCGCACTCATACCTTTGTTCTCCTGCCAACTAACGTGATTCATTTCAAGTCGCCCTTGGTTTGCCGACATATTCGAATGGAATTCTGTCAAAATGGAAGTCATGGACGAAGCACAGCGACTGGGTTGGATACCCACCGTTGGGAGCCGCAGGGGGGGGTAGGGGCGGCGCCAGTGCCGGCGCGCTCGCTGCGGCCGGGGGGGCCGAGACAGGGTACGGCATCTGGGGATACTGGGGGGGGGGCATGACCATGGGAGGCTGTCCGGGTGCACCGGGCATGTACCCCGGGTACATCATCTGCCCGTTACCCACCCCGGGGGGGGGCATTTGGTACACGATCTGGGGCGACGCGGCCCCCCCCTGAGGGGCCCCTTGCACGTAAATCACGTTCTCGCCCCCTTTCTGGGGGGATCCCCCGGGGGGGCCGTTCACGTACACGATCTGAACCGTCCGTTCGCCCGCGGGACCGTCGGAGCCGTCGGATAAAGCCCCCGAGGAGGAGCGGCTCATGCGGCGGAGCAGTTTTGGAGACGGCGCGTCACCCTCCTGGCGGAGGGCGACTGACGTCACCTTTGGGTTGCCCATGGGCTCGAAGAAGGAAGTGGCGAAGAGCGCGCCCGGATTAGTCTCCAGCTTCTGCTTGAACGCGCGCGCCTCGACATCCGGCTCGCGCTTCTTGTCGGGACCGCGCGAGAACTCGGCACGCCCGGCAATGAATGCCACCTGGGAGGGCAAGCTGACGTGTTAACAGCGTGACCCTACTGGGCCTTTCCTCTCTCGAGGTCGTTGCTTCTTCCTTCTCGGAAGCGACTCTTGCAAGGTCCAGCTTTGCTTCTGTAACAGCAAACTCTCGATATCAAACACAATGAATACAGAAGAGTAGTCGCTTGACTGGCTTTCCATGTCGTGCCAAAAACAGAAACTGAGCCCTAACTTAGTCGACTCAACCAGCCAAATGGCTTGGCCATTCTATATCAACCTTGAAGTAGGGTTCAGGAAGCGAGCCAGAGTTGCTCAGATCCGCACTTTAAAATCCGCACAAAATCAGCGGGTCCCTAAAATCGTAACCCTGAAAATGCAGAAAACTTCCTCACCTGGAAGTCTACGAGCACGCTACCAGCCCGCTTGCGCAGTATGTTGACGCAGCGCGTGTCGACGCGCGCGGACGCGGCAACGCTCCTGCGGAACACGCCCTCCGCCTCGTCGCTGAACTCCGACAGCTTCGCGCGCGGGAACGCCACCGTGGCCTCGACGAACGCAGCGCCGGCTACAAGAAGGATGACGTCAGCGTCAGACTTTGTCACTGTCAGCGCAAGGACGATGACGCCAGCTTTCGCCGGAAACAATGTCAGTGCGACGTCGAAATTTCAATGTTCAGCACAACCGTTGGTACAGACAGCCCACTTGAGGGACCCCCGAACTCACGATCTACTGCCAAAAAACCCGCCAATGAGCCATCCGCCAATTATAGGGAAGCTTCTCTACGAGGGCGACATGTTTTCAGACCCGGTACGAATAAAACTAAGAGCCAGGGATTGTGGACCCACCCCGCTCGTCCTCGCCGTCCGAGGTGCCGTCCGCGGAATCGGACGTCCACCAGGTGGCCGGGAAGCGCACTTGCAGAAAGTGCTTGAGCGTCGTGGTGTAGTCGAACGTGTCGTTGATCGACGTCACCGGCAGCTTCCAGCACCCGAACGACTTGCAGTTCTGCGGCACCAGCCGCTCCAGCAGCGACGCGATCTGCGTACATGGAAAATTGCACCCAGTCAGGTAACCTGGATAAAAGGCAGATTGGATAGTTTTGCATCTTCGTGGGTGCGCTAAATGCTCGGGCAACTGTTGCAATATTTTCAACACTTGTCTAAAACGCCCAAACCGTTTCGAGCATCTGTAGCAGCAAAAGCCGCAACCTAGGCGACAAGCGAGGCGATTGCTCGACGCATCTTTAGTAGCGTGACTATCAGTGCACAAATGTGATCGTGGGAGCTGTTTCATTATGATACAAAGCTGAGCGCTCTTGGCAAGTAACATCTTAGGTCCTCCGCTCGGATGCCTCCAAAGCCTGTATTTTTCTGAGAGAGATTTGTCCCACACGTTTTAAGAATGACTGCTTTCCGCTCCCGTTAAGAAGTGACTTCGTTGATTTTGAATCTATTCTCACGTCAGTGCTTTGCGAAGCGGTTCAAAACAGTACACGCACCTCGGGTCCCCTCTTCTTGTCGGCACAAAGCAGCGCCAGCACTTCGGACGCCCGGGTCCGGATGATGGGCGCGATGTCCGCATCCACGATCATGTCCGAGAGGCGCGAAATGACGCCCAGGTTCACAGCCAGCTCCACGGCCTTGGAGCTGCCGGAATAGACAGAGGAGCAGCTTGAAGTCATTGAATTTCAACCGACGGAAACACTTTAAATTCGTTGGAACATGTCCAAATACGGGGTTGGCCCTGCTGAAATTACCAGTTTTGATAAAGTAGGACCGTCCCAAATCCCAAGTTGAAATGTTGACATTTTCCGGGGTTGGAAGCCTGCAGAAGGCGACCCAGTTGAACGCCACGAAATGGACACAGAACAATCAGATCGAGGTGCAAAATTATCCAGACGGCGAAAGCGTCTGTTCCCTAGATTCACGCAGATTTGTCTACATCTTCACAGCATCCTCAGGAAGAGTCATCAAGCAGTGGAATCTCTACCTGATCCTCATCAGCCGCTGCAGCAGGATGAGGCAACACAGTCGCGGGTCGGTCCCCGCGTTCCCGGAGTTTAGGGACGACACGTTGAGCTGGAGGAACGAGCTGAGGGTGTAAATCAGCTCCTCCGTGGCCATGAAGTCCGCCATCTCTGCAGAGAAACCAGAAAACGAAGATATTCACACCAGGCGCTGAAAAGGTGTGCTGCGTAGAGATGCAGGCCGTCGCACGGCTTTGCTTCAAGACGGCAGAAGTGCTCGGATTGGTCCCGGCATCGGCCAACTTCGACTCGTAGAGTGTGTTCTTTTCACATTATTCTTTCCGAAGGAGGATACTAACACCTTAACGCAAACGTTGGACGCAAGATGACTGCAGAGGAAATGTGCGGTCTGCAAAGGATGGGATGGCCTGGGCCCGTACCTGGGTTGCTGGCTATACAGTGGAAGAGCAGCATGGCTGCTTGGGACAGGCCTCGGTGATCTTCCCCGGTTCCTCCACTGCGATACAAACGATCGAAAGAGTTTGGTAAGGAACGCAATCCACAAGCTACTGAATTCTTAATCTCCGCAGAAAGACACTGACTCCTGCGGCTTCGATGAAGTCAGTTTCGTGGCACTTTCGCCGCTTGACGAACCTCGAGTGCCGAAGACAGAGCTTGTCAAACTCTCGGTTGCACGCGCAAAAGAATCGCCATCCAGAATCAAGATACAAGAAAGATACTGAATTTCGCTTTGATTCTCTCACCTGATGAAGTCGTAAACAGCGAGGAAGATGTCGAGCGTGGACTGCGACGAGACCGATTGTGGCCGCTTGGTGAAAAAGAGAAGCAGGCCCAGCAGGAGCCGCCTGGAAACAAGGAGTGCAGGCTATTTGTCAGCGTACTACGGAATCTGAATAAACCTGCACACCTCAGTTTCAACTGCTTGACCTTCATGACAACAAGTGGTAGGGGAACCTTCACATCGGCTTTTCTTTTGGTGCGACAGTCCAGAGTCGCACTGCGAGATTGCGCTGCGTTTGGCTTTCACACTGCGTCCGGCGTTCTCAACTCAGCTCTTGAGGTTGTCCAGATGCTGAAGCGTCCACTTAAAATGAAAAAGCCGTCCAGAACCAATGCAAATCAGTCCCCGAGCTTCGTCCTATGTCTCTGCACCGCCGTCCAAAACCGTCCGAACGCCGTTCGAGCCCGTCCAAACGACGTCCATATCACAGCAACAGGATCTGCCCGCCCTCTCACCTTTTATCGTCGAATTCGAAGACCCCTTCGCCCGAGCCGTCCGTCGGGGCCGCAAGCGCCGTATACTTGCGCAGCTCCCGCACGAACTGCTCTTCCACCGCTTTCTCAACCCCGTGTTCTGGGTCACGTAACAACTGGTCCAGGTAGAACCCGCCCAGGTACATCTCCCGGACGTAGCCCGGCGCGCGGGCGTCCGCAAAAACGGGCTTTCGGACCTCGATCGTTTCGGGCTGCACGATGGCGAGGCACCAGCGCAGGAAGAGGGGACGCTCCCGAGCGAGAGACCTGTGATAAAATTGAGGGTTTTGGAATCAAAGCATTGCAGGGTAGGGGTATGTTCATTTACGTGACTTCACAATGTGACGAACTGGACATGCAGGAAGCATAGATTGCAAGAACATGTAAGCGGCATTTAAGGAGCAAGAGGAGCAAGAGATGTGATTCAGGCCCTGATACTAGATTGGACGAGGATGAAGCTTCGTTCGGACAGTAGCAAATTCTTATCACTCTCCCTGTGTCTGGGGCAGGGACCCGAGCTTTGGAACTTCTATCGAAACCTCACCTTTTCACAGCCTCGTCTGGTAAAAAACGACACAAAACACCGATCCCCCCCCATCCTGTCAAGTACCGCAAACCCTGACCCAAACTTTAACCCAAAATAGATCCGGCCTCACCAGGTGGGCATCTTTCCGGCGCGCTCCTCCACAATCGTCTGCACCTTGTCCGCCTCGTCCTTGAGCACTGACGTCACCATCTCCCGCGTCTTCTTGTTCCACACTAGGGTCACCGCGCTCGCGTCCTCGTCAAACGCGCGGCACGCGGCCTCGGGATCTCGTGCGAGCAGCTTCAGGATCGCGGCGGGGAGCACGATTGCGAGCGTTTTCAGCAGGGCGGGGTCCTCCCGGCCCTCGTGATGCTCTGTGAACGCCAGAAGAAAGTGTCAGGGTTTTCGTTGTTTCAGGGCGAGGGGAAAAGCGGGGAGACTGACCGATATTGCTCGGAATATCGTTGGAACGAAGTCTGCAGCAGTGAGACGGGGTCGAGAGGGCGCTTGAAATCTGACATCGGCGTTTCTTGGATGTCTTCTAGAGTAATTCTCTAGTGGCCTTCGGAAAAGTCAAAGCGGAAAGATCGAATTCTGTCCGGTTGATCGCCAGGATTGTTTTTTCACCCGGCCTCAAAACGTTGCTAAGGTGCCATGGGATCAAGTAGAGAAGCCGACAGAGCAGTAAGGACTTCATCAGCAGGTTCTTCGCAGCAGGACGATACGCCAGGTCTGCCGCACCGGAAGGCTGAGACCGACCCTTACTTGGTTCCAAGAGGGCCATCAAATCGTGCAGATCCAGCTCCTCTTCCGCGATTGACTCCTCCGCAGCCGCATCAATCCCGTTCGCGTACGACCCTCGCCGCGAGCCCATCGACTCTCGCCTAGTCAGAGATTCCCTCCTCAGCGAGTCCCGCCGCCCGAACGATTCCCGTCGGCCAAACGACTCCCTCCGATCGCCAAACGATTCCCGCTGACCCAAGGACTCCCTCCGATCGCCAAACGATCCTTGCCTCTCGCCAAACGACTCTCTCACAGGGCTGTCCGCGCGTGAGTCTTCGCCCTTCTTCGACATCGACATGAACGAGCCGTTCTGTTCCGTCAGCGCCTTTCCGCTGGACGACCGTCGCGAACTGTCGCCGGAATCTCTCTGCGACCCGCTCGCGATGCTGTCGCGCCGGTTGTCCTTAGCGACAGCGTCCAATACGAGCGCGCCAAGTGTCGCCGCGGCGGCGAGCCGGACGTCCGACGGCTTTCCCGGTTTGTCTGAGCCGTTTGCGGACGGTGACGGGGTCTCAGGTTCGAGTGGGGGAAGAGCGACTTTGCAGAAGACGGACAGGTGGACCAATAACAGGGCGTTGCTGGTGAAAGTCGTGTTGGCCTCGTATCCGGGGGGGATGTTTTCGCTGCAACAGAACGAGGGCTGGCAGCTTGAGAGAAACGTCTCAGTAGCAAGTTCAGCTTCCGTTCCCACAGTGAACGCTTCCGACAAATGACGGACCGGAAACTCCAGCTTCAGAGGGACCGCAACCTTCTTTTGAATTTGTATGCAGAGTAATCAATGGAACTGCGATTGCTCTCTTAGAAAACCTTCTGTGATCTTGAGATCAGACACTGCGGACCAACAAAATCGGTGCCCGCCAAACTGCAGGTTGTTTTCGCAGTGGACTTTGCTCACTAGCGTTTCCAATCCAGACGCCACTCTGAACTTTTCTCCTTCAACAGCATCAACTCACCCATACTCTTCAGGAGATTCTTTCAGGAGATCCTTTTCAGGAGACTTTTGGTACCTTACCTGAGGGAAGTAAAGGCGTGGAGCAGTGCGAGCAATACCGCATCAGCCCCCGCGCTCGCGACCGCCCAGAGCAGCTTGCACAGGACGGGGAACAGGGGTGACGACAGCAGGGCGTCACACGAGAGCGGATTTCGGGTTAGGGCCTCGCTGATGCCGGCTAACTCAACCAAGACCGGTGGGTGACTGCTCCGGCTGAGGCTCGTCAGGAAAGGGTACCTGAGGATGGGTTAGGATTTGGGTTAGGACCCGAATGGGTTAGGCCAAGCTGCTGGTAGTGAGAGTGAAGACTGGACCGAAAACATATGCAAGGTCCGGATGCATCAAAAGAACATGGCTTTGACCTGGACACGAATGTGACCCTTTCTTTGGGTGATGATCCCCGTTTGCAAGTTTCACAGAAGCGCAGCTCAGCTGGCAGCAAGGCCTGTCGTCCTCTAGTGGGTCTCGGCCAAGAAAAAGCAATGATAGGGTTTGGTCAAAATGATTTAGCATGACGGCATGCAAGAACAACATTATGTCTCCCCCAGTAAGAAGAGAGTATGACAACAGATACTAGTCCTGACGGCATACTCTGCGTCGAAGTGCACGGCAAGCAAACCGAGCGGTTTGAGCTAGATTTGCACCTGATGGTTTGCAGCAGCTCCTCGTTCTCGTTGTTGATTGCGTGCCAAACGCACTCCTTCAGCGCCTTCATCACGATCAGATAGTTGTCCAGGTCACTCTCGAGAGCTGCAAACGGACGGATAATGCCTTTTTACACCGAGCAACAAGGAGCTTCAATTAGTGCTTCCTCAGCAAGTCACCGGAGCCAAATGGCTCGTCGTGTCGACGGCGTTAGCTGCAGCAAACTGGTTTGCTCGTCGAACCCAAGAGATGCAAGACTGTAGAGCATAGCTGCAAAAAGTCAAATCACTCACGCGAGCTGAGAGATTCTTTTCCGCCTCTATTGACCATCCCGGGTGGATTCCCTCTAGCTACTCGCAGTCATCAACATCAAACGCGAATGCAAAAACGATACTTGAAATTCTACAGTAGCTGTAATCAAGCAATACTCGAAAACAAATCGACCAATATAAGAATACGGAAGTAATAAAGGAAATCAACGAACGATGGTAGGACTTCTCAGCCAGAACAACAGGTCTCAGCCTACAAGGGTCAGTATCGTCCAAAAGTTTGGGGTTCTGATGCCAACCCAGAACCGCCAATATTCCAAGATTTCAAGAAATTGCTTCTGACCGAATGTTTCATCACTCACAGCTGCCGTTCGACTGTTTAACTTCCCCTGCGAGCACGGACTGGCTGCGCGCCTCGAGCCAGTCTTGGATGGCAACGCAGAAGCCGGCACCTTCTGGGAGATCGTAATCCTCCCACCCCCCCGTCGCGTAGCCCTTAATGTACACCCCCCGAATCGTGATCTGGTTCTTAAGGCACTCGTACTTGAAGCTCGTCATCCAGTCGAGCTCGTCGACCTTCAATGGAACTGCAGGCGGGACGAGATAGGAGTCCAGAGTGAATGACTGACTTCAACAATGACCTCAAAATGAGAAGACGAGATGCTTCAAAAGTGGACTCGGTGGGACAGGGAATCTGAGCAGAACAGAGGCAGGCGACACGAAGCAGAATTCAGGAAGTAAGAACCACAATCACAAACAGTAGACGAGAAGATGAGAAGAGAAAGCAGCATGTTAAACAAGTGATTGGGGCCATTTAGGCTGCCCTCTAAAGATTGGGACCTGGAATGAATCCTTGAAGTCAAACGAGGCTCCAGAGAGCCCTGCAAAGACTTTCTTACCTCCTGTAAAGATGGCGGTGTTGTGGTCTTTCAACCGCTCCACGACCCGCCTTCTCAGCTCCGCCCGAACCGGGGCCGTCCACATAGCCTGCGTGGAGCAAGCAGGAAACTTAGCGCTTTGTACGGGATGGCCTATCTGAGCCACGTCTCCAGGACGCTTCTGGGCAAAGTATCTGGGCCGCTCAGGAGAAAAGGAGCGCGGTAGCATTGCTTCCGACCGGGCAGTTTACGGCCGTATCACTGCTCAAAAGACCGGAGTCCTTTGAGGACACAATCAGCAGATTGCAGAGGAGGTGCCGCCGAGAGTGACAACAGATTGCAGAGGGGAAATGCCGCAATCAGAGGACCTTTCAGCGTCTCAAAAGGTCGACAGGGCAAAAACAGGCAGTTTACGTTCAAATCATGCGTCCAACAGGCATGTCAAATCCAGGCCGTTTGTTTGACTCCGAAACTCACCCCCGGCCGCTCGATGTTTGTGACCGCCATGGCCGCAAACCGCTCGGGGCCATGCTCCGGGTCCTCCAGCGCCTGCAGCAGCGGCTCGGGGAGGATGTTCCCGAGCAGTCCCCGCGCGACCAGCTGCCGCGTGTTCGGCATCGGGCCCCCCGCGTTTTTGAGCGTGCGGTGAAGGGTGCGCAGAACGGCCGCCGCGGAGCTTAGGATGAGGGTTGACGCGGACGGGAGCACGGCGGCCGCGGTCTCGGGGGAGGTGGTGCCGGAGGGGACGGTGAGAAGGAGCAGGGGGAGGTACCACGCCTGGGGGGAGGTTTGGGTGTTGGTGTTTTGAGACATGAAAGTTTCCCCGTTTGTTACTGTCTGTCAAGTGTTCTACTCGCTTGCGTCCGTCTTTCAGAAAGTTAAATAAGTCCATAGTTGCTTCAGTGAGAATGCCGTTGGCGAGGCGTGTGCCCGTGGTAGGGTTTAGATTCAGCTAGAAGGCTGCTCATATTGCACCTCGAAGATTCGAAGCCAAAATATCGTTCTACCCTATACAACGCGAACGCAGAGGAAAGAACGAACTCGGCACTGATCTTTCGAGGAAAAGTTGAGACTCAGTCGGTAGCAATAAGTACAGCACTTCAAGATGATGAAAGCCTTGACGAATTTGGCTCCTCCCCTTCTTCTCTCGCAAGAGTACCCAGCCTTGTCGTTGTGATCAACTGCAGGCTTTTGAGCATGTCAGCTAATTCCCCACTCCATTTTCCTTTAGCGAACGCTCACCTGCGACAGCGTAAACTCGCAGGAGGCCTCGTCCCCTGCGAAGTGGTTGAGACAGTCTAGCGCGATGGAGTGCACGGGGCTGCGCTCGACCTCCGCACCGTCGCCCACTGTGCAGCACAGGGCCCACCAGTACCCCTTGCGCCACCGCTGATCGTCGCCCAGTAACCGACGGCCCTCCCTGCGAAATCAAGGATTACTTAGGGGGTAAGGTGGGTGCAGATGCGGAGTGCGTAATCTCTGGTCCTTTTTAGTTGGGTAGAGGGGCTTATCGTCACTGGGCTCGAGGATTTGAAAGCGTACCCGCATTTTGACCAGTCGAACCGGTTCGGAGTTGTCTCTGTGCCCCTTTGGAGCCGCTTCGGACATCGTTGCATTCTTAAGTGCCGTTAGCCCTGGCTGCCAGGCTCAGCACAGGCAAGAGCAACATGCTTGTAGACTAAACTGACCTCAACGCCCAGTCAAGTCACAGCCTGCTGCTTTCAATCGAGCGATCAAACCGACGCCAAAGCAGTTTCGAATTCAGTCTGCGTTTGTTTCACCCCGTCATGAATCGGTAACCTTCTTCCAAATAGATAACACCAATCTTTCAAGACTAGCAGGTTACCAAATTTACCGGAGTAAAAAGTGTCAAATACCTGGAAGAAGCTGCCAGCTCCGCGATGCCGAACGCGCTCGCTAGCGCAGTTTCGAACATGATGTTGCCCGTCGGACGTGGCAGTTCGTCGTCCGTGACAGTCCGCGGTCCGATTGCCAGCACCGTAATGGCGAAGTTGAGAGCAGCCGAGGAGACCTCCATTAGGTCCCTGCCAAGAATTGGACGAAGGGTGGCGTTCAGATTCCGGGAATTCTCAGATGTGAGAATCGCTTAGCTCGAGATCTGTTACCATCTACGAGCCATTGCATGACAAGAAAAGGGACAGCCTGATCTTTTCATGTTTCTCAAACGCAACAGGCTCCCCTCGGAAACCACTACTCCTTGCTAAAAAGTCCGCATATGTTTCGAAAGGGACATGCAAACCACCTCGCAAGCAGTCCAGAAATTTACAGAAGCAATTTCGCCGGTTCATCTCCTTAGATGTCTTTCCTTCCCTAGTGGACAAACTGCCCAGTTCTCTCGTTGGTCCAGACACAGTCAACGCTTGGTTAGCAAACCCCGCACCTGTCATTGGTAGCAGAAACCCTGCGCAAGATCCAGAGCGCCCGGTGGAGAACCTCCAGCACCGAGGCTGGCGCGTCCGCTTTCTCCACGTTGCAGATGCGCACGGCAGGCTTGGCTGCGCCAATCACGATCGCTTCCGTGTCGTGGGGGAGGATCACTTGGGGGTACCGCTGCAGTACGTGCTCCTGTAGGGGGACGAAAACGTAGAGATAAGTGCAAATGGTGCGACAAGTTTGACGAAGAATGACGGAGGATCCGATGAAGGTTGGGAAAACAGAAGGTATGCAGCTACGAAGGAAAGAGAATGAGTCTTTCACGCAGGAACAGAAGCAACCTCGTAGCCAAGGGAGTAAAACGAGGCGAGTGAGAGTTCTCTGCTGCGTCAGATTTGGCTAACAAAAGGAGGAAGAGTGACAGTCAGCACAAAAAAAACCGCCTTCGAGGTTACCCTCTGCTGAGGTGTCAGTCACAATTGCTCACAGGAAACGTTTCCCTTTTCTCGGACAGATACGAACACCAGTAATGTCGAGTAGCCTCTGGACTCATGAGTGTCTTTGGGTCACTCGACTTGGCAGCCATGCCACGTGGCACTCACCAGGGCCTTGAGCAGCAGCAGCACGCGCGGCACCTGGTCGCGCCACGTGGGGCCCTCCTGGCCGTCCGTATTCTTGGGCACCAGCCGCAGCTCCTCCATGATGCTGTTCGCAAACGGCGTCGCATCCAGGATCTCATAAGTCGCCCCCTTGGCGAAGTCCAGCAGGTTATGAAGATATAAGGGGGCGCAGTACACCTTGTTCTCGAGCTCGTGGTGCTCGAGCGGCGCACGCCCGCGCGTGCTCCGGAAGGGAAGCAACGGGTTTTCGGCCCGCTGGCCCGCATACGGGGTTAGGATCTCGGTTAAGTGCGCGGTTAGCCGCTCTTTCATGCTGGGTTGCCAGACGACTTCCGGGGTATCGAGCGTCTGATGCAGCGCTGCCGCAAACGGCTCGGGGCCTTCTTTTATCAGCAACCCAATCAAGCCCGACGGTAGGTAGAGTCGCAGGATCGAGTCTTGCCACGGTAACGTGCTCAACGACGTCTTCCGATCGGACCCCGTAACGTGTTTCAAAGCGTCGGGGCTCTGCGCGAGGTGCGTCAGCGCGAGGAACCGCGCGATCGACTGGCGGTCGTAATCGGTGACGTCACCCGCAAGCGTCTTCCAGAGCAGAATCTCGAACACGCCCGACCGGTGGAGCTGGGTTAGAGCACGCCGGTCAGCGGTAACCACAAGGGTTAGGACGTCCAAGATGCGTCCGAACACTGGGGTCTTGGCGCGAAGGAGGAGGGAGACGAGAAGAGACGCACAGGGTTCTTGGGAAAGGGATACGATAGCGGCAGGGGGAGGGAACTGATCAGCACGGTTGCCGGACAGCCTGCAGCAACAGAAAGAAGACTCATGAGCGTCAGAACAAGAAACCTAGCTGAAAAAGCAAAGCCATAAATTGCAGAAGACAAACATGGCTTAAAGTCTTCATCTAGAACTATTCACCTCAGATAAGCTCACAAAGATTGCACAAACCCTCGCGCCTCCTGATTTGGCGATTCCTCATAGCACACGTGTGACCCAGAGCGAGAATAAGCGTCTGTTCTGGAGCAATTGCTTTGGAGAATCGCTAGCTGACGTCACCTGATCATGGCCTCGGCCAGGTCGAGGCACGTGCCGAGGCAGACCGACTCCGGGACGGTGTCGTCCCGCCAGGACACGTCCTTGGGGTCGCGTCCGCCGTCGGATGAGCCTTTTGTCGGCGTGCTGCCACGTGGCACGATGCGGCCGTCCTCCGTGAGGTCGGCGCCGTCGCTCACAGGCGGTGCATCAAGCTTCGAGCGGCCGGTGTAGGCGTCGCACTCCAGGAGCGTCTTGTCGGTGCACATCTGAGGAATCGTAAAATCTCGGTATTCAAGGTTCAGGCTTCGCAGATCGAGTCTGGAAATGTGACGAACGGTGGCCGCTAAAATAATTCTCAGGTGGTGGAGAGATACATCCGAGCATTCCCTAACGGAAACCAGAGCTTCAGTAAACCAAGACTTGGGTCAGGACGAGCCAACGACTGAAAAGCCGTGAATCACCAGCGTTCTTCCGTGTTGGACTCTGCAACCCCGTTTGAAACATATCTGGCCGAGACTTCAACATGCGCCCCAGGTGAAGCTTCTCAGCCTTCCACTCCCAAAACCAGACCGACCCCAAAACCTGCACCAGGTTCAACCAGCTCAAGCAGCGATACCGGCCATCCCTAAAAGACGAGGCGAATCGCTCCTCACGTTGTGGAGGCAGTGCGCCATCATGGGCGCGAGCACAGAGGGGCCCCCCGCGCGCACGACCTGGAGCACATTCTCGCGCCCGCCCAGCTCCATGGCCGTAAGCAGGAAGAGCAGCAGCTGGTACTTGAGCGACTGCTGGTCGTGCGTGGCCGCCACTTGCAGCATCAGCACCACGATCTGAAAGAAAAAAAAGGATTGAAATGGTTGCTGGGGAGGAAAGATTTGTGTTGAAAACGCATCCCAGATCTGCTGAAAAGTCCCCTTTGCAGCCGCTTGGAAACGTCACGTGCATGGGCGTTGCAGCGGCATGTAGGAAAGTTTGCGCTTCCATGTGTTAAAAAGCACTTTGCAAGCAAGAACGCACAAAGCTCTCGGCCAGCGCTCGAATGTGGACCGAGCGCAGACCAGCGTGCAAAACGAATAATCGCTGAAGTTGTAAAGCCAGGAGCCGGCAGTCAGTCCAAAGCCTTGCCAACGCTAGAATCTTTCCTGTGCAGATTAATCACCCTCCGACCACCCTGGCAGAGCCTCGAAATCCTGGGAGTGACTTCTACAATCCTATGAACTAAAGACCGGACATGAAACAGCTTGCAGGGTTATCCAATCCGTCTTCCAGTAACGAGGTAGACCAGCGCTCGCTATCTGTGCTCACCTCAATCACGTTAAGGCCCTGGACCGCATGCCCCAGGTCCTTATGGTGCCGTTTGAACACCCATGCCAGCGCATGCATCCCCAACCGCAGGTCGATCTCCGTGACGCTGCGAGTGGGCCCCTGGAGCGGCGCCAGGGGGGTGAAGCCCAGGATGATGGTTTGGAACAGCGACGAGAAGAAGGTGACCGCGTCGCGCAGCTGCAAAGGGGAGCCTTTGTCAGCACATGGTTTCGAAGGGTCGTAAAACCAGCTGTCCTTGAGCAACTCTCGTAGAGATCGCCTGGCAGTCTCCAAATGGGTTGCTCTGAAAGTTCGACGACAGCTCCGCACAACAAGATTCCCGTTTCCGTGCGTTGTATTATTCTGCACGTTCGCATCAACAGCGTTCTCACGGAGTCATGGTCTGGCCCTTGGAAATCACCCTTCACCTTGGGGGCAGATAAGAAGGCGTGCATGAGATCGGAACCTGAACTCAACCGTCGACAGAAGAGATTGGAAGCCGCACGTACCTACCAAAATTTTTCCATCGGCCCATGTTAGAGTGCTTGGCCGGAATCGCTCGGCGCACACGATTGAACCAAGTGCTTTCAGATTCAACCCAGCAACGAATGAAAGCGATCACAAGCGCACCTTCCAGGGATCCCCCAGCAGGCCCGCGTTGGGGTGCTCCGGCAGATCGACGAGCAGCTCCAGGTGGATGCCCTCGATGATGGTGCCATGGTTCTCCGACGCGTCGCTGTACGGCAGATACACCTCCCCAATGTTGTAAATCACACTCTGGTCGTTGCCCGCTGCAGCGTCGAACGCCTCAACCTGGCCCGCCAGAAACTGCAAGGAGCGCTCGGAGTTTCAAGTCGCTATAGAATCTGGTTCGTTTCTTCCATTCCCTTGATAGATCTGGGGTATAAAGAGGTGTTATCAAGGTCGTTGAAAGCGCTTTCATTGCAGGGCTCTGCGCATGCATCCACTTGGCTCGCCTAAGACAGCTCATATGGTGCAGCATTTCTTATTTCAGGGCTTTAAAGCAAAGGGTTGAGGTTTTTCGAAGCGGCGACCAAAGGATGTACGCTTAAAATGTTCCTCTGAAAAGATGGTCCACAGCAGCTTAACCCACCACTTAGAGAACGCTTTCGCTTGGCAACCACTATCCTTAGTCTTGAGATTCCAACTTGCAAACGCTGCATGATAGCAACGTGCTTACAACATGCTTGTGACGGTCAAAATAATTGTGACCGCTCACCAGTTGCAGCTCCTTCCGTTTCAGGTCGTTCCACACGAGCGTCGGCAGCGCGACTTCCTCCTTCCTCAGCACCTCCAGGATCTCCAGCCACGCCGTCAGCTGCACCGTGCGCATGTCCTGCATGGTGCGCTGGAGGGGCGTTAGGGGTTTAGAATACAGGGGAGCAAAAGGGAGAGTCAAGGAAAGGAGGAGTTTGGGACCTCGAAAGCCAGATCCAGGTCAGATGTTCGTGTCGAGAAACGGTGGAAGTTAGAAGACAGCCTTGAAGTGCGAACAGCATGAATGACCCTTCTACTTAGGACGGTTAATATACTGAATATAGAAGTAGAAGCGAGAAGGCCGTTTAAACTGGATCAACAATGTTACGGTTGGTGCTGACGACATCGTCTGATAGGGCGATGTGACTTTGGGGTTAAGCTAGTGGCAAGGTCATTCGCTCGGGTAGCTCAGGTAGATACGTTGACCACGAAAGGCTGCCCTCATAACGTGGATATAGATGACGATGCAAAAACCGCTTCAGAGCCAAGGAAATGCACACGCAACAGACCCTCGCGTTTGCACAAGGCTTGACGGCGTAGAAACTTACAAAGTAGGTTCGACTACAAAACGGTAGGTTTTCTGAAAACCAAAGCCGAATTTAGACGAGTAAGTCAGGCCCGAGCGCGCATAAGGCCAAACTTTGATCCATGAGAACCTTGGCGGCGTAAAACCCACTGGAATCAAGCTGGCTCAAGTACGAAAAAGGTTGGGGTAAACCGGAACTAGAGTGGAGAGTTACAGATGTAAGCACGCACCAGGCCCGACTTGGCATTGGCGAGGACTTTTGCAGCCATGAAAATCTGAAACTGAGTCGATTAAGTAGGCCTAAGAACGAAAACTTACGGAAAGGTCTGGTAGATAAAACTCAAACCTAAACCTAGTCAAGGGTTACGAATAACCGAGCACGCACCAGGCCCGACTTTGCATTGGCGAGGACCTTGGCGGCGTGGCAGTAGAAGACGCCCTTGGGCAGGACGGCCTCGATCATCTTGCGCGTGTCGGTGCTGCCCTCCATGAGCAGGAACACCAGGTTGCCGCTCAGCAGGCGCATCATCTCGTTCTTGTGGAACAGCGCGACCTTCAGGTGCAGCAGCACCACGCACCGTGCGAGGGCCACTTTCTGTAAGAGAAGTGGGAGAGTGTGAGACGATTTCGGATGCGAAAGCGTCTCGAGTTTCTTGTGAACGAGCGTTTCTTTTGCTCTTCTGGAGAGAAAGCGTGAGAACGAAGCAGAGATTGGATGAAGACCAGGTTGCCCCTCAGGAGCGCATCATCTCGTTCTTGTGGAACAGCGCGACCTTCAAGTGAAAGAGCACCACGCACCGCGCAAGGGCGACTTTCTGTGAAGAAATAGGGAGGGTGTGAGGCTTTCGGATACGGAAACATTGCGAGGCTTTTTGGGCGTTGCAAGAGCGTCCTTCTTGTTGTTTGAGGAGGGGAAAGAGAAAGAGGTAGAGATTGGACACCAGACTTGCCCTCAACAAGCGTAACGTCCCGTTCTTGTGGAACAGCGCAACATTCGAGCGGAGGAACACAACGCACCGCACAAAAGCAGTCTGGAGAAGAGGCGAAGGGTTACTGACTGGATATCGGCAGACGTTAACGGGCTCCCTCTCTTTGCGAGTTGAAGGCGAAGGAACAAGTCTCGAAGGGACAATGGACGGGATCGGAGACGGCAGAAAAGAAGTAAAATAAAGGGTTGCTTAAGTGTTGCGAGACTTGAGTAGAAGATACAACCATCAAGGGGAAACCGACTGACTTTCACGGGACCAAGGAGCAGAGGGCCTCCGATTCCGCAAACAAGATGTGCTTAGGAGTCCGCTTCTGACCCGCATCAAAAAGCCGGTACTTGACTACGTCAGTCTGACTTGCAGTGATAAACGAAACAAAGTTGCTGGCTTGGAAAGGCCACAATTAAGTAATTCAGTAGCTCCCACGATAAACGGCGGTGCTTACCTGGATGTGGCTGGTAACGGGCGGCGAGGCCTTGATGAGCAGGCTGCGCATGAGGACCGTGTTGCACCGGAACACCACCGTGCTGCGCGTGCGGCAAATGGCCGACAGCACGTCCGCGGCGCCCATCAGCGCGCTCTCCAGCGACTGCGGACAGGATCCGGACAAGTTACGGACCAGCTCGGACACGCTTCGGACGAGTCTCCGTTTCCGGGCAGAATCGCATTCACTTATCCATTAGTTTCTGACACACTATAACAAGAGAATCCGGCTTGTCAATTATTCTTGTAGAGTCGGGGATTGTTTGACACCAAGAGCGAGGGAGCGCATCGTTACGAAACACCGTGCCCGTAGAGAAGAGTCACGCAATGGGAGCTAAAAACGCAGGGCTTCAAGCTCCGTGAAAGTGCTGCCATAGCACTTCACACTACAGGGAGTTGAATTGTGGGATTGTGGCCGACCGAGGAAAGGGAAGGGCAAGAGCTTTTCGGTTTGCTCTGAAGACGAGTAGTTTTCGGTTTTGATTATGGCACGCACCCTGAACCAGGCGACCTCCTTCTCGTTGTCCTGCGCCGTGTGCGACGTGAGTGCGAGCACCAGGATCTCCAGGTAGGCCATGACCTGCAGGGCGTTCTGGCCCAGAAATGCGTGCGTGTGCAGCATCGCCACCAGCTGCTGCAGGCTCTCGGGGGTCAGCACGGACAGCTTGTTCAGGTTCTCCTGCAAACAAAGGGGCGAGGTTTTAGGTTTGCTATTTGGTCGAGTTCGGCAGTCTAGACTTTGCTGAAAACTTTAGGGTAAATGTATCTAAAGGGCCACATGGAACGCCTTTAGACCACATGGAACGCCAAAATGAACATGATGGGTAGATATCCCTTCTTGGGGGTCAGCATCGACAGCTTGTTCGAGTTCTCCTGCAAATGGAGGGGCGGGGTTTCAGGATTGAATGGTTATCAATTTTAGGACTTTAGGGTTTGAAATCTAGGGGAGGTGAATTTCCATAAAGAGGGAACGCAAAACGGATAATGAAGGGCAAGAGGCTCTCGAAGGTCAGCACCGGCAGCTCGTTCAGGTTTCCCGGAAACAGGAGGAGACAGATCTAAAGGTAGTTCAGAGTGCAAGATGTGGGAAAGAACGATTAAGAGTTGAGATTGGTTCTTTCAGATCTCGTGCAGCAAATCAGATGAATGTCAGAATTTACACGGGGCAACGAGAGAACTCTGAATCTCAAGGTCCGGAACGGTACCGCACGGTATCGTCTCCAGAATTTACAACGAGGACTGCTTGCTTAAGGCGCACTGTTGAGCATCAGATCGCCAGTGTTGAGTCGAGTTGCCTTCAGAAATGTCACACGAGCGCGTCATGAGCCGGCTCTCGTTTGAGCTGAGTTGAAAGTCACCTTCGAGCTTCAACGGACCTCCACGCACCAACGAGAGGAAACATTGCCATGACGCAGCACATAACCAGGGCGATCCACGTTTCAACGAGCAAGGAGTCCTTGTATGACAGCTGAAGTATACGACAGCTGAAGGCGCACCATAGGCCGACCGACTAGCACGATAAGCGCTCACCTTCGCTTGCCACGCGCTGTCCATAGGCCCCGGGTTTGGCGACGCATACTTCGCCGCGGCGCGGATCGCTTGCGAGGCGACGTAGGTGATCATGGGGTTCTCACTGCGGATGCATTTGAAGAGAACGGCGCTGAGGCCGGGCACGTCTTTGACGCCCTCGAAGCACTTGCGGGAGGAGAGCAGGCGCTGGATCATGACGCAGCAGGGGACGATGTAGAGAGCCGCGATGTCGGTCTTGGCTGCAAAGATTGACAGAATCGAAGTTCAGAGAATGAGAACGGGAAGCTCGGAACAATGGAGCAAGAAGGAAACCTCATCTCGAGAAAAGTTGAGAGGTTACGTTTGCTTCCAGATGACGTTCTGTCAGATCCTGTGGGGCAGAATAGCTGCTCAATGCACAGGGCTACGCTGTCGGACTTGTCTGCGATCGAGCGCGAGTTTATGACGTCATGTGACGTCCAGGCTGAACATTCTGGGCGACCACCACAGCCTGGGCACCAAGACCATCTCCATGAGGGCGCTCCACCACGGCGGCGTCCCCGCGTACAACGTGCACAACCTGTACGGCTCTGCGGAAGGCCGCGCTACACACCTCGCCCTCCGGGGCGCCCATCGTCCCTTCGCTTAGAAGAAACGGTGAATCTTCATTTCTGATGCACCTTGTGATCTTGCATTCAAAACAAGAAAAGCGAACTTTCTCCACGCCGAAAATCCAAGACAACCACAACGACCGTGCAAAGAAATCATGAACGGCCACGAAAATCACAGCTGACGTGACGTCATACGGTCACTCACAAATGACGTCCTTGAGGAAGTCGCAGACAATGCCGAGCATCTTTGGGTCCATGCACTGCACCTCCCCTGCGGGCACGTTGCAGATGTACTGCTTCACCACCGGCTGCCACGCGGCAGGGTTGCGCCCCGCAGTGTGAATGGCCACCAGCTGACTCAGCAAAGACGCCTCGTACTCGTACTGCAAGGAAGGGAACACTTGTTAGTTTTGCCAAGACATGTAGCGGTGTGATTGGCCACCAGCTGGCTGAGCAGGGACGCCTCGTACTCGAATTGTGAGGAAAATAGCAGATTTCAATGTTGAGTGTAACGAGTACCAATGTGAATGGGCACCGGCTGGCTTAGCAGGGACGCCTCGTACTGTGAAGAAAATACAATCAGTAGTGTTAGAGTGACCTGTAGCGGTGTGAACGGGCACCAGCTGGCTTAGCAGGAACGCCTCGTACTCGTACTGTGAGGAAGAATTAAGTGGCGTTAAACGGACATGCAGCGGAGTACCAACTTGCCAAGCAAGGATGCCTCGCACTGTGAGACCAAAAGCGACTGGTTACGTCTAATGACGTAGCGGTGTGAATGGGCACCAGCTGGCTCAGTGGAAGGACCGCGAATCTCAGTAAGGGGGCCACTCTGGCAGGCATAAGAAACCCCGGAATAGTGGAATGAGCACAAGCTGACTGAGAAACGGACGCCCCAACCATACTGCAAGAAAAGTTGGAAGAAACTCGTTTCGCCTTCTCCATCAAGCAAAAACGTGTTGGGTTTTATGTAAAGACCTTCGAGCCAGCTCGAGACTGCTGAAGCGGCTGATAAGATAGATTCTTCCTCCTCACGTGTTTCCGAACCTTAGAAGCGAACCTTCGCACCCAAAGAGTTGATTCAAACCAAAGAGTTGACACTCAAGCCATCGCCGATCCTTGCAGTCTGACTATATGTGAAGTGCAATGCAAACCTGCACTTACCAGCGACATAAGCAGGGGCCGGTCCGGCAGGCAGTGCCCGAAGAGGGGCTCCATTCGGAAGCTGAAGTGCGAGCCCTTGATAATGCTGATGCTCTCCGCCACGCTCGCCAGAAACGCATCTCGCTGCTCGAGATAGTAGTGCGTCGGGCGCCAGTTCTTGTACTCAATCACGATCTCGCGCTCGTTGGCGGGGACCATCACGACGCCCAAAATGTCGACCAGGCTGCGTTTGGGGGGTAGATAGAGGGAAAATAAGCAGAGGACAACAGACTGCCTCGAGATGGAATGCTTCAGATGAAAATGCGTTTACTACTGGAAGGGCGCCACAATCACGCTCATCACGGCTTTTGAAGAGCGAGAAAAGCTGCTTGAATTTTATGAGAGCGTATCTCATCAATCTGCACTGATCATTGCCTTTAACAAAAGGGTGGCATTTCGCCTTTTTTTGTTTGTGCGCACCAAGCCTATCCCCTTTCTCTACCTTGCCTTTTCCTTCGAAAACGAATAAAAGATCACGGGTTGCGAAACAAACGAGGGACTCCAGGGTGGGCAAGAACGTAGCGGGGAGGGGTGAGGCGCAGGAGAACAGAAAATGGTTGTTGTGCATCGCCCGACAGTGCCCGGCAGGGTACAAGAAACATTCGTCGCCATGTAAGACTCTAGAACCAGGAAGCGAGTAAGCGACCTAGCTTGCACATCCGTGATCCGCAGAAGATTAGTCCAGAGAGTCCTCCTCCGAGCTGCGAAAGCCATCTCGTTGTGAAGCGAAAAGAACAGAGGGGCCGCCAGGCACGAACGCAGTGTCGTTCACGCCGATCACGTGAGCGACGCTCTGGGCAATTCACGCGATTCAACGGAAGCTGCAAAGAGGGTCAGAAAGTGCATCACCAGTCCCGCGCTCAAAGCTGTAGGATCATGGGCTTTCCAGTTATCCCACCTGTGCGCCCCAATGATGTCCTCCCCGTCTTGCTCCACGAGGTAATCTACAGTCAGCAGCAGGCTGCGCGGCCGGGCCAGGCTTGCGTTCCCCTCCGACAGTTTCATCACCCCGAACTCGTACAGCACAGGCCGTTGCTTCTGCAGACGATAGACCAGTCGGCTGAGTATTCACTTCAACACTTTCCAAGTTGCAATCGGCAGACCGTACCCAGCCGATCGTTGTTCCGGTCAACCACGAACCATGGCGCTGTCGTCACGATCAACAAAGGCTGTGATCACGAAGTCTAGATTTCGGATCAAAGTCTCGCAAAGCAACCAAAAAAAAGCTACCAGTAATTGACCCATTTCCCTCGCTCTTAGCAAGGGAAAACATCGGACAAATCAGGGACTCCAAAAGCAGATATCGAAGCCAGTCGTCACGCTTTGATAGGATAAGGGCCATAAATGTTCCCCAGCAAACAATACACGCCTTTAGAAAGCTCTCATATCGCTTTCAGGAGAGACTTGTGTTCCAAAGAGGTTTCTTTTCATTCAGTTCTTATGAAAGCAAGCTGTCTCAACCACAACGACCCGACTCGGCCGCGCGTCGCTTACAAGCTCCTTGTGGCGGGCGGCAATGGCGTCGTCCATGGCTGCTGCCGTGATCTTCTCCACGTCCAGTGACTTGTCCAGGTAACTCTGCAGAGACAGACATGGTTGTGTAAACCTCCGCACGTTCCAAGACTGAAACTTGAGCAAAGCGAGGTCTTGAGGGCTTCTCTGAGTCGACTGCCGTGCAAAGACAAAAAGGATGTCAAAAACATGCCCGTGGCGGGCAACTTCCACCAAGGTTTTTGTAAACGTCGGCCTCGGTGAATCTCTCTGTGAGGTTTCCCCGGATGACTCGCAAAACGATGCCACTAAACCGAGAAGGAAAACCACGAAACGCTGAAACTCTAGTTCTCTAAGTGTGGTAGCTGGCGAGAGATTGGTGTTAGAGGCTTCCTGAATGGACCGAGAAGTGGCAAAGGGACGTAAGATTCGTAGTTCCATTCTTCGATTCATTCCTGATGGAAGGAGGAGCGGCAGGAGTCTGCAGCTCGCCTTGCGCTTCTTCCGGACGGCTTCTTGAAATGACGCCAAAATACCGAGAAGGACAATTTTGAATGACCAAAAAACTTCGGATTTGAATGGCGAGAGAGTTACAACTCGCCTTGAGGTTCTTCTGGATGGCCTGCACGAAGGGCGCGGCGTCGCGCAACAGCAGCTGGACCACGCGCGATTTGAGGTGCAGCAGCACGGCGCGCCCATCGTCATACAACACCTGGATGCGCTCAATGTCCGCCAGGTTGATCGTCTTCAGCGGGTTCACCTGCGAAAATGATTTTGTGGTTGAGAGAACGCGAAGCAATCTTTGAATCGTAAAAGCCCGCGTGTTGTGCCAAGTAACGCTGCGCTGATCGTGGTAAGCAGATTTGTATGCGAGGGCGCAATTGTAACGACCTCCTGATACAAGTTCACCTGCGGAGATGCTTTATGAGGAAGGGTACGTAAATCGGGATTCCCTTGGTGGAACTCAGCTTGTTAAGGGGAACGCTGAAAGAGTCAGAGCTGATTCTCCTAAGCGATTTCATTGCCACAACGCAGGAGGGACAGTACGTCACAGATTCCACGTGTCAGTTTGGAGGACCGGAGCACTTCGAACCATTCTCTTTCCACCCATATGTAAGCTCCGACGCTGCACAAAGCTTCCGGAGCTTGTACAGTTAACAACCTCGAACAACGCCTTCTCTGCCATTGCAACCCCGCGTTAATCCAACGCCCCTTTCAGACATTTTCATTGATACGAAGTAGCATGAAGCAGCCACCGAAAGCGGGCGGATGAACGAGGGCTGGCCTGTGAGCGCTTCCTGATATTCGGTTGTGAAGTGCTTTTGGAACGCACCGACTGTCATGGCGAGCAATCAAGTGGGAGCCAGTGCTGTCTATCCCCACAATGACAACAGCGGTCTCCCAGGAAAAGCAACTCTTTGCAGGCATGGAAGACCTTACAGCACAGGGATCGGTCTCTCAGCGGCTCACAATACCCTTCCCTAATCTGGGTACCCGCTCCTAATCGGTAGTCACAAACGGACCAAGCCTGTTTCCCTCAACTCTGTGTCCTCTCCCACAGAAGGATCACGTCCCTGGCCTCTGAAAAGTTTCCTACTGCAGAAGGCTTCTCCTTGCACTCTCACACAGCACAGGACCACAAGCAGATCTGACTCAGTCATGATGACCTGAATGTTCCAGGCCCCTGGCGAGGCTCCACTTTCTTTCCAACCCTTGAGCTGCTCAACATAGCTCTCTTCCTCCCAAACCCTCGTCGTAGTTAAGCTGATTCAAACTCCATTTCTCAATCTCAAAGGAGATCCGTAAGAAAGATCTACGGGCCTTCACTGACTCCAGTATTTCCAACGTACCAAACAGACTAAAACCCACAAGCCAGACCATCTGCTTTTCCGCTCCACTTTTGAAATGCTGGCGCGGTGGCACAGAGGCAGTCCGTGCGCTTCGAGGCCTCCACACTTCTTGAGTAGCATGAGCGTCAGAGTTATAACAAACCGGTCGTCCCCAGAGGCTTCTTAATGCAGCATTGTCTGACCCACAGAACCTTAATAAAAAAGTGGACAGTACAAGTGCCTGCTCAGCCATTGAAACTGCCCCTTCGTCTCCTTTACTTACGAACATCTTGGGCTGGTGCAAAAGTCGGATATGATGAGATCTCCAACGATTACTGCACTGTCCCTACCTTTAAAGCTCTATCTCAATGCATTACTCTAGCTCAGTTACAGCTTCTCCCCTTTTGCCTAAGCCGGGGGAATCACTCTCACAACTGCCTCCTTTGGACCGTTTCAACGAGTCGACATTTCGCAAGTCAATGTAACGGGAGCATCTAATGGAGTTGTAGGTGAGATCTCAGGGTCACGCCTTCATCAAGCTGGTTGTGCTATCTCCTCACATCCATGAAAGCCCTCTCCTGACAGACCCTGGCGCCAATAAACCCTAAAACCCAAAACCTCAACCCCCCTTATGCGCACAATCGAGGACCTTTCAGGCTTGCTCACCACTCTGATGTGCTTCTTCAGAGGAAGGGCTTCCCGTGTGATTCACAAAGCTGCCGGTGACGTTCAACTGTTTCGTGGAACAGAGGTCAGGATGTCGAGCCGCATAACCCTAACCCTAAATAGTGGAATCCTAAAATAGGTCTGCTCACCTTGAGGCGCTCCTGCATCTTCCCCACGTTGACCATCTTTGCAATTGAAGTACACCGCACGCGCAGCACCGTGTCCACGAAATCGCCCTGCTGATTGCTGTGCTTCTTCAAATGGAAGTCGGTGCCTGTGAGAACCATCAGCGGATGCTCGGGTCAAGAACCGAGTTACTGAAATGTGGGGACCCTCAAAGAATGAAAAAAGTGCATAAGCTGAGATGCCCACCACCTCGATGCGTGTATCTTTGGCGGGGGATCAACTGGAACAGAACGGGGCAGTATGAAAAGAAGTGACCCAGGAATGCAGATCTTTAAGCCAAGACTTTGAAAGCTGTGGCATAGATTGAAACAAGCAGAGAATTAGTGGAAAGCGACTTCTTGGCTGTGACTCCTCCGTCAAGAATCAGAGGTACCCTTCCCACATCCGCATCAAACACATTTTGTCCTCATTAAGGGGCTTAAGGGCGTCGTCATTGACTTAAGCTATCAAAACAAGAACCAATTCTAAGGTGCCTGAAGTTCATCCCACGCGCATCAATTAGTCGGCTAGATGCTTTTGGGGACAAGCCCGTGACTTGGAACTCTGCCCAATCGATGCATTTGAAAGACACCTGCGTGGATTGATTATTCAGCAGGCCAGCTATGAGCGGTCAGGCTGGACTCAATGCCATGCCCATTTTTGGAATATATCAAGAAGGACACCAGTGGTCAGACGGAGGGAAAATGGCACTGATTTGAGCTCGACTTTGGGTGCCTGAATTTCAAAGAAAAATGAAGAAGTCTCGCGGCGATCCTGATTAAGAAACATGGGTGGTGAAAATCGTGTAAATATGCGAATGGAGCTCCTCTACTTAGATCTTTACTAAGGGAAATGAACCCTAAGACTGCATACCGACCATCATCGCCAACGGCAGAGAACGTTCAAGATTGGCGCTGCAAGGAGCAACCAGCCCACGCTCTCTTCGTTAAATCATGGTGCCCGTATACGACTATACAGATTCGCAGCTTTCTTTCATTGATCCGGAACTTTAAGCACTTCTTGCAGCTCTTTTGTTCGCACTATCACAAGCTGCAGGTTTGTTAGCAGGGTGCGCTCTTCATTGTGGAGTAAGATCAAGCTCCAGTAGGAGTCCTCAGGAGCTCAAGTCCTCAGATACTCCTCGAATAGCGGCTGAGTGATCGCCGCTATTTGATTTTCAAGGACATCAGAACTCAATATCTAGGGCGTCCAGCTTCTGAAAGCAGCAAGCCCACCTTTACAAGCCGATAAGTGCAGCTTCACAAAACCGCAGCTGATTCGCCCTCTTCAATGTCCAATCAAAGCAGCAGTTTCCCTTAATGTTGCACAATTATGCAGATGATTTCCACGCATTGTCAGGCTTGCGCAAAAGCCTATCCACTTACAATTCACCACCAACTTCAATCAAGTCAGAACATCAGAATGCCACCCACCTATCCCGTTCAAATCATCGAGCTTGTTGAACAGCGCCGTCAGCAGAGCGGACCGCGCATCACAGGCGAACTGAAATGTTTGGCGCCCCCGCCCGCCTACGTCATCCACGTCGAAGGAGAACTCGTACTTGTCCTCTCGGGACACAACAATATTCGTGATCTTCTCGTAAGCAATCTCCAGTCCCACCGGGTTCGCCCCCTGCCCCAAAATACTCAGAGAGATGCCATACTCAAGAATGCGAAGCAGCTTTGTGCTGTTCTTCGCCGGCCGCCCAGGCGGCCGCACAAAGAAGAGCTGGTAGTCCATCCTGGTTGTTTGCGCCGACGGCTATCACTTCAGAATGCAGCTCATGATGCGCTGCGCACTTTACAAAGAAGGACTGCAGCTGCTGTGCAAAGCGAAGCGTCGGTCTTCGCCGGAGTTACAGATCTTTGAGTCACTGCAGATCAATCAAAGGCCAAGACCCAGAGGCCGAAATGCTCCGCATGCGGCAGCCATTGCTAGTTCCAAAATCAACCCATGACCAATTCAATCAATGATAATTATGATTGTGCAAGAACGAAGCCATGAATCATGATCGAAAAACTTGCAGCACCTACAGTAGCAGTCTGCTAGCCAAACGTGCTGAGTAGAGCCGCTGGCGCCGGTGTCAGAGCTCCAATCTTCTTCCGTCTTGTTAGGAAGGGCTAATTCCGGGTTTAGCTGGTGCAGATCGTGAAAGCAGCGCGTAACGCTACCGGTTACTAGTACTAAAGCGTATTACAGAGGATATCGAAGGTTCCGACCGTTTTGCCTTCGATGGCTCGCCCGGAATGTACGCTTCTCCATCCATGAAGTTGCCACGTTGGCACGTTCTAATGGCATGATGAACACCAATGAATGCGCGCGCATCAGTTCGGTGTTACCGATCGCCCGACTCGGACTCCACCGCGTTGCTGATCAGGTCGTAGCTGTACCTAACTCAACTCCTGTACCTAGGTACCTAATGTACCAATGTATACGGTACTTCTTTTATAAGGCCGTAATATCGTAATACAGGGTAGGTAGGTACGGTGGCACAGTCAAATAGGTATACGAACCTGCAGAGCCTGAGGTCCGGCTCAGGTTCGAATACCTTTCTTTCGAAGTTGGCAGCCCAACATTCAACACTTCACAGCTTCCAGCTGAACGCTTGGGACCAGGTATTTTTGCTTACTAAGAGTGACTGGAGGCCTAACATGATGACTGGAGGCAATGAGTTGCTCGAAATCAAAAGCGACTTTCTCGAGGAAACGGCAGTCTCCCGATAGTGATTGCAATGTAAGCGAAAGGAGCTAGCAGACGTAATAGTAGGATACGAAGAGACGTATTATTGTGGGGAGACGTCTTATAACGTTTGCTTGCAGACACTTGAAAACGCGGCCTATGGTCAGATCGACCGACTTCTTTAGACGCGTGTACACTGCAAGATGTGGTCATGTGAACTTTCACAAACGACAGACAGCCTGAATGAGCCCATTAGTCATGGGTGCACACTGCAAATGTTTAAGTAACCTCGTTCGACCAGATCAACACGTTGCCACGACTAATACAACACTGGTAGCAAACTTTCCCCATGCATAAAAAGATAGGCAGGTAGCCGATATTGGATCGCATGACAGATGCTAAGTAGCATGGGATAAGAGGGTCCTTTAAAATGTACAGAATAGCAAGGATCGATTGAAGCATGATCATATTCGACTTTGATGCAGCATGTGTGCAGTCTGCAAATCAAGAATCCAATTCAATCATTCACCATGAAAGTGAGGACCACTCAACGCACTAACCTCGGAACTCCGAGACATGTGTCGGGTGCCTTCCTTTCAATCAGAGCTGCCAATCAGTGCACATTTACATGGTCGCCGCTGCAAGTTGAGCATAGCCATCTCACCACCTCAAACGTCGGTGTTAACAAACGGTTCGTCCCCTTCACGGACAGATCAAAGCATGTAGCTGACATGTTATATGACATGTTCGGTTCTTTTCTTCCAAATTACAATGCACCTCGTAAAGTCCTGGCACGTGTGTCACTTTTGTAACAAGTCGAAGCTACTCTTCGAGCATGAAAAGTTGCGCAACATTTTATGAATTAACGTTGCTTGTTGCCTCGATGCTGAGTTGATTGCATAACACCAACCACACCATGGATAAACTCCTGCGCCACATCCCGTGGTTGGCTTTCGAACCATACGAGGACTACCTACCCAATTTAGCCAGGGCAAGTAGCAAGCGAGTTCACAAGCTCACTTACCTCTTCTGATCTACTTTTTGCTTGTCGGCACTTTTCGTGGCCGGAACAACAGCGACGGATTTTCCGTCTCCGCTTCAACTGACGGAGACAATTTCGGGGATCCCTTCAAGGTCGCCCCCTCCCGAGCTGAAATTATCTCCGGGAGACCCTTTCCTACGCCCGGATCCAACTTACTCGTACCGCCTCCGGGCTCTATACCCGGATTACCATTCTCACCGCTCAACTTTTGCGGACTTAGTCCGCTGCCCATCTGCCCGCCTTCGTCCGTTCCGCGTCCGGAGGCTTCGCCGGGCGCCTCAGGGAACGCCGTCCTCACGGGCACCGGGCTCGCGCGCGCGTCCCGCTTCTTGTCGCTGTGCGCCTTGCGCAGCGGCGCCGACGGCCCGGGTATCTCGAAGTCGTACACTTCCGGGGGTGACGTGTCCGGACGCACGTGGTGGTGTCCGTTCCCGGGGTGGTGTCCGTTTTCTGGGTGGTGTCCGTGGTGGTGGTCTGGTTCGTGGCTCTGGCCGTCGGGCAGCCGCGGAGAGCTGGGCTTGGAGCCGACCAGCCGTGCGGTTTGCGGGTTGGACTCGGAGATGGACTCCATCGAAGAGCGCCGGCGAACCATGTCGGGTCCCTCGAACGACCGCCGCTTAGAGTCTGCCGATCGCAAAACACGCGTCAGTCGAAGTACTTCGCATGCAATTGATCAACAAGAGCTGAGATGGGCATCAACAAGATTGTAAGTTTAGGTGCCAATGTGCGATGATCCATCATGAGAGTCTGCAAGAATATTGAACGACGATGGAGCCCAGGTAGGCGACCGTCGACCAGTAATAAGAACCTCCTCGTTCCAATTTAGGTGGCTTTCTGAGAGCTCGGATCTAGTAAGGTTCCTGCATCAAATGAATGTCAACAGAGAACGACACCAAGTGACTTCGGCATGACATCGAGGCGTACTGGAATTTCAGTTGCCAGTTCCGTATTGCTGCAAAAGTCGAAAGGTGTTCTAAAGGTTGATCCTTATCGGGCCTATCATAATCCTCAATCAGAAGCAAACCCGGCGGCTTCGGAGCTGGTCGTTATCGTTTCTAGCTGAAACATTTTCTTCTTTCTGCCCAAACCTCTTATGCACTGCGCCATTGGGTACGAATACGCACACCATAAAACTTTGGTCTTAACACTTAATAAGCAAGGAACCGTATCGAATCGGTAACCTCGATCTGCTCGTTGCCCTTGGTTCCATGGGCTTGAGCTTCAATAAAACTTCGTTTCGGTTTAAGCGCTTTCGTCGTAGATTACCACATGTAGGCTGATGACTGGGGCCTTTCGAAAGCGTCAGGGGTCAAGAATACAACCAGGGTTCGGACGGCAACTCACTGAGCCTGTCCAGCATGGAGTCGGACGTCTCCGGGCTGGCGAGCCACTCGACAAGCAGGGTTGGATGGAAGTAGCCAAGGGCCGGCTCGTCCTCAGCGAGGATGCACCGCTCGGGCACCTCCGGGGGGTTCTCGACTGCGGTGAAAAGGAGGGGGGGGGATCGGAAAGAGCACAGATAGAACGCAGTTTTTGCTCGTTCTCTTGAAAGGACGTGTGAAAACGAAGCTTCTTCAACAGTCTGCCTAAGCTGCAGAGCCGCTGAAGACTCGGTGGTGGTCCTGACCGCAAGGATAGGGTTCGACTACAAGTAGGACTGGACTCGTCAGTCCTAGCACAACATTGTTCCGGGGATCTGCCCTGTCCAAAAACCCACGCAAAATTCACATGAACGGCATCCGCTCCGTTCACGACGATTCTCCTGCCGTACAACTCAAAAACAAACCGCCCACTCACTTAGGTCGTCGAGGGAAGTGCTGACGTCAGCGAACGTCAGCGTCCGCAGCTCGTCCAGCAGCTCCTCGCCCTTGGCGTCCGCCAGTCCGCAGCCGAGCAGGTCGATGCGGCCCTGCTTGGGGCTGGCCAGCGAGTTGAGCGCGGCGCCCGCGTCGAAGCTCAAGAAATTGTGCCGGTTGCCGTCCAGGCACGCGGAGACGCGCACCCAGAATTGTTGCACGTCCTGCCAGAGCAAGTTTTGAAATTTGGCTTCTCAATCTGCAGGTTTGCTTTCGGCTCCGCCTCAGAGGTTGGGAGTATTTGACTAGTGCCTTGAGGCACGCGGAGACGTGCGCTGAAAATTGGGGAACGGCCTATCAGGGGTGCGGAGGAACTTGTATCTTGCTTCCCGCTCTGAGGTCTGCTTTTGGCGGCTTTTCTGTCTAGGCACGTGGAGACGCGCACCCAAAAGTGTTGCAGTTTCGGAACAAATTGTGAGAGTTTGCAGCTTGAAGGTTCTGCTTCTGGCAAATTCGAGATCTCGAAACTGACATTTCGGAGCTTGTGACTTTGCGGCAGTTGCCGGTCGGTCGCGCAAAGAAGGGCACCCAAGTCGGGTTCGAAGCTTTGGGTTTCCGATTGTTGTTTAGGGCTTGAGTCTAGCAGGTTTGAGATCCGTACCAAAGGCTTTGCATAGGTTTGAGATGCAGGATTCAGTCACCCCGCTCACACACAGACGCTGACTACACTCCAGCAGCTCCTTGTGAGACCTTCATTCAATCCAGGTTGAAGCAAGGACTACTGTATCGGAAATACTTGATGGGCGGCAGCGACGCTTTTTGCGCCAGGTAATTTTCACATGAAACAGAGACACCGTTTCGAATGCAGAACCTTCCAGCTGATCCGAAACAGAAAAATCTCCGAGAATCAGTATGGCAGAAGGTCCGCTTACCGGCTTGATGAGGCTGGCGAGCGATGTGTGCCCTCCTCGAACGAGACCAATAGCGCCCTTCTGCAAGACGGTAGAGGTAGGTAAGATAGCCGTTTGCTATTTGCAATCATTTCAGGTTTCGGGCCTGAGGCCACCTTTTTTGAAATCTTATGCAGAGGCTGGGTGATAAAGCATGCATAAGAGATGGCCCAGACCTTGCTAAGCGCACAGGTTTTCAGCACAGAGAGCCTAGTTGGCGTCGACCGGGAAAAGCTGGGGGTTTGAGGAGCCGCCAGCCTGGCAGCTGAACCTGTGTTATGTCCTTGAGTTCAGCCTGGTGCTCGGAACAAGAGCGACGCACTGGTCTTAAGTGCCACGTGTGCTGTTTTGGATTGCATCCAAAGTCTCCACAGTTTTCGTTAAACGCCGACCCTTAGGAGCGGATAACTTTAAATTGGATTCAGCATTTCGAACGTAGATCAAGAAACAATATTCCTGCAAGAGTATGCGACATATCCTCCGCGATGCAATGAATGACGTCACCACTGACTTTGGTGTTGTGGGAGACAAGGGCGACGCCCTCGATGCTGCTGCCCTCCAGCCGCCGGTTCATGGCGGTGGTGATGTCATCCAGGGTCCACGTGGCCCAATCAAACTCGATCGCGTCTACGTCGTCCAGGGTGGCCGCCGCGAGCAGCGCCGCGTTCTTCACACGGGAGCTGATCAGAACGGCCCGCCTGCACGTGACGTCACCAGAGCTTGAGAGAGCTTGTCAAATGTTATTTATGCGCCTAGCAAACAAAGCAACCTTTTTCTCAATCTTTTCAAGTATATTGGGGCAGAATGCATTGCGCTGAAGGATTGGGTTCACCAGTCGGTGTTCCAATGCAGCGGTTGCTCGTCAGGCAGCTGTTCAAACGTGGGGCCTGCTGCTGTAAAGAAAGACGGTTCGGGGGCCTCGCATACTGCTGCAGGCGCTGTGCAAACGAGCTTCGTAACCGGAGCTGTGCCTTCCGTCCCCCTTGATTCGACCACCAAAACAGCTTACTATAATATCACTCCCAAGGAGGAGCGGGATACAACTGGGGAATGAGACAACAAGACTTACGTCCCATGCTTCAAAGAACCCATCGATTCTTTTCCTTCAGACGTTTCGCTCCAACTCCATCTACCTGAAGTGACCGTGTATAGGAACGAGCTTTTCCCCTCAAAGCCAAAGGCAGAAGGCTTGGCCGATAGTAGAGCAGTATCTGAGACGTTGACCAGGCTCCATAGATACATTCGACAGCCCCACCTGTAGTGGCGCGGCACGCGCTGCGCCCCGGTGGGCCCTTCCTCCGGCCACCGCCAGTCGGCCTCCGAGACAGGTGGCCTGATTTGGGACAACGTCCCGCCCGCGTTTTCCGCCACCATCTCATCTTTCTCCGCCAACTCCAGGGAAACCGGTTTCGGCGCCCTGCGACTAGGAACATTCTCCAAAGGTCGGCGTTTCGTCCACTTCTTGTTCTTCGGGGACGGCGCCCCGATCTGGTCGCCCTCTTCGGACCGGACGGACCCCGGGAGGAGCTGCTCGTCTGGCTCGGCCTCGGCGACCAATGGCGGCCCGTCTTCCGCTTCGCTCGAGCGCCGCTTGGCGCGCTCGTCGGCGCCGGAACCGAAGCCAGCTCTAGAAAAGAGAAAGTGTATGTGGTCAGAAGGATGGTGATATGGTAACAGCGTTCTTCTGGGTGCACAGGCAATCTGCCAGAGGCTGTTGGGGCGTTGTTGAATGGATGAGCAGGGTGAGAATTTGTGCGGTTCTGCGACTTACATTCCCAGAATCAGCTTGCTTGATCTGCAAGGTCAAATTAAACCGCGGGCATACCTCTTTACCTCTATAGAAAATACCTTCCTCCTCACCAAAGACTTCATGATGCCCCTCCTCATGATCGTACAAATAGTGCAAACGAAACCTGAGCGTAGATTTGAACTCATCAACTCACCGCCGTGGCGCTTGCGCCGGCTTCCCGACCTCCGTGCTCCCGGTTGATCCAGCCCCGGGCCTCCGGTCCGCGCCCGCCCCTGACGACGCTGCCGACCGGGGCTCTGAACCGGGCACCGAACCCGCACCACTGCTGCCCGGAAAAAGCGCACCGTCGGGCACCGACTCACCCGCTGGGAGCATGCCCAACGCCTCGGCCATGACGTCACCCTGCAGCGGCTCTCCGTCGTCCAGGGACTCCTCTTTCTCCCCCTGCTCGCACCAGTAACCCTTCCACTGGTCAAGGCTTAACCCGAACCCGATCAGACCCACTTCCTTGTTCTCTTGGAGGGCGCCGATCTCGCTGAGGACCATTCCGGCCGCGTAGAGTCCGCTCAGTCCGTTCTTGACGGGTGCGCGGAGGACGTCCGGTTTGGAGCGGACGGACATAGAGACGGCGCTGCGGGCGACGGTGAGCAGGTCCGGCTGGGCCTTTTGCTGCACCGCGGCGTCCTCCTGGCGCTTGAACCACCTGAGGAAGTCAGGCAGGCGACAGGTCAGAATGTTTTAGGGTTTTAAGGATTTAGGCGAGGGCGAAAATTACGGACGATGGTACGTTCTGGGGTGCCAGTTGTCGGAAAAAGTGAGGCGGCGGGTTGGATAGGCGAAAAGGAGGGCGAGAGCAACGGTGTGAGGCTGGAAACGCCAGAGAAGAGGAGGAGAAAAAAGAGGGAGGAAACAGAGTTCGGCAAGATAGTCCGATTAGTCGGTGAGAAACTGCATGAACTGAAGCCCGAGGGAGATGAGTGCAAGCTTGTGATGCAAAGTTTTCAAATGTACTGTATCATCAAGAGGTATGTATCTGAACAATTTTGGCCAGATATGGAACCCCCAGAGGCAGCGCACTGAAGTCGTTTCTGGAGCTGATTACCAAGTCTAGTAGTCATGCTCGCCACAGTCCCTCCGTTGTTAGACTGCAAATCAATTTGACGCACAGCATCGTTTCGAAGGCACGGATCTTGACGGACACTTGAAATGGCGTTTCTGCGCCTCACTTGACCGCGTCCGCATAGACCTCGAACGCCTCCGTGTCCCGCTCTTGGTCCAGCAGCGACTGCACCATCCAATGCACCGCGGGCGCCAGCCCCAAATCACTCTCCAGCGCCAGCGCAAACAGTTCCTCCGCTTCTAAGAACCGCCCCTGAGCCCACTCCACGACTCCCAGCCCGCACGTCGCCTCCGCGCACTCTGGTTCAATCTCCAAAGCCGCCAGGTATTTCTCTCCGGCCGCTTTCACCTTGCCCTCCCAAAGAAACAGGTGGGCCAGCTTGCAGACTGAGTAGGGGTGACGGTAGCTGCCCCGAATGTGGTGCCCCGGGCCCGCGGCGCGCTCGAGAGATTTGCGCGCCTGAAGAAAGTGCGGCAAGGAAACTCAGAGGACATGCTTCTTGAGCTCAGCTCAAGCACTGGCTCCGGAGTGGCGGCCGGGATGGGGTCAAGCGTCTGATGAAGAGATTCTCCTCATACGAGAATCTGTAAATTGTAAAGTCCAGCCATGCAGAGTCGGACAGTGCCGCTTTTGACGCCGCTTGCCCTGTCAACTATCAAAAGAAGCAAGACAGAACGCTGCTCAAGTCGGACTGCATCTTTTTAATGCGGAGAGAGATATTCAAATGGTAGAAACAAAGCACTCCAGCTCCACTCTAAAGAAAAGGACATTAGTCTTCTTGAAGTTTAGCATTTCTTCTCACCTCCTCAATCCGACCTAGCCGCAAATACGCGATCCCCGCCTGGTACGATGTGTCCGAAAGATGCTCTTTCGGACAGAGCTCCTGAGCGTCCTCTAGCTCGATACACGCGATATCCGTCTTCTTCATCGCTAAGTGCGCAAGACCCAAATTGTAGAGGGCCTTGAAATAACTGCGAACAGACGACGGTGGTCAGGACAAGCCGTGAAGGCAAGCACGACGATGGAGAGGGTGTGAAAGACTCCGTCACGAGACAGGGGGGATTCCGACACAAGAAAAGTGAGCGCGGAAGGGCTCGGAAAAGCCTTTCATATTTTCCGATTTTACAACGAGCAAACGCCTGCCTTTCATCTTATTGCTGGCAGCAAGGGCCTAGAGAATCTGTAGCTCTGACGTTCGAGCTGATGAAAAGTAAGCTGGTAATACAAGTCCCGGCACGCAGAACCAGACAGGAAGCGACATTCAGAGCTGCTTTCTGTCAAACCCTCAGCGGATAGGATGTTGAAGTGGCTGCTCACTTGGGTTCCCTTGTCAGAGCCTTCTCTAGGTACGTTACCGCCTCAGGCAGGCGGCCTTCGACCAGCTTGACGTGTCCCAAGTTTACGAGCGCCGGCACGAGCTCCGGCTTGATTCTGATTGCCTCTTCAAAATCTGCCGTTGCTGCCTCCTTGTTCCGCAGCCGTAGCTGGATCAATCTGCAGCGGAAACGACAGCTTGAGAGCCTGAAGTTTGAAAAATTCGTCCCTCCAATTGTGTCCCGATTCAGCGGGCCATCTGATACTCTTGAGACATCCTGATCAAATCCAACCTGTGCAGGATGCTTGTACGGAGAGCTCGCACTCTGACTGGCTGCCAAAATGGTTGTTAATGGAGACGGAGACTTGTTCCGTAGAGAACGGGCAATGTACTCTCCCCCTCTTGGTGCTGTTGAAGCCACTCTTTCTCTCGCAAACAAAGCCTCAGTCTCTTTCGATGTTCCTGACGTGTTCTGCAGATGTTTACAAAAGAGGCAAGGACGACGGTGCTCCTCTCTGACTGCATCAGAATAACGTGCAGGACTCGTATCCGAACCCTTCCAGCAGTTAGAAGGTAGGCTTTCCTCGTTCACAGCAAGCCATTGAGCCGTCTGGACTGCATTGGAAGGCGAACGAAGGGTAGCGACGCCACCCACCCCCGAGTGTTATAAAAGTGCGCCTCTGGCTCAACCTTGATTGCTCGGTCGACAGCTATTTTGGCCATGTCCATTTCTCCATGGCGGAATGCAACCACAGCCTGCATATGCAGGCTCTCGCAATTGTCCGGGTCCCTCTGAACGATCCTCTCCAGTATCACATTTGCTTTGGTCAGCTCGCCAGCCGTGATCAGGGCCGCAGACGTCACCAGGTCTTCTTTCTCCCGTCGAGGATCAGTTCCCTGTGAGAGCAGATTGTTGGTAAACCGCAAAACCAGCTTTTGGATACTGTAAAGTGGTAAGGACGGTTACTTTCTGCATATGAGGGTGAACATCGCGTTCATAAAGGGCGACGAGAAGGAGGGCTACCCAGTTGTCTGTGGCAGCACGTTGGTTTGCAGAAGGATCGTACAGATGTGAAGCAACTCGTATTCACGACTTTCACAAGATTCTGTTCAGGAGAACTCTGTTCGTGCAAGTCACTAACACGCTGAGTAGTTATAAGGCCCGCAGTATGCAATCTGCCTTCGATAAAATGTCGGGGAAGAATCAGATCTGGGTCAAGCACACCGTCCACCCAACGAAGCTCTAGACCTTCATAATACAAGGAGGGAGATGGCAGCCAAAGATAAGCAGTTGCTAGATGGTCAAGCGAAATGGTCGGAACGCCCACTGGCTTGCTTACCTGCTCTCCAAGGGCCCCCGCACACGCTTGGTAGAAGGCGTCCGTGTCTGCATATGTTATCATGTCCCGGTGCCTTCGGTAAAAGTACAGGCCAGAAACCCCAAGGGTCAGGGCAGAGCACATTGCTGTCAAGGCAATGGCAAGGAGGCCATTCTGCCACTCTGTCTTCCAACCATCTAAGGGGTTTCCTAAATTTGGAGCCCCAGTATCCGGCGTGCTTTGGAGCAAGTGCCGCTGGTTACTCTTGAGCTCTTCATCCGAACCAATGAAAGGTTGTGTATCACCGAAATGATCCTGAGGTACGGAACGAGGTTGAGTACGGGCTGCCTCCCCTACCCATTCGCCTGTAGGCAACACGTCATTATCCAGTCTCCCTGGCTCTGCCAGCTGCATGCTGGAGACTTGGTCTCTAAAACCCTTAGCAGATGACTCCAAACTGATCTCTTTGGTCTTTCCTTTACCCTGCTCAGCCAGCGCTGCGCTGACTCGTCTTTCTTGACTCCCCCTTTCGGCCACTTCCAACCCCTGCTTAAGCTCAGACTTGGCTCCATGATCAATCACACCAGGGTCAGATGATTGGATTCTTGAGCTCGTTTGATCCCTTCCCTCAGCTAATTGTTTCACGCTTATATCTTTTCTGGAATGTATGACGCTTGGATCGTGTTCCGAAGGGCTCCTGTTGTGCTGGAACCCTGAGCAACCAGTGGTTGCTGATGCAGAGGTTCCAAGCAGGTGGCAAAACTGTTCGCTGCTTGATTCTCTGACCACGGGGGTGGGCCTCGCCAGATCAACCTCTGGGAGCCCCACATTGTGTGGGAAAAGGTCTGCATCTGGAACGGAAGATGAGGATCTTATTTACGAGTCACCCAAGGTAAGGTGTTTATTGGCAGCTGCGCCAGCAGCTTGGAGCTGGTAACATATTCCCAGCAAACCCAGTGCAAAGCTGTTGGTTCACTTAAATCTATAAAGAACAAACGGGCTGTGGTTCACGATCTCATAGAATTGTCTAGGACAGGTGTGTTTGACAATCAGCTCAAATTGGTGCTGCAATGATGTGTTACCATTCAAGAAGGCCTATCAGCTAATGTCCATGAGAAAACATTACCCAGAGAATAACGATCAGACTGCGAATCGGTTGGAGCCGGTGGCCACATCTCCTGAGGATCAAACATCTGCATCATCTGCTTCCGTAGCCATTTCTCGACCCTTACCAGCTTTGTGAGCTCTGCACTCCCAGGCCAATCCCGCCAGGCAGGTCCAAATGAGAATCAACCGTGGGAGCAGCCTGTGACACCTCAGGTTATGTCCCTTCATATTGCTGGACCTTTCTGGCTTTCCATCAAATCAACAGCTAAAGAGCTTTCTCCGTTGCCCTACTCTGGCCTGCAAGGAGGCACCTGCAGGGGCCAACAATCTGGAAACCTGGTGATCATTGGAGCTTTCCATCACCTCAAAAACCTTTCGAAGTTCAAATACAGCTGGAGCTTTGACATCACTGGTCAGCTCGTTCTATCGTTCTATCCTCTGTATGAAGGGCTTCTCCTCCTCTCAGCTACAGCCTCCCCATTATTCTAAGACTGACTAAGGGTGACACTCATAGGGTCTTGTCAGCAAGCATCAAACCTGAGTCAAAGCACCTTCAACTTGCACCCAACTTGTGCCAGCGTTATCCAACCAAAATTTCCTCTTCCAAACACAAACAATTCAGCTTGGGCAGGGATGATGGATAGATGGTGCTAATGGGCAAGAAAGAGCTGGTGTATGGCGCTAGCGATGCTGCGATCGGCATATGGCTTCCGACATGAATCAGGAGCTCCGGCACGCCTAGGCTAAGTATAAAAGTGAGCTGCGTTTACCGGGGTAGGTCCTATGTTAGTGAATACGTGATTCAGTGAACACTTCCGTTGCCAAAACTCCTTTATGGTACCCACTGCCAGCAATTCCCTCGTCTCCTAAGGGGCTTGTCTTCCAATACTGCTCGGAAGCCCCGGGCACCAGGACAAACAAACCTTAACCCAAAATCTTAAGCGCCGCACTTTTACCACTTTTTTTCACCCTAACCACCAAACCGTCGAACCCTAACTGTCTCCCGGCCCATGAGACAAGTCACAAGCCCCTTTAGAGTCAGTAGTACGACAAGAGAAATCCTTGAGTACATTCGAATTTCAACTGCTCGCAGACTTCTCTTGTTGACCTGGATCTGCAACGAACGGCTTCAAGGCCCTTGATTGAAAGATCATCGACGGTGTGCAAATTAACGAGTACTTCCATTGCATGCGAGCTGCCAAGTCAGCACCAACGCGGTACCCTGCAAAGGTACCGGGGGTGAGGATCGGCGCCTGCACGGGCTCTTGGTACCGACCGACATGATCACATGGCACCCAAAAGCTCCGTCATTGGCTGCAACAAGTTGCTCTATATGCCCGCGAAGGCCTGCTCTTTGCATGGCTGCATTGCAGACCCCTAAAACTGTCCCAAAAACTGTTGACATCAGGCTGCAGCCAGGCTGCAGCCAGCTGCAGCCTTGGTGCGTCGGTGCTTTGTGCAAGTCGATTTAAGCGAAAGGCCGTCCGCATGTCGATCCAGCTCCTTGTCAGCTTGTGTGCCACAGCACACGAAGATTGATAAATTTGCACAAAGTCTCAACAGCTGCATTTGCTGCATAAGCAGAAGGCTTTTTGGGGGGAAAAGGGATCCGCTCTGAAACCTCTGCTTGTTGTTATTGTTTCCAGGGAAGCAGCCATGCAGTCGATAGGACTAAGATTGAGAAGTGTGCTGCAGCCAGCTTTTGATCTACACCACCTCCCCTGCACAGCGCGAGCCTTTCGAATCCTGCCAGACCCAAAACGACCAGGGGTTTCTGATCCAGGCGCGTCTGATGAGAAGGCAAGACAAGCACTCCCAACATTCTGATCCTGTCTTCCACAAACTTTTCCTTCTGACAGAGGACTTTGTCTGAGCTTCTGTTGGCGCAAAACTTGCTGCAAGGGCAGACGTACTTTTGAGCAATCTAATGTTGCAGACGGAGGACAGACCACTATTGCATGCTGTCTATAAGAACCCTGAGGTCAGTTAGAGGATGTGGAGTTTGCCTTCCTGAGCAGATTGTGCATGATTACATGCATACAATTTCTAAGAAGGTTTCGTGAATGCTATTGCGCAGCTGGTGGTTCCAGCTATGTCACTCTGGTTCCAATCGTCCTGGTTTCGAAAGAATCTTGAGGGAAAGGCAGGTCGAAAAATGTCTCAACTTGTAGATTTGCAACACTTATCTACTTACCAGCACCTTATTGCGTCCTGATAGATATGGACATTGATAAGTGACCATTCAGTGCACGTTTAGAAATCTGGATGATCAAAGATACTGAACTTTCTCGAAACAGCATTTGTAAGATTCACGCCTGCTAAATTTTTGTCAAATTCCTCACGTACAACTACATTTGGTTGCTGCATCGCCACTGGCAGCGCTTCGCGTAAATCTTTGTGTCATTGATGTTGCGTTTACCACGTAGGATACCCGCCAAGAGGTGTCTCGGAGTAAGAAGTGCAGAATCTGAGAGGGGAGTTATCACACGTCTGACGCGGTTCGAGGCCCTGGACAGACGCTATGTTTTCGGGAACAGTTCGACGGGTCTGCGCAGAGAACACCTTTTCATTCATGCAGGTGCAACGAGGATCCACCACCGTGATTCAAATCAGTTCGGCGACTGACCCTCGTCGATAATTTCATCCTCTGGAATCATTCTCTTCAAACCAATCTGTACGGCATTTGCAGCGCCATTGAACTTCTTTTCCATCCTGCAGGGCACCGGTGAAGACGTGATGAGACGCGAGGCGGAGGCACTTGGGCAGACCGGGAAGAAGGAGAAAGGGGAAGACCAGTCCTTTGGTCTTTCTGACGACGATCAAAAGGCAGCAAGGGAAAGGGGATACGACAAGCCACAGATGTCCCGAGGCCAAAGTGAAAGTGGGGGCCGAACCAGCGATCTCCGGAAGGGTGTGAGTAGGGGCACAGAGGAGGCGGAGAAGGAAGGCAGTGGGACTGAAGCGTCGATGCGCGAACTGCGGCCGGAAGGGCCGGGGGAGAAACCGGAACTCAAGGAAGCATAATCAGCCGTGAGCAAGTCGTGACGAGCTTGTTGTCGTTTGTTGAAGGTGGCCTCATGGTTTATCCGGCACAAACCTGCGGTATTGTGAAACGTTGTACGTAGAATTAGGAGGAGAAACCGTCCTCACATGTCTAATGGTCATCATAGACGAGAAGTCTGTTGTAGTCTTGCGGAATGAGAACCTTTCTTGCGATGCATTTTCAGCTGGTCAAGATGTTGAAAAGAGCTGCCTTGGAAGGTCAGTCAAAGTAGTACACGAGCCGTTGAGATGTTTTGACTAGGCAGGTTCTCAAACTCTTTACTCGTGATAGTCGTCCCCTACCATCTGAGTACAGTACCTGCGGAGCTCGTGTTGTCCCTCTGAGTCACGTCTCGGCAGTCTGTCATTGTGAATTTCATTTGGAGTCTACCCGTCCGGAAGTTTATCAAGTTTCCTGTTCATCTGATTAAGGCAGTAAGGATAGTGTTTGGTTCCCAAATGTACGTCTAATCTATGACGTACCAGATGCACGAGGTCACGCACAGCCGTTGTTGCCAGTGCCGCGACCCTTCTGGTAGTTTCGATCTGGGACTCAGTAAGTGAGTTCAGAATCATAAAATCTTGGATTCGTGGTGTGGTTGAAGTGACGGTCGATGAGTGCCCTGGCGAAAGGAACTTGTTGTGTCGAAGGCCCCGCTGACCTTCATTCCCATCTGATGCGTACGTGAACTTTTGCAATCTCTGTGCGCAGAGCTGGAGCGCCAACGCGATGAAAGTAATCCTTCAGGGGCGTCGATCCTGTTGAATACATGAATCCGCTCGTATACATAATTGGGCCTCAGACAGAGTACGTCAGCGGCTACTTCCTGTTATATGCACTGGCATCGACATATGCATCCGAATCTTGCTCGACTATTCACGTGACGTGCCAAATTAGCAATCGCACTTATATTACCTAATTGATTAGTTGATTAAGGTGCGCAGCGGTTGCAGCTCGCAACCTTGAGTTAGTGAGTGATTGAAAGGACTTTAAAAATCAGCTCCACATAAAAAGTTGTTCCTCTAACGATTTTCAGCATAGGTATATTTCCATGCCAGATGAGGCCGAACTTAGCAGAGCTGCAAACGTTTCTAGCTTCTAAGCCTACTGTCCCGGCCTCAAGAATGAGCTGGGCCTCTCGTAATTGAACAAATCCACGGCATGGTTCGAAATTTGTGCTAACATTAACGCTTTCAGCTTTGCTGCTACCTATGTACCTCCTATGTATCACTATGCTACTAGCTTGATACTGCAAATTGGGACGATAGGACAATGGTTTGATTACTAGCATCTACATGCGGTGATTGGTCTCAACTTCAGTGCCCGGGTACTCGGACCTGTGCGCTCAATCCAATGGTCAACGCGATGTCATCTACTCATCGAGGTTCATGATCAACACCGTTCCAGCTTTCCACCTTGATTGACCATGATTCAGCCAATTGCCGACAGCAAACACTCAACAGCAAACACTTGTTGGCCATTATCGGCAAGCCTGAACACATAAGAATGTAGTATAACTTGCTTCTAAAATTACCTGCGTACGAGACCGTTGGTGCTCCGAGTCCTTGTTTAAAATCCTATCGTATGTTTCCTTTGGGTCTGTATAGGGGCTGGACAGGAGCATCGGGATGTGGACCCAGACACAGGCCGTTTTGTACCGGTATTAAAAACGGTCGGACGTTGGGTCGGACTTTGTAACAGGTATCACAGGTGGGGTGCCACTCACAGCTAAGAGATACGGGGGAAAAGAAGGGAGAAAAGAGAAGAAAAAGACATCAAAAAGAGAGCGTATAAATGATGGCTTTCATAAGAAATCAGGAATATGATTTGGCCCGCAGATGACCGTTCGATTAAGTCACTACGACCGTCCGATCTCAAGAAGTCACTAAGTGATGAAAGAAATGACGAATTGCATCAGATTTTAGTTCCAGCGGATCGACACGTGGTCTATTTGTCACGCGGCCTAATCAAACCAGCCCGAGTTTGTGTTCGTGTCGCTATCTGTGTGGGACCGAACACCACTGCCTGACTGCCCGGCGGGCTAGGTGGGATTTGGATCGATCCTTTTCATGGACGAAGCAGTGATTGCCACCAACTTTGGCTGGTGCCGGCATTCTACCGGCCACCCTTCATTTCTGCCGGCTCAGTGTACCTTTTTACCGGCTTCTCCCAAGCACCCGGATCCATTCACCCGGGTATTTGGGCAGTCTCTCAGCCAATCTCGGCCGGTACCCGGTCGAGGCTCTTGCCGGTTTTCAGCCGGAGCCCAGCCGGCTGGGTGCCTTCGGCACCGGTTTTAAGACACTCGCTCCAGCCGACTAGGTCCACACATATTACACCGCCGACCGGTTCGTGGCAATCACTGGGGCGAAGGTCAGTACCAGTAAGAAAACCTTCGCCCGGGCCCCCCGGCCGGAGTCGGAACTTGGAAGGGGATGCTCGTCACGTCGCAAAACTCGGGAATGTGAACGTACCTTAGACCTACCTACCTTGCTACGGTAGGTACTAGTAGGTACCCACTTCCTGCTAGAATACCTACCAACCGACCGACCGACCGACTACCGTACCTGTATTTGATTTCGGCGAAAAATAAATAATTATTAGGCCGGCTGAGATTTTCAGATATTATCTTGGGGCGATAATGGTTCCATAATGGTTATTTTAGCAGGTAACGTCGAGCCTGCTGAAAGAAATAAAAGTTTCATAATTAACTATATTGCGTCGAAGGTGCCGAAATCAAATACAGGTAGTCAGGCTGCCTCAGTCAGGGACTGTACCGGTAGTGTTGCACTGTCTGCTGTCTTGCAATGTTGGTACCTGCGGTCGGTACCCATCCAGATTTATCATCCACTCTCAGTCCGCCTACTGCTGTTTGCGTCAAACTTGGCACCGGACCTCGGATCGAAACGCGCGTTCCTCGATCACGAGTCGCGATGTCGGTTCTCGATGTTCCCCAAACTCCCCCCCCGGAAGGACTCGGGATGCCAAATCGCTGATTGTCAACAAGTACTTCAGTCGGCCGAACCACACGTAACGTTTTCAGGGGGCACATCTATCAAGGATCGAGGACAGACTTCGCGACTCGAGATCGAGAACCGCGCGTTTCGATCCAGATTTGGGTGCCAAGTTTGACGCAAAGAGCAGTATGCCTTGATTCCGTCGCACGGGCAATAAGAGAAGTGTCCATCATTGTCACCAGATGTGGACATCGACATTAAGTAGGTGTTCCAGGCTCCGCCATTCACACTACCGAATCCGGAGCCCGCGATCACAGCAGCCGTGCCCGGTAGTGCAGGTTGTACCAGCCGGGTAGACTGCACACGACTTCTGATTCCTTGGAGGGACCAGTGCGGGCGGTATCTGGTAGCAGTACTAGAAGCAGTAGGAGCATAGTGGGAGCGTGGGGTCTGAATCACGGGTCGTGAGGAGTGCACTTGATTCTGGAGGCGTGCCTCCATAATCCATCTCCGAAAATGCCGGGCTATGCACATTAACCCATGCACTCGGACTGCTTTTTGTCATACCTATGATAATCTACTTAGACTATGATGGACTGATCCGGATGGACTGCAGCTAGGGACACTGGTAGTACTGCTCCAGTAGCTGCATGCACCTGGAGCGCAACTTCAAGTCCAAGTACGCACATACAAAAGCCACTGACTCTCACTCACTCCTCACTCCACCAGCGTTCCAGTATCCACTCCGTTCCAATATCCACTCAGCCAAGGGAGCTCCAGCATTCTCCCCTTCTCCCTCGTGGCGCCAAACATGACGGCCCCCCGCGCCACGCTCCTCGCTGGAGCGCTCTTTGCGCTCGTCGCGATTGCGTCTGCCACAAACACGTGCTCGTCCGGCCGCTTCTTCGACTCGGGCGGCGGCAAGTGCCTCTGCGACGGGCAACGCGACGGCGTCCGCGGGAGCTGCAAGTCGGCGCCCGCAAAATCCACCTCCAAGTGCGACGCCAGCAAGGGGTGGCTCTTCGGCACCTCCAACGTCTGCAAGTGCAAGTCCGGGACGCTCTTCGACGGCAAGGGCACGTGCAAGGCGTGCCCGTCCAAGTCCACGTCACCCAGCTGCAACCCGCGGCCGACGTGTCCCTCCGGACATAAGGACGGCGGGAGCGGGAAGTGCGTCTGCGACCCCACCATTCCGGCAGAGAAGCGGACGGCGAAGGACACGTGCAAGTGCACCTTGGCCCAGGGGACCGGGGGTTGCGGGGACCCGGTAAGCAGGGACACGTGGCAGCTTATTGTGGGTGGAAAGACTGGGTTTGGCTTTGCCGGATAGGGCTGGATGTTAGGAGGAGAACAAGGCGTGTGTACTGCTTTGCGTCTGGTCTGGTGGGGCGAGTGACTCATCTGAGAGCGGCCTGAAAACCCTTTTCAGCATAACAGGTCTCTGCTTGCATAAAGAAGAGGCTCCCTTTCTTGAAGCCCTTCCATGCTGAAGTCCAAAGTGCGTAGCTCTTGTGCATGAGTTAGCTCTTTGTCTTTTCCGAGTGTCATGGGTGTTTGTGGGCGTTCACGCCTTGATTACATAGCCTGAGCTGGTGTTTTTATTGAAGGACTCGCCAAACTCAAGAACTTGCCAAACCTGCTGATTCGTTTAAGGCGTTGCTTTACAATCTTTGGCTTGCCTCGAGAGTTCCAGAGAAACTAGAACCTTCTTCCTTGGCATTGCCCACGCCCTGAGAACAGAGATACACTTCCATCCTGCCTCTGATGTTGTCTCCTTGCTTTGCAGCACTTCGTTGGAGGCAATGGCGTGAGGTTTGACTTCCATGGTAAGCCTTTGGCCCTACCTGCTTTTTCAAAGTAGACATCTGGTCAAGCCTTACATGCCGTCGATTTCAGCATCCTGCTTCATTTTGTGGAGGCTTCTCATTGACATAAGATTTGTTAGGAGCCCCTCGATGCAACTTTAGTAAGCCGGATCGCCTCTACTTCTGGATCACCTGACCTGGATTCTTCCCATTGCTGCGTCTCTAGCTATACACTATAAATGATAGCCCGGTTTAAGATCGTTGTGAGGCCACTTCGATCTTAAACCTATTCAGGTTTTCAGGCTATTTTTTGGTCTTAAACGTTGTGTCAGACCACTTTGATCCTAAAAGCTTAATTTCTGACATCAAAACGGCCTCAGCAAACGATCTTAAACCGGGTATTTATAGTATATCTCTACACTTCTTGCGAAGCTTTATGGAGCTTCTGCAACCAATCGCTGCGCGTCTGTATATTTTTGATGGAGCTTTGTGGAGCTTTATGGAGCTTATGGAACTTGTGGAGGACACGAAAACTTACAAGTTTTTCTTGCTTCGCCCTTCCACAGGTGTCCCTGAGAAGAACTTCTGCCTCATTTCCGACAAGGCGTTTCACCTGAACGCGCACTTCATCGGCCAGAACGGTCTCGAGACCGGCATGGACGGCACGTGGATGGACCAGCTGGGCTTCGTTTTTGTCGCCGGAAACAAGCAGCACTCCCTCTCGGTCCACCTCGTCTCTGTGAGTTCTGGAGTTTATTCCAAGGAAACGAAAGAGGGAGGAAGAGATTCAGATGAGCGTCGCAATAGCAGTGACAAAACTAGTACGGACTTTACACAGCTAGTGACTAAACGGATTGGAAAAGTCGGCTTTCTGCTGCGCAACTTAGTTCAAAGTTGCGCGGCACAGAAGTGGATGCCCCCTTCTTGGTTTAGTGCAAGCTAAATGAAAGAGAATAGTCATCCGAGTGCGCGCAGCAGAAAACCGGATGCTTCGAAAATCGATCGTTCCCCCTTCTTAAAGTGGTCTGATTGAGATGTCAGCAAAGGCGTACGTCTAAAATATGGAAGGCTGTTTAGATGGTTGTTTAGATGGTTCAGTTCCCACTTCGTCTTCCTTCTTAGTTATGGTATCTGAAATTTCCAGAAGCTCAAGCTTTGTCTCCTTTTTTCAGCAGTTAGAAGGACTCCTTTTTGCAGGCAGAAAGCTTCTCAAACCCAAAACAACTTCGAGCTTTTTGTGTGCCAAGAAATTTCATCTTCTTCTCCTCAAGGAAGTTTCGATTCTGCTCCTGGGATTGATGAACGCAATCCTGTTGATTTCCCCGGATCGCAAATCTGGTCTGGCTCCCGAAACCAATCAAATTCGAACCTGTGCACGTTTCTTACCCCAGGAGGAGGACTTCGCCAGCAACGTCTCGGACATCTTTCTCGTGGAGTACGACGCGTCTCCCGTCTACGTGAGCCTTCCCGCGAGCGGGAGCAACGTGTGGACGTCCGACGACGGGCTGGTGACCATTTCCCGGACGTCCGACACGGCGAAGCTGACGCTGACGCTCGAGGGCCTTTTCCAGACGACGCTCATCGCCAGCGAGCACGAGTTCCCGAACGGCCACCACATCGACTTCAATGTTGACGTCATGAACATCACCAGTACGTCATTCTTTTCCTTTGCAACGATGAAACTAAAGGAAACGCTCATGAAGCATCAGCAGTACGTCAGCCCTTTTCCTGCGACTGACGTTGCGTCCTGAGAGGGGAGCAAATGAAAGGGAGCCCGACAGCCACTGTCGGAAGATGGCCGATGCTTGCAAGAAAGAGATTCTCTGCAAGCCGTCGTGATACTGGATTTGCAGCGCGGTTTTCTTTGCTCCAGGCAACGTTTTCTCAAACCTTGCGAGTCTCGTGTCTTCCCTCGGCCAATCACAAACAATCCTCACTCGTCCGTTTCCTTGTACGTTTTTCTTTCCGGTTCCGTTTCCTTGCTAAATTCCGCTTTCCGCGCAGGCTCCGCTCACGGCGTTCTGGGCCAGACTTTCCAGCCGGAACGCCGTCACGTGGTCGCCGGCAGCAGCGACTTGAAGATGGACCAGACGGACGTCGTCGAGGGCGGCGACCACGGTAAGTCTTTCTGACGCCTACGTGTCGCCCCAGCTCGTCCCAATCATCTGGAATATCTGCTCGAGAGGCAAAGATAGGGAGAAATCAGGGCTTAAAAGGCTTGTAGAACAAAGATGCAGAGAAATGAGAATCTTGGACCGATCTGGCGCATAAAGGTGGATTCTCAGCCCCTCCTTCCTGACGGTCTCTTACTCTAGGTGGTCAGTTACTCAATCCAAGCCCGCCTGACTGAATGCTTTTGCAACGGAGTAGACCAGGCCAGAAATAGAAGCTTTTTGCTGCAAGCTCTACGCAGCCGTTCAGTCTTTGGGTGCACTTTCATTGACACTCAGACCTTTTCAATTGTTGACTACAATTGATACTTCCTGAAAGCCTCCTAATTGACTCCGCGTCTAGTCTCCCGGAAGCGGCTATGTTACTGACGAGCCTTTCCTGTTGCCAACTCCAAGCTGAGCAGCCCAATCTCGGCAAGCTCGGTTATTTGAACACTCGGCATTTCCTTGGTGCAGACTACATCTCCTCCGACCTGATGGCCACGGACTGCAAGTTCTCCCGGTTCTCTGCCCCGAGCCTGGCGCCCCTCACCCGTCGCCTGCTGGGAGGCTCCCGGTTGGAGGAACCGGTCTTCTCCCACTCCCTGCGCTGCTCCAACGACGCCGGCTATCTCAGCTGCATGATCTAGAGTTCACTGCTCAGCAGATTGAGCGTAGTCGATTCTTGTTCCGATTGACCTTAGTTGACTCTTGGTCAGCCATTCTAGAATTCAGTTGTGTTGATAGGCACGCCGGCGCTACGTGAACTTATTCAGCGATAATCCTCATTCATGAGTACTTCTCGCTCCGTAGTAATCCCTATTCAGTAGTGGTTTTCATTCAGTACATTGAGAAAGTAGAGCAACAGCGTCACGCCTGAGTACCGCACTTAGAGCTGCTCTGCCGTACTGCAGACACGAGCTTCACTTTCAACAGCTAGAGACTAATTTGCAACGTAGTGTCAAGCTGATTCTTGAGACGTCATGTGGCGCTCCCTCAAATGAATGTAGGTATTTAGTCTAACACTTAGAAGCCGTGTCGGCGAGCTGCATTGGAAGAACTCTAACATTAGATACGCTGCACACTCTCTCCCCCCTTAATAAACCGCCCAGCAGGTCGATTTTTGGATAGACCGCAATGTCGGGTGATGGCTTATGAATTGTTTCAGACGGGATTTTTTGGAAGTTTCGGCGACATGTAAGCATATTCAGCCAAATTAGTGTCCATCAGCTTCCAATCATTGAATGTGTGAACAGAATGATTTACCGCCTTATCGACACTGGGAGGCGCAGTACTCGTTGAGAGAGGTGCGCACGTCGAGTTAGCAATTCTTACAGACAGCTTTACGCAGCTCGATTGGACGCATGTTAACCCACCGTTAACCTTGACAAATTAAACCCGGCTTGATTTGCAGCATGCATGTATAAAGCTCCCGAATCTGCAACAAGGTACTTCAAAATTCAAAAAGGTTGTCGCTTGTAGGCGCACACCAGCTGCAGTCGACTTGCAAATCATGCACGCGTTTTGTACGCGCAAACAGGCCGCCCATGATTTACTAGCACCTTTGCACGCTTTGCGCACATCTCCTCTGCACGAGCTGCATTTACTACAATGCGATCAATCCCAAGTTTAAGCAATCGCGTCTGTACTCGTAGCCTGACCTAAATGGCATATCTAGTGCACATCTGATCAACATACCGGTTGTGGGCGGGCAGCAGCTCGGCTCTCGGGCACTGCAGATGGCCCCATATGTGGAGATGGTGGCCCCATACTAAGTTTTGTTTTTTTTGGTTATAATCATCTGGCACGTGCAGCTCATCAGATGGAGTCTGCAGACTAGCATACGCCTCAAAGGCTGAATTGATCTAAAACCCTAAAACCCTAAAACCCTAAAACCCGTACTAAGTGCCTAGTGCTTTATTTGAGTATTCCGTACGGTCATGCATAAGGCGGCTGCACTGATCAAACAATGTATCATGCAACACAGATCGTGGTTGACCAATCCCAACGTAGAGATCACATGAACGCTGTAGAACATGCAATATCCAACTACACTAAAGTCAACGCCCAACCGTACTATAGGTAAGCCTTCAGTCGATGCATCCCTGAAATCCCGACGCGGCCGTCAATGCACCATGCGCGGCAGCGACAAGAAAAAGAAAACCATCACTGAGTCACGTTGAGCTTGCTTAAGCTTCCTGGGACTGCGTTGCCCGCTTTGTACCAGCATCTAGCAAAACTGAGAAGACGCATGTACAATCGTTTCTAGGTAACCCAGTTTTTCACGTACAACCTCCTTGTACATCCGACCAGGTTTACGCCAAGGTTCCTTCGTTCCTAGAGTTCATCCGTACTCAATCACAAGCACAGTCACTTTTTACTCTTCTTCTTTACAGGTTCCTTTGTAAACATTCGGGGGGCGATAGCCATGGCCATGAGCTCTTGGAAGAGAAGCTTGCAAGCGTAAGGTATGTGCACCTGCAGAAGGAAGGAAGAGATTCAGAACTCTTATCAAGTGAGCGTCGCAATAGCGACGAGAAGAACAGGAGGAGATGACAACCCGAATGTATGTCAAACGAAGCACCCAAACCAATACAACTGCGGCTCCAAGCCTTCCTTTTGCAATTCAGTCTTTACGCGACACCTCTCTCAAATATTGGTCACCCCTGCTGAAAACCAAACCTACGTGCTCTGACTGACACCCCGAGCAGATGAGCAGAGTCTCCCGGCGATGTCGTTGCAGACGCTTGCAATTCTCAATCTCCTTGATCATTTTCGCAGTTGCTCTTCCCCTTACTGAAATCCGCACACAAACAACCCATGTAGACGAAACATTCTGCCAACACTCCGCTTCTCCTTTTTCCGGCGACCCACCTGCACGATCTCCGTCTTGTTCTTGCACCCCCGGCACTCGAAGGTCGCCTTTTTCAGGTTCGCAATCGCGATCAGGCCGCACCGCTGGCACAGGTGCACCCGGTACGCGTCGCTCTGATCCATCAGGCGCTCCTTGAGGAACGCCGCCGCGCCGTGCGCAATCATGCAGTCGCGCTCCATCTCGCCGAACCGCAGCCCGCCGTCCTTGGCGCGCCCCTCCGCGGGCTGCCGCGTCAGCACCTGCAAATTAGCACGAAGCAATCAAAAATAGGAGACTGGGGTTATCGAGTTTGTTCACAATTGGGGGTTCTTGGTTGGAGGTCCTGTCGAATGTCTGCCACGACAAACAGACGAGGATGCAACGAAGAAATGTCGCTCCTAGTTGTTTGAAGCCAACTGATCGCCGCAAGTGTCAAAATTTAAGCGTCAGGTAAGCTCGTTCGTCAACGGCGAGAAGAGCGTCGCGTACGCCGTCACGACCCACTCTCAAACCACGAACTTTTAGATAGTTTCAAACCCTTTCAAAATCTTAACACAGCATATAACCATTCGCCGAAGAAAACCTGCTCACCTGTACGGGCCCGCGCGCTCGGCTGTGGATCTTGTCGTCGACCATGTGCTTGAGGCGCTGGTAGTAGGTGGGCCCCAAAAAGACCATAGCCTGCAGCTTGCGCCCCGTGTGCCCGTTGTACATCACCTCGTTGCCACGCATCTGGTACCCGCACTTGTGCAGCGCCTTCGAGATGTTGTCCACCTGCGTGCAAAGAAACAAGTTTAGTTCTTCACGTGAGTGTAGATTTGGATGTGAGGCCCTTTCAGACACGGCTTTGTGACAACGTCTCGTTCCCAGTCGAGCTTGTGAAGTACCTTCGATACGTTGCCCAACTGCATACGACCGCAGATGCCCTATGCAGATTACAAAACAAGCAAGGACGTGTACAAGAAACCACATTTCAAGGAGTGTTCGAAGCGTCTGAGATGTCCGCTGGCATATGTGCCGCTGTCGCATCAGTAGGCATCGTAACTACGGCAAAGGCTTGGAGGCACAGGAAAACGGCCGGACGCTCCCGGACGCTTATGATGCAAGAAACCGTGATGTCCAAGAGAAGAGCGCTGACCGTGACGTCAGTGAAGGGCGTGGCGTCGCCCTCCTTGCCCATGTGCGCCGCGACCTTGCCCATGACGCACTCGATGAGATGCCCGATGGTCATGCGACTGGGGATGGCGTGCGGGTTGACGATGATGTCAGGGGTGATGCCCTCCTGCGTGAACGGCATGTCCTCCTGCACAGCGAAGCAGTTTGGCAGATGTTCAGGAGCTTTTCCGCTAAGATGCTACTTAACAGCGGGGTTATGTACTTAACAGCGGGGTTATATACTTAACAGCGGGGTTACGCACAGTAAGAGGATCACGACGATGACGTCAGGGGTGATGCCCATTTGCATGAACGGCATGTCCTCCTGCACAGCCGAACGGGTTTGGCAGGTAGTCAGAACTCCGTTCTAGCAAGCAGATTGAGGTAGGTATAGGACATCTCCGCGTCGAAGAAACATTCCTCTTTTGCATTAGTGGCATGAACGGTGTCTCCTCCTGTGACGCCAGAGAGACGAGTCGCTGACGTGAGTATCGTTGATACGTGAAAGGGTGAACGAGGCCCTGTGAGCACGACGCGGAAGAGCGGGAAAGAAAGGACGCTAACAAAGGATTCACATGGTGGCCTTGGGCCTGGTCCCCAGCAAATTGCTCACAGGAACAGTTGCGAAAGAAGGAGCATCGGGCAGAGACTTCCGCTGTGCACATCCGGATCCGTCACCTTCCACCAAATCCCTAAAGAATCTTGACAATCAGCTGCTACGATGACAGAAGCGTCATTCCTGCCAGCAAATGTGTACCGGTATTTACTGGAACTTCTCAGCACACGCCATCCTTAGAATATCGCCTGGTTTCTACATAAAAGGCCGTTTATCGTCGAAACTGGTGAGTTTTCCCTGCAGAAGCAGTGGCTTTTCACACTCGTGCTGCCAACCGGGAACACCTCTGGCCGCCTTACCTGTGAGTACGTCATCCCGACCGTCCCCTTTTGCCCGTGCCGACTGCTGAACTTGTCCCCGACCTGCGGGACCCGCACCGAGCGCACCCGCACCTTCACGAACTTCTGCCCGATCTCGTTCGTGGTCAGGAGCACCTGGACAACGAGCAGACCGGTTTACGCTACCGCAAATGAACGAAGTTCGGGCTGATGAGTTTTCTCGTCGTTCTGTTGACCCATGGATCTCCGAAAACCATTGCCAAAACGAGCTTTCTGTTTGCAACGGCATCTCGGAGTTTAATCTTCAGAGAAAAGCAAGACTGTGCTCGAGCGAAAGGGCGACAAGCATCGCAAACCAAGAGGACCAATCAATGCTGAAGACGCCAACCCTGAGCGAACACTACTCGGTAGATCGCTTCTTGGCAAGAGCAAAATCCTGAGGAGGCGCACTCTCTGCAGGCGACTGAGAACGAAACTCGAAACCCTTGGCATGCACTTACCTGGTCTATCATCCCGTTTTCGGTGTGTTTCAGCTTGGTGCTGCAGTCCCGCTTCGTAAACCGGACGGCCTCTCCCGTCGTCGTGTCTATCGGCACCGGGGCCGTCTTGCCAATGACCACATCGTCACCCGAAACACGGGTGCCCTGCACACGCCAAAAGTAGCGTTTGAGAACGGGCCATTTTCAGAGGGTTCGAGAGAGACCGACATGCCAGCAGGGCGAGAAATGAAGAGGGTAGCAGTAGCTTGTGCTTCTGATAGGTGCGAAAAAGAGACCTTGCAACCGAGGGGTCTTATGGTCCCACTGGGCAGAGCCTTGAGTTTGCAGCCTTAAGAGATGTGTTCGTTTGCAAAACGATGCTGTTGCATGTATCAGTCGCGCCTCCAAATGGGCACACAAGCAACCACACAACCAAGACAAAGGTAACATAGATCAAAGCAGCCGGAGCCGGAAGCAACTGGTGGCGCCAGTCCACCAGCAGCCAACTGTTCATTCACAAAAAGGCTTTTGCAGACACACATTTTGAAGCGCATCCAATAATCGCGGAGTCGGTTCGCTACGGAAAACAACAGAGCCAATGGTCTCAAAATCGCTTTGCTACGGAAATCAACAATGATCACAACCAGGATCACAGAATCACGGATTGAACAAACGGAAGCAAATACTTACCGGTGGCGCCAGCCCATCTGCATCCAGCTTTTCGTAGGAGCCGGCGAACATGTTGGTGGTGGTCTCCCTGTCCGGCCGCTCAAAGCGCTCCAGCCCGAGATCGCCCATGCCCGCCTTCTTCTCCTCGTCCCTGCGCATTAAATCAGTGATTGGTTTAGTCTCTCTGGGAAGAGGTTGACAATCATGTCGGTATTGGAAAAGTCATAAGCGGTTTTCACGCTTGGACATCAGGCTGCGGCTTTTCAGGCGACGTATCCAGAAGCACGCCGACTTGAGGACATGTCGGACGTGTTCAGAAGCGGTTGGTTCCAAAGACGAGGGAACGCGAGCGTGCTTTCTTGAGGCATTCTCAAGCATTCACGGGCACTCCGAACATTATTAGCAACAGTTTTGTTGACTTCCTCAGCCACGCCAGCTCAGCACTTGAGAATTAGACTCACCACTCTAATGATTCCAGCCCGCGTTTTTTGGTCCATGAAATGGATTCAGATCGGATTTGCGAAGCAGAAAGATGAAGGAAAGACGAAGATATCAAAGGAAGCAGAAGAGCACAGGACGAATGCTCCGCACCTAGTCAAGCAGTAGTAGAGCGAACGGAAGAGCCGCGATCGATAGGCAACTAGTGCATGCAGTGCATACATCTCAAGCCGAATACAAGGAGTGTAAAAGTCAAGAGAACACTAGACGCAGACGACAAAGAAGAGGCAAACCTCGCGGCGAAAAGACGCACCTGAGCGACCGGTAGTACAGCGAGCGGAAGAAGCCGCGGTCAATGGACGACTGGTTCATGCAGTTCATACATCTTAAGCCGAAAACAGAAAATGTAAAACGTTAAGAGAGCGATGAAAGCAGACGAACAGAAGAAGCAAACTTTGCAGCGAGAAGAGGCACCTGAGCGACCGGTAGTAGAGCGAGCGGAAGAAGCCCCGGTCGATGGACGACTGGTTCATGATAACGCTATCCTCCTGGTTATACCCCGAGTAGCACAGCAGCGCCACGATCGCGTTCTGCCCCGCGGGCAGCTCCCGGAAGTGCAGATACTCCATTGCTCTAGTTGTCACCAGCGGCTTCTGCGGGTAGTACAGCACGTACGCGAGCGTGTCCATTCGCAGCTGGTAGTTGGTGACATAAATCCCCATCGCCTGTTTTCCCATCGCGGACTGGTACGTGTTTCGCGGGGATTGGTTGTGGTCCGGGAACGGGATGATCGACCCGCAGATCCCGAGGATCATGCTCGGGTGGATCTCGCAGTGCGTGTACGTGTCGGAGTACGCGTCTTGCGGGTTGGAACGCGCGTTGGCCAGGTCGTTGATCGTCATCGCGATCATGGTGGTCTCCTCCTCCTCTGTGTCGACGTATTCGATGTAGCCCTTGACCACCAGCTCGTGCCACCCGAAGGGGTTCGCGCCCTGCACAATTTTGGGGTTCAGGGTTACAATCGAGAACTTTGAGAAGCAGCATGTGGGTAGAGCCTTAAGAAATCAAGGCTGTGGCCTCAAGACTTGAGGTTCAAGGAGTCAAGCTTCCGTTTCAAATTTTTCAAAACCTCCCATGGAGATGGACAGTAAAAGCATGATGACTACCCGGACAATCGCTCCTGAATATCCAGTGATGTTTCTGGTCTTCCTTAGAGGTTGTCGTAGTAGGTGAATTCAACGGATGCACTAAAGCCAACTTCCAACCGTGGCACGAGCGTTCCTGGTGTGAAACCAACGAACTGAGGAGACAATTCCTATATATTGATGACAGACGATCTGATACGGCCGCAAAGCCGCAGTCCAAACCGCAAGAACCGCCCAAGTTTGTGGTGGCACAAATGAACAACAGGCTGGTTCTTAGAAACGCAGCCCAAAAGTGGTGCCCAAGGTGAACTTTATTGGGAGCCCGGAACCAGAGCCGAACACCAAGCCAAATCTTTAATCAAATTTCAATCAAACCAGACCCAAACCCTAACCCTGACCCACGCCTACACCCGCCCTCACCTCGTCGTTCGTTCGCCCGCGCCAGAGCTGCAGCGCCTGGATGTCCTGCTTCTTAATCAGCAGCTTCTGGTTCTCCACGATGAACAGCGGCCGGCAGCACCGCCCGTAGTCCGTGTACAACCGGAGCTCCTTCAACCGGATGTCGCGGACCACCCCGACTTCGGTGTTCACGTCTACCTGCCGCCGCAGCTGGCGCAGGGTGCGCACCAGAAGTTCCGGGTCCCGGTGGATGCCCACCCAGGCGCCGTTGACGAAAATCTTGGTGGAGTTGGGGATGACGCTCGGGGAGATTTCCTGGAAGAGCGGGGAATCTATATGAGGGACGAACGGGAAGAGCGGGCTTGAGCAGCGACGCATAGGGTCAGTAAGTTTGTTGAAGCCATTTTTATGATTTAACCTCTCCGAAGCAGCTAGAACACTAGGAACACGAACATCTTCTTACGTCCAACCGGAAGAATCAGCATAACGTTTTTGCTGGACCATCGCTTGTCCAGATTGTACAGCACGGAATTTTGACGCCGGACCATTGAAATCCCAACATCGCAAGCTCCCGACACCTTCACGCTCCGAAGTCCAGCCGAGCAAGAGACCCGGGGTAGTGTCTTTGAAATAGGAATCCTTGATTGAAACGCATCCTTAAAACGACTCCTCAACCGGACCCTTAACCCACCTCGAGGTTCTCCGTCGTCCACTCCTCCAGAAACTCCAGGATCGGCCCCGCGGGCGATCCGACCGAGATGTACGCCATGAGTGCCAAATTTTTCACCAGCCCGCACGCCTGGCCCTCCGGCGTTTCCGCAGGGCAGATCATGCCCCAGTGGGAGTTGTGCAGCTGACGTGGCTTCGCCAGCTTGCCCTCCCGTCCGATGGGGGAGTTGAGGCGCCGCAGGTGGGACAGCGTCGATGCGTACGTCAGCCGGTTGAGCACCTGCCAGAAGAAAGGAACGCGGTCGGATTGTTAAAATCATCACTTCTTGACGCTTCGTTTTACTGGCCCGGAGGGAGTCGCGAACAGGGAGGGAGTCATCGTTTCAGCCAATTGCAACCAGTCTTACCACCCCATGCTTTCAACCCGTTAGCTGCGTGTCATGTTTTTCATGCCGGATTGACCGTCGATGAGAGGTGGCTCACTGGGAGCACTTTTCTCTCCAAGCGTTGAAAAGACTCTCTAGGTACAACCAAGCGAAGATGCATCGAGAACCACAATAAAACCTCCTTCAACACCTTGTTCACAGCACCTTCAGAAGACTCTCCAACAGTACGTGAGCAGAACGGACTAGAGAAGGAAGGCGACAGTACCTGCGACACGCCCGCCCTAGTTCCCATCTTCCCTTGCTCCCCCCAGTTCCCAGTCGCCAGCGAGTACTTGAGCCCGGACGTGATCGTCTTGGCCTTGACCGCAAACGTGATGTTCATCTCCTTGCCGTTGTCCACCGCCTTCTGGAGGTGGTTCTTCACGTCCTTGGCCATCTTGCGGAACAGCTGCAAAACCATGAAAATAAGTAGCAGGTAAGCGGTGAAAAAACGTCATCGTTCGTCGCAATCGCAGCAGAATAAGCAATTGCTTCGCGGTATACTTTCACCCTTGACAACGCACAGAGCTTGCTCAACGCCAGGCTAGAGGGCGGGAAGAAATTGCTCCCAAACTCATGACACCCCTGCACAAATCTGAGGCCCCTTGGAAACAGGACTTGTCCTTGACTGAAGCCCCGAACGATGTGCCGCTTACGAGATTCCGTCCAACCTCACGAGCAAGAGCCATTGGCTCCGCAAACGTAATGCACCCTGCAAAGCAATCAATTCAACGACTTCCATGCGGGCCCCGCATTGCCAAATTCCCTGCCAAACGGCTTCTTCCCACCATCTTCCAAAGCGAAGTCCTCGAACCCTACAGAGGGGGGGGCAATCAACACCCCACACTCACCAGCCTGAAGAGCCCCCCCATGAGCGGCCCCGCCAGATCCAGCCGCTTGTTCCCGTAGTGATCTCGGTCGTCCTCCGCGCGCCGCCCGAGCGCGCACAGCAACAACCGGTGGATGACATATCCGAAGAAGTAGGCCTTTTTCGTCTCGCAAAACTCCTCGGTGCCCACGTGGGGGAGGAACTCCTTCTGCAGGATCTCGCGCGCATACTTGATGCGCTTCTCGCGCGTGACGCCCACCGAGTTGCCACGCTTGCCAATGTAGTCAAGCGCCATCTGAGGATAAACAGATGTTGAAAGAGAATTAGCGGCTCGCAACTGGGCAAAAATGGTGTGCCGGCAGCCTTGCTCTCGACAACTGGAGGGTGAAATTACATGCAGGATACTCTTAAGTCTCACAGAACCATCTTTTAAGGTGGCAATACTAATCGGCTTCTCAGGGCTACGGTGCAAGTCGCCTTGATTCATGGAACATCAAGAAGGTGAACAAAATGTCCGAGCTTTCAAGAGCTCGACCAAAACTTGCGCAGTTCCCTATGACCCGCTTTTTACCTGCATTTTCGTCGTGCTTTCAATCATGGCATACTCACTGAGCAAACAAGCGCCCTCACAAGAAGCTTCAGCAAGTTAAGAAGATCATAAGGAAAAGTCTGTGCTCACATCCTGGTCATTGATGGCGGCGGCCTCTTCGAGCGACGGCCGCAGGAGCTCCATCATGGCGGGGTCGTTAAAGTCGTAGCAGATGTGCTCCAAAATGTCCTTGTCCGCAGTGAAGCCCAGCGCGCGGAACACCAGGATGATCGGGACGTCGCTCCTGTGAAGTAAGCTCAAACGTTTAGTTTTGGAGAGCTTGCGGGATCGTTGGACGAGCCCACGTCCACGAGCAATTGGGGCGTAGAAGGACCTAGGCAGTGAAGCATTGATTAGATTCAAAGCACAGGTAAGACTTGCATGTGACCCCACCACAGCAGACAGCGTGAAGAGAAGGCTCCAATGGCCAGAACGTAGCCCGAGAAGGCATCACAGCACGCAGCCAGACAATGGATAAAGCAGCCGACGTGGCGACGGCCGTGAAGGCAAAACGGGCTCCACGATATCCAGATCCGTTCCGTCTCGCTTTTTCTGCCGTGTCTTGAAACTCTTTCGTTCCTATACATGCAGATCACCAGCCAGTCAACCAACCAAGCAAGCAGAAACGATGCTGAAAAGTGAGTCTCGACCAAGCAAAGCACCTGATATACGGCACCGTACACCGGATGTACTGCCCGGTGCCCCCCTTGGCCCCCGCCCTCGACAGCATCCGCACGAACAGCGAGCTTATTGGCCGGTTGCTCGTCTCCGCCTGAGACCGGAGCTCTGCCACATACGAGTACTTGTTCGGCTGCCGCTTCTTGAACACGTACACATGGTTGCTGCTCATCTTCTCCTGCGCGATGAGGACTTTCTCGCTGCCATTGATGATGAAGTAGCCGCCCTGGTCGTACGGGCACTCGCCGAGCTCGGTCAGCTCCTTGTCCGAGAGCTGGTAGAGCGTGCAGTAGCTGGAGCGCAGCATGATCGGAACCTGGGCAAGGACGAAACGGGTTAAGAATTACAGAACGGGTTAACAAGTCTAACTGGAGAACTTGGTGAGCTCCTTGTCGGAGAGTTGGTACAGCGTGTTAGTAGCTGGAGCGCAGCATGATCGAAACCTGGGCAGGGGGGAAAATGGGTTCAGAATTACAGAAAGGGTACCGAAGAAGAATTTCCGAGCAAGTATTACCGAGTCGTCTGAAGAGCTCGGTGAGCTCCTTGTCAGAGAGACGATAAACGGGCAGAACCCAAAGCGCAGCATGATCAAGAACTGGGCCGGGACATAACGGGTTAAGATTAACAAGGTAGAGTTAACGAGCCTGCAGGAGCAGGGGCTTCAGAGTTGTTGATTGAGTCAGACTAGTCTTCTAGATTGTGCAACACGACTTTGCCTTGGCATTTCAAAGGCAGGAAAGGTCAAGTTGTCTTCAGAGATGCGACATTGATCCAAGCAACGTCCAGCAAAACGAACCCACCAACACCGAGTGAGTCAGGCAAACGAACTGAAAATGGCGGTGAGTACGCCATCTCCCACAGACCTAACGCGGTTATGCTTCTTCACAAAAGCTCGGCTCTGACCTCCTGCCCTTCCCCACCTTGGAAGCAGAGTGTGCCAAACTAAGAGCCGCGTCAAAAGCAAAACAGATGCCCCACACTACGGCTCCTTGTTGATGTTACTTGAGTGTCACTTTTGAGGAAGCGCACCTTCCCAATATGCGTCTTTGGATACTCCTGCGTCTCGATCTGCTCCTCCCCATCGGGGCCCAAGCTGATGGTGGTCCTGGTTATGTCTATGTACAGTGCCGCCGAGTAGGTCAGGTTGCGCAAACGCGCGTCCTTGGGGAAGAGGGTCAAAGTCTCGCCATCGGGTTCGGTCATGGAGGGTTTGCTCAGGTAGATCTGCCCAAACTTGATTTTGTGCAGGACCTGCACAAGGAGAGCGGAACGGCTAACAGACACAACAATCAGAAGCAGACTTTGATTGCGTACTTTGATGGAGTAGTCAGACTTCCCCCAGCAGACCTGGCCAAAGTTGATTGTTTGTAAGGACCTGAAGAACGTAAGCCAAGGAGGATAATCGGCGGTTGGCGGCTGGTTGGTCAATCAATCGAATGAAGGCAGCCTCCGGCAATTGGTGGGAGAAGCAAAGTCTGACCGTGGTGACAGAGATATGAGACAAAAGCGGAGAAGCGCGCCTATCAAGGTTCGGTTCAGATACACCCACTCCAGACACGATATTCTGGAAGGCGTGCAGTAGCCATTCAGCAGACTAGAAAATCGAGGCTGAATATGGGAATGAGAGAGTGGAAGCAGTGGAGAAGAACGTGGTGAGGGTTCGCTGGAGGGGAAGCTTTGCATATGATTCACTATGCAGGCTCTTGTAGAATGGGGGTTGAGACTGCTTAGATCTTGAGCAATCTCTTGGTGAGATGAATTTTCCATACAAAAAAACCGTCTCAACACATACGCCTTGCACTTGACACTTCATCAGCAACAACCACTGGCTGGGGTCAGCAAGCTGGCACTGAAGTTGTGGCTTTAACGCAACTCTTCTTACATAATGACAACAAGGACATTCAGCCTAGATAGCGCGCGCAACAAATGTTTCTGTACATAGCACACTCGTCACAAACGGCCAGGACGGATGATGCGGTTCTTTTAAAAGTACAGCATTTGTTTTCCCCCCAACCATACCATGCCTCCCAGAGCATGCTCAAGCAACCTTTTGCAATCATGCACCCTATTCCACGAGGGCACTCAGAGAACTTGTTCAATAGAACAAATCAGCGATGAAAGCACCAACGACAGACTTCCCATGCTTTCGACCTCCGTCAGAATGATAGAAGAGATTGTACTTCAAAGGTGGCATGGTATGGCACTTTCTACTCCAAAAACCCATGACCCATGCGCCACGAAAATTTCCCAAAAGTCAAGTGTAAACTGCCCGTAAACTCCAAGGTCCCTCAGAAGGCCCCAAATGCTTGCCTGCGGGGTTTCCAGCTGCTGATTGGGGTTGTGCTGTGCCTCAGGCCGAATCTCAATTTCCGGAGACTCGTCCACGATTTCTTGCATGGTCGACTGAACGAACTCATCAAAAGAGTCCAATTGCTGCCGGACAAGACCCTTCTCCTCAAAGTAGGCGCTGATAACGGCCCACGCATCTTCCTGCGTGATCTCGTCTTCCTCCTCCTCAAGAGGGATGTCCTCTGCGTCGCCCCCGTACATCTTTCTACTCTGTTTGTGTCTCAAGAGAATTTCCTGAAGAAAGTGGCGATCAGCTACAGCGCGCCTCTGTGCAGAACTTTAGAGCAGTCAAATCACAACCCCAAGGTTCTTGTGATTCTAGGACGAACACTTCATTCTGCGCCCTTCTATGGTACAAATGAGCACGCCGCACGGTTGTGGCTCAAGGGACTTTCGACAAGCTTACGAGCTGCAGCAATTGGAAGTACTATTTTGAACCACCTTTTTCTAGAAGCAACTTCTGTACAAACTTCCGCCGCTAGGGAACTGAAGAATGCCGTGCAAAACCCGCCGCCGCTTCGCCACCACTGACCAATCTTGCTTCCTTCTTAAGTTCCTTTTCTACGCCAAAGCAAACAACGGCGCCGCCGCCGCACAGGACGACTTGTAGCAGAATGATGCCGCCACTATGCCGCCACTATGCCGCCACCAAGCGCCAAGCTTCTTCTGTGGCGCAGGGAGGATTGTCTGCTCTGCGAGGTTGGCCCCACCTTTTAGTTTTACCCGAGCAATCGTTGCACACAAAACACGCAGCGGGATTTTTAGCCACTTCTTGAAGCCCGGTGGAAAACTGAGTATGAAAGTTGTCGAGGGGCTTAGGCGGCTAACGACTACGGTTATCACTCAACTTAGGAAAGAGGTAAATTGCAGATTACTGTTTTCTTTTTAACCCTTCGTTTTGACTTTCGACGCCGGAAAACATCGGTAGGGCCCGGGGGGCGCTTGCGAAAGAATTATATACAAAAGGGCAATTTCTGAACGAGGCGAGGCTGGACTTGGACTCGGAGGCTGGCAAATGCTGCAATTTCGAAGGAAGGAGAAGAGAAAAGAAAGGGGAAGCCCAGCTAGGATTCGGAAGGGCACAGGTCCTGCATTCGAAAGAGAAGGCAGTGCTCCGAGTTTGCTTCTGCCATCTGCAATTTCCATTTCAAGAACTACTGCTTTCAGGTTGTTCAGGACATATGCACAAAAAAGCATTGAAGAGCCTCTGTATATTTGACAACGGGCAGAATTAACAATTTTAGTTGCAAGCAACAGGCTTGCGAAGCTTACTGAGCAATCAATTGAATTGTGGATCAGGTCAAACGGCTGCACCCTTGCACCGGTTTCGAGTCTGTATCTTTTGCCTCTTCCGTGACGACACTGCACACCTATCTCAGTCTGTCCTGCAAATTCAGAGCCTAGCTTCGGCAGAGGTCAGCCATTGATTGAGAGTAAGAGCGTGTCAACAAAATGAGTTGGATATTTGGGAAGAAGAAGACTCCTCAGGAGCTCCTGAGGGAGAATAAGCGCATGCTCGACCGGTCCATTCGGGAGTTGGACAGGGAGAGGGCAAGTCTTCAAACGCAGGAAAAGAAGTTGATAGCAGAGATCAAGAAGACAGCAAAGCAGAATCAGATGGTAAGTTTGGTTTCACCAATGGATTGTCCGGAGTTATATCTTCTTCAACAGAGCGTTTGTCAATTTGCCAAATTGGGAGCACTCCTCGACGGCAGCTGGATATGATTCTTCTGTCAAAGTCACGCATCATTGAATAAACCCCTGAAAAAGTTTTTCAGCCTTGTTGCCTCAAAAGGCTTGTTGGAGTCCAGTTTTCTACACCTGTCACTCTTGGAGCCGCAAATGAGTAACCGTTAAGAGCCAGGCTTGTATGTGAACCTTGTTTGAGTATGATGCATGCACTGGTTGCTTTGAAGGCTGTAAAGATTTGATCCACTGGAAAGAGGCAGATATGCCTTATAGACATTGGCAATTCAGACACTGCCCTTGGTGCGATTCTGCTTTGTTGACCCGAAAGGAATACCGGAATGTGCCAAGATCAGAGAAGCACTCTGTGATCGCGAATCTGCTTTCTTCAAACAAGTGTTGCAAAACATTTTGTAGATGCTGCAACGGCTCAAAAACCCTAACCTTGGTCAGCACTTTGTCCCTTTCATTGGTCTTGGTTCTAAACACGTATTGTTCAGCTCCCTACTTAGCTTGCTTCAGTTTCTTTACAAGTCACTGTCAGAGCAGATTGAGTCTTACTTCATGTGCCTATCGTCCTGACGTCCGTAAATCACAAGGTTTTCAGGATGTGATAGCTCACAGAAGAACTTGCAAATCACCAAAAGAAACAGTGAACAGTGACAGAGGGAGTGGCAGCTGGCCGCAAAGCTACGGCACCGTCCGAGGCTAATCTTGTTGTTCCATCAGCCCCGTAGAGAAACCTTTTCTGGGCCATGTTTTGAGTCAACTTACATGAACACCGTCGAGAGTCTGTCCTTGGCATTTGATACAAGTGCAATGCTCCATATCAGCTGATCAACTTCCAACTTGAGAGTCTGTCCTTGGCATTTCATACAAGTGCAATGCTCCATATTAGTTGACTAACTTCCAACCTTCTTTCGGTGGGCCCCAAAACCAGGCAGTCTTACATCGTTTCATATTCACAAACTCTCTTAAGGCTGCACGATGGATGACGAACTTTGCACTGATTCTAGCTCGCAAGCGGGCTCACTTCAGACGTTGCCAACCTTTGCAGGGGGCAGTGAGGGTTATGGCGAAGGACCTCATAAGGACGCGGCACCAAATCACCAAGTTCTACGGGCTGAAGTCGCAATTGCAGGGCATCTCTCTGAGGATACAAGTAAGGAACACTTCTGCGCCCTCAGCCTTTGCCGCTGCTCCTTGGTGATGCCTCTCTCTCGAAAAGACTTGAAAGATGCGGAATTGCGCGAATCGTACCAACAGATGTATGGAATGTGATTCAGCCAGCATTGGCAGCTGAAGGCTTGTGTCCTGGCCACACTTTGCCTGTGCTTCAGAGTTCGCTGGTCTGGTTTTTAGCGTTGACGAATGTCCTTGAGTGTGAAATTTCTCTAGCTTTGTACTAAAAGTGTTTTTCCTTCTCTGCAGACACTGAAGTCAACACAGGCCATGGCAGACGCAATGAAGGGTGTCACGAAGGTGAGGCGTAAAGTCTGCCATGTCTTTTGTGCTTATCCTTGATCTAGCAGGACACATACATAGCTATCAGTGTTGGATTTAAGGAACCTTTGATATATATGTGAAGCCGTTTTGCACCTAGGAAGCTGAAATTACTAACTTCCTGGAGACTTATTGCACTAGAACCAGTATGTAGAAGGTGACGGCAGGACAGAGGAGCGTTTCTTCTTTTCTGCCCTCGAGAGTATTGTGGGTTGAATTCACAAAACGAAGGCAAAGCAACGTGCAATTGCTGTTTATGACATCATATGCTTTGCCGTTGTTATCTGTAGCACATTGCGTATCTCGCAAATGCATGATAGCAGACACCCGATGAAACGTGCAAAAAGTTTTTCGAGGCGCTTTGATACAACTGCGGACTTCTTCTGGTATGCAGGCCATGGCGCAAATGAACAAGCAGCTGAATTTGCCCGCCCTTCAGAATATCATGAGGGAGTTTGAGAAGCAGAACGAGAGGATGGAAATGACAACCGAGGTGAGCGCTTCCGCAATTCTCTGTGTCTTGCCCGCAGGTTAGGAAGCACCTTAAGTACCCTTAAGCAACGAATTGCGCACGTTTAACCTTGTCGTCCATCGGACACGAATTGTGTGGCAGTAAGAAACTCTTCCCTGTTTTGCTGCATGCTGGTGACGAAGGGCTCGTTGATTGAACAAGCTTCCGTTGATACAAACCGACTGAAGTTTTCCTAGTTTTAGTTTTATATCAGGAGCTTAGAACGCATGTAGCATCGGCTTAAGGCACTGCGTGTTTCACAAGAGCGCCAAACCGGGTCCCATGTGTGGGGAATAGCAAGCTCCGTTAAGCTTGTCGGCTGGTTTCCAGAAGTTCGTGGTTCCCTCCACATCTTACGTGCGGCACCTCGGCTATGGGCTTCAGATCATGCTTAAGCAGTCGCAGTCTGTGCCTGCCTGAAGGTTTGAATCCAAGATGCTCCCGAAGATTCATACCCGGACGTGCCACACCGTCCTCCGTCTTGCACTGTCCATCGTTCGGGCTAGCCAAACAGCGACGGATGTCGCAAGTTGGAGCCTAATTCCTTCCTTCTTTTTGCAGGTGATGGGTGACGCCATGGATGACGTCTTGGAGGGCGAGGACGAGGAGGAGGAGACGGAGGAGCTCGTCAGCCAGGTGCTCGACGAGATTGGCGTCGACCTGGACTCGCAGGTCAGTTACCAGTTTGATACCTGTCGCTTTATCGTTTGTCTGGCGTTTGGCTTCTGTAATGTTCTATCATCATTTCTCAGGGTTCATTATTCGGGAGTTATGGCAATCTTTGCGATTGGTGATGTTTCAATTGTGGAAGGCTGGACGAGTTTGGCGTGGCCCTCTACTCGCAGGTCAGATTCCAGTCCGGTGCCTTCCGCTTCGTCCTTCATTTGCGCTCCGTCTTTTGGTACCTTCCTGAGGTTTACCGTTTTGGAGTTCGTTACTTCGTCAATTTTCTCGCGTCTTGATTGCTTCGTTAGCAAATTCTGCGATCCATGACAAAGACGTCGTCTAACGACCTCTGCGGGTTGGGACAAGGTGGAATTGAAAAGCTTGGACGATTTTTGCGCAAGTTTTGACTGGCAGGTCGGTTTTCGTCTCACAACGTTCGTTTTAATCTCCTGTTTTTGTCCTCTCCTTTCGGCTCGATCTCCTCGCGTAAAAGAAGCGGAGCGCTCTGTTTGCGGACAGTCGTCTTCCTCCTTACAAGCTGAATTGGTGGAGGATCTGCGTTTGTTTCGTCTAATGACAACGTTCATAGATGAAGCTGGTGCTTTGTTCCTTGCGAGAACGAACCTGGCGGCTTGAGTGCAAGACTCCACTGCCGTTTACGGGCTTAATTTTGTCTGAAAGAAGGACGGTGCAGTTTGGTGCCCTCTGTTGGGACCACGAGTCGCTTCAGCCTCGATGCCGTTCCAAATGATAGCCCACGAAAGCACACCGCAAGAGCTCTGCACAGCACTGACGTCAGCCTTCTCTTTGCAGCTCGTGAGTGCTCCCGCCAACGCCGCAAAGGTGCAACAACCCGCTGCCGCGACGAAGCAGGCGCAACAAGCGGCGGCGGAAACGGCGGGCGGGGCGGATCCGGGAATCGATGACGACTTGCAGGTCAGCTTTCATTCTGTTATTACCGATGCTTTTTCTGGTTAGATAACAGAGATTGTGCTCAAGCTCCCAAGCTCTCTCAAGTGACCAGGTTCATACCGTACGTAAGCGCAGGAGTGCGTCTTTGATGCATCTCATGGTCGAAAGCGTGTCTTCAATTGGAGTGCTCTTTTGTTTCTTTCTTCAACAATACTTTCTGTTATCTTCTGAGGCTGCGCCTTGTGCTTTCGCAAGAAGAAGCGATAGGACATGGCCTTTTGCACCAGACATGTAAATCTGGCTTCTATGCTTGTCAGCGTCTGTGCTAGGGAGTCCCAGGTGTTCTTGGTCAGAGGCGACTGGCACCATGCTTTCACAGGTTATTAAACAGCGCAATCTGCCTTTTCCGGGAGGTCATTCTGCCTTTTCCGGGAGTGCTGCTCTCAGAAACTCACCTCACAGATTCCGTCAAAGATTCGAGTACCTTCTTCTGATCCCGGGTCCTGTGAGGTGTTCGATAGTCTCTCCGTCCCAGGTCTCTTGCCCCTCTCAGATAAAGGCAAGAGCCATTTTGTCAGCCGCTCGCCTGAAAATCTGGTAATAAACAAGTGTGTCTACTGGCTCTAGCTTTGAGATGCCAATTCCCGCTTCTCTCGTTTGGGGGGAAGAGGGGTGGCTAACATTGCAACATTTAGAGCCGCCCCTTGACGATCTGTAGAAAGCTCATTTTTGTCTTTGCGTGCAGGCCCGATTAGATAACCTGAGGCGGATGTAATCTTGCTTTCGACCTGGTCAACGACCTTTCTTCTAGATTTTAGGAGACATTCCAGCCGCACAATATATGTACAGAAGACTTGCAATGTCGGGCGCCTGATTGCTTATATTTGGACTTTGGTTTGCCTCTGGCAACTTCTATCCGTTCTGTGCGAGATGCAACTCGGATGATTGAATTTACGAATGGCAGAGCCGGAAGCATTCTCACCACTTGCGGTCCCCAAGATGGCAAGCATGATTCTGTTTGAAGAACAAGTCAGACACTTGTTCCGTCTTCCATGCTTCAATACGAAATAGCTCTCAGATAAAAGGCATGGTGATTATAATATACCATGACAATCATGAATAATCCACATGCCAAGAAGCAGAAATGGACGCTGACATGCTACCTCAAAGCGGCATCCAATACCTTGAAAGGTCCTGCAAACTTATTTCACTGTAGCTAGTTATCTACTAGGTACTAGCACTGGCTTTGCCTTTGCCTGAAACTGGCCAACAACATGCGCGCAGTGCGTTCTCTGGCAAGCAGAGGAACTCTGCCATGCAGCCAGGAAACGCGTGCAAAAAGACCTGTCGCAAGCGCCCGCCTTCAACGGTCATGCATGAACAAATATGCTATAAGAGTCCAGCTAACGGTAGTAGCCAGGCTGTGTGTAATCGTTTTCCTATTGACAGACCTCGACTTTCCTCCCGAGCGGTTTAGCGGTGAGGTAAGCCTCGCTTGGGGATGGCCGCTCGCTTCCGAGTCCTCATCCAACCCTCGAACTTCTTCGCAACTATTATGCCAGCTGTGATCCCCGGCTTCTCCACAAAGTCATGGGCGGGGTAGGCCATAAGAAAAATTACTGTAGGATATACAAATCGAGGGGATTCGTCGGTGCTATGAAGTTTGTGACGAAGCACAGTCCCAGTGGGTGCAAGAGATACATGCTGCAGCTGAGGTCGCCCGTGATTCAAAACAGCGGTTTCGAACTAGCTCATCACTCGAGCCCATGATCCTGCAAGCATGCGAGAAAAGTTCCGATCTTGCTGAACAAGCCGGACTGCTGCAAGTATGGAGGTACTTTGAGCCGTGGACAACTGGTCAAATTAAAGTCTCCTTGCACTTTGCACCGTTGTTTTCCGCACTCGCATGAGAAATCGTACCTTTGTTTTCCGCACTCACATAAGAATACGAACAACCCGCAATTTTCAATGGAGCTTATTCAAAATATGGTAAGTTATGAAGAGTTCCTTATGCGGCCTGCCAGCTTTTCTAAGAAAGACTGGTTCTATGTAAGGAAGCTCGTATATGCAGTACGGCAGAGCCGCTTCATCGACAAAGTCTACCTAGGCATGACGCCTTTGCACTATTTAGCTCATTCACATCTGAGACTCATTCACTTTTGAACGAGCCACGTGGCGCTGCCGGCGTGCCTATCAACACATCTCGAGTCCATAATATCTGACCAAGGTCTCGACAAAACTCAATCTGACCTGACTAAGAACTCAACTACGCTCAATCTGACCAAGAACTCAACTACTCTCAATCCGAGCAAAAACTGGACTACGCTCATTGTGCAAAGAAGTAAACTCTAAATCAAGCAGCTAACGTAACCAGCGTCGCTGGAGCAGCGCAGGGAGTGGGAGAAGACCGGTTCCTCCAACCGGGAGCCTCCCATGAGGCGACGGGTGAGGGACACCAGGCTCGGGGCAGAGAACCGGGAGAACTTGCAGTCGGTGGCCATCAGGTCGGAGGAGATGTAGTCTGCACATGACAGAAAGTTGTCAGGATAATCGAGCTGGCAAGTCTGAGGCTCGTCAGCTTGGAATCGGCAGCACTTGACGCTCTAGTAATGATTCGCCAATTTGAGGAAGGAGTCTGTCATCGTGAACAAGATTATCCGACTGATTTGGTTACTTGATTTGGGCATCAAGTACGAAGGAACGCCCGAAGACTGGACGGCTGCGTAAAGCTTACAGCATCAAGCTTATGGCGTTTCTTGCCTGAGCACAGGTCTTCAGCTGATTGTTCAGTTAGGCGGGTTTTTATCAGCTAGCTGAGCAAATAGAAAATAGACGGCGAGAGAGGAGGATCTCTGTTCATAAATGCCAGATCGATCCGTTATCCCCTTTCTTCACTTTCTCTGCCCCTCTGCCCCTCTGCCCCTCTGCCCCTCTGCCCCTCTGCCCCTCTGCCCCTTTGTTCTACAAGCGCTAGCCTTTCTGTTTTCTCCCATCTCTTTGCTCCTCCGGAGAAATTCCAGATGATCGAGATGAAAGGCGACATTCAGGCGTCAAATTGCCTTACCATGGTCGCCACCCTCGACGACGTCCGCCTGGTCCATCTTCAACTCGCTGCTGCCCGCGACCACGTGGAGACGTTCCGGCTGGAAGGTCTGGCCCAGGATGCCGTGAGCGGAACCTGCGCGGAAAGCGAAACGGAATCACATCAGCAAGGGGAACGAAAGGAATGGACGATACTGGGAGGTCGTAGTAATTGGCTTAAAGAAGACACAAAATCTGCCTCTCTGATTAAAGGAGTTTCCGCGCCTTTCGGCGCGCTGACTACATTCAAAGAACGATGACCAGCTCAGCCTAGTAATTCACCTTTGTTCCATTCTACCACACGACTCTCAATGCATTATACAAAACCCTCGGCTTTCGAGATTATGCTTCGAACTCTCTCCATTCTTCGTCTGTCTCTCAGGACATCGTTCAGAAAGGGCTTACGTACTAGAACTGAATCAATGCTGCCCACTCTCAGGACGAGTTTCTCGCAGGGTATCGGATGACGTACTGGTGATGTTCATGACGTCAACGTCAAAGTCGATATGGTGGCCGTCGGGGAACTCGTGCTCGCTGGCGGTGAGCGTCGTCTGGAAGTGGCCCTTAAGCGTCAGCGTCAGCTTCGCCGTTTCGGACGTCCGCGAAATGGTCACCAGCCCGTCGTCGGACGTCCACACGTTGCGCCCGCTCGCGGGGAGGCTCACGCGGACGGGAGATGCGTCGTACTCCACGAGGAAGACGTCCGAAACGTTGCTCGCAAAGTCCTCCTCCTGAGAAAGAAGCGTGCATAGGTTTGAGTTTGAGAACAACGATAGCTTGGCAGAGTGCTGGAATGCTAAATGGAAATAAAGCTTGGGTTTTTTGGAAGGTTTCAGATTCCAGATCCGGGAAGAAAGACAAGGTGAAGTCTCTCAACCATCTAAACCATCTAAAGAGCCTCGCTCGGAATTTTCGAAAGAGCGTTACTGTACTTTACGCCTTTGCTGATAAATGTTTCTGGTAAAGCTAGGAAGCAGTGAGATTGTCGCGCAAGCTGCGGCTAAGACCAAGCCCATGTCTGAACGCCAACATTTTCAACACTTACAAGAACGAGGAACGATCGCTTCTCACAGCATTCGGTTTTAGCTTCCCAAGATTGGATGACTTTTCTCATTCGCTTTCATTGTGTGAGTCCTCAGAGCATCCGGGTTTCAGCTGCGCAAGTTTGGGAGTTTTTCCTCTTTCGTTTGTTTGGAATAAAGTCCAGAACTCACAGAGACGAGGTGGACGGAGAGGGAGTGCTGCTTGTTTCCGGCGACGAAGACGAAGCCCAGCTGGTCCATCCACGTGCCGTCCATGCCGGTCTCGAGGCCGTTCTGGCCGATGAAGTGCGCGTTCAGGTGGAACGCCTTGTCGGAGATGAGGCAGAAGGACTTCTCGGGGACACCTGTGGAAGGGCAGATATTGAGAAAGTTTAAAGTTCCCAAAATCTAGATTTGGAGCTCCACAGAAGTGCAAAGGCACGCAGCGATGTGAAGAAATCAATTCCGGTGACCGGAGGCAGAGGCGTTTCGGCTTCCTCTGGTTGCATCGACAAGGGACTCCTGTCAAATTTTGCCGACAAGTCAAGCCTTTTGCAAACGAAGCAAGATGCGGAATTTGGCGACATGCAAGGCTGATCAAAACTCAACTTGACTTCGCAGGCAGAGCCGAAGGCTTACCATGGAAGTCGTACCTCACGCCATTGCCTCCAACGAAGTGCTGCACAGCAAGGAGACGGCATCAGATGCAGTCTGGGCGTGTAGCTCTGTTCTGAGGGCGTGGTCGACGCGGGTCCCTCTTTGAGGGAAGGCTTCTCCTTGCTCTCAAGATTTCTCGAGTCGAGCTGAAGATTTCGAAGCGACGTCTGAACGAGTAAGCAGGGCTGGCAAGTCCTAAAGTTTGGCGAGTTTTCAGTCTACAAACCAGCTCAAAATCATTTTTTGTGAACGCCCATCTGAACCTCTGACACTGGGAGGAGATAGCGAGCTCCTTCAAGCAGAACTCCAGCTGCGCACTTTAGGCTTCAGCTTGGAAAAGGGCTCAAGCCATGGATCTCGATCTCATGAAAATGGAGTTCTGATTTCTCAGCTCGACTCAGCACCCACTCGCCCCCAGCACTTCTAGACGCGCCAGACTAGCAGTACACACCCCCAAAGTGAGTCCTAACATCACACCCCTGCCCTAAGGCTACAATGCCAAGCCCACTGTCTTCTCATCCACCAATAAGCTGCCACGTGTCCCTGCTTACCGGGTCCCCGCAACCCCCGGTCCCCTGGGCCAAGGTGCACTTGCACGAGTCCTTCGCCGTCCGCTTCTCTGCCGGGATGGTCGAGTCGCAGACGCACTTGCCGCTACCGCCATCCTTGCGTCCAGAGGGACACGTCGGCTGCGGCGTGCAGCTCGATGAGGTGGACTTGGAGGTGCACGCCTTGCACGTGCCCCTGCCGTCGAACAGAGTCCCGGACTTGCACTTGCAAATGTTGGAGGTGCCGAAGAGCCACCCCTTGCTGGAGTCGCACTTGGAGGTGTCCTTTGCTCTTGCCGCCTTGCAGCTCCCGCGCACGCCGTCGCGGGCCCCGTCGCAGAGGCACTTGCTGGCGCTTGAGTCGAAGAGGCGCCCGAACGAGCACGTGTTTGTGGCCGCCGCGATGGTGACAAGCGCAAAGAGTGCACCAGCGAGGAGCGCGGCGCGGGGGGCCGTCATGCTGGCTCCGGGAGGGAGAAGGGGGAGGTATGGAGCTCCCCTTGGCTGAGTGAGGTTCTGGGATGGAATGGATAGTGGAGCGATGAGGGATTGAAAATGACCTGGAGTCAGTGGCTTTTGTAGGTGTTTGTTTGGACTTGAAGCTGTGGCCATCAGCAGAGTTTATCGCTTGAGCTGCACCTACTGGAGTACAACCAGTACTGTCACTGTCATCACGTACCCAGCTTCAAATGAGCTGGATTAGAGTACCCACTGTATCCCACTGTATCTATAGACTAGGTATCATGGTAGTCCGAGTGGGCTGCTCGTGCATAACTTAGCCCGGCGTGTTCGGAAAAGAATGACGGAGGCACGCTTCAGATGTTGCTTTCGGTGTAGCCACTCTTGACCGATGGCTTCAGATCGTCAAGAGCCAAATGTGGTCAGTCCCACCACGCTGCTCCACTGCTACTGCTACGAGACTACCGTTGGCACGACTACGCGTCCTTGGACCGTGCACAGTCTGTACCCGGCCGGACCGGTACAAACCTTCAGTACTGTGCATACGGTAGCTGCTAAGATTGCGCACTCCGGAATAGGTACATTACCTACTTACTGCGTATGTCCTCACCTGGTGACATCGAGCTTGATATGTACCTACTGTTACTATTAGGTACCTATACCTAGATTCTAATACCTAGGTAGGTAAGTGCAGATGTATCATGTATCATGTGACTCATGAGTAGGTACGTACCTACCATAGTTTGGTACCCAATCTCCAACATCATTGCAAAAGCATGGCGAGATGGCGAGAATTCCGGAATCCTTTTAGGTCGTCTCCTTCATCCTAGGTACCTAGTAGGTACCGTAGTCCGACGTGACGATTCCGAATAGAAAATATTTATTTGCATTCGGAAAGTCAGAAATTCGGATTTCCCTTCCGGAAAGTGAAGATTCGGAAAAGTAAAATAACTCTGAAATGGGTCTCGGAAGCCGTAAAAACTGCCAAAAACAGCCAAAAACTCCCCTTTCGAGTGAGTCCATAGGGCATTTGGATTTTGGTCAGAGTCAGCATAAATTGTTCCACTTTCCTAGCTGGTCGGATTGTTGGAAAATTCTTCGATCTAGGTACCTAGGTAGGACGGTCCTAGTCACTACGTTCGGAATCATCACGTTGGTCCCAACTTTATTCGTCAACTTTGTACGTACAGGAGAGGGTTCACATTGGACTTTCGATCAATTTTCGCTTTGTTTTGAGATGTACCCAGATGACGTGTGCTGACGTCGTAACAGCGAGTTCTGAAGTTGGGTTCACATTGGGAAAACTGCTGTCGAATGCATTATCAGTTCCGGGCGGAGACCACGTGCGATCACGTGGATGTACAGAATGGTACACTTGGTACACTTTGACGTCATAACTTTCGGCCGAACTGCGCAAGAGTGACTCTGAGCCGCTCGATCGCTGAGTCGGACGTCATAATCGGAAAACATGTTTTCGAAAGGCGGTCGCCGACCGCCTTCGAAAACATGTTTTTCGGAGGTCATTTTGGGTCCAACCTTCGATGCCGAAAGAATTTTGATGTTTGTAACTTTGACAGTTGGCAAAGCGCGTTCCGGATCATGACGTGTGCTTCCGTCATCGCAGTAACTTCGTGTTTTCAAAGAAGGATAATCTGGTCCGCAAAGTCCAATGTGAACCCTCTCCAGGCTGGCAAGGTTGCTGAGCACTGAGCAGTGAGCAGTGGGCGGAACAATCGACGGTTGCTGCTGCATGCTGATGCGTTCTGCTATACAGGCCGTCGATCAAGATTGCGACAGGTGCTGATGTCGCCTTCCAGCCTCAGGGGCGCTGCATGCAGCTTGGTTCTGTTCCATGCCGTGACACCTCTGTTGACAAGCTACCTCCTGGTACCCGCTGCGGCGCTGCCACCAGTCACAGGGAAAGAGCATTGCAAGCAGATGCCAGCAACGCCAATCTGGAATTCTAGGATCGTAGAAACGAAGGGACATGCGGGGCAAGCCGTCGCTTTCAAGAATTTTCTGGAGTCCCTTTCCCTGCACCAATCTGGTCTTTCAACACCCGAACACTGGGGAAGGGTGTGAAGTATTCTGAATGTGAAGCTTCCTCTCAGCAATTTTGAGCTTCAGCCTTCTCTATCCGTTGTCTCCAGCAAATTTCCTGCAGTGTAGCTTCCGTAATCGGTCCTCAACCAAGCCGGGCGCAGAGAAATGACGACCTCAGAGGAGTTTATATTTAGGAGTGCGCTCCCGGACGCGGACATTCCAAATGTTTCGCTGCCAGAGTATATAAACACCTGCATTGCGCGGCATGCTGACCTCGACGCGGCCGCTTATATCGACGGCCCTACTGGCAGGACGTACACCTATAAGCAACTCACGGAGTTGGTAAGGAGGGTTGCTGCAGGCCTAACTGAGCGAGGTATTGTACAGCGGGACGTGGTCATGATTTTGGCACCCAATTTGCCGGAGGTGAGTTTGTTTCCTGACGTTGCTTACAAGACTTGGTTGGGGATACAACTTAGAGTGGTAAAATGACTGCAGATACCAATTCTCAGAATTGGGTTGATGTTTGTGCTCTAAAGTCCTGAAAGCTGTGGTCACAAAACGTCGATCTCATATTTGTAAGCATTCTTGCTCAGGATTTGCCAATTGTGGGCCGTTATCAAAAATACTCCGTTCGCCCACATTTCAATCGTACTTCCCACATTTCAAACATGCAACATAGTTGAAAGTACGTACCCAGCTTACACATAGAGTGACATGCCTGATTCAGAACAACTTGGGAGCAGGAACTATTTGAGGATGGCACACATCTGCTCGCAAAGCAACCAACCGCTAGCCGCGATTTGATGGAGATGTCTGAAAACCCTTTGTTCGAATGTGCAGTATGCAATCGCCTTCTTGGGCATTGCCTCCATTGGCGCCGTCATCACCACCTGCAACGTGAGTCAGGGGCGCTCCAATTAAATTCTCCGACCGGCACTTGACACTCCCGCTAGATTGGTCCTAGTTCAACTCTCAGGGTTGGGAGTTAGACATGTGTACTTACAGCGGTTAATATTGTGACTGCGGAGATTGTTCATCGAGCAGAATGTTCCTAAGCCAAAAGAAACTGAAAGCTAAAGCATTTTGGGAACCAATGGGACCATGGGCCGGGGCAGTATCCAACAAACCCCCAGAGAGTTGTGATCAAAAAGTCACCCCTTTGCAGCCATACGCTTGGAAATAGACTGCCAATAAGAAATGTTGAACCAGGAAAAATACTCACAAAACGCCTTCGGAGCCAAACGCAATGACCCTTTGCTCATATCTTGTTTTGACGAAGTGAATCAGCGCTAGTGGAGCACAGCAAGCATGCCCACTCACCAAAAGTAGAAACGCATTGGATAAAAGTTGTGCAAAGGAAGTTTGTAAAGAAGTACGCTGGGTCGTCACGCCACCCATGTAAGGTGCTGTGAAAGTTGGAGAATAGGCGGAAAGAGGCTTTTCTTTTCTGCATCCTATGTATGGTCAAGCTCTGCCCCTTATCCTTTTCTGTTAAACACTGCACAGTCGAGCTCTGGATGAAGACCAGGGGCTGGAAAAAGCAGAACGCTTGCGTTAAAAATCCCGTTTTAATACGCTACGAAAGAGTAATCTCCTCTCTGCAGCCTATGTACGGTGCGATGGAGATCGGCAAGCAACTGGACGACTCCAAAGCCAAACTGATCTTCACAATCGAGGCGCTGCTTCCCACGCTTGAGAAAGCCGGCGTTACCCTCCCGGTGGTGTGCTTTGGTTCCGCTCCGGGGGGCACAATTCCCTTTGAAGAGCTGATAAAAGCAGACCCCTGGAAAGCGCCGACGGTGTTCATCCATCCTGAGGACACGCTCGCGCTGCCGTACAGTTCTGGGACCACAGGTGTGTGTCCTTTGGAGATTAAGTCTGCCAGGATTTGAAAATTTGGTGATCTGAGGGCCTTCATGGTCTTGACAGTTATGAGTTGCGAGGCTTCTCACTGATGCGATCTGGAATCTCTGGGGCCCAAGGTTCCGAGGTTCAAGCTTTCACGGATGATAAGGTTACAGAAATACAGGCGGAAGGACTAGAGACTCCGTTCGGTGTTTCCTAATAGGTTCAGGCTGCACTAGCTGCGTTGGGCGCCTCATCTGAACTTTCGGACTGTTCTTTGTCTATACTAGTCAGTTGCGCTCTGGTGCCGTGTTCCTGACCCGTTGCTTGATGCCTTAATCATGGTTATCGTTCATGGAGAACCAGGTCTTTATCGTCAGAAATAGTCAGAGATCCCCGACGGGATTGATGCTTGCTTGTCCCATGAAGTCGGGCCTTATCCTGACCGACTGATCTCTCGAATCAGAGTCACAATCAGAAACATGTCTTACATGCAGGTCGACATGTCTCGTCTCTTCGTCTTGAAGCACTAACGACAAGGCATTGCAAATCACATTTTCGGTCCTCATTTAACGCATATCTTCCCGAAACTCTCCCATTGCCTGACCAAGTCCTGACCCTTTCCCCGCGCAGGTGTGGCCAAAGGGGTCGAGCTGACCCACCGCAACCTCGTCGCAAACCTCGTCCAATCCGTGGGCGGCCCTGTCCCGGTGATGCATTTCCAACCGCATGACGTCACCCTCGGGCTGCTGCCCTTCTTCCACATCTACGGCATGACGACCCTCATCCTGTCCCCGCTCGTCAAATGCATACCGCTCGTCGTGATGCCCAAATTCGACCTGGTCGAAATGCTCGAGCTCATCCAAAAGTACAAGATCTCGTTCGCGAACCTGGTTCCGCCGGTGATCCTCGCGCTCGCGAAGCACCCCGTGATCGACAAGTACGACCTGTCGTCGATGCGCGGGATCATGTCGGGCGCAGCGCCGCTCGGGAAGGAGCTGCAGCAGGCGGCCGCGAAACGGCTCAACGTCACTGTCGCTCAGGTGAGGACGATTACGGCATTGAGGCAAGTGAGAGTTTCTTCTCAAACGAAAATTGCAGATGGTCATAATCAAGGGGCTTAAGACGTCTTTGAGTAGATAGGGATGTTGGCGTTTGACAGTTTCTTCCGAGCACACTGCCACTTTCGGGAAGTCTAGACTTGATCAGTCAGTCTGCGATTGCGTGCGTTGGGGCACTCCTTGACACTGATTCGGCAAACTGCTCGGAAGAACGTCCTTATCGTGACGGTTTTGAAGACTGTGACACAGCAGCCGCCAGAATTGTGTTACGGTTGAAAACGCATGCCCTAAACGATTCTCGGACAGATTTTCGGGTTGAAACCATGTTGTGCAAGCCTTCTGTGAGCCGGGAGGCGGATTCCAGTGCATCAAGCCCTTGACGACAAGGGCTACGACGAAGTTGGACAGAGGATTACGGGTGCCACAAGGAGTTGGACTTAACTCCTGAGTATCACTTACACAACATCGTTTCTGTGCTTTTGCAGGGTTACGGCATGACCGAGAGCAGCCCCATCACTCTCGTAACCCGAAACGTGTCTGCGCGGCCCATGGAGTGCACGCCGGGATCGGCAGGAAGCGTTGTAATCAATACGGAGGCAAAGATCCGGGATCCGGAGACGGGCAAGTCTCTACCGCCCAATCAAAGGGGCGAGCTGTGTATCCGGGGGCCGCAAGTGATGAAAGGTGAGGCCTTTTTCTCTATCTTTTTCTCCTCAGAAAGGTGTGAACAAAATGAAGGTGCTCTGCATGAAAGGTGGAGTAAAGGAGGCCGATTTGCGCCTCTGGTCAACGGGGTGAAATCGAAGGTGAGGGCGATTTTCGTACTAGCTATGACAAGCGCAGTGTGGATGAGAACGAAGAGAATAAACAAGAAGAAAGAAGGGGCTGTTGCTGAGACTTGCCTTTGGGTATCGTTACAGGAATACTTCAGCCGGGTCTGCCTCATGCGCACATCTGAGAAAGAGAGTTGTTATTCGAAGCCCATAGATCTGAGCCTCCTTACGGTGTGGGTTCATCCCACCTTCGGATCCCGCAATGAACCTTCTTAAAAAACTGAAGCCCCAAAATCTGTCAATAGTAGGTTACTTTCATTCGTAACACCATGGGCAAAGGGCTGAATGATATTGGTCCGCCTTCAGTGACTTCGACATACGGTAAAGCAGTCCGAATCGCACTGAAGCAACTACATTGCGTCCCCGATGTACCCCAAAACCGGTAGAGTCGACTTCCATTGCCGATAACAATCTCAAAGCCCAGGAGTCCGCATAGAATGGACGAGAAACAATGTCGCGCTTTGGCAAGACGTGGTTCGCTCTCAAAAGCCGCAAGCGACTGCCCCAACCTTGCAACATCCTCGAATCCACGTTTCCCGACTCCTGCGCTTTTTTGCCGGTTCCCCAGAGGCAACCAAGCGACTTTTAGACACTCCGGTTTAATGAAATCTCACTCTGAATCCAGGTTATCTCAACAAGCCTGAAGAGACCGCTGCCACAATCGATAAGGACGGCTGGCTCCTGACGGGCGATATCGCGTTCATCAACGAGCGCGGCGAAATATTTGTCGTCGACCGCGTCAAGGAGCTCATCAAATACAAAGGATTCCAGGTGAGCCACGCATAGCTTATGGCGCGCTTTGTAAGTTAGGTGAGCACGCATAGCTTATGGCGCTCGGCATGAATCATCTTATAAGTCCGCTTATATAGTTGAGTTAGCATCGGCACTTGACACGCCATTAGCCTCCAGCCTCGTTTCCTCATGCAACGCGTCGTTTCGAAACCTCTCTCAAGAGTGCTCCAAAGAAATCTCGTCAGCAGTGTCCTGCACCAATTGAATGGACACCTTTGACGAAACACATGGACAGACTACCGGAACACGAGAATTGTGAAAGGAGAGCTGACCGGTATTCTTGCGATGGCCACCCACTTTGAACCAGCTCCCAACGTGCCCACTTCGCAAAATAGGATAAAGATTAGCCCAAAGCTCCCGTTTGAATTCCCGCATTTACCCCCAATGCTAGTTCCTGTCAATGCACCAACTTTCGCGTGCCAACCGTGACCGCTGCTTTGTGATCTTAAGTTGGCTCTGCTTGTTTTACCGCCAAATACATGTGGCTGCCACTGCGGCAAAGCTTCTGTTCTTGAAACCCATGCCTTAGTTGCCCTTTCCGCATATCTGACGATTGCTGTGTTGCTTCCAGGTTCCTCCGGCCGAGTTGGAGGCTCTCTTAGTGGACCACCCCGCTATTGTCGACGCGGCGGTGATTGGGTGAGCAGTGCTGTACACTGAATGTATTTTGCGAAGATTTCCTTGCTTCAGTCCCTCGCATCATAGGGCGCCTTGGCTTCATACCGGAGCCTAACCGCGACCGAACCGGAGCATCTCGCGCCGGAAAGGGACGAACGAATCGGAGCTGCAGTTCTCAGAAATGGCTGGGGGCCAAGCCTCTTCGCGATTACCAGCGTCCATCTTGTTAACTGTAACGGATGGAACGGTTCAGATCGCTTCATCAGTTTCTATACTAGAGATTCTGGTCACGTGGCACAGGTCCCAAGTGCTGAGTAATTGATGAGGCTAAAATTCAGCCCCGTCGCTGGCGCAGGATCCCGGACGAGGAGGCGGGCGAGCTGCCAATGGGCTTCATCCAGGTGGCAGAAGGGAAGACGATCACGGAGGATGACGTCAAGGAGTACGTCGCAAAGCTGGTGAGGCGGTGACTACCGGAATGCTGGCTTGCGCTAAACGACGCTTTCTCAAGGAACACGCAAATCAGTCCTCGCCTTATCTGTGGTAAGGTCGACTGATTTGAGTAGATCTTTGGAGTATGGAACTTACGATGGGACACTGGCACGTAGGGGTTCGATTTGGAGACGATGGGCGCATGTGAAATCGAAACGCCTGAAGACAGGTCTGATGGGAGTGTCAAAGCCTGAACTCGAGATCACAAACTTCGGCATCTTGTCGAGTGCTGATTACTCCTCCTCGGACTCTATTTGAAGTCCCTAAGACGTGGTTAAATTTTGCTCCCACTTTTGCAGGTTGTCCACTATAAGAAGCTGCGCGCCGTCGAGTTCGTGGAGAAGGTTCCAAAAACGGCGTCCGGTAAGATTCTGAGGAAGGAGTTGAGAGCCATGGTTGCAGCGAGATCGGGGAAGAGCAAGTTGTGACCGAAGCGTTGGAGTTTTGCTCGCCCACTGAGGGCTCTAGACCAGCGGCTGGGTCTTAGCGGGGAATTAGGCAAAAGATTTTGTCCATGCACGAGATCCTAGACATAGTCCACTTACAGGTGTAGACAAACCGCTTGCATAGGGCACGCAGCCTGCACACGGATTCCCAACGAGTCGGGTTGAGTGGGTTTGATAAATCGAGGTCCACATGAGGCCCAAATGTTGCGGTACCATACAATGCTTTTGTAGGGCGGAGATGCAGTCAGTAAGACACAGCCGTATAGTATGTGAGCTTCAGTCAGTCAAATAGACAATGGACGATGGTTACAAAGTTTTCTGCAAAAGAGAATCACAGCATCTAGTCTTCAAGAACCAGGCGTGCATTCACAGATTTGTTGCGTTTTATGCTCGCATCTCCATATTGTCGATCTTTGCAACGCCCGCACATTCATGAACAGCAGTAGTTTGCTTTGCCATGTCTAACTAAAAGGCACATGACCGTCTGATTGTTGAAAGTCTATAGGCCGAAAATGGCGACAGCAAATGATGGCCCGCAAATATGCATGACGGCCAGGATGCCCAACTAGGTGAAGGCGTCAATTAACGTACGTTCAACATGTGCTCAGACGGCTGGCAGTGTACGTACGTGTTGTTGCATGCATCTGCATCTCTAGATCAGTGCAATTCAAGCCGGGATGAGATGTCACTCCATGATGCATGTGACATCGTCATGCTAGGCCCACGCATTTTACGGCGCCCATTTTCATGAAGCAGGTTGCTCCAGACGAGGTATCACGGCACACTCGACGGCAACCTCCGCCACGATTACCTTATATCATAGCAATATACTTTCATTTGCTCTTGACAAACTCGAACTAAGCGACCACTGCCCACCGCCGCTGCGGCTCGTAACGTTACCAATGTAGAAGATCGTGTATAAAAATCGGATCATTGATCTCTGATTGGCCGCAGCCTAACTCATTCGCAGACCGTGGATCCTCTCAGTAGAGAATCTGGTCAAACACGGCCGACAGATCGGGGGCCACAGCTGCGGACAGCGTCTCGGACAGCTGCTTGGCCTCCCGTCCGAAATCGTCCGCCAGCAGCTTCAGCAGCGGCTGGTACTGCGTCTGCTTGCGGCTCAACACCCGTCGAAAGGCGCGCAGGCCCAGCCAGAGCACCTGAACAGTGGGTCAGATTCGACTCGATGAGTTTCGCAGCTCGGACTTTCCTCATAACACTGAGAGAGCTCCGACCCGGCCAGTCGCAAATCCTGTGTTCGGATGAGGTCGTTGCTTATCCAGCAGAGCCCAAAAGCGCCCAGAACAGCCTCCAGGAAAAGAACTTTCTTCTCCTGTCTCGACCGAGGAGCCGTCATTTGACTCCGTGAAAAGGGTTGCTGCCGTCAACCAGAAAGCGCTCCATGGCGACGAGTCACCTGGAACAGAGACGAGTTCGTAGCAAAGAGGGCGAACAAGCAAGGAAAGAGCGTAGATATGCACGAGCGACAGCTGATAGCTTACCAGACCGGACTAAAATTCCAAAAGCACTACGCACTAATCGAAAAGACACCGTTGAGAAGTTTTACCTGGGACTTGGAGACCTTGCCGGAGCACCCGGTGCCTCTCCGGCGCGCAGCCTCTCTAGCCGTCCCCACGGCTGCAGACAGGTAGCCGATCGCCTTCCAGATTTCACGGGCCAGGAACTCGGGATTGCTCCGGGGATCCCCACCGGAAGCGGAGAGGAAGCAGTGGAACTTGATGGCGCACAGCAGGAAGGCCTGGCAGGGTAAAGGAGAATGGGCTGACGTCAGAGCGTACGAGTGACGTCAGCAACTCGCTTTCAAGACGAGGGCGGAGACAACCTGTGCCGACGTGGGTGCTCGTGTAAGATCCGTGAGGCGCGCAGTTGAGCAGATGACGTCAGCCGTTCGTTGAGAACGTCTGGGAGACCTGCAATCCGCTGAATTGGAAATGCTGGCGCGAAGGGCGCACAGAGTAAGCGAATCAAGGGGACCCAGCATAGTTAGATCTACGGCAGCAGTTCATTTTTCAGACTCAAGCCAACTTTTGTAATCGATCACTGGCAGCTAGAGTGAGAGAGCTTAAGGTTGACATGCTTGAAAGAGGTTAAGGCTGACATGCTACAGATAAGTTGACAATCAGATTCCTGTGGCGCCACGCCTTTGACACACCTGATAGATGTTCAGCCTAACCGTGGTCGGCGAGTTGATGGCGGTGTCAAAGAAGACCGCGTGGCACTTGGGGCGCAGCCACAGGCACAGGCGGTCAGCCAGGATGGCGCCACGTCGGCCCTTGGTCACATCGACGGCCATGGAGTCGCGGATGTACTCGCCGCTGTACCGAGTGTAGTCCGCTTGTACCTCCAGGGTCTCGGAGTTGAGGAGGAGGCCGCACCAGCGGATGAAACTAGAGCGAGCGAAAAGGGCAGGGTCAATTGAGGGGTCAGTCAGATTTTGCACTTCTAACCAGGGGATTGAATCAGACTTTCACGCATTTGCCACTTGAAGTTTCAGCAACCCCTACGTTAGCTTTGACTTCCGTTTGGAAGATATTTGAAGGTGAAAGCGTGACTGTTGTTTGGCAAAGGGTTCGAGAAACGCGCGTATTCTATGCAGCAGCATCGCCAGGACCTTTTAAGAGTCCCGTACCTAGGTGTCGGAGTCGGATCCTGCAGCGCTTTTAGAGAAAAATTTCTTCTTATCGGTAAGATACGTTTTCATATCTTTCTATTGAGCTGTTTGAGTGGCAATTTCCTGACAGTTGAAAATGTGACCTCTCAATTGCAAACCCTCACCTTCTTCCGCTTCCGTCGACGTACATATTCTGCGCGCGCAAGCCCCCCTGCTCGTCGTTCAGATCAAAGTTGAGGCACGTCTTCGCCGGGTTCGCCTCCGCGCCATACGCCGGGAAACCCGCGTGCATCGCGCCCAGGTACGCTGCCACGTGGCGCTTGGACGTGGACAGGAAAAGTGAGTCGTCCACCCACCGCATGAGGAGCGACTGGGGCCCGGAGCCGCTGCTACGTGGCCCATTCTCATTGGCTGGTGCAGGCCGTTTCTCGTTCCGCCTGTCGACCCCGTGGTCCGAGGTGCCGCCGGCTGCGGCATCTCGCTCTAGTTGCGTCCCAATGTTTCTGGACTCCCCCCGGTTTTCTTCTGCTCTTGTTGTCCCGGTCTTTGGTGCACGTTCTAGAGGGGCTGTGCAGGTCGTCACTCTCTGCCGGCTTGTAGTTTCCCAGGGGGGCTCTCTTCCCGGCCAGTCATCCCCCCTGCCCACGCTTCCCCAACCCCTTTCCCCAGGCGACGTCCCCTCGTCTTGCGAGGCATACCCTTGCTCGATCTCCCAAAAGCACCCCCCCTCGCCGCTGTCGATCTCGACCCCCCCGGAAAACCCGCCGTCAGGTCCCTCCGCTTCGCTTTCGGTTTCGCTTGACTCCATCCGCAACCAAGCCTCCGTTCCATCGTGCTCCGGGGTCCGCGGTTCCGGGGGCTCATTCACACCGTCGCTGAGAGCGCGGGCTGGGCTGGATGGGAAAAGGCCCTCTTCGAGGGGACGACCCGCACCGAACCCCTCTCCGAGACCTGCTCCAAGCCCGGCCGTGACGTTAGCTTCTTCCGACTTGCTCCTTCGGCGCAGAAGCACTGCTTCGCTGACGTCAGACTCCTGCGGGCGGTCTGGAGATATCATTCCGTTCAGACCCCTGCCGTTCCGTTCACTCCCAAACCGCCCGTCCTGTTGGCCAACCCCCGGTTCTCCGCCAGAGGCCCGGTCGCCGCTTTTCGCTCCCGCCCTTCCGCTAACTAATTCCGTTCCGCTGTCCGGTTCCGTTCCGCTGCCTCCCGACAAGGCCTCTTCGCAGGCTTTCCGCTCGAGCAACGGCATGAGCACGTTGTTCTCGAGGTGGGCGTAAAAGAAGGAGCAGAAGAGAGTGGACAGAATGGACCCCTGCGCGATGCCGCGCCGCTGGTGTAAATATGCTCGCCCATAGCGCACCACGCTGCCGAACAGGTGCTCCCGGATGAGCTGCAGCTGCTTTCCCCGACTGATCTCGGAGCAGTTCACCTGAGAAAGAAGACGACAATTGATGTGACGGAGTGCTTGGGGAGACTGGTGCTGAGTAGACGCTGCCGCTTATGGACACGGTTGAAGGTAGATCATCACATTGAAATTTTCTCTTCCCTAGCTTGAGTTTCCCTTTTCAATCACTTTGAACTATCTTCTCTCGCCAAGTTCAAGCAGTGCAGTCGTCGGTGCAAGTAATGCTTCAAAGGCGACAACGGCCAGCAAGAGATGACACCAAGCATTGCATGAAAACCACAAGCGTTGCATCTGTGCGAGTTTACGGAACTTGTCAACAGCTATAATACTGAACACGCAAGCTCCCTTCCCTGTGCCCAAACGGCCCGCATCGCTCACCTGGTCTACAAACACCGCGCCCCCGGCCTTCTGTGACGTCAGCCGCCGAAGCGCCTCCTGGAAGGCCCGGTACGCCACGTGGGGCTCGCTGACGTCGACTGACGTCGCCAGTTTCTCCCCACGCACTCGCACGGCGCCAAATGCGGGGGTCGCGCGCGCATTCCAGAGCAGCTGGTAGACGGGCGACCGGAACAGGGCTTGCACGATCTGCGACGTCAACGAGAGGAGCTTTTGGGTTACTCAGTCTGTCCTCAAATGAAGGCAACGAAGAGAGACTACCTAGTCAAATCACGTAACTACTCGCAGGCCGAGTGGCTTGGAGCCTAACGGTCAAAGACTACGAGGTTCGAACGCTCAAAACGGTGCTATGATTGGACGGGTTTCACTGCTTGAGGCGGCGAATGGGACGTCCTATTTCTAGCTTTACATCGTAAAAGAGCTTGGTTGGATGTCACAAACAGAAATCGAGGATCGAATAGCCTATCGAGAGAGTCAAGAAGAAGACTGTACAGATGTCAATGATGGAGGTCGATAGGTCAGACGGATGATGGAAACGCAGCTGAGGATGAAAGCGTGAAAACTTCGACGATATAGAGCATGTTCATGCCGAAAGCAGATTGATGACAAAGCTACGATTGCACACCCCCGGATTTGACATTGATCACGTTTGGTGATTCAACAGAAGTGTCAGGCCTCATTTGGAAATCTACTCCCGTTGCAGGCGCGGAGAAAAGAACGCCCAAAAGGAATCATTTCGCACCTGCCAGAGGAACTCCTGCGGGATGGTGTCATACGCCGCTGCGATGTCACACCCCGCCATGAAGACCTTCGGCATCGGTGCCCCGGGTTTGGTCCTTAACCCGCGCACAAATCCCCGCAGTTTTGCATGGATGTCGTCAAACCCGAAAACCGAGCAACCCAAATCCTCCGAACCCCGCCACTTCTCCAGCTTCAGAATCGCGTGCGCGTCGCCCAGCAGCTTGTTCGGTGCGCCAAACTCTAGAACCTTGGACGTCGGCAACGGACAGCTGGCGGCTGTCGTGGCAGCGCCCGCGAAACCTCTCGCGCCCGGCCGTCCGAACGGATCCGCATTCCGTCCGGTTCCGTCCGCGTTCCGTCCGACACCGTCCCGCTTGCGTCCGACAGTAGTCGAGCCCCGTCCGAAAATGTCCGCAACCCGCTCGAAGCCATCCGCTTGCGGCCCAAGTCCGGCGGACTCACGTCCAGACACGTCCTGTTGATGTCCAAAGCTGTTCGAACTCCACCTTTGCTCGCGCACATGCCCGCCCTCCAGGCCGTTCCGTCGCCGCTGAAGCCCACCCAACGAGTTTCGCCGTCTGAACGGACTCCTCACACCCGCGGTCGATACCGATCTCTGGTCCGCTCGAGTTTCAATCCGCACGACGCTCTTCGCGCCCAGCCGCGCGATTGGGCGCATCCCGTTTGCCTTTGGCAGCAGCCGCATCTCCGCGGGGCCGAAAACGCGCCCCTTGCTCGCGAGCAGCGCCTCGGCGCTCCCGGCTGACACGTGGCAGTACGGTCCGCCAGGGCCCGCCAGGTGGCGCACGCTGAGTGCTGCCAGGTGGCGCCACAAGGGCTTGCGGTAGTAAAAGACCTTCTGCTTGTGGGGCTCGGATTCGGTGACGTAGAAGTGGCTCCGCAGGAGGGGCACAACTAGGCTCGCGAACAAAAAATAGAGCCACTCGGAGAGGCGCCGCCGGAGCGCTGCCGTCTTTTCTGGCGGAAATTTTGGCATCTGCTTGGCAGGGGTGGAATGGGGCGCAGCCTGAAGGGGGCTTTGGGTGTGGGAAACTCTAATCTGCGGCTCTTGCGTCAGGGGCACGTCAGCATCAAAATGGAACGGTGAACCCGTCCCAACAGCATCAGGTAACCACGCATTCTCCCGCAGAAAGGCCTGGACGCGACCGGTGACTTCCACCGGCCCGGATTCACCCGCCAAAACGACGCCCGATTGCAATTCTCCGGTTGCCAGCCCTCCCGAACCGCCCATCCCGCCGTCACCAGCACTTCTCTCCAATCCACCCCCAGGAGCGCCCCTGGGAACCACCCCCTCGGAACGAGAGTCCCCCTCCCACAGCCATGGAAAGTCCGCCAGCCTCAGCCCATGCATCAGCTCCGTCAAACTCATCGTCTCAAATCGCCCGAGCCGCACAAAGCGATTCACGTGGCCTCTGAGCGCGCGCCCGCTCGCGCTGCCACGTGGCCCACCCAGAAGCGCCCCCGGGACTGCCTTCCGGAGCGCGGTCCACACGAACGCTGCCACGTGGCAGTGCTCGCAGAACTGGCCAATCAGCTGCTTGTACGTGGCGTCCGGAGCGAGGTGGGTGGGGAGCAGCGCAGCAAGGCCTCCGGAATCGCCGGCGGAGTGCTGGGATGGAGGGGCACAACTGAAGGCCCTGTTTTGCTCGACGTCGCCAGCATTCCCGTGCCGTGAATTCCCAGCTTCCGCTTCCTGCTGAGCGACAGAACCGGTCTTCTCAAATGCGTAATTGCTTCCCGCTTCGTGGCGAGGGTTCTCATCCTCAGACATGCACTCGTCTTCATTTTCATCTTGACCACCCCGCCACTCCAAGACCCGTCCCCGATCTTCCTCGTCTTGAGTTAAGTACCCGTCGCTGAGGCCTTGTACACTCATGCAGTCCGCATCCTCCCCCTGCTCTTTGCTGCCCCTACTGGCTTCAACAGGGCCTCCCCGTTCCTTCTCTTCCCTATCCAAACGCCGACCCGAAGCCTCAGACGCCAAACCCGTAGCCAAACCCGCCACAAACCTTCTTTCCACGCCTGTCATCGAATCGGGCTTACAAGTGGATGGCAAATCGGGCTCCGGCCCTGATTCCGGGCACTCTCCATCCCTCCCCCTCTCTTCTTCCTTGCCTCCCCGTTTGGCATTTCCCGCATGAGGCCTCCTATCACCTCTCGTCTTCCGCAGCGTTTCCGGCAACGGGCAATGGCGCGCGAGCAGCCTGCCCAGGTCGAGCTTTTTCACAAGGACGAGCAGGTCGCGGAAAAGAGGCAACACCGCTTGGAGTTGACGGGGCGCCCGCCTGCAGGGCGACGATCCAGGTGGTTTCAGCCGTAGTGTAAGTACAGCAACCAAATGCATTCGCTTACCCTTTCAAGCGGGGGAAAACGTTGTCGATCATTTCGATATATTATCTTTCTGCTCACGGCATTTGGACCATCTGCCTTTGCTTGAGGGGCGCTTTTGGAGAGAAGCTAATGGATCACTCAGTCCTAAACGTTTGCGACACCGACAGTTCTTAGAGCTCTGTCAGTTGGCCCCATATGACAGGACGCGTGTTGCTCCGGAAGATCATACACGGCAATGTAACCTTCAATGAAAGTATCAGAGCTTCCCAGAAAAGAATCGTTCCAGCTCTTACAGAATCTAGATGACTGGCTGAAGCGCAAGTCCTCAAGAAATGACAGTAAGAGATCCAAACGGACGTCTAAACAGAGTAGAACAGAGCAAACTTCCACTGACCATTCTTTCGCCTCCGTGTTGGCCGCCCCCGTTGCTGTTTCCGGCCGGACAGACCCAAAGGCTGCTTGGAAGCTTGTTCGTGGTTTGGGCTGTGCAATCATTGGCGCAGCTGATGCGGGCTCGAAAACGTGCCACACGAGAGCCTTTGCAGCCGCACCGTCGGTCCCCAGAGAAGAGAGGATGTCTGTAACATGGGCGGAATCAAGGAATCATCCGGAAACTGACGGAATAGACAAGAAGCCTCCGCTGACGGATGTTGAGGCAGACGGAGCAAAGCAGTGGGTAGAGCTCCGGGCAAGTGTCCGACATCGAGGAGGAAGCGTTATGCCTGGTACTTGTCGCCAGAATACCGTCCCAGCATGAGAGTGACGACCTCAGAACCATGATTTCGAACAGATTGGCAGACACACCGGAGCAAGATCAAGATCCCAAACACCGAAACGTTAGCATAAAGAGCAACAATACAAGCTGAACGATATTGTTGATCAACGTTGACGTAGCGGCAGGATACGTGACGTGGGCAGTCCCGCCTTTCGCCCGTGGCTGGCGTTGTAGAACATGGCGGCTCGAGGAAGAAGCCTTGGTCCACTCTTCGCAGCCCTCACCGTCGGCGACCCCTTGGCTGGCGCCGCGGGCCTCTGGGTCGCCGCCCCTGGCTTTGAAGACCTTGCTTCCGAGCGACGAGGCAACATGGGCTCTGTCTGATCCAGCGGACGCTTTTTGAGATCTGATCGGAAGGGATCCCTTTCTTCTGCCCTGGTACCGATACGGCCCCCAGGACCAAACCTTCGGACCGAGGCCGTTTCGCAACTGTTTGGCAGACAGTTCGATTGGTCAGCACGCCGGAACCTTTCCACCTCATGTACACCCGGCGTCTTCCTCCGGCTGACCGCGACCGAGGCGCCCTTCCCCTGGATCACCACCCGGTGACTCTTCTTCCAAGCGCCCGCCAAAGCGGGCTCCTGCGTGACCGGCTCTTCTTCCAAACCCTCCAAACCCTCCAGGGACGCGCGCTCGCTCGTCGCATCGCGCTCTGCCGCAGCTCTTCTCCGCCTCTTCCGCTGCCAGCTGCTCTCCCTGACCCGCTTTCGTTTCCCTGCGTCGGGGGCCGTCCCCTCCGAAGGGCGTTCCTCCGGCTCTCGACCAGACTCCTCTTGCGTCAGAGGGCCAAAGTCCTTGTCCGAAGGTTCCGCTGGACTTGCACAATCCATGTCGGCCCGACTTCCACCAAATTCCCTTCTTGACAGCCCAGGGGACACTCTAACGTGAATAGGCTCCAAGCAGGGCGTCAGATCTTCCGGTCGCCCTTCTGCGACCGGTTCGCCCAGACGCTCCCCCCGTTTTCTCAGGCCTGCGGCCCCCTTGTCACACTTGTTCCTCATGACGTCTTCCAGTCCCCCCCCAGGTCCTCTTGCGCCTCCTGACGCCCCCCGCAATCTCTCAAGTGCGGCTTTCTGGCCTATACTCCCCTGGGCCTCAAAGCGGGCCACGTGGCAAGGATTCTGCCCCTCCGCCCCTCCCCGCATCCGTCTCACCACCGGCTCCTGGCTTAAGGGGCCCTCGCTGACGTCCTCGGACTCGCTTAAGTGCGTCAACGCTGGGTGGCTTTGACCGTCCAGAACCGACGCTTTCTCTTCATCATTTCTGAATTTCCCCGATTTTTGCTTCCTGTCAGGTCTCTCAGCTACTTCGTGACTGACCGCTCGACCTCCACAAAACGAAATCGTTTCCCGCAAACTCCGCTTGGACCCCGCCTTCGCCCGTTGTTTTGCGGCCCTCGCACAGCCATCCTCTCTGCGCTCGTTTCCTCCCTTTGGTTGCGTCGGCCTCCTCCGTTTGCCATCGACAAACCGCACGTGTGCTGATCCCTCTGGCCCACAACTCGAATCCGCCACCCGAGCACTCTTCCGCTTTCTGCTGACGTTTGCAGGCTGAGGGGGATCCCTTTGCAGTGGGGCCGACGGCTGGAGGCGCTTCTTCCATACAAGGTCGGTGATAGGCCGTCCGCAGACTTGAAGCAGGCAGCCGTTGGGTAGAGGGACGAAGATGGAACTGTTGCGCAGGAGGTGGAGCATGGTAGGGGCGCCAATCTGTACGATGTGAAGTGACGTTCAAAAAGAATGACGCGTGCTCGTTACTTGAGCACGTGTTGCTGCCTGTGCGTTTCGATGGTGGTCCTCGAGAAATCAAGGCGGGTCTCAGTCTCCATCGGAGTCTCCCTAGGATCTACTTTTAGGTTCACTTATTGGTTTCAGACGTTCGATTCTTATTTGCAAGCCGACATCAAGAGTACCAGGATGAATTCGCGACCAACTGTATGAAAGTTTCACAAACTCAGGTGCAAAATTGGTCACTTATGAGCGACTTTTGTCAAGCGACACGCACTTCGGTGTCCATCTTCTGGCAGCAATTGCGCCTGGACGAGTGGCAAACTCCGAGTGGCTTCCATTTTTTGACATGAGATCAACGGAGAAATTTATGTTAGTCGAAGACACTGCCAGCATACAATCTACAGGATGTTAAGAGCTGAACATGGCGTGTCGTATTCAAGCAAAGTTAATCGGATCCTGAAAAAACGCGGTCAGGGAGTACGTCAGATTGTTTCAAGGAGCATAGCCTGGCCTCTGAACCCATTACAGCAATCGTCGAAGAAAAAGCAGCCGTAACACGACTGTCCTCAAGCAGAACCTTTCCACTTTTTTGACACAGGGCATAGATTGAGGTTCAAAGGTACTCACCCGGCTCAAGAGCAGCTCCCAGGGGGGTGACGTCACCGCAGCAAAGGCGCTGCTCAGGCCGAGGCACTCAACGCCGCTGGTGTTCGGGAGGGGTTGTCCTTGTCTTCTCACATGAGCGCCGGCCTGTAGCAGATTGTTTTGTCAAATTGACATATCTCTTCGTTGATGAATTTCTTCGTCTCTACGATAAAAGCCAGGAATCTTTCTCTTGTACGGCAAAGTAAGCAGAATCTACTGGAGAGTCTGAATTGGCTTTGTCAGACCTGACTAGGCTACTGACATGGCTCGTGTGCAACTTGGAGGAGATTGATGAGATTCGGGAGTGGAAGCTTCTCGTCTCCAAAGCTTGCCAACACGTTTCCAACGGTTTTCGTTCTTAGACCGGACATTGGGGATGGATAGTCGGGGTGATGTAGCCCTGGTGGATTGGAGATTGGAGAATGGAGATTGGCTGCCTCAACAAGCTCAACAGGGCTGAAGACATGAAGGGCGCATTCAAGATTATAACAAAACCACCAGCCTTTTCCCTGGCCGAATTATATCTCTAAGCCAAAGCCTGCAATTCAACACTAAGGTCAGGCGTCAACCACGAAAGGACCTCTACAGAACAAACGGCAGATTCGCGCATTCAGGAATACTTATCCAAGGCATCCTCTGTCTGAACGTCACATGGTGGCGGACGAAGCGGCTTACCCTCTGATGCCCCTGACAAAGGAGATCGCTGGGCCGGCCGCCTTTCTGGAAATGCAGCTCAATGGCCCGGTTGACCAGCTGGGGTCAGAAGGAAAGGGGGGAGCGTGTCAGAAAGTCCATCATTCTCCTGGTTCTGGTTCTGCTACCTTATCTCAACGGCTTTTGCTACGTCTACATTTGACGTGACTCAAAAAGCGCTCTCTAATCAGTCAATCATGCAACCAGACTAGAAATTGCTGAGCAAGCTTTGCAGGCCTACACGTTTGGCATCATTCTCCTGTGTGTAGGAACAGTCAAGCTCAATCTACGTCCGCAAACTCCTGCTGTCCTGCTTATCCTCCTGTTAAGGCATGCGAAGTGAGATAGATTGTTGGACTACCACCCCGCAGAAATCCTCTTTCAACATATGTACCTCAGTTTGCGTCCACCCATGGTCGTCCTCCCCGCTCCGGCCCCCTCTAAACTGCGGTGCCCTTTCGTTCAACACCACAAAGGTCTCCTCCAACAAGCGCACTCTGTGGTCCTCAGGATCAGTCTCAAGTACCAAGCCGCGACTCTTTGGACCAGCTCTACAGTGGACAGAACCGGTGGTTGTTTCAGAATTTGGCTTCTGAATGTTGCTCCTTTCATGCTCGTTAGGATTCTTGCTCTCTCTACCCTTCTGTCCGGTTCCTGCTCTTGGAATGCGAGGCCCACATTCGCAGCCATTCACCTCTCCTGCTACTGAGTCCAGATGAGCCCCGCCATGCTGGGGGGAAAGTGACGCCAAGCACCCCCCAGCACTTGCATTTTGAGCGCCACACTCAATGCTGGCTCTCCCTATGATGATGCCCAGAAGTCCGCCAAGACTGTGCACGTTGCTGTAGATGTGCCTGAGGATCTTGGGGCATGTTAGATTGTTGGCTGCCAGAGGAGCACTCGCCTGTGAAGAAAGCTTCATTGCTTATTGAAGCTTGTCCAATGCATCTTTTGGTCAGAAGAAGAGCTGTTTACAATGAAATGTGCGAATGAGGATACTCTAGCCAGGCGTGCAGCTCAGATTTTAAAGGTTGATCACTGTCTTTTGCAATGAGCTCCCCTTCAGACCTTTCTTGTTGAAGGCCAGCTTTTCCAGCAGCTGAAAGCCACAATGCAGGCTGTCGCAGAGCGCGTGCTGTGGCTCAGAAACCAGGTCGGATGTCAGTAGACCGACAATGTAGCTTCATGCAGATCGGGAGAGTCGAATTGGCACCTTTTGCCATTAGTTGGTTGGTTGAAATCAGCGTCGTATGCAGAGATTCGGACTGCTATGCCAGGCTTCGCTTGACGGTCCTTTCTGCGGTGCCGTTCCGTAGTTGTCGTTTCGTGCTCGAAACAAGGTCTGAGCAGTTAGCGGTTGGAAGAACGGCATTGACGTTGTGCACGTTTAACCTACTCAATATGGTACTTTCGGAGCCAATTTACGACATTCACAGAAAAGGAGTTTGCTCGAAAAGTGCTGCACATGCAGCTATCGTGGACATTGAGGAAAGCTAGGTAGGTTGCAGATCTGCCAAATCTGCTCATAGCCAATAGAAGGGGCCCTCTTCCACTCCTCGAGGAGGAGCCTGCCTGCATTGCTGGCTAGCGTAGTCATGTACTCACCTTAGAGGCAAATCTGCTCGTGGGACCGGCGTCTCTACGATGGCAAGGTTTGAGCATCTTGCCGTCTTTGTGACAGCATTGCTTGGATTGCTGCAAGTGCAGCAGGTAGCGGCAGGCGCATGGAAGGACAGCATGCTGCATCCAGTCATCATCTTTCCAGGATTCTCGTATTCCAGACTGCGAATCACAGTAAGCAACCTGTATACTATGCTTCTTGGGGCCCAAAGCAACCAGTTCACTTGAAATAAGGCCAATGCCGCCGGAGTAGTTTTCACCTTTCTGATCCCAATTGATTACATGCTGTTTGCAATCCTCCTCAATTGCATCTGCTTTCAATGTTCACTCTTGGCTTAGAAAGTATTGCGCCCGCTCTTCTGTATGTTCAACTTACAATACATGCAGAGTGTTTGCTGTCGCTGTTTAGATCCTCGCGCCACAGCCTGTGTGAGTGTGAAACACCACCAGCTTGGGCCCACAAGAATCTGCATCTTTCAACAATCCTTCAAATTAAGATCATTCTAGAGTAAAGAGGCACTTTGGAATGCATGTGCGCCAGAGCACTTTGAAGCAGCTTCGTCATCACCATGGCGTCTCCTCTGATAATTGTCAAGCTCAAGTGGCGCCCCTCTAACCTTGTCAAGCTCAAGGCGCCTGAGCAATACTCTGAAAGGCAATTCCAGAGTTCAGATCCTGAAAGACTGACCACAAAAGTTTTTTACGGACAGGCCGATGCACAGTCCGCGGCTGGTTTCTTGAAATCTGCCGTTTGGTTTGTATGAAATCGGTTTACGAGATTTTAGGATCCGTGACTTTTCTGATCTTGGTTGTAACCTACAGATAAGCAGGTTCTCTTGGCTTCTAGTCCTGGAATGCTATAGTGGTTTTCTTGTAGTCTGAGAACTTCTTGGTTCCTTTCGTTTACTGCATTCTGTGCTTTGTTGCTGCTTCTCAACAAGAAGCAATACTTTGCAGTGTAGCAGTACCTTCCACCCGTCAGCAATTCAGTCAGGATGTATCATGGTACTCAGCTGAGATCTGCTGTTTAAACGGTTCTGGAAACCTCCTAAGAATTCTGAAAACCTCCTAAGAGTTGTTAGTCACAGCTGACTTGATCAGTTTTTGGGTGAGTGCCTAACGATCCTGATCACCTCAGCCTACTCAGCGCATACTTTGAGACTAGGTTAGTTACTTAAGGTTCGTCAGCTAGACCGAATAGCCATCAGAGGCACTCATCAGTGATTTTCAAGTTTCAAAGACTGGTCCCTTCATCAGTGCAGCACTGCTATTTTCATGAGCAGCCCTGGTCGTGAACATCACAAAAACCTCTCATTCCATTCTGATGTTCTTTCAAAATAACCTGCTAGATCAAGACGCTTGTCCTCCTAGGTGAACGCCACGTTTGCTGCCCCTGACATCCCCGATTGCCGTGCTTCCACTCCCACCACCTTCGACTTCTTCTACGGCTTCGATCCCGCAACAATCCCGTTCAGTGAGGAGTGCATCTTCCGCATGCTGGAGCCTATTTACACCAACTCGTCTGGGGCACTATCCAATCGTTTCAGCCCCCAGCCTGGAGTCCAGGTAGAGTTTAGACTCCTGCTTCTTCAACCCTTTTTTGAGTCGTATTCGTCCATCTTAGTTTCCACCCGGTTAGAGTCAAGTAGATTCTGCTCGAAGTCGAGGTTCTGTATCCCAGTTCTTGAGGCAGAAACACCAAAAGCATAGCCTGGCATTACTCTCTGAATTTGACCAATGCACGAGTCAGTGTACAGAACCGTGTCTGAGGGGCGTCCAAGGACAGAGTCGTTTAGAAATCTGGAGCCCTTACTGAATTTGTCTCCTCTCTGTCCCCGACGTACAATCCGGCTTTGATATCGTGCTAGCCTGAAAGCGGGGAGAGCGGGGTGTTTAAAGTTCAAGTCACAAAGACAGAGTCGGGCAGGCAAACACTTTTTCCTGTTGCCTGTGAGGTCATCGGGCAGGCTCGAGGGGTACGACGACTTCACTGCCAACCTGCTATAAACCGAAAGCTTTCTTCACGGTCATCCGGTGCCAGCGCATATGTCAGAGTGCACCAATCTTCCCTTACCAACCGTGGCAATCAAACTAAATCGCCCTTTCAAATTCGCCGCTTGTGTCCTTGCTTTTCAAACACGTGTGCTTCGTCCGACAGGTTTCGCTTCCTTATCACGGCACCACCCTCTGCCTCGGCGCGCTCCCCAATGGCACCACCGAGTGGGACTCTCTCATTTCTCAGTTCAAAGCACGGGGCCTTCGGGACGGGGAAACCCTGCGAGTTGCGTGCTATGACTGGCGCGCTTCGCCAAATGTGGACCTGATTCCCGACCAGCCCCTCATTCCTCTGGTCAAGAGCATGATTGAGGACGCATACGAGAAGCAGAACGGGACGCGTGTGTTTCTGATTGGCCACTCGAACGGGCCCGTCTATGCACAGCACTTCCTCAACCAGATGGACACCGCATGGAAGGAGAAGTACGTTCAGGGGCTGATCGCGTATGCAGGTAAGCCGATTGAGTCTGAACGGGCCGACTTTGCCTCATTAACTCTTTAACACAGGAGAGTCCCTTCTTTGAACCAGCGACCAAGCACCACTTATTTTCGTGTACTGGTCGAAGGCCACTACTTGATCTGCTGATTTCTGTGGAAACGCCAAGAGTCGTCGAACTTCCTGTGCTCGTCATGATCGAAGGTCGGTCGTGGCCGATGCTTTCTTCGCTGAAAGAGGTAAAAACGAGTACCATAATCCTTTACTCGGGTCCGTTTAAAGCCTCTCTGTGACCGTCGAATCGTTTCTGCTCACCATCACCTTCAATTTTGAAATTATCATATTCGGAAGTCAGGTGACATCTAGTGTTCAAAGTCCGCTCAGGAAATATCATTAACCTGATCGAGCTGCCTCCGAAGTCACTTGTAGCAAATCAAGAACTACTACGCTGTTGCATGGTCCCTTTCCAGTCAACAGTTCTGTCTGTTCGTTCCCTACTGCAAAAAACTGGCCCAACCAGGGCTTCTTCTAGTAGCAAACGTTCCAAGCCGGATTGAGCTGCCTTCAGAAGATTTCTTTCAAGTCATGGACAGGCAATCTGTTGCCTTATTTCCATTCTCAGCGAGAAAAGCAATTCTTTTCGCTCGATCCTGATGCAAAGAAGTTGCCCGGTCAAGGCGGCTTCTACTAGCAGACGTTCCAAGCCGAGTTGAGCTGCCTTGAGCACATCGTCTCAATTTTCCCGTATTGATATATTCAAGCATTCAGTTCGTGCCGTTCTGTCGCAGGAAACTGGCCCGGTCAAGGCTACTTCTACTCCTACTTCCTGGCCGGCCTGACGATCCAGCCCGAGTATATGGGGCTCAACCCGGCCACCGCCCGGTCCATGGCGACCTTCCCCAGCACGTACTCGTTTGCTGCCAACCCGGCAATCTTCACGGACGAGAACGACATCGAGATCGTACGGACGTCCGTGAGGAGCTACCGGGTGTCCGACGCCAAGCAGCTGCTGATCGACGCAGGTGAGCAATGAGCTTTCATGCAGTTGCCAGGCCGTTAAGTGTTACTCTGCAGGTCGTAAGCAGGAGTTGTTGCATTCCGAAACATTTAGAAGTATCCTAAAGGCTAGCAGAAAGTAGTGTGAGCCTCCGAAAAGCACGCACGAGGACTTCGACGCTGCACCGCTGAGTGGTGTCTCCTGGGGGACTTGTTCGACCCAAACACGGTTGCTACTTTCGTTGTCAGATGAGGAGGTCGAGGAAGAAACAGAGTGAGGTTGCAGATTTTGAGACCGGACAAAAGATCCTGCAGGGATGGACAGAGTCCGGATCCGAACTTTCTCCGTCGATTTTCAGAACGAAAATGATGACTCTCAGGAACGGACTCGCTGACGCAGAATCCTTCGATAGACCGGAAAAGCGGCCGCCAGTAGACAAACGTAGAAAGGCCCACTAAACATGCTACGGCCCCGTCGGCATAATGATTCTCCCCTTTTCCGAACTTTCACGGCGTGACAACACGTTGAAACTTGATTACTGATCTGCTCGCTCGTCCCCAAGCGCAGGTTACGGTACGAAGGAGCTCGAGTTTTACGACCTGTTCAACGGTGCCGTCACCCCAAATGAATGGCCAGGCGTGAACGTGCATGAATTCTTTGGTACGAACCTGAAAACCGAAGTAGGCACAGTGTATTCCGTCCCCGCGAGCATTGGGCTAGAGTCGAGTGGAAGCCTGACCCGTTTGGGTGACATGAATCAGGAAGATATTGTGAATGATTCGACATTAGAGTTGTGGCAAAAAGCAGCCGCGAAGGCAGAGAACTGTAGGTTTTCAGCAACCGAGCTAGACCGTGTGAACCATTTCCAGTACTTGAGCCAACGGACAGTGATAGGGATTACGGTCAGGCTGATGACAGTCAAGCGGGACGTCGAGTCTGTTTGTGAACCCGGGGACGACTTCAATGCTTTGCTAGATCAATAGCATCTCAGGCTTCAATATGAGCTTCTCTGCGATGCTAGGCTAAATCTTGATTGATTGCAGTTGGTCTGTTGTACGACTCAATTGGTTATGTTGCATGCAAATCGATCGAAGCTGCATGAGGCATGTGCTCGTATGATGTATCTGCGCACGAAAATGGCTCACTTTGGACGATCAGTCGCCTCCATATGAAAGCACCGGAGGCACATGACCAAGAGCACGAGTGTCGACGTACCCGGCTGCCAAGAGGCTGGGACGCATGACAATTTGAACGTGCGCGAGGATCAAATTGTTCAATACCGTATAGTAATTGCACATATCCCAGCCTCGTTGCTGAGTCCGATATACATCGGAGGGCCAATTGCTGCATGTTTGAGTTCAAGAATTCTAAGATTCCGTTCAACACCTTCTAACATGATCATAAGTCTTTCCTGGGGTAACACAGCAAACGGCCACATCAGGTACAACAATCGAGTTACGGATGCAGCACCTCTCAGAAGGTCACCGGATGAGCTCGTTTCAATAGAGCGGAGCCTTTCATAGGAAGCCGCTGTCGACCCGTAAGTTTCAAGGCAAGGCTTTTGACGTTCACTCAAGAGCTGCAAACGCCTGTTTTATAGCCAGCATGATATGTTCAGCGAGTTTTGGGGGACTGAGTGCCCCTGCAATCTGGCAGTATCCTGCAAATCTGAAACCTTGTCATCTGGGTCGAAAGGTCTGCATTGCTGCATATCTCGTTCCGTCATCATCCTGGACTTCGTGTCATTAGTATGAACCACCAAGGCCGAGGAAGCCGCTAACATGAGGGAACTATTTTGGCGGCGCCCAGTGGGACTTTTTGAGGGCGCAGCGAGACAATATAATGGATACATGAGGGATGAATGATTCCAATACCCTCCTTGATTGTGCTGCTTTCTCGTGGGCATCCTACTGCAAACCCGGCCACTTCCATATAGAGCTCCCCAGCACGCGCTCGAAGCGCATCGAAGCCTACAACATAACCATCGGATGGTGTGCTTACGGCAACAAGGGGTAAAGAAACGGTCATGGCATTCCGCGGAACCGCTGACTTGCGAGGTGTAAGAAGGGACGTTCAAATCTAGCGTGAGAAACCCAATCAAAAGGTAGGTTGCGTCAATGCATATGGTGTGTATGTCCATGACGACTTTGCAGACGCGTTCGTAAGGGTCTACGACGTGTGCATGGAGGCAGTATCGCGGGCATTCAGAGAAACAAAGATGATGTTGATCACGACCGGACATGCTTTGGGCGGAGCACTAGCCAGCATGTGCGCATTGTGTGCAGCATCCAAGCACCCAAGAGGGACGTGACGTGTATCACATTTGGTGCGCCTGGGGTACCATATCTTCCCTCATGAGAGCATGCAATAATGCCAGACCTGGAAGGGGCGCTTGGAGTCAAGAGCCTCCGAGTCAAGATCCATGAGAAGGGCAAAGATGTGAAGTTGCGCTCGCTCTGCAACGGGATTATCAAATGTCCGTAACCTTGATAACGAGGTTGCGGTTGGATGATTTGTACGTTAGACTATGACCTGAAGCTACTGGACAAAGTCTGCTCTATGAGCGAGGCTGGAAAACCCGAGTATTTGTAGCACATTAGGATTAGAGAACGACAGAATCTTGAGGCGCCAGTTGAAGGATGAGGCCCAAAGCTTCTAAACGTCTTCGTCCAAGGACTGGAGGATACATAAGGCGGTCTCCTTGTGGGTTTGTCTGTCTGCTCCTTTTACTCTTGCATTCTTACACTAGCTGCATCCTAGCTTTGCTCCACCTCTAGCTGACGAAACAAGCAAGGTAGATCACTTCGAACAGAAGGATGGGGGTGAAGCTCAGCGTCGCAAATGCCGAGACAAACGTCTTGAAAGGAATCTCGCCTTTATCATCATTCCAGGTCTGTGGATCCGCCGACAGATACTCCCCGTATGGAGAACCCGCCGCCAGAATCTGAGCGCACATGCCCTTGGGCATGCCTATGTAGAATTGAAAGAGGGGTCTTTCGCTTCCCCCATCCCGACGTCTGGTGGCCTTGCAACGATGAAGACTCAGCGAAATGTTGTTGGCTTGAAGAAGAGGGTTGATCTTGGTGTCCGGATCAGGCAGGTTGAAGCTTCGGAGTTCATCAACGTTTTCCGACCAGTTCCCCGTCAGCACTAAGCTGACTATCAGGCCCACGAAGATTGAAATTATGAAGACCGAAACGAGCATCTCTCCAATATCGATGTACTGCGCTCTGCATATCTGGCAGACGCTTTTGGTCAAACAGAAGGTAACGACCAGAAGTGCTAGCGCCCCCGGCCAGTCAGCTAAGCTCAGCCACCTACGGAGCGTGAAAAGCCAGAATCTGCCATGGGCCGAATACTCCTCCTCAGGCCAAGGTGCCATGGGAGGTGGAAGTTGGCAGCCGTTGGTATGTTCAACCACGTAGAAGTTGAACAAAGCCCCCATCTGCAGAAGATAGTCCTCGCACTTGATGAGCTGCAGCGGGGGGTCTGACGGCAAGAGGTAGTTCTTCAGCGTCGTGTTGGTGCGGAGGTACTCGTTGATGGGAGTCGGTTCAGGCAGTGTTAGGTTGCCATACGCAGGCGGCAGGGCACCCAGGACATAGCTGGTCTCCACGAGCGTCTTCACTCTCGTGTCGTGCTGTACGGCGCCAACTTGAACGCCAGCAAGGAACAGACAGAACAAAATAACCGCAAGCCAGCTTGTCTCAAGCATCCATGGACGAAGAGTAGTCTTGCCAGTGGCCTCCATGGCGAGCTATCAGCAGCAGTCGGTTTGTTCAGCAAAAGCCCCTCGCTAACAAGCTTAGCAGCGTCAGTCCTTTAGTATAGCTAGCCCGCTTCGACTTGTGATCTACTGACGGAATCCGCGAAGGAAGAGGAAATTGCGGCGCCCTGCTGAACACCCTATCTCAGCTGTTAGCAATTCACCAGAACAAAACCACCAGCCTGATTGTGCACTCTCTCTTTGAGCAAGACATATTGGCACGTGATCCGAGGTATGGTCTGCCACGTGCTGCTTTCGAGAACAGTCTGAAGCCGTTCGATCAGAAACCAGCGGTTGCCTGAAGGACAGCTCCGCGCAGAGGCTACCGTACAGTCTCGTGGCTGTTATACCGGGTATCTGACTTTGACAAGTCCCAACTTTTGAGCTCCAGCAATGAAAGGTGAGATTGCCAACTGGACGATCGACCGGCTCTCGTTTAGCAAATGATTGCGTAAACCCAAGAACAGGTGTTAGCGGCGTAACCATGGTGGCTTTGTTCAAGCTTACAAGACTTCTTGTAAGCAATGAAATTGGTGAAGATACGCGAAAGCTGTGCAAGATGGCCTGTTCACGTGGCTTCGTTAAAGCAGCCTAACCGATTTACGGAAAATGGATACCCGGTATAACAGCCACGAGAGTCCATATCGCTCGTCTCGTGCCATTTCTACTTTTTCATCGAGGGAGGACTCCTTTGTAGCCAATCTAGGCCGTCGGATGGTGCAATGCACTTTTTGATCGGACGGCTCTTTGTGTCCGACGTGGAAAGTAGCTTCAAAAAAGTCGCTAAAAACTTGTTAAAAGTGCACTGCGGTTGGTACCAGACCGGGTAGCTGGAAGGCACCGGATACCTTTCATAATGCCACGTCAATAAAGATTCCTCTTCGAGTCTTGGTCCAAAAGGGGAGTCCAAGATAAGGACACTCCAGACTGAAGATGTGAAAAATCTGACTCGGTATAAAGGGCACGAGAATGGTCGGGTAGACTGACGAAGTTGAAGTCATATGAGATGCAGTCTCAATAGCTCTCTCGGACCTCTTCTACTCCCACATCCGATTGCAGTGCATACTATTTTTCGAGAGTCGATCTCTCCTGAAATATCAACCTACTAATCCCACTTTGGAAATACCGTGACTATCTCTGAGACCGAGGACCCCTGACGATGCAGAAACGGCATAGAGCGGTGGCCTGCAAGTATGCTGTCACGGACTTTCTTTGATTTCCGACAAGACTGGTTTCAAAGGAATCGAGGCGAGGTCAACAGGACAACAAGTAGATCTAGAAGGCGCTCTAGATCTTCAGAGCCTCCCATCAGAGGCAGCATGTCATATTCGCTTTCAGCGACAATTGGGAGCAGATTGCTGAGATTTTCATACTTTTAGCAGTGCGCAATGCTGCGTTTGTGACGAGCTATGCCAGCTTCGTGCGCAAGTCGAGTGGATCTGTACATGAAAAGGATCCAGTCTCAAGGATGTTGCCATCTTTCTGGTTTCCACATGTTGCTGACAAATGTGGTCTTCAGGAGGAGGTCGTGGTGCCCCCCAATGTGTCTCGCGGAGCCTTCAAAAAACTTCCGTCAAAGCTGTGGAAGTATGTGATTCACGCGCTGGAGGGGGATCTCTGCTACCATCGTTTATGTGCCTACGTTGCGTGCTTCGGGACTGTGTATGACGCAGGAACTTTTATTTGAAGGAGGGGTCCAGATGGAAGCCCGGATGTAAAAAGTCCTAGCTGCCTAGCGCCGCTCTATAGTAGGATTGTTAGAATTGGGTTAGCAATTCTGGTCAATCGAATAACCAAGTGGTTGAGGAATCAACGGTCAAAGATACGAGTGATGAATGGCTGAGATTTAGGCGGGAAACGGTGTTGATCAGGAAAGCTAAACGGTCCAGATTGAGTCTGCAGATAGAGTGTAAGACTCTATAAAGACTGAGCAGATCGAACATGATTGTAATCAACACAACAGAGAAGCATGATAGAGAAGCAAGGCGCCTGTGAAAGGCGCTCGTGCTATTGTCTCGTGTGCAACATGTGACTGTCCATGAAGTGCAACGATGCAATGCGCCGATATTCCAACAGGTTATGGGCCCACGCCACGAGGTGAAGGCGCGGCTTGATGGACATGAGGTGAAGAGGGAGTGAAGAATGGTCTGCTGAAGAGAAGAAGAGGAGCTCAAGAAGAAGAGCTCGAGAGAAGCTGAAAAGATGGCGGCGATTGAGAGGATCTCAATTCCGCAGCTGGGGACTGACAATTGGCCTGTGTTCAAGGACAAGTTTCTGGCGTTGCTAGTGTACAAAGGGCTGGCAGTGGCAATTGAGCAGCCTGATTCAGCAGAAGGGAAGAAAGCGAATGATCAAGCTAGAGCGTTGATCACTCCCTATATCCAAGATGCGCATGTGAGATTGATCAAAGGAGAAAAGTCTGCTGCAAGAGCATGGGAAAAGCTGCAGCAGAACTTCGAGAAGATCAGTAATGCAAGGGTGATTCAGCTTAGAAAGAAGCTGACACGCATGAAGCTGAAGCCGAAGCAAGCGATCGTTGAGTACTTGGGAGAGTTCAAGGAGATCAAGCTGGACCTTGAATCAGCAAACCAGACAGTTGACGACATGGAGCTTGCCGTGCATGCATTGACAGGCCTTCCAAAGGAGTATTCAACTCTGGTGGAAATCTTGGAGAACGGAGAAATGGAGCTGAACTTGGACAACATCCAGTCGAAGCTCGTGCAAAGAGAACAGAAGTTGAAAATGGAGGCCGAGATTGAGAGCAAGAGTTCAGAAGAAGAAGAAGAAGAAGAAAGGGACACATCAATGGCATTTTCAGCGCGAAGGGTGGAACCCTAGCAACTCAAGACCAGCGGAAAGAGGTCAGGATGCTAGAAGATGCTTTTGCTGTGGGGAAGAGGGCCACATCAAGGCGAACTGCAGAATGAAAGATGCAGAGTGCCACAACTGTGGCGGGAGAGGACACATGAAAGTGGTCTGCAGAAAGCCTAAAAGGTCAGCTGGAGAGCAAGCCTTTTCTGGATTCTCGAGGACGCTAGCATTCAATGCTTGGGACAACGGAACAGCTAGGCAATCAGGTGCTTGGATAGTGGACTCAGGTAGCACGCAGCATGTTGCAGCAGATCGAAGTCAGTTCAAGCACTACAGAAAGTTCAACAAGCCTGAAAGCATCGAAGGGATTGGAGGACAACACGTTTTTGCAGTGGGAATAGGCTCAATAGAGTTGCTCTGTGAAACTCCTCGAGGCAAGACGCTGGTGACATTGCAAGAAGTGCGTCATGTGCCAGAAGCCAAGGCAAATTTGTTGTCTCTGAGCAAGGCAACCGATGCAGGAGCAGAAGTGGTGATGAAAAAGGGAGTCTGCCAGATTGTGGTGAACAACGTGGTGCAGCTGCGGGCATTGCAAGAGAATGGTCTGTGGAGAATCGAGTCTGTGGGAGCTGAGCAGAAGTCATTCTTCACAAGGGGACCAATCAAGAGAGAGGAGACAGTGCAGAAACAGGAGAAGACTGTCAAGGAGAAGAAGGAGGAAAAGAGGACGGTCAAGATGATCGAGGTTGACCTTGACGAGGAGAGTGAGGAAAATGAGGAGCGGAAGGTGGAAGAGAGCGAGGAGGAGAAAGAAATGGAAAAGGAACGGACCGAGGAAGTGTCCGTCAGTGAGGAGAAGGAGGAGACGAGCGAGAAGTCAGCCAAGGGAGCGGAAAGCGTGGAAGGAAAAAACAGAAGAAACGAAGAGAAACGAGCTAGCTAGAGCGCAAGAGAACGTGTGCAAGAGACGAGAGACGAAGGGGACAGGCGCTACCCAGATCGGCAGAGGAGGAGTCCAATCAAGTTTGGGGCGATCGGAGATAGCTTTGTTTGGACCACGCCGAAGTCGAAGTACAAAGGGTAGCATGATGAAAAGAAAGGAAGTAGAGAG